ACCGCCTTTGTTTTCTTCTGAATTACTTAAATTTAGGTTAGTGTGCAGACACATGTCCAGGAGAGCCATCAAACACTCGTTTTTTTCTTGCCCAACGAACTTGTGTCCCGTTGCACCAACCCCCAGCGAACTAAAAAGCGGGACACGCTGTATTTGGTAATAGAGTTCCCACGCCACCGCGCGAACTTGTGGTCGTAAAACTACAGTAGAGTTTAATCTAAGCTAGGAGTGAGTTCGCATTTAAGCTTCACGAGGCTGGACGATGCTTACAATTGATGTTGTATGAACTTGTTGTATGCTCTGATGGCATCGTCGGCCGACATGCGGAGGAGGCCGAGCATAAGCGCGATGATCCTGTAGTATAAGGCATGTCCATTGCAGTAGGCAGGTGCCCAGCCTGCGGCGCACCGTCCTCGTCGTCGTCTGCGTGTGCACACAAGTCCAACTCGCCCCACACAAACGCGCGGGACCATGCACATGGTACGTCTCCTATCATGCATTCCACCATCAGTACTGTTTTCATCTAATGCTATCAGGCCGTTTGCAGCACTTGTATAAGTAGTTTTTATCGGGTCAGTTCATGGTACGTACTTGCTTCTAGCACATATATTTGTTGCTTTGTATACATGCCTTTCCTATGCTCCCGTGTTGGACCCCTGTCATTTGTATTACTGTTTGATGTTGCTGTAGTAGTATTTGACTGTTATACGAGACAATCAAACGTGCTGTCCCATTCTTCATAAAAACTGTGTGTACCTCCGACTCCTAATATCTGTGAGTACCTGTATGTTGTTATCATGTGGCCTCTGTTGATGGTAAAATGGCGCTTAGATTAGAACATGGATTCTGGACATATGTAAGTGCCCATATGTTATTATCATATCGTATCTGCTAATGGTAACACGGCCCTTCGAGTAGATAACAGATTCTTTGCTATGATCATATCCCCGCGATCTTCCCTGTATGCTAAAAACGGACTTTACATGCTACTAGTGTCGGAGTCTCACCATTTCCCCGGTGTATGTTTGTCATGATCTGTAATGTCGGTCAAGGTCATTTGCTTATCATTCATCCCCTCATTTAGTGATGTTGGAGAGTTTCTTACCTCTAGTTGTCTTTGGATTCGAGTTGGGACGAGTAGGAGTTCTCGATTTGTCTGGCTCTTCGTTCAGGTGCCCATTCTCAAAGGAATCACTTCTCTTTCTGCCATCGAATCTCACTGCTACACCCAATATTTCATGAAGGTGGAATCATATGCAACATCGATTTCTTGACGGTCAGTCTAAAGACAACAGTGGTAGCGGGGAGGCGTGGGAAAACCATGTCCATGGACCTGTGCCTCGATTTGCCGCGACAAGGGAACGTGCGCACGACCGAGCACTCCGACGGTCATCACAGCAGACGCCATTCTCAGAGGGCGAGACCCTTTCTCCTCACCGCCGGCCACGTTCTATACCACCCATCCCTCCCCTCCAGCTCAATCTTGCCCTTCATCGCCGTATACATCCACCTCACTCCACCCGGCGGCTGAAACCTACCCCTCGTCTCAGACCCATCGTCATTCGTTTCGAGGTGTAGAACCCACATTCCAACTCCGAACTCTCCATTCCCAACACCTCAGCTCCCATTTTTCAAGAAAGCCAAGGACAGACGAAGAGAATTACGGGGCTATGGGGATCTCTTTTGGTTCATTCGATGGCGTCTGCGGCACCGCTGCCCTCGTCATATGCCCCCTCCTAGGCGGGTCAGGACAGGGCATCGAGCCGTCGTGCTATAGTAGAAACGTCCAGATTGGCTCGACACTCATTTTCCAGCCTTGTGCGTCTCAACTCTATGTCTTTTTGACCCCTTCGGTCTGACTTTGCATCGCTGACGTCGTTGTCGTGGGGTGGGGTGGGGTCCTGTAGCAACAAGCTTCGTGCACATCGTTGCCATTATCATGACCGCCATTATGATCTACCACATCCGGGGCAAGTACACCGCTGTCGGACGGAAGGAGATTGTCATGTTCTTCTGGATGTACATGCTTATCGAGCTACTTGCACTGTTCCTCGACTCCGGCGTCATCCCGACCGCTAACGCGAGTTATCCAGTGAGTCTCACACTCAGGTCTGCTCCTGGCCGGTAATACGTGCTCACACGCGACGATTTTGCAGTGGTTTGCAGCAGTATATACCGGCCTAATCGCATCGGCGTATTGCTGTCTCCTCATCAACGCTTTCGTGGGCTTCCAGTTCGCCGAGGACGGCACGCCCGTCTCTCTATGGGTACGTCACCTTCGCTGTTTATGTCAACTCTCCATTAACTAGACGACCCCTCTGCTCAGATCCTCCGGATATCCTGCCTCGTCGTGTTCGCCATCGGCATGTTCGTCTCCATCGCCACCTTCAAGACCTTTGCCTCCTTCTCGCCCCTGAAGCCCACAGCGCTCTTCATCATCTACCTCATCTGGCCTATCGTCTGCGTTGTCGTCTACGTCGTCTCGCAGCTCGTCCTCGTCTTCCGCACGCTGGAGGACCGCTGGCCGATCGGCGACATTCTCTTCGGCATCGCGTTCTACGTGATCGCGCAGGTCCTCCTCTTCGCGTTCAGCGTCACCATCTGCGACGCCGTCAAGCACTACCTCGACGGGCTGTTCTTCTTCACACTGTGCGTACTGCTTAGCGTGATGATGGTGTACAAGTACTGGGATAGTATCACGGTTCGTCTATATTTAGCCATTGCCCCTGTCTTTCAGAATGTAGTTTCTCATCGCGCGTGTTTTCGTAATACAGCGCGAAGACCTTGAATTCTCCGTCGGCTCCAAGGCCGCCGTGTGGGAGGTCAAGGACCCTCTGCTCGCGGGCGCAAGCGAGTTCGAGGAGGACACTACAAGCAACTACCATGGTGGTGCGCCCGCGAGCCTCGTTGGCGGCGTCGGCGGCCAGCAGATATATGGCTCAGCTGGCAGCAAGGCCGGCTACGCGCGGGCGTACCCTCCCTCAAACGAGCGGTATTAGATTGTTGGGCGCTTGGCGCTGCCGTTATGTGATCGCGAAAACGGACGGTGGACGTGGATGTGGCTGCAAATGGACATTTTTAATTTTTCTTCATAATCGTTGCTGCTGTTTTTGATTCTGGCTGGTGATGGGAGTAGCTTGGATTCTGCACGGACGATGATGCACTTCTCTGGATCACGGATGGACGATGTAGCGCGGATGCGGATTCAGATGATTGACACGAAGATGATGTTTGGCTCGGGTTGTTTCTCGGGGGACAGATGACGGACTGACTGTGGCCGTATCTACGCCTATTTTTATTTCCTCAGGACCATGCGGCAGCTTGCAGGCACACGCTCCCTCTGCCCGGTCATGATGGGGTTTCCTCTCGTTAGTAGTTATACATAGCCTCGTATGCATACACATATCTTGTTCTGGTAATCGGGCATTCATTCCTTCTTTCCTCCTTTTTGTGTGCTGTTTTGTTGATAGTTTTAGCGTGGATGATTCCATGCAATTTACTTGATCGTCTCCATGTCATGGCGAAAATACATTTAAAATCATGGCCAGGCTCTACGTAATGTGGATGGAGACTAGGCATAACGGTCGTTTCCTGGTCGTAACCCACACAAATGCATCACGAAGATGTCTCTCAAAGGGTGCTGTTCCACCCATGAAAGTTCCGACCTGTTATCGACGTCCACGCCGAGCGGATCGCTCACGCGGTCTCTGCTGCCATTGTCTGTGTCAGGCAGAGAGCCACGTCGCGTGTTCTTCCTCTGAACCCATGTCTTGTTCTTATTTCTTGCGGTAAACACAAAGCGCTGAGGAAGACGAGTCACAAGCGCTCATTGTTGATAGTAGAGATCCACATACAGCATAAGTATGACCTAGCCTTTTGTTTATATCGAGTGATGGCTGGCGACGAGGAGCGTGTTGCCTTTGAGGCTTACTATTTTCGTCAGCTTGCAGTGCGCTACTTATAACGCTAGCTATTGCGGAAAGCCTGTTGGATATTTTTTCTTTATTACGGCGGCTTTCAGACTTCGGATTCTTCTCCCTGTTCAAGCGGTCGAGGATTCGTTTCTGTAGGACCACATTAATGGTGAATGGCTTAGCCGAGCTAAAGTAAACTGGTTACTTTTGCTTACGGTAGAGGTGATGAGGCTTCGTTTCTCCCGAATACTCATGTCCTTTGACTTGCCTTCGCGGTGAACTTCGGCCTTGCGGTAAGTCTGCCTTCGAGTCAAGACTGGAAACTATTCCGGTAACAGAATCAGTCTCCGTATGGGATACACAATCTCAGGACAGGGGATTGGACTTACGTCTACCAGACTACCGAGATCATCATCTCTATTTTCCTTGTTGCGTGATAACTAGAGCCATAGATCAGTAGGGCTTAAAATTTTAAGCAAAGATACTCGCAGATTTGTCATTTTCCTATGCATTTTTGGTCATTCGGCACTTAGAATCGACCCAGAAACATTGTTATCTCGGAAAATCGCTCACGATATGTCTTTCCTTACGACCAGCGTACCAGGCCGCGGCTTTGACTACGTCGCCCTACAAAGTTAGCTTAACTTCATAGTATAGTATTCAGAAGCGCATTGACGTACCTTCCCCTCTCCTTCCGGCTTCTTCCAAATCTTGATCTTACCCTCAAAACCCGCTGCAGACACGAAACCACCCGACGGGGAATGACTGAGTAGAAGTGGCGGCGCAGCTTGAGTAAAGGGTCCAGCAACGACTTCATACTCTGCCATGTTCCAGACAACTACCATACCTCCGGCTGACGCACCCGTCAACGTCTCACTGTCTACGGAGAAAGACAGCGATGCGATGCGATCTTGGATGCCATCAGCCAGTAGCGTGGTGACTTCGTTGCCTGTAGTGGCATCAAATATCTTCACCGCTGAGTGAATGCCTGCCGCAAGAAGCCGGCCATCCGGTGATGCTTTGATACATGAGATCGTGTGCCCAGTCTGAATGGAACGAGTGCTAATCCCAACTCGCGGGTGGAAGTCACGGCGGACAATTGTTCCTCCCCCAGACGCTATCCAGACATATTGTCGGCTGTCATCATGAGACAAGGTTATGTAGATGGGGCCTTCATCATCCACGTTGAAGGGGCCAATCTCGACGGGTGTAAAGGCACCCCGTGAACCAATGCCCCAAACTCTGGCGTCTTTCTTGCTGCCAGCGGCGATAAAATTGCCGTCGTGGGAGAATTCAAGGGAGGAGACCTGAGTTTGGCAGTCAAGCGTTTTAAAGAGTGCATTCTCTGTGTTGAACGCTATCGATGTGATGAGACTGAAGCGCGCGATTCAAAATGTTCAAGAGCTTACGTTTAATGGGGTCATCTGATGTGGAATGAGAAGAATCGGAGTCCAAGTCGTCTTCAGAGGGACGGATGACCGAAGACTCGGAATTCAGAGAACTGGTGTCGTCCTCCGGGACCATATTTCAGAAATTGCAATGGGAGGCGGCGAGTCTGGGAAGATGGAGGCTGTCCTGTCGGAAGTTGCTTCTTTATAGGCCAGAAGTTCTGCGTCTTCTAAGCCAGGACTCATACACGAGGCAACCAGTTTGCATCTAAGCCAAACATGGACGATCAAGGGCGCAGTGCAGATTACCATACACTGAACAATAGAATGGTCATAGGAACTCGGCGTTTGAACGTTTGGCGCTTAATAAACCAGAGATAGGTAGGGTGATACCTAAAGAGCGGGGTCATCTGTTGACTTCATTCCTTTGATACGTTGACAAGGGTTCACGGGGAGCTCGAGTTATAAAACTAGTAGTACTTGTCGAGGCCCGAACAGGAGAAAAGTTTTGCGTGTGAAGCGGTTCGGGCTGAAAATGAGGACATCCAGAGGAAGGTATCCTGTGGTGCATAGGTGCGCATCGCCCGCTATCCCAGCAGCATCACAAAGCGATGACAAGGAATGACGCCCATGTCTCCCTTGAGCTTTCATAAACTCCCTGATAGGGAGCTTCAGAGCTTGTTTCCGTTAGCACGTACTGTATCTGAGTCTCTCCCAGAATAGTTCAGTTCCGAACCTTTCTAAAGCGAGATAAGGCCCCCCTAGCATCCTTCTATTTCGAGAGGTTCCTGTAGAGTTCGGCAAGAGATTTGGCGTTGACATTTGGAGAGTACCAAGGAGCTTTGAAACTGCCTTGAGATTGTATTGACCAGGTGATGAAATAGGTGGTGCCTCAAGAATGGTGATGGATAGTCTGCACTTGATTGGCTATTAACTAATAGGATATGAGGATCGATTTTTCCGGACGGCGCTTAATCTTGGGTGCAAGAACCCGGAGGCGAGATGGAGGCGGATTGCAGGCGACCAGACTGTGGGAATAGCTGTGATAAGCTCTTATGTCATCGAAGGCTTTCCAAACCCCTGATCTTCCGCGTGTCTCGCGCACGGACCAACGGACGAGCAACATCACCCCCGACGACGGCAGCAAGCACCTTAACTCAAGATGGACGTGGAGAGCCTGCTCACGCTTCCCAAGACTTCAAATGCATTCTCAGCCCTCCGGTCGACTGTATTGGTCGACCGGGATTTAGACGCGGGGTCGGCATCATCTTATCCGCGCAAGACACCGCGCTTGGACGCCGACTCTGACTCTGGTTCTGCTTCTAGGTCTCGCAATCGCATTTCTATCACAGGCAAGGGTGTGGATAGGACTGGTCCTGTTCGCATACAGGTCATTGGCTTCAATGGTGCGTGGATACCCCGTTCGCCGGTGCCTTATCTCGGCGGAATGACCGACCTTTTATCCAACAGGCAGTGACCCGTCAATCGAGAAGGACTACAACAACCTGTTCGCGTTACTCAGAAGTGCGACACGTTACATTCTCACCAAAGGCGAAAGTGTGCCCGCGACGTACGAGAAGCTCTATACCGCTTGCTGCACCACAGTCGGACCTGCAGCAAGGGGTGAAAGCCTGTACACGGCAGTCAGCCAGGAGCTCGAACAGGGCATCGGGAGAATCGCGACCAGCCTTATCAACGAACCGCGGGAAGGGATAGAATGGATCAGCGCATTCGTGGAGTGGTGTGACTGGTTCAAGATACAAATTGTGAGTACTCGCGTATAGTCAGATAGCCTGAGGTACGGCTAATGTTACGTCAAAAGACGTTGTTGCAATCAATCTTTACCTACCTGGATCGTGTCTATGTGATTAAGTCGGGCAAGCTTGGATTACGGTTGGCTTTTCGTCACTCAACCTTTGATACATGCTTATGGGACGTTAGCGAGACGGCTTTTGACATGTTCAAGAGCCGCATCTGTGATGATATCAGATTAATGGATAGGATGCGCATTAGTATTCGACAATGGTTGATATGGGAGAGAAATAACCGGTATGTTTTTCGTGTTATCGCGAGAGTTCGGATTCGACCCCATATTGCGCTAGTGAGCCCCACAACCAACGAGAGCACTTCATCTCTCTCGTCACACACCTCGTCTCTCACAATCAGTATCACGACCTATTTGAGACGTATTACATCAAGTGCACGCAAGAGTACTTCGCAGATGAGTCAAAGAGGAAGGTGGAGGAAGAAAAGGTCACTGCCCAGGTGTTCATCACCCACTGCACAACGCGCAAGGAGGAAGAAGAGAAACGCGCGGACGCTGTTCTCTTGGAGTATACGAAGCCGAGTGTGGTCAGTACGACGCATCATGCGTTATTGCAGGGCAGGCTCGCCTGGCTCGCTAAAGATGGTGCGTTAGTCTCAAATGCCTCACTAGCCTAGCTATTCACAATACTATGCTAGTTGTCGGACCGTTCATGGATGAAAAAGACTCCAACAGGTTAAAAAGGGCATACCAACTGTTCGCGCACGTCGATGGGCTACCCAAGCTTTGCGCAGAGTACAAGAGGTACCTCCAGGTACGCGCATATATACATGCTGTCTATGGCGACTTTCCTAAAGCCATTCGTCAATCTTTAGAACAAAGTCAAGGCCATCGTCACCGACACAGCCCGTGACGACGAAATGGTTGAGCGCCTGCTGGACCTTAAAGAATTCTCCGACAAGACTATGCGCAGCTCCTTTGCTCCTGACGCCTCTGTGCCCGAGTCCGCTTCCGGTCCGACTCAGGACTTCTCGTACGCGGCGATCGACGCATTCGCTCAGGGCTTCAAGGCGCGACATAACAAGCCCGCGGAGCTGATTGCGAAGCACCTGGATAGGCTCATGCGCAAGGGCCAGCGCGGCATGTCCGATAGTGACTTCAGCGACATGCTGGATGCTGCGCTGGGACTGTACAGGTTTACGGACGACAAGGACGTGTTTAGGGCGTTCTACCACCGGGCTTTGGCGAAGAGACTGTTGCTTGAGAGGAGCGCGAGTGATGATTTCGAAAAGGCGATGTTGAAAAAGCTGAAAGAACGTGCGTGTCTTTGTTCACGTTTAATTTAGGGGCTGTAAGCATATCTAACATGTGCTCAGGATACGATCCTGAGTTCGACATGGGCGACCAGATGTTCCAAGACTTGACCATCTCACGCGACACGCTCAGGGAGTTCCATAATCGTCACTTGGACTCGGAGTCGCTGTGCAGGCAGCTGTCGGTCATGGTGCTTCAACGTAGCGCGTGGCCGTTTACGTCGCGCAAGCACGACATCGTTTTGCCACCGAATGTGCGTCCTTTTTTTTTGGGCTTCGTTGGTTGTCATTCTTCCATGTCTTTTTCTATATCCTCCTCTACCATATCATATTTCCTGTATCTATTTCACCCATGAATCCATGGCCACTAACCCTGTCTAACTCGCAGATGCAAGCAGATTTATCGGTGTACCACCGCTTCTACAAGTCCAAGCACCAGAACCACCGGCTCGATTGGGACCACGCGCTCGGGACTGCGACCCTCAAGGCACGCTTCCGCAAAGGGTCGAAGGACTTGAGCGTCAGCTTATATCAGGCCATCGTCTTACTCTTGTTCAACGATGAGGATGAACTTGGGTTCAAGACGATCAAGGAGCAGACGAGGCTTGGTATGTTTCGTCATCGCACCCTGTTTCCATTTGCCTCGTTGACTCATGGACCACATCTTAGACGATATGGAGCTACGACGCACCCTGCAGAGTCTTGCATGCGGAACCAAGAGGGTGCTCAAGAAGAATCCCGCAGGACGGGAAGTGAACGATGACGACATGTTCTCCTTCAACGCGGACTTCGAGGACCCTCGTTCGCGTGTGCACATTAACTCGATCCAAGCCAAGGAAACCGTGCGTCGTTTCCACCTTGCTAGTCGGAGCACTCTTAACTGATGTCATGTCGTAGGCGGAGGAGTCGAAGCGCACACAATCCAACGTCGAAGGCGACCGAAAGCTCTCCATCGATGCAGCGATTGTGCGTATCATGAAGGCGAAGAAGGAGCTGCAATTCGAACAGCTCAAGACGCAGACCATCGATGCTGTCAAGAACCACTTTGTCCCCGATGTGCCTACTATCAAGCAGCGCATCGAAGGGCTAGTCGAGCAGGAGTACCTAAGGCGGGATGAGGATGACATGAGCAAGCTGTTTTATATTTCTTAGATGCGTGAGCACTTGTCATACCTCTGCTATGGGTTGTATCAATATCCGTTGTCCTGTATTCCGGTCTGAAGCATGGCGAATCATTTAGAACGCGGCGAACGCATGGTGATTGCCTCAGAAAGGGTGAATATCATTACCATTGAATTTAACGGACTTCAATTGAAGCGTTCGAAAGTAACACTGTGGTCCTGGGATGGTCTTGGGCTTCATCAATATGGCAGGCAAAGGACGCCCACTTCAGGTCAAGGATTTAGCGCTCCGTTCCGTTCGGACTTATTTCGATCCACCAATTGGCACGTGTATGGTTTCGCGACCAGTAAACAGGTTGCGATGGAAAGCCTCCAAAACATACACCGGCCTCGCTGCCCACCAGTCGACTCCCAAATACGGCAAGCCCTTGCTGAGGTTACTTGGTAGGTTTGTTGGCTAGTGTGAGCACTTAAATGCAGTGCTAGTCAAGCATTAGTCTCACTTCATGGTGAGTCGAGCAGATTAACGTCCGAGTCCAACAGGAAGTACTACCAATACTAATTCCACAAAACCACATACGCGCTTGTATAATGCAGCGACACCCGCTCATTTTATTTAGCCAAATCATGGAAAATTATACTGGAATTGTTGTCTCCTAGGTGCTGTTCAATATTGTCTGTGACGCTACCGTTTTCGTGTTCTCTCTGTGCTAAAGACTGAGGCTGGGATGTAGTGCATTCACGCGAAATTGCACAACATCCCACCGAGTTCCACTTCCTCTGTTATTATTGCTCCTCAGGTTTCGGTTGCCTCGCTTTTGCCCTGGACTGAGACATAAGTGCGTGATTTAACTCTCTTACTTCAAGACGTTAAATTCCGCTCATACCTCGAACATCCTGACACAGTGCGACGCCGGATTTTGTATCCATCGACGAAAAAATATGTGGATGTGCGGCCAAGGATTTTTCTTCCGACACGCATCACACAAGTCATTAAATTTGTCAGTCTGGGCTGGTCTTTTAGTCAGGGATACCATCGACTTAGTACGTTCCAAATCAACCCTTGCGTCAGTCTTTCCTTTCTTCTTCGTGACATGCTTAGGCTATTGGCGAGTGAATTGTCGGTTGCGGTGCACTCAGTGTGAGAAGTTAGGAGCAACCGTTGTGCGTTGCCGGGTCTAGAACCAGGAAGTAACGCTGACACAACCGTGACTCGACCAGAGTGGATCGAAATGCAATGAGCACACCATCAACATCCCAGCCTCGAGGCGCCGGTTGGATAAACTGTGACCCTCTCTTTACGTGGCGTTGGCGAATTGTTCTTCTATGTCAGACCACCCCATTTTTTCCGCGTCACATACCCCAAGCTGTTGTACGTCTGCAAGGTTTCCCAAGACCACCTTGTTGCATATGAGATGGTTGTATAGCTGGAGGAGTAAGCGACGGACTCGGAAGTTCCACTAAGGAACTTGTCACTTTCTTTACCCTCGTTCCTGCATCGATGTAGTTGCCCAAAGCCTCAGTGCGTTCATCGGTCCCTACCGAGTCCGCTCAAAGACCGCGCCAACTGGCCATCAGCAGCACTTATGGTCCGTGCATGTTGAAGTTGATACTACTCACACACTCACGCTCGTTTGCTCTGCTTGACTGCGCGATTAAAAAAAGGATACGCTGTAAAGTTTCTGTCCCCTGAATGTAATCTCATGAACTCTCGACCGAGTAAGCCAGTCGCATTTAGATCTCCGAGTGAACCAACGGTACCCAGGACATCCAGGGCAAATATTTGTGAACAAGCGAAGGCATCTCCTGCTCCAACCTTTCTCCGAGAAGCTATGAACGCGTGGACCTGGTCTGGAATCTTAACTGCACGCGTCTATTTCAGACATTCAATATAAAGTTCTACCCTCTTTAGTATTGATCGATCCCGCAGCGTTGGACAACCTGCTTGAACCCAGGCGGACTGAGGTATGTACTGTGGCAGACCCACATGTAAATGGGAGACTCATCAGTCCATCTGCGAAAACAATCTCGCGGGTGGGCCCTGCTGGATACGCTAGGTTAGAGCCGGAGATAGATCCTCATAAGGGCAAGCGTATGCGAAACTTTGACTTGGTCGTTACGATATTGTATGCGATGCACCGAACCAATGGAAGCTGAGACATAAACTGACAGAAAGAGCGAAGAGGTAATCGGGACTCCTGGTCATCCACGAGTGCCCAGAACAAGCCAGAACAGCGGCCGGGATGCCATCGATAAGTAGTCTATTTTACTCATAGCTTCGACGTGTGCTCCAGAGCCTAGTTCCTAGAGACTGATGCCGATGCCGTTTACATTCACAAGAGGATCGTGGTATGCGAACGTCTAAACCTGCGTCCTGGAACCTAGCAAGTACTGGCGGCTCTACTTAGATGAGTAGGTCATAAGGCAGTTGAACCATACCAAGCCCTGGGATCAGTTCCGTCTCCGAGCCACTGCCCGTCCGATCCATTCACGCAGATTCACAGTGGATCGGCTCCCCGTCCTGCCGCGCCCAAGCCTGGCCGACCTTTGTTCAGCACAACGCCCAAAATTCGTACGACCTCGACTAGATTCGAACATAGGTTTACATTTGAAGCTAAAAATGCTCTGATGCGTGATGACGTTTCCGGGGTGCATCTCGGTCCCAATGCATGGTGCATCCTTGCCCTTAAGCTTGTCAGTCAATGCGCAAGTAGGAAACGCTCTGCAACGCTACGCCACTTGACGGCCTGGCAGGCTGAGAAGAAGCCTCACTTAAGGTCATCGCAGCTGATTGCGAATAAGGTGGGTTTGATTTGTTCAATATTATGTATTGACCTGCGAAGGCACAATTAACCTGTCAGGCAGCTTGTCATGTCAGACTCACGTCAAGCCGGAGCTGCGCCCCGCCGGTCCGCGGGGCTATCGTGACACGTCGGCGGATGTGACGCATCTACCGAGCCGATGAGGTCACTAGCTACGCTCGTGGAGACTAGAAGATGGTTCGGAACGACGAAGAACCTGATCCGCTCGATCTGCCAGCCTCTTCGAGCAAAACGCCTTCGCATTTACTTTGTCAAGTGTGCCAAGATTGTTAGTTGCGAGTTGCAGAGTAACGAATGGAAATGGGGCGTAAACTGGCATAATGACCGCTTCATTTGTGCAGGGCCGACACACGTTCAGTTGTTCCTTGCGTTCCTTGTGACGAGGCTTGTCCTATTCAATCTTGAAAGCCAGTGTAAGCACCTAGCCTCGTCTAGTTCAGTCTGTTTTTAGTGACATAGGTCCGCCGTCCCTTGCTCTCTGGTATTTGACCCGACGGATCGATGGTCGTGCCAGGCCGTCACTGCGGCTTCACATCCAGCTGACAACCATGTCGGAGGACCAACTGCAAGAACGACAAGATGTTTTAGTCGCATATAGAAAGCGAATACCACCCTCGTTGCCTCGTCAGCGTAGGTCGGAAAGATGAAACTGTCATTTATGACCGATTAACACTGTAGGGGATCAAGAGCTCGTGAGCATATGACGAGCGGGAGCAAAACACTCAGCGCTAATGCCGCCGCGGCCCGCCCGCACGACGGAGAAAGTTCAACGCAGTGTCATAAGGAGTGGTGTGTGTTACCTTGTGCTCTCGGGGCGCGATGACTGTATCCGCCAGCAGGATCTGTGTTGGACTTCCTCAGACGACTGGCTCTTTCTGGAAAATATATCATGCCGCGTCGGCACCAAATATCGGCAAGACATAGAATGGTGCACCTCCTCAGAGAATTGCGACGTTTACACCCTCCTAGAAGCAGCGCCCCCCTAAGCATTCCCTTCCATACAGCGCACTGAATAAGAACTTAGTAACGCATATATCAAACTTCTTCATTAGACAACGCAGGGATAAAGCAAACAGGCAAAGACCCGTCGGAGTCGCGCATTCTGATAGGCCCGTAGACCCGCGATGCCGATATCTTCTCTTCACATCGAATCTGCCCAAGTCAAACTGCTTTCTTTGACATCTTCGGCTGCATCGCACTAAATTGTAATGCATTGAGCAGGTATTCCGGTCGGCTGTACATACGGCAGCTGGCAAGGATTTGAAGGCGTTGGAGTGTGATTGTCCGAGAATTTCAGGTTCGCTGTTCGAGTCGCAGCTCCGAGAAAACCGCGCGTGAGGCAAACCGAACTGCACACGGCCCGCGTTAGTGCCGGCTATGACTTCACCGAAGACGTGGTCCAGGTTCACGAGCACACGTTCGCACCGAATGCGTGACGGTGAGTAATAGTGATGTTATTGCAGGGGCGTCTGTGAAGGCACCACGCTCAGGAAGACAGAGCCCGTAAAAGGCAGCGCCCTTGCTGAACGTAACGCGCAGGTAAGTAAATTGCAACGAATTCAGCCGCAGCGCAACAAGCTCATCAGCTGTCAACCAGTCAAGCATTGATGCAGATGTACTTATGATTACTTACTTTGGCTTACAGCAGCTTAGTGCAGCGCCGGTTGGAGGGTGCATATCATTTGGCCCTTGATGACACCCATGGACCTTGTTGCTGCGTGGGGCTCAGCCCGTCGTGGATTGCGCGAAAGCGAATAAGCTGGCACGGAGATCTCCCAGAGATGCGGGTGTTCGTGGAATCTCCGAGCAGTGGGCTGCCATATGTATCATGATCGTGGAGGATGTTCATCGAACATGACGAGGCACAGAACTTGCACACGAACCACGCATTTTTTTTTTGTCAACGATGATTGGTTTGGTGCTAGATAAGCGCCCGAAGTGGGCCACTTCTGCGATGGATAGCATTCCCGCAGCGTGATTGGACGTCGAGCGTTCCTGCAGACACGTCAAGCTCCAAAAGTCCACATAAGGGCAAAACGATCGCCGAGAATCATGAATGATCCTTTTGGCTTGAACGCTGTAGAGGCTCGGAGCATGTGGGCCGAGTGCAAACGGAAGCCACAAGGATGAGCCCGAAGCATGCATCGGTGAACGGGGCGGAGTTGCCTTTCCGGGAGGCAATTCGAGAGCCAAAAGAGGCCAAGAACTCATTTTATGACGCGCCGCCGAGAGACAGAAACTTCAAAAACGCGTCGACATTAATATTCCGATCTGAATGAAATTGGTCTCGCAATGTAAAGGGTCACCAGGGCTCGCGTCAAATGGACGGGCACTGCGAGTTTGATTGACAAAGGTCGCCGCTCCGCACAGACAGAGACAGAAGCCAGACCAGACCAACATGAAACGGGCCGACCACGCAAAAATGGTGTGCAAAACAAATTACACTTGCCGGCGTCGTGATAGGACGCAGGGATCGGGCTCAAGGTGGAAACCGTGGAAGGAGATACCATGGACGGGCGACGTTCCGGCGCATCGCTCTTCGCCCAGAGCTCTCAGCGTGTCGCATCGCAAGATGTCGGAGAGGGAAGCTGAAGCCGTGCGTGTTCTGTGCCAAAGTGCCGCCGCGCCGTATGCCCTCGGATCAGGACGAGCTGTGGACGCTCTCGGCGCTTGCTTCAATTGAGCTGCAACGCCGTTCTGGCCTGATGAGTCATAACAGGCGTGACATGTCGGGTAAATCCAGCAGGCGGCGTATTTGGAAAAGGATTGCCAAATATAGTAATTTCGGACGAAAGGGCGCAGTTAGTTGCCCAGCAACACAGGAATCTGGAGATAGAGACGCAGTGGGGACTGCCGTAGATGGGACAAATTTTAGCTTCAAGACTGTCTGGGAGAAGGGCAAAGAACTTTTCGGCGTGAAAGGAAAGGACGAAGTAAGAAGGAGCAAGCACGGGAACGATCACAAACTGACAGCACAGAGGGCTGCTAAGTGGGTAAAGGGGGTGAAATAACGTCAGGATAACCCATAGGAGGAAGGAGGATAAGGGAAAGGCTATGGAAAGTCCCTGGGGAATCCCCGATGAGCCGGAGATGCCGGTTTCAGGAGGGGGGGCTATTTGACAAAATAGAATTGGAGTAATAATTTTGACAAGGGATCGCTGGCGGAAAATTGACAAGATCGACGGAGCGCGAGCAGTAACGCCTACGAAGCGGCTCGGGGGCGCTGCAAACAGAATCTTAGCAGCAGCCCTTACAATTGCAATCCCCTGTTTCTGTTTCTAAGCGGATTCCATGCGCGTCCACGACGCATACAAATTTTGGCTCCTCTCTAGAATATCCCCAACACCTCATCCCTTTTTTATATAATATCATAATGGTCCGCCTCCTCCAAGTCTCGCCTGCCCGGACTTGACTCGCCTGCGGGTGAACTTCAAAATCATCCTAAACGTCCATGGCTCTCTACACTCCTCCCTCTCTTCCTCGAACACCGTCCTCGTCCTGCACAATGACCGCCACCCTCCCCTCGCTCTCCACCGACCTTCTCCAGTCCTGGTCAACATGGCGTCCACCCAAGCACCAGCAGCAACACCACCAACACTCAGCCCTCATCACGCCTCCAATGTCCACCACCTTGCCACGAATCGCTAATCATCACCCTCAAGTCTCGCTGCCACCAATAACCCACTTCGATCGCCAGGTTTCGGAGATGCCTCTTCGTAAGTAGCGCATATATCTCATATCCATGTCAAGGCGCGACACCCCTAACGCGTCTCATCTAGTCACTCCACCAACCACGCACGACGCGTCAAGTTGGTCAAAGTCTACGTCAGGGCCTCCTCAGAGCCAGCCAGCGTACGTCTCGCCACCAGAGACGTGCAATGACCCCCCTATGCAAGCACCACGACTCGCGGTCCCTCAGGATCCGAACGCGCCAGTAGTCGACTGGTTTGACTTTTCGCTCAAGCGGTCGGCTCACTTCATCGCAGAGAAGACTTGCGAGATGATCGTGTACCTGTGGTTCTCTAACTCGCTGCGATCCGCCGTCCACCGCGCCAAGGCCGAGCCTCAGCAGACCGCTTCGCCGCCATACTCCCCTGACCGGCAGTCCAACCCCCCTCTGCAATTCAGCGTCACGCCCCAGTTCGTCCACTTCATGCAGAAGCTCCTCGAGACGACACAGGTCAGCCAGTCGGTGATCGTCCTCGCGCTCCTCTATATTTTCCGCCTCAAGGAGAAGAATCATTTCACAGCTGGACTTCCAGGGAGCGAGTTCCGGATTGCAGTAGCGGCGTTGATGATGGCGAACAAGTTCCTTGACGAGTACGTGACTATATGCTACGTTCCGGCCTTGCGACTGACTTTGACTCTCAGTAACACGTACACGAACAAGACTTGGTCAGACGTTTCTGGCATCTCGCTCGACGAAGTCAACCGCATGGAGCGCGAGTTTCTTCTTGGGATCAGCTTTGGCCTCTACGCAAACAAGAGCGAGTACGACACTTGGATGAATTTGCTCAAGGGTCTCGTCATGGCGAAGGAGAAGGAGCATCAAGCGTGGCGTGGTGGTCCACGTCGTCATAGGAGTCACCGGCATACTGCCCCGAATACCGCTACCCCGTCAGCACGGCACTATCGCCACAGACATCAGCACCCTGCTACGTATCGTGCTCGGTCTACCTCCCCTATGCACGAATCTCCTCGGATGAGGGGCTACATGGGGGACTACGTGCCCACTCAGGCCTTCATGCCCACGGCGGTCCCCACTCCAGCCGTCGCACCGGCTCCTGCGACTGTACCAGCTTCATCGGCTTACGTGCCTGCCCCTGTTCCTGCGCCGCAGCCCGGCTCAAAGCGTTCGGCGGCAGACGCATTTTCTCCTACGTCAGCTTCTTTCTCGCAGCTACCGCCTCTGAAACGACCCACGGGCATGACGCTTCAGATCCCCGACAAGGTCCACGCCACGAGTCCCGCTTCTAACTCGCCGCTCGAGTCGCTGCAGTCGTTTGCTAAGATGTCCTTGTCCTCGTCGCCTCACACTGTCCGGTCCGCACACCCCGCACAATCTGCGCACAGCGACAACAGGCCGCAAACTCTGGTTGCCGCCTACCGTGTGGACAAGCCCTTCAACGTGCCGGAGGTAAACTTTTTCCATTGAAGTCCGGTTTAATAAATCTCACGCTACCATTTATAGAACCTGTACTATTATTCTCTTGCAGGTTCGGCCACCACCACGGACAAAGTCCACGACCAAGAGCATCGTCGCAAGGCAAAATTACGGTGCTATCAGCCCGCACCACCGCCCACGTCATATCCGCCTCCGCCACCTCACATACCCATGAACATCCAGTCCGCCTCCGTAAGCCCTCACGAGGTTCACATTAACTTTCGGCAAGCGCCATTACCCCATCTCTACGACGCGGTGTGGTCGCGTAAACTGCAGGTTCCCCCCGTTCCTGTGTACAATCACTCGCCCGTGGATGTGGACAGTTCGTTGCACCTTCCGCCCTTGCGGGATGCTTCGATGACTTCCATTCCCTCTGCCCCATTCGCCAACGCCGGTCCTCCCGGTGTGCACGGTGTTCAATACTACACGCCACCTAATCACGCATCATCGCCTCTATATCCGTATAATTGGTCGTATGGAAGATAATTTCAGAGCTGTTACGCCATGTCTTTTTAATGCCTTCTCCCTTTGTTTCCTCTTTACACGAATTGATCACCGGGTACATTATTCTATTCTATTGTACATTACCCCACGCATGATCTCTCATTGTCACTGGTCACTAGTCTGCATGCTTTCGCACTCTTTTCATACGTATCATTTCACTAGTCGTCTCCACGCCCATATCATCATAGGACAAACACATTCAGCACGCATTTGTACATTCCTGCGCATGGTTTTTTTCATCACACTTTGCTTCGCTCGGCGTTCACAACCCGAGGCCTTTTCTTCCATTCAGGCGCGCATCCGTGTCGCCGTCCGTTTTTACGATAACTTTGTTCCCGTACACGCACCTTATTAGCGCATGTTTAGATTCAGGTTTCGTTGTCTCATCATCACCAGCGCAAAGTTTCTCATACATAAATAAGCATACGATAGTACCGTAATCGCATCGCCCCTGCATCCTGATACAGCTGATTTCAATCATAAATTGTTATCAGAATTCCAATGTTCGTCGCGAGCTATTGTTGCTGTGGCACCTGCGGCCCCATCCATCCATCTTATGGCATCTTGAAGCACCGATCCGAAACGAGACGACGAGATGAGGGTTAGGCTCGTGAACAGACGCTACAATGGGCATCATGTGCACAGGAACGGGGAGCAAGTTTGCCGGTTTGTTCTGGAAGAGATTTGGAGAGCTGCGCAGCCTTTCTTAGTAGGAGGGAGCGTGGGGGCGCGAGGAGGCAGTATACTGTAACTGTTGTAGTCGGCCGCTCTGCGATAAGATGCTCACTTCCAGGAGTGACAAGTCGTTGGACCCGGACAAGGAGCCCACCGGAAGCGCTCGAGCGGGGCTTGTAGTCGCTGAGTGATAGATAATATTGAGTTTGGTCGCGGTCGGTTTTTCTCGCTCCTTCTTCTCCACCTGCTGTATCTGCCATGCGCGCTCTGATGGATATATCATGCGTGCCAGCATGTTCATGGTTCTACCGTTTTGTACGATGTGGGATGCGATGGGGGCGCGGCGTTATTACTCTTCTAGTCGGATGTGCGTGTTCACTTCATCGACTAGTGTTGCTAGCTCATCGCACGGTGACGCCGTCACCCGCGGGCCGTGGCCATGGCATGCGTCGCGGTCACCCTCTTTGAAGCAATCAGAGCCTAACGATCTTTTCTCTCCTTGACATATCTTCACACGTGTACTATGGGCTAGCGCTGTGACATTCAGCCCTTGACCCGAGATTGGTACACACTGGTTGTTGTTGATGAGCTTTTGAGTTTATCCGTTCCGAAGGGCTTGATTGTCACTCTCGTCACTACCTGTGCCCCGGTTGTGCTAGCCTAAGGGGGCGTTACTGGAATAGTCCCTGTCCTTACAATTGTAGTAACATGAACCTGGACCCCTGTAGCTGGGTTAGGTGTTGTTAGGAGCCGGAAGGGCAGTACTATGCGTGCCACTGGCACGTGTGCCTCATGTCCGTGGTCATCTCATCCTCAACAACCCCTTGCACGGTCAACAGCGATGGCTCTAGAAGCGTCGACCGGTGTCTGTCACGTCAAGTAATGGTGATTGTGGTCTGCTTCGGGATGTGTCGGGGGCTGGGCAATAATGATTTGCCGGCGCTACCTTTGCGGTGGACTGGTGCGGCCAGTTGTCCAAATTAATATTGCGCTTCATGATCTTTCCATGAGCTTCCTAAATGCATCTACATCTGTATCAGCATCAGGGCTAGGTCATACATGCATCATAGATATATCATAGCTTGGGACGGAGGCACTTGCTGAAAAATGAAGCACCTGATTAATTTTCGAGTAAAATACTTGCAATCGCAACACAATACAATAGCATGGATTGAGTATCATGAAGTTCTTGTTCCTGTCGAGATGAAGATGATCGGTCAGAACGAGGCCTGAGCGGGTGGCGCGCTGTGCTCACTGGCATAAGCACGTTTGGGGGCGAGACCGTACCCACCGACATATTAATCAAAGAGATGCAATCACGCGTTACTTACCGCAAGTGCAATACTTGCATCAAGACTGTGATATCAAGTTGGCCTCTCGGCAGGCGGAACAGGTTTCTACGCAGCCCTACTAGGGCGCCTCTTTTGCCATAGCTAGTTATTTGCTTTGTCGACAGGGCGCATGGAGACCGCTGGACACTCGGAGAAAGTATTCTGGAAGCTAGAGTGGGTCTGAAGATCTGGCTGGTCGTTGATGTCGAGATTGCCCGCCCGGTGGCCCATTTTGGTACTTACCTTTCTTGAAGCTGGCGGCTAGGTTCCGACGAGCTCGCGAGCCGCGAGGATGTCGGCGCCGCTCACCATACGCGTGCTGCGGATTATGCGGATGACATCGGAGAGTCTCAGTGATCATCACAAGCTGGCGACTTAGCTTGCGGTAGAGCACCTCCAAAGTATAGGAGCAGCGTGGTTACGTGGTCCATCGCGGGTACACTCGGTGGTGGTACTCGTGATTTTACTGTTGATATGTTTGAGAATGAAACAGAGAGAATAGAACTTTCATAGAGATCTCGTCGCAACTCCGGCCTGGGCAAGATTCACATCTGTGTAGCGGCCCCGATGGCGTCGCTTCAGGAGGCGCGCGAACATAATGGCCAAGAAAGACGAGGTTTGAGCCAACCGCAGGACGTCGAAGGAACAAGGAAAGATCTTGTTCGATGTAAGCTGGTGTCGAGACCGGCATATTGGAGATGATCGCGGCCTCGTTCGCGGGATGTGCGGTAGCATGATCCAGCGCGGTCATGGCATAACTTTTCCAAGTCCATCTTTCGCACCGTCTCGCCAAAAAGGTCAATTATATTCTGATAAGTACAACATCTGAGGCGAGAATTCATCAAACGTGCTGGCACATGTGTAGCAATTAGACGCGTTTGTATTGCTAGCTTATCGGAGTTACAGGGTTATTGGCCACATTGTGCGGTAGCAGGGTGGTGAACGCGAGCAACAGGGGTTAGCAGTGGCGTGGCGAAAGCTTCTGCCCACAGATCGACCTACCAGCCGTAGGCAGCCTAGACGGGGAATTTGCCTGTCCAGCGTGACGAAAAGCCTGAAAGGCCCCTGGCAGACAGCGCCCTAACGTCCTGGCAAATTCTAGCTCATGACTACTTTGGGAGAGCTTCGGCGGAGGTGCGTCGGGCCCTTTCCATACGAATACGAGAGAGGTCGGAAGAGGTGAACGCCTGCGTGAAGTAATAACCCGAGAGTACGCCGGTCACTGGTGATACCGATCCAAAAGTTTCATATGAGTACGACAAGCAGGATCATGAGCACACGGAACGGGTAGACGCACGAACTCCACAGAATAGGGACTTGTTGCGGCCAAAGCCCAGAAGCTTGGAACCTATGATGGCTACAAAGCGGTGCCGCAAGGTGGAGACGACGGCGACGAACAATGAGGGAAATCCAAGGTCCGTGTTGCAGATGCAGGTGCCGCGATCATGAAAATTTTCGTGCAGCGCAAATTTGACAGGCGGCGAACGGACGGGGCATCGATGGAAGTGAATCAATGGACGTCCCAGCAGGATGGAGCAGTAATCGGTGCGGTGCGGTGCAAGTTGTATCAGGTCCCATGACGCGCGGAGGTGGATATTGCAATTCGGCACGTCAGTAATTTTCGTTTTGTGAGCAGGCACGCGCTCGCGTCAGCGACGAAAAAGAAATGGACTCGCCTCCTGAGAGACCTGAAGTGAGGCCGGCGAACACGCCATCGCGCCGACCCGCCTAGGAGAACAAGAGCGTGCGGAGACGAAAAAGTCAGACCTATGCCAGAACGGAGAATTCGAGGGTGTGTGCAGACTTTGATGGCTTCCGTTTCGAGGTCGGATGCGAGAGGTGCCTGTACATTTCTTGTTTCGTCCATCGCAGTGGGAGAGAATGAGATGTATGTTGCCGGTTGAGATGACGGAACGCGTCAAGAGAGAGTTTTCTGGAAAATTCGTTTGCATCATCATTATGTATACTTATTTTCCCATGCTCCAAAATAATCGTGGAGTATTACGAGATAACTTAGACGCGCACTGTCACTGTCACGACTGTGTGACGGGTCGCGTCTGCATCCTCCCACTCCTCGCGCCGTTGTTCCAGTGCGGGCGGCGCTGTCCCATCTCACCGAAAGAGTGTCCATCATTGTCATCTGTAACACGCACAATGCCCGCAACAAAGTCGGGCGGCGTTCCCACCAAGCTCCAGAATCTATTTGACAACATCAAGGGTAATCATATCGAGCGAACGTTTCATCCAAACCATGTTGGGCTCACTGCCGCGCCCCTGTATCTCCACTAGACGTCCTCATCAAGACGAAACCCAAGTTACAGAGCTCCACTACCCGAGACGCCCAAACAGTCAATGACCTTCATCACGTCGCGTCCCTTGCCCAAGCGTTCTCGGAACTGCGGCCCAAGGGCAACACAGACTGTACGAGCCTGGCGGATGCACTGGATCAAGAAGGTGCCACCGGATTGATAACACCACGAACAGCCTCGCATGCTTCCCATACTAACCAATCCTATGTATTAGGTGTCAGTCTTTGGAATATGTCTGGGATGTTCCGGCAGGGCTGGTCTTCTGAGAGCGAGACGGTCGTCGCCGCATGTGCGCCTCCTCATTTCTCCGTGCTGATTTGGACTGGCGTTCAATTGTATTCGTGTATGCAAAAGTGAGGTTTGCGGGCTTCCGCCTCATGGAGGCAGGGCTGGAGACGGCACCCGGCACTGAAGGTTTGTCCAATGACGCTGCCTTCGCGCTTCTGCACGCGGATAACCGGTTCTTAGGGCTTGCTCACATTCTGCAGATAGCGAGTAAGACAGGGGCAACGCTCTCAGGTGGGGCCCACCGCACGTGCTTCTTTCCGTGAATTCTTTTGGCTCACCGCGGAGGTCTGCGACAATGCAGAGACCGGCAACCACGCAGTAGCGAGCGCCGTGCTCAGCAGCGCCGCCAAGGTTGATCTTTTTTCCTTACTGCGGAGTTTGTGTTATCACTCAACCTTGTGAAGTATGAGGAGACCCTCAGAAGTCTTGGTGGCGACTCTCAGGGAAGTCATCAACAGACTAAGGCGCGTGCTATCACGGTCTACTACTCCAGCCGTATGGAAGCAGTGAGCATCTAGTCTATTTTCTCCGTGAGACATTCATTCTACGTGTTCCGTTCCGCGCTCGACAAGGCATGGAGAGAAAGGAACGATGGTCTGGCAACATTCATGTCCGAGAAAATAGTTGGTGCGTTCTCCGCAAGGTCACCGTACTGATCCCATCTGAAAATGGTCCTATAGACAATGCAAACTACCTCGCCTTCCTACCTCCACGCGATGTAAGGACGCATATATTGAGTTTAGCGTTTGAATTCCGCATGTCTGATCTCGGGTCTTAGCGAGAACTATTGGCGTCAAAGCTGCTCGATATTGGAAAAGCCATTTTGCGCGCTGCTAATCAAGGTGCGAAGTCGGGTCTAGAGGGACCCGTAAACGCGATCCGGTGGCTCCAACGGGCGTTCTCTGTCATTGAGCCCCTTGATGCCACAACACATGGCCTAGCTGAGTTGAAGGTAAGATCATTCTCAGCCAGCATTGATTCTGAACGCCCAGGTACCTCGCTAGCGATCTATTCTCAGGAGCCTGGGTAAGACCCCGTTTCAAGTTTTACGTTTACTAAAACTGTCTCGGACTCATCCGTTATTATTCCTTCCATAGCGCGTGGCTACTTCCTGTCGTCTTCAGAAGACCCGGAAAATTTAAGCCGTGCAGAAGTAGTGATTCAGGAGCTGATCGACAACGTTGACGGATCGGTCGACCAGGTAATGACATCATCCGTGCCCAGATAAGGGCCCGTGTGCTGACTACCGGCTCAGGGGAGTTCTGAATATCAGCAGCTTCGTTGGATGAGATTGGCAGTCGTGAAACGACGTAAAGCTGGAGACTCCGCGATTCTCGAAGGTCCGTCCTGCGCAGCTCAGCCTTTCTCGGCTTAAGACAATTTATTATGCCTAATCTCGTCGTTCGCTTTCTTAGCATTAAACTCCATCATCGACTACACGTCGTTTTCCGAAGCAAACCTTGCAGAGTTTGTGCAGCTTACGTTTTTACATAACCTGCTGTGAGCTTATCGCATTCCGGCAGCTTTCTTCAGGAATTACGGACCCTTTCACAGCAACAGTAAGTGCTGTGCTCTGTGTGTTCTGAGTTTAGTCTCACGCAGGCACGTCAGCGCCGTTGTTACAGCAGCCACTCAACGCTGCCTTAATCGAGTGTTAGAACAACCTGAGAACGATGCATCTGTTGACAAACTTCTCTTATCGCTCATCTTTCACACTTCCAAGGACGATGATCACGCAAGGGCAATGGTGACCCTGGACTCGTCACTCGCAGGTTTACACTCCGCACTGCTTGCGTCTCCTGTATGTTTCTCACTGATTCTTCGTTCAGATATATCGGGCTCGGAATTTGAACTGTCCAAGGGAGCCGCCACCGCATGCCTTACAGTCCGTCCAAGTATTGCGACGGCGCTTTCTCGAGTTACTAATTCAGATTAATATGCAGCTATTGTGGCAATATGGAAACCGCCATTATCAGAGCGCGGGGTGGGACGCCGCCGCTGGTTGGTACATGTGCGGCGCACATGCCGCGTTCAAGTGCCTAGGGCCGGTCAGCGACGCGAAGTGCTTCCGCAAGGCGGCCTTGTGCTACGTCCATAAGAAGGAATATGCACGTGCGGCGTCCGTGATTCGGAAGTGTTCAAGTAGTCAGGCGACCACTCAATACGTGGTATTCTTGATCGCGGTGCACCAAGGTTTCGTCCAATTATGCTATCGCTATATAATTAATGATAAACTTGGCTCACGGTAATTGGTTGCCTTGGCGTTCATCTAGGTCTTGAAGACGAAGGTCAATACAACTTTACGAACTCGCCCATTCGCCGTTTTGCTGATAGTTTTCTATTTTTGATTTGCGTACATTCAGCGGTCCGGGCGGTACAATCGATGGTCACTGCTCCGGATTTCGACCGGAAGATGCTGCTTCTCGCGTGTCAGCTGTCACACGAGATGGATCTCAAAACGCTTTTGTTGACTGTTCTCAGAGCTCTGCTTGACACGCTGAATGCACAGACTCGGCTTGAATCTATGGCGGAGGCTATGACGCTCATACGATGCATTATACGGCTCGTTCTCAAACTCCTCGGAGAACCAGTTGCAAACAGGTGGGCGCCCAATCAGTGGATCAGAATAACGTCGATAGTGACAGAAGGGCTCGCTTTCAGGAGAGTTCTCATATCAACTTTGTTGCAATACTTCTCCAGCGGTGCGTTAACCTGCATCACCATTAGGCAAGTCTATACTACGTGGAACTGAATGGTACCCACAGCAAGGTCTCTTGTCGAAGATGCATCACCAGAAAATCGCGCATTGGTCATCAAAGATCTATCTTGGCTGTGGCGGACCGCGTACAACACGGCGATTCAGGGGTGTTCGGAGTGGGACGATGGTGAAGAGAAGTTATCAGACATGTTTGAATTGTCCGTCCAGGTATGTTTAGCACAGATACACAGTCTCCGTGCGTACTGGGATACTGATATGAAATGGTCCGCTTTAGCTCCTCGAGCTCTACATCGCACACTCGCCGGTCGGTGTGGACGCGAGCATCCATACATACCTGATTGACGCCTCATTCGCTGCGATATCCGGGAGAGGTAAGCTCGTACACAGTCATTTACCCTATTAGCTCCGTTGTTCACGCGCCAGCCACAGTTATCGTAGCCCGCCGTCAAGGCGCAGAACAAGATTCATTACCGGTAAGGACAGGGTTACCGTTTCGGAGATCCAAAATCCGCAGCCTTTCTCATTCACATCAACTTGTTATTCTTCTTTCCGTTCCTAGGCTCAACGCCTCCGCTCGCTGTCCGATGGAATCAAGGCGTGCAAGCGTAAAGTATCCGCCATCCTCGCAGAAGGCAGGATTTCTTCCGAGCAGGAGACGGAGCAAGCCCATGCCATCATTCACGTGCTCCGCGTGTTTGAGGTGGAGATATACGCCCAGTTGCACGACTGGGCTTCCTTGATGCTATCTGTAGAGGTCGGTTATGGCAGGTTATCTGCCCCCGTGTTGCGCTGATCAATGATCCAATGCCTTTCTGCTGACTGATATCCACAGGAGGCCATTCAGTTTGACGCATCTGCAGTCCTGACCTTTGAAGCTATTGCCGACATCCTGGTACGAGTCTATGCACACGTCTTCTCTAGCTTCCTTCGTCTCACCCCGCACCAATTTAGTATGGGGAGAAAGAATGTCCAGCCCATGGTGCGTCCTCTGAAACAAGCCCATTTGTTAGTATGCGCTTACACACTCACGCCCGCTTCTGCTTCTAGTGCTCTATACGGCCCTAGAGGTAGGTCATACTTCAGAACGTTCTTTCATAAAGCTGCATTAGTACATATTTTGCCTGATGTGAACAGGCTATCCTGCGCGCATGCCTTGACAGCCAACAGCTCTCCGTGGACAAGTTCTCTCGGTGGCTACGCGGCATATGCACGATCCTTCTCTCGCGGAACACGGCGGAAGACCGAGCCAAAGCAGTGGGCTACGTGGAACAGGCTATCGCGGTGCTCGAGGAACACGGTGACATGGAACACCCGGTGAATAAGGCGTATCACGTCCTTGCCTCTTGCTCAACGCGCACTGACGTTCCATATACCATGTCATGTTTCGTCTTCCCTGCTCGGGCTAATCTAGGTATATCCGATTGAGGAACGCCACTGGCTCATGACCACCGCATACAATACCGGCGTGGAGGCTTTGCAGTTTGTTTTTCCCTGAAATTGGCCTTGATCTCCGCCGCTGACCGCAATGCGCCCTGTGCGCTGACAAAACAGTGCGTCGCTGATCGATGAAGCGAGGAGGTGGTTCGAGTGCTCCGTCGTCATATGTCGCTTTGTCCCGGATGGAAGGCAAAGGGCAGACAAGGTGCGTGTGCCTGAACCCAGGGAAAGGCTGACTTCATCGTCGTCACCATCTCGGCCCAGATCTCAGAAACGTACACGGAGCTTCTCCGCCATTACTCGTCTTAGTCGTCACCCCAAATTTGCACCTGGCTCAAGGGTCTGCAGCTTCTCTCGAATATCGCCTGTGTCTGCTCTGTTTGTATCTCGTGTGGCTGGCTTTCTTGGACTTGGTCGCTTTGGGCTCCTTACCGCTTACGACTCGCAACCATAAACCTGTGTCTTGTGCCACTTGTTCCTGTGCGGCGGCTGATAATAATGTCGACTCCTCTCGCGATGTATTACAAGTGGAACTGTCCGCCATAGGGTTTCACCCTTTTGGACAATAAAACGATATCTCATCTCATCAATGTCGACTCGTGACCCGCATACTAGACGTCTGCAAATACACCGAAGTTCCATTGATCAGCGCGATAAGCTATATTTGCGAGTAATCCCTAAGTTGGTAAAGTAAGACTCGGCCGCGGTTATTCCCTACCGCCATGTACTCGTTCTCGATGGAGAAGTCGACTGCGGTGACGTGACCAAGTGGCGTACTGGACGTCGGCCAGTTTCCAAACGCCGTCAAAGACGGGAGGTGGACCTGCAAGGTAAAGGCACCGCCGTGAGCATGCGACGCGGAGATGATAAGGAAGTGAGCGCAACAAACATACCATCCGAAGCTGGTCCTTTTTTGTGCTGCTCGCCATCGCGAGCAGCTGAGCGTCGCTGTTGAAGTGCAGCGTCGAGATGTTCGTCGTGAGGTTTCCAAGCGTCTTGAGCGGCTTCGGCTTCGCGTCGCCGGAGAGCAGCACGTCGTCCATCGCGTACACGTTCACAAGGCCCGTGTTCGACCCGACCGTGAGGTAACGCCCGCGGCGGTCACCCCTCATCAGCCTGCTGCCGAACCCGCCCTCGTCCGTCCACCGCTTGACGCACCGTCGCTGGCCGACGTCCCACACGTACACGCTCGAGTCCTCGCCGAGCGCCATGAGCTCGCCGCGCCCGGCGGCGGCGGGTCCGCGGGCCCACCAGAGGGACTTGATGGCGGAGTTGGCTTTGAGGCTGCCGACGACCTGGGCGGAGCCCGAGCGCCAGTCGACGAGGTGCACGGCGCCGCGGCGGCCTGCGACGGCGAGGATGTCGCCGGTGGGGTTGAACGCGGAGGTGTCCATGCTCATATCTTGCGCATTGGCGGTTGAGGAGGTGAAGGTTGTTCCCCAGAGGCCGCGGGGCGAGCGGTGGGATGTGCCTGTCTGGAGGTCGTATGTGTAGTAGAAGGGTCGCGGGCCAGTCATGAGGATGGAGCTGCCAGAGGGGTGGAAGACGGCACTGGTGAGGGGGAGAGAAGGAATGTGGAGGGTCTGAGCGAGGGGGTTCGTCGCTCCATCAACCTGAAGAACATCCGCAATGAGTTGGCAGTAAGGATAGACAAGTGATAGACGTACATGGAAGAGCCGCAGTCGTCTATCCGCGCTCGCGACCATGAGAACGGGGACCTCAGGCGAGGGATGGAACTGCAGCGACTTGATCTCGCCCTCCGCACGCGCCGCATCATTAGCATCACGTAGCCGTTCTACTGCCAATGTGCCGGGGGACAGGGTCTTGATATTGGTACGTCCTATCGCACCTGTCGACGCCAGCAGGTCCGGCAGCATGTCTTCTTCGTCCTCCGATCCCGACTGCGATCCCCGACGCCTTTTCCCTTGCAGTTTCCGACGTGCGTTTGACGCCCATTCCGGGGTAGGGTTGATCCGCTCGAACTGTCGTCGTAGGCGGCGCTCGTACTCCCGCCCGCCAACTACATCCTCCGAAGGCGCGTCGCGGAGTTTTCGAAGGCGGTTCTTGGACGCAAGGGATACCTCGACGTTCGTATCATCAGGATCTGCCCACGCAGCAGCTTTTTTGCCCTTCCGGGAAGCTGAAAGGAAGGGAGTGGGTTGTGAGGGCGCATCTTCAGCGTCCATCGTTTCATCGTCGGCTGCCAGCTCTTCAGCATCATCAAAGACAGGGGGACGACTCGAAGACGGCGCGGAGTCGTCCAAAAAGAAGAGCTGAAAGAAAGTAGACATGAAATGGATGAGACCTTCCGAGTAGAGCGCGACGTACATCTGAGTCCAGCATGTTTTCGAGCTCTCTCCCGCCCTGTACGTCCGGCGTATCTTCCATCTCCTCCTCGTCGTCTTCATCGACTGTGATCTCCATGGTAGGACCCCCCGAAGCCGTATAAGGTACCCCGAAGAGCATGCTTTCGAGTCTTCGTTCCTCGTCATCTTTAGCAGCGTCGTTCGTTAGGTCCATCCCTAGCGGTCGAGGCTTGGTGTTTGATTGCTTAGCATCAGACGCGAGCTTTTGGCGCTTTTTAGGATTCGACTGAGACTTTGACGACTTCGAAGCTTTGGATTTGGGCATGGTAGCCTATGGACAAAGACTGTCTGAGCTCGCTAGGACGTGTTGACGAAAGATGAGATGAGGTGGCTGTGTAGATTTTCGCTCGTTCCGATGCTGACCTTGACTCTGACGCGACGCCTTTACAACTCCTGATCTCATCTCCAGTTCACAAAGTCATGTTCCACCCTTCAATTGCTTGTAATACAACCAAAACATCTACCAAGGCTAATTACTTACCTCTTTCAAAGCCGACAAATCAGCTCATATAGTAACAGAAGTATCGCCCGCAAGCTGACATTACTACCTGACCTTTGTAACTCTGAGCCTACCCCGGGCCTTCTCCTCGTTCGCTCCCCGTCGCCCAACATATTCATAAGGCTCCCGTTTTCCCCTACTCGGCTGTCGGCGTAGTCCTTATTGATGTCTCTCCAATCCTCTTCCCTCAACACCGGTGCGTTCTCAAGACACCTCTCTTTGATCAACGCTCTTACCAGGTCTCTCGATTGCGCGTACTCTTCTTCCAGCATATGCTCTCCAGACTTCAACCTTTTCCCTTTCGTCGTCGTGACGCACGCATGCCCGTCAAACTGCAGCCCGTTGCCGGCCAAATCTCCCCCGTTCTCGTCCCACCAGTTCTCCATCCGGTCCTCATTTTCCAAGCCCGTCGCGACGAGCACGATCGGGACCTGCCCGCGGAAGACGACACGCTGGAAGATATCGTAGTTGATCTTGACGATGCTCCGCAAGCGAGTCCCGCGTACGACGTACACCAACAAGTGCACACCGCCCCTTAGCTGCTGCAGCAGGTGAACGAGCTTCTCGCACGCCTCATCTGCTGTCACAGAACCCTTGGAGCCTTCGTTGAGCCCTGCGGTATCCCAGAGCACGTACTCGCGCTCGTCGATGGTGACCCGGTATGGCTCTGTCTCGAATGTACAACCGAGCGCCTGGTTGGAAACAGCCGCAGACGCGTTGTCGTCGCCGGACAGCATGTTTATAAGGGAACTTTTGCCGACGCCAGATTCACCGAAGATGATGACATTGGCTGGTGGGACGATAGCGGACGACGGTACGTTCGCGGTGTTCTGCTCGTACGGGTCTTCATGCGGGGTGGAAGCGAACGTCGCACTCGGTACAAACGGCAGGCGATGATCGATGGAAGTGGTAGATGACATGGTCTCTGCCGCCTGACCGGGGATGGTGGAGCAGAAGCGAAGAGGCTTTTGCTGAGGTTCCGCTGGCAGGGACTTGTCCGACGGCGCGAAGGAGGCAGGTATGCCTGATCGTACTTCTCCCTCGCATTGATCATGACCTGACGACACTATATCCACAGCCTTCTCGTTACGCATGGCTGCATATAGTGGCGAAACGGTAGTATCATGAAAAGCAGACGACGAGCGATCGTCGATGAAAACGGTGGATGACGCTGTATGGGTTGGGGTTGGCTGTGGTGCAGTTGGTAAGGACCTGTCGTACGGCGTGAAGGAGGTGGGTGGGCCCGTTCGTGCACCTTGACCACTTTGATATTGACCTGGCGGCGCTCCTTGCCTTGCTCTGTTGTAGCTTCTCGATGAGTGACTTGGTTCTTTGGAGGGCGAATACATTGGATGTCAGAGGCTGTCGAGACCCACGTAATGCGCCGCTGTCGCGTCTTTCTATTGGCGTGTTTTGTCTCGTCAAATCAAACTTTCCCGTCCGTACCCTGAAGGACTCACCTGAGCGTACGTCAAGCTTCTTTGGCCCGTTGCGATCCTTCGATATGCGCACATTCTTGTACTGGACGATAAGAACTTATCCCTCTGTCCTAGTCGTCATGCTGAACGTGATTGGGTAAACCAGTCTAGATCTCCGTGTCCTCGTGACAACCTTATCACCTCATGTCCCCGACGTTTAATGGCGCCTAACTCAACCGAACCTGTGCGCCGCTTCTCATAAGCGCTGTGAGCACCCTCCTAGTTGGCGTACGCGGGATCTTCGCTTCCCTCATCCGACTCGATCAGTACTTCGACGTATTCATTCTCAGAGAAATTCTTTTACTTCGGGAACTTCCCTGCTGTCAATGTTCCAGATCGATCATATATTTGACTCACAACTGCATGGGCAGCAAACTTTCCTGTGTAGCACTAGCTACTTCCAGAAAACAAACGCGGAGCGCTGGACAGCCATAATTTTAGTCTAGGGCTGTGGGCTTGTTTCCTCGTACCCGTCTTCCTGCTTCATGTTCCTCCTTCCATTCAGCACCGAAGATAGCTTCTTGAGCGCTGTGGAGCTTCCCCAACTCGTGTATCTAGGACCTACACCTGTTTGATATGTGTTGAGTTATGATTCCGCCCATTGACAACGGGCATCCATCCCTCATTCCGTAATGTGATTGAGTTTTATGAAGAGCCGACCCTTTGCTCACCGTCGTTCCTGGACCGGGGACGAACCTTGTTGAAACGAGGCTTTGTGGGTTTCGAAGTCATAATATACATTGCTTCTCGCTGAGGCGAGTGAATACTCGTTCCAACCAGTTTCCTATTAGCGCTCACACATTTCTATGATGCGTCTTCAGATGTATAATATCAGCCTTTTTATCTTCATCCCGTAAATCCCACTTCTCCTTACCGAAGGTGATAGCATCTTACCTTGTCGCATACGGACACTACTAAGGCGCTGATGTCCTAGGACTACTAGCTCAACATGAGCGGCCCTATGAACATCATACTCTTTGGCGAAACGGGCGCAGGCAAAAGCTCCATAGTAAACATGCTCGCCGGATACAACGTCGCAAGAATCTCGAGCAAGGCCGAGGGCTGCACGTTCAAGTGGGACCGCTACCCCGTCGAGATCAGCGGCAAGCACTACAACATCTTCGACACCGCGGGGCTCGACGAGGGCGAGGAAGGCACGATGCCGGCCGAAGACGCGGTCGTGCAGCTCTACCAGCTCATCACGAACGTCGAGGACGGCATCAGCCTGATCGTGTTCGTCATGCGCGGACCGCGCATCAAGGAGGCGGCGCACAGGAACTGGCGCCTCTTTTACGAGATCTTCTGCCGGCAGAAGGTGAATGGCTCGATCATCATCACGGGCCTCGAGCAAGAGGAGGACATGGACGATTGGTGGCCGGAGAACAAGGGGCACTTCTACAGCTACGGTATGCGTCCGTTTGGCGCTGCGGGTATCACGGCGACTCCGGGAAAGTTGAAGGGGAGTAGGTGTATATATCAGGAGGAGTATGACGAGTCGACGTCGAAGATTAAGAAGATGATCAGGGAGCATGCGATGCCGGATCCGCAACGGATTGACAAGATTGAGTGGTTCACGGATGTGCTGTGGCTCGGTTGTGTAAAGGTGGGTAGGAAGAGCACGGATGAGGTTCGGCGGCTAGTAGACCGATGCGGGATGTCATCGGAGGAGGCAGAACGTCTCGCAAATAGGCTTAGTAGTGTGTAGGTTCTTGACTGAATTCTTGATTCAGTACTTTGTAATGTACTAGTGTGTTCGTCGAAAAGTTAGCAATCTCTCGTTACAAGTAGTGGTCAGAGGAACTAAGTCAAGGGGTGTTTACGAGATATGGGAGTAGTACTTGAGTGTAAACCACGAGTCCAACTCGCCTCCACTAACCACCCTCCAGTCTCTTCCTTTCAAGGTTTGGCATCAATGAGTTGCCTAGAAACCGGACAATGATACTGTTTGGTATGTATTCAGACATTCAAGAGCAATATCGATAGTCGAAGTCTGGCTACCAGTGGCACTCCTTGATGGAAAAAAATAAATCATGTGCGGTAGTCGTACAACTTGAACGTGTGTCTCGTTTCTCGCTACGCCTAGCATCCACGCCGTACGGAGCCTCCCTTCACAAGTAAGTCATCGCGTGAGTGCCCCATTGTCGCAAGTGACGCCAAAAGTAACCCCAACCCCCCGACCCGGAGTCCCTAGCGTGTTGTCCGCCACCGAAATATTCCATGAGGCCCCCGCCGTTCTCCCCCATACAACTGTTCTCGTACTCTCTACTGATATTCTTCCAGTCTTCATCTTCCAATTCTGGTGCGGATTCAAGATGATGTTTATGGATCAGTTCCCCCACCAGTTCCTTCGATAGCGCATACTCTTCTTCGAAGACGCGCTCTCCCGACTTCATCTTCTTTCCCTTCGTCGTCGTGACGCACGCGTGGCCCGAAAAAAGTGCAGTCCATTTAACTGCAGGTCTTCCTCATTCTCCACCCACCATTTCTCCATCGGGCTCTCGTTCTCCAAGCCCGTCACAACGAGGACAATCGGAACCTTCCTCTGACATATGACGCGTTGGAAGATCTCGTAGTTGATCTTGACGATGCCGCGGAACCGGTTCCCGCGCAGGACGTACACAAGTAGGTTGACGCCGCCCTTGAGCTGCTGAAGAAGCTCCACTAACTTCTCGCAAGCCTTCTCTTCGGACACTGTGCCCTTGGAGCCCTCGTTAAGCCCCGCGGTATCCCACAGGATGTACTCCCGATTGTCAAGGGTGACCCTGTAGCGCTGCGTCTCGAATGTACACCCGAGGGCTTGGTTCGAGACTGCGGCTGGTTCCACTGCACCTTCGGAAAGCATGTTCACAAGAGAGCTCTTTCCGACCCCAGATTCGCCGAAGATAATGATATTTGGTGCGTGGGGGGCTGCTCCTCCAGTGGCCGAAGGTTTCGCTAGGGATCCGGCAAGATGGCTGTACTGTACTGCGCCCTGGGCGTGAACGTAGCTCTGCTGACATATCTCCGGAGCGGTGAGGCCGCCGAGGCAGGCTGAGGATGGATCTGGGTGAAATTCACGTCCGAAAGGGCGCATCTTCGATAACAATGTACGCCCCCCGTTGCTATTGAACGACTGACCAGAGGCGTCGTATGGGGATTGAGCCGACGATGGTTGATGTCCATACTGAATATCCTGTCCAGACCTTATGACAACGAAAGACTCGCTATCACTGTCTCTCGCTGGTATAGTCTGTCACGCCACAGTTCGTATGGTTGAGTTCTTCATGAAATTTTGCAAGGCACAAGTGACTCACTAATGTGTCAGCTTCGTCGGCAACAACGTTGTAGGCTGGGCGCTGCGGAGACGATCGTTGAAGTCCATTGTGAGGCTTTCCTACTTCCTGCTCATATCCACTGGATGAAGGTCTCATTAACGAATGCAATCTCCAACGCTGCTAATTTCCTCAAAACCCTCACTTTGATGGTATTATGGGATCACTGTTGTTTTTCCCTGTTTTATTCGACATAGTCTGTCAAGTGAATCAGATTATATGCTCCGGTGTCCTCCGAGATGACCAATTGTGCTAACCATAGTATTGAATAAACACTTCGCCGCAGATACTTTACTGACCGATGAAACAGGCTCCTGGGATGGCTTATCCGAGCTCATATAGACGGAGCGAACTCTCTGGGTCCAGGAGTCAGAGCCGGACCTTACATCACTAAATGGGTGGGAAAAGTTTGACCGTTATACCGAGTGATCACCGTTATAATATCGTTGTCGAGACAGTTTTGTATGATCACGAATGGTGACGCATTCCCATTGAGTGAACATATCGTTACGGTGTGGCAGTGAATTTCGGCCGAACACCATGTCGCGGACACTTTACCATTGATCAAAATTGATGATCTTGCTCGTACATTTGTTAGTCGAATATAAAATACGGAGACCATCTCAGAAACAAAATTATCATTGAGCGATAACTTCAACTGCATATGGCAGCCACCGCTTTAGGTAGACACGAACACTAACGAACAATACAAACGGTAGAGATTCGAATACCAGCTGACCTTTACAATGATGCGAAGCCGGTCGCGTTAGTGAGAGCCTCGTCTTCACCCAAAAAAAGCCCTTCATCTCCTTCTTCATCGCTGGCATCAAGAAATCCCCTCAGGGATTATGAGCGGTTGTGGGAAATGCAAAGCGTGGGAGTAGTTATGGGTTGGTTATGCGCGGTTGTCTACACGTCTGTTTCGTTTGTTGATTATGGACCAGCCGTCCGTGACGCTGTTGATTATCGATATCTCTCGCATACAACCAATATGAATCGATTTTCAACAAATGCAGCCCGCCGCGAACGCTTGTGATAGTTATGCACGCATGATGGTAAGCTTTCACTGGTAGACGTCCTCTAAGACCATCTACGCACCACGACACAACCGACGCGGGCCCATCTGCCTTCGACCTCATTCCTCGCCGCATTTCCACTGCCTGCCTCTAAGAGTCCCGACCATCTGTTCGTCTACCCCACACTACTGCCTACGTGCCGTGGTCACGTCTACCCTGCTCAATATGTTTCGAAACAACACCAGGTGCATATGTGGGACACGCCTTGCTACTGAGCAAGGGTACTTGTCTCACATAAGCACCTGTGCGGTGGTCCCTACAACATTCTGCGAGGGTTTGTGAGCGTGCCGGTGTTGTACCCACTTTTGAGCCCCACAAGAAGCCTCGCCTTAGCAATCAACGTGTACCCAAGGAGCAGCACACAAGCCGATCTCAGCGCAGTGCCTATTCTTCTCAAGTCTCTACTCCTAGTCCTGGGCCCTCTGAAACATCAACAATGCAGGAGATGCAGATGTCGGCGTGCGGGATGGAGGGTTTGGCTTCCAATTCAGAGGTGCGTTTGCTTGTTTGTCCTACTGTGAATAGTGCAGGGTATCACCGCTCTCTGTCAGAGTGAGGTTGTACACCACTCCGGCGTTGGTCTGGCTCGGGATGCTCAGGAGAAGCGGAGAAGCGGACAGAGGACGGTTTGGGATGCTCGGGAGAAGCAGAAAAGCGGATAGAGGACAGCTCGGGATGCTCGGGAGAGGTAAAGAAGCAGAGAAGCGGGACAACGTGAAGGGATAAAGGTTGGAATGCATGGTCGCCGACATGTATATATGGGCGACCTCTCGCCTCGCTTTCCCCCATCCGCATGTACTACTGCGTATGGGGTCTAATATACTACAGCTTCTAACACCCACGTCCTCCGGTAGCAAGGCACCAGCGAGTGCTATCGAGTCCGACCTCTCCTCAATTGAAGAAGATCCAGTGCCGGCGCCAAAGCCTGCCATTCGAACCAGGGCAAAGAGTGCCAGGATCAGTACAGGGGGAAAACCGCCAGCAAAGAGGACTGGCAACTAGGTATGTTATATCAGTGTATCACTGCTTCATTTCGCTCACGTCCCCTCCATTCCCCGAGATTGTTTGTCCCGGGCCTGTGTTCGCCCAAATGTATGTTTTTATTTTCTTGCTCCCTTCCAACTGTCGCTTCACGGTCTATAAGCTTTAATTCTTTCCTTGTACTTCCTGCGCTCGTCTACTGCTGCTCCTCTCGTGTATCATCATTGCTCTCATGCTGCTGCTCTCGTGTATTAACCTTGTTCATCGCTTTAACCTCGAATAATGCTACATCATGTACTATATAATGTTCACAATAAATGTCTTGTCATTGGAATCATGGGCGAGATTGCGAGTCCTCATTATATGGTCTGAGTTTTTATCATACGGCATAAATCACTAGTCGTTCTTATCATGTAATTATCATGCAGGCTCCGTCAGCGGTAAGATAGCCATCAATATTATAATATCATCCGTGATCTGACCATTTCACCATCTGATTTTGGTCTGATTTCCCATATGTTAAAAACGGACTTTACGCTCCACTCGTGCTGGAGATTCGAAATATCATCAAGGTACGGTGTCAGTTATAACGGATTCTACTACTGCTCATGTACTTATATTCGGTCCGCCCATTTAGTGATGTACTACCTCACAGCGTGTCACGGGCACATCGCTAGTCCTCGCGAAAACCTCGTTTTCGTCTTTGCCCCACTAGTAACATTTTCACAGATCCACGCTCATGGTTTTCGGCGACAAGCCGCATGATGTTCAGGCGTTCAAAGGCTATCTTTAGCCTTGACACTCAGAGCGCTCAGATCCCATCCTGATTTGACTGAATCAAACGGCGTTCTCATCTACCACATGTAGTAACACGCCGTTCATTTGATGCCACCTCAGCCTCATGGGATGCCGTTGTGCCAGTGGATTATTGCTGGTGCTATCTTAAGAGCACTTACCCATTCTTTCATCGCATAGGCCTCACCAACGCAAGCAGCGACTCTCAATCTCACCAGAGATACGTTCAGCCGTCGCGAATGTATCTTGACAATCCAAGTAGCTCCCCATCCTCCTCCCAAGGTAACGCATCGTCACCTTTGTGGCATTTGCTTGCGCTTACATTGGTCTTTTGGTAGCTGGAGTCCATACGAGTCCCCTAAACGTTGTCCTCTTCGGGGAAACTGGCTCAGGCAAAAGCTCTATTATCAATATGCTTTTAGGCCGACAAGCAGCGGACACGTCTAGTCGAGCCAAAGGGTGCACTTTCAGCTGGGAATGCTACAACGTTGGGATAGGTGGCGAAACATACGGTGTCTACGATACTGCTGGCTTAGACGAGGGGGAACAAGGCACGATCGCCGCCGATGACGCGATTGTGCAGCTTTACAAGCTTCTGACGAAGCTCGAGGACGGTATCAGCCTCATTATTTTCGTGATGCGTGGCCCGCGCATTAAGAAGTCGACTTGCAACAACTGGCGTATCTTCCATGACGTTCTCTGTGAGAAGAAGGTCAGGGGTGGAATCATCGTAACTGGCCTTGAGCAGGAGGAGAGGATGGACGATTGGTGGCCGGCGAACAAGGAATATTTCCACGACTACGATATCAACCCGTTCGGCGTCGCTGGGATCACGACAATCCGGGGCAAGGTGAAGGGAGGCCGATACATTTTCCAAGAAGAGTACGACGAGTCGATGCTCAAAGTCAAGAAGCTGATCAGAGACTACGCGATGTCAACGCCACATCACGTTGACAAGATCGCTTGGTTCGCGGATATAATTCTCTTTGGATGCTTTCGGGTGACTACGAAGGACACCGCTGAGATCAAACGTCTGGCAGATCGGTGCGGAATGTCATATGAGGAGGCGAGGCAACTTGCGGTCAAGCTCAGGGGTAGCAAGCGTATGGGCCTTTTTGAGTGGCTAGTGTCTTCGAGTTAGTCGTATCATCCATTGTATAGCATGCAGTTCAGATTTATCCCATACTTGATGCTTGATCTGCACCATATTCTTCCTATATCGCACCTACTAGCCCCGCTTCAAGTTAACTGGCACTCATACACATCACGGTTAGCGACTTAGCTAGTAACGTGCTTTTGTATTGAGCTAATTTGTTCCGCTCACCGATGGTTTGAGGTGGAAGAATAGAGTTTCATCTGACAGTGTAACGAATACCTTGACATGAAGGTTGCTTGAAGAGGGACGCAGCAGGATGCATCCTGGCGCGATCAACAGTCCCACGTGGCTCACCCAATTGGAGCGGAACACTGATATTGTCACCCAAACCAAACCCAAGCAACGCGACAAATCACTCGCCTTCCCCTGCTTTCCTCGTCCTAGAATCGTTTACGAGGACTTGCACTCCATCGACCCCTTGCTGTTACACAAATCAAAGGAACTGGCTGCGTCGATTCTAGAATTTACCAACTACCTGCTCCTTTTACGTACAGCGCTCCGGCCTTGGCCCCAGCTCGCGCCAAGAGTCCCGGCCGATGCTGCCTCTTCCCCGCACTTCCTCTGCTTTCCAGCATACTCATGAGACTCCCTCCATCTCCCATCCGGCTGCGAGTGTAATCCGTGCTAACGTTCTTCCAGTCCTCCTCCCTCAGCGCCGGTGCGTATCCAAGACTTTTCTCCCTGACCAACGACCTTACCATATCCTTTGACTGCGCGTACTCTTCTTCGAAGAGGTGCTCCCCCGACGTCGCTTTCTTACCCTTTGTTGTAGTAACGCATGCGTGCCCGTCAAACACCAGCCCGTTGGCAGCCAAGTCTTCCCTGTTATCATCCCACCAATCCTCCATCCGATCCTCATTTTCTAGACCCGTCGCGACGAGCACGATAGGGACCTGCCCGTGGAAGACGACGCGTTGGAAGATATCGTAGTTGATCTTGACGATGCTCCGGAACCGGCTCCCACGCACAACATACACGAGCAGATGTACTCCGCCCTGGAGCTGCTTCAGGAGTTCAACCAACTTCTCGCACGCCTCGTCCGCTGTCACTGAGCCCTTGGAGCCCTCATTGAGCCCCGCGGTATCCCAGAGCACGTACTCGCGCTCGTCGATGGTGACTTTGTATGGCTCCGTCTTGAAGGTGCATCCAAGCGCCTGGTTAGAGACTGCTGCAGGCGCGTTATCGTCGCTAGAGAGCATGTTGACTAGTGAGCTCTTGCCAACGCCTGATTCGCCGAAGATGATTATGTTCGCTGATGGAAGCTTGCCTCCAACAGAAGATGCTGCAAGGGAATATTGGTCGTGCAGGCCTGCATTTGTTGCGGAAGTGGCCATCGCACGAAGTGTAGGCGGCAGGGGATGGTCGATAAGGGTGGGAGATAGTGTTGGCCCTGCTGCCTGATCGGTCTGGGTAGCATCATGGGCACGATGAGGGGAGAGTTGATGTGCCGTTGGGAGGGAGCTGTCGGATGGGCTGAAGGACGTAGGTGGTACTTCTCGTCCGTGCTGATTGTGACCTGACGATGCGTCGTTCAAGGCGGGTTGGCAATTTGGTGCTGGAGTAGACGCGGTGTGAGGTGCAGATGGCAATGGTTTGGAAGGGTAGGCTGTAGTCGTGGATGCAGAGCCTACTGTGTCCTGACCAGGCTGGATGGTGACATCGGCGCGAGCGGGAGCTACGTTAGATGAGGCAGGGAAGGTGGGTGGACCTCCTTGAGCTTGCTGTCCGTACTGATTATGACCTGACGAAGCCCCAAATGTGGCCCCGCTGTTACGATTTGAAGAGTGGCTATATGCGTTGGGACGTGACTGCGTCGAATTTGCTGAAGGGGCATTGGGCTGAACGTCTGACTGTATGCTGTGCCATGCGTTGCTGGTACGGCTTTCTGTCGACATAGTCTGTCCAGGGAAGTCAACACCGTTCTGCGTTGACGCTGATTGCAGGATGGGGTCCTCACCAGGGTAGTGCTTCACCACGTAGATGCCAAACCCTGCGACTCTGTAATGTCAAAGATAAGGGGGTCTCCCGAACCCTTGGCAGGTGACCTTTACTGATGACAGTGGGACGCCTGACTAGGAAAGCTCTAAGACTTGGTGTCCTCGTGTAAACCTTGTTATCCCATCTTCTATTGTCCCTCGGGTGGCTAACTCAATTGTAATTTCCGTTAGGCGCTGGGGCACCCTCATAGCTGGTGTACCCGGGAACTCCTTCTCTTCCGCATGTACGTAGTACCCCATCTATTTGGAAAGTTCGCTGATGGTATGGATCAGCCGTGCCCCATAATGTCATACATTTGAGCGCTGAAAACCTCGCCCCATTGACTCTAGCAGTGCTTTGTACGTTCTTGTTCGGGATGAGATACAGCCGCTTCTATCCGACATCGCCACGACTGTTAACGGGTACCACTGGATGCAACATCCTTTTTTGTGAATCACCTCGACGGTGTAAACCGAGGCGTCCGTGTCTTGATACCGCAGACATCACCCTTTTCGCTCTGAAGGTAGCGGTTTCTTCGCTTCGAGGTATGTAGGCGTAATTGACAATACCCACAGATCCGTTTGACATGAGCCAACCCTTGAACATCATTCTGTTTGGCGAAACCGGCGCCGGCAAGAGCTCTATCGTAAACATGCTCACCGGACATCCAATCGCTGAGATCTCCAACGAAGCCCAGGGCTGCACGTTCAAGTTCGACTGGTACCCCGTTGACATTGGCGGCGAAACCTACCGCATCTTCAATACTGCGGGGCTCGACGAGGGTGTCGAAGGCACGATGCCGCCCGAGGACGCGATCGTGCAGCTATACCAGCTCATGACGAATCTCGAGGGTGGTATCAGCCTCATCATCTTCGTGATGCGAGGCCCGCGCATCAAGGACGCGTCGCAACGCAACTGGCGTCTTTTTTATGAGATCTTCTGCAAGCAGCAAGTAAATGCAGCTATAGTCATTACTGGACTCGAACAGGAGGACGACATGGACGACTGGTGGCCGAGGAACAAGGCGCATTTCTACAGCTACGGGATGCGTCCGTTCGGCGCGGCAGGCATTACGGCGACTTTGGGGAAGAGGAAGGGGAACCGGTACCTCTTCCAGGAGGAGTACGACGAGTCTGTGGCAAAGGTCAGGAAGCTGATCCGCGATAACGCGATGCCGAACCCGCGTTGTATCGACAAGGTCGAGTGGTTCGCGGACGTGATGTTGCTTTGGTGTATTCCCGTTGGTCAGAAGAGTACGGCTGAGGTGCAGCGATTGATAGACCGATGCGGCATGTCGCAGGACAAAGCGGGGCGCCTCGCGCGGAGGCTTAGTTACGTGTAAATACCTGCGAGCGAGACTATTTTTCACCGTAATAGTTGTGTGCATGTCAATCAACACACTGCCTCCGTTCATGTCCTTTCAAATGCCTTGGGAGATAATGAGGCTTACGGCAAACATGAGGTGTTTGTGGCGATAGAGTTTCAGTCCCTAGACTAGGGACTACACGTAACGGCGGGGTTCTAGATCGCCATTTGACGAGATATACATCCGAACGGGAAGAAAGAAGTAAAATCCACAAGGCAAGTTGATAAGGACAGTCTGAGCGTTTAGCTGGTCGACTGAGTAATACCTCACGAGCATCAGCACACCGTTGACCGTCAATACGAGTTGAGTCATTCCTTCAGGATAGGTAAGTGTCAACCACTCGAGGTACTCACCCCAGTACATCCGCCTCAGACTGACGCTAACTAGTAGGCCAGTCATGCCCGTAAACGTCGTTATCTTCGGCGAGACAGGCGCAGGAAAAAGCTCCGTAGTCAACCTCGTCCTCGGGAGAGACGAGGCCCCCGTCAACAGCAGCGCCATCGGTGTCACCTTCGGCGCAAAATCGTATTCCGTCGATCTAGACGGACGCAGCGTGCGCCTCTTTGATACTTCCGGGCTCGATGAGGGTGACGAGGGCTCGGTGAGCCGCGAAGATGCGATCGTGCAGCTGTACCACCTCCTCACGAGCTTGGATGACGGCATCAGCCTGCTCGCGTTCGTTATGCGCGCGCCGAGGATCAAGCAGGCGCATGTCAATAACTGGAGGATATTCTGTGACGTCGTGTGCAAGCAGCGCGTGCCTGCGATTATCATCATCACGGGCTTGGAGAACGAGGAGCCGATGAGTGGGTGGTGGACGCATAACAAGGAAGCGTTTGACAGGTATGGGATGTTTCCCAAGGACGTCGCGTGTGTCACTGCGACACGGGGAAAAGAGAAGAGCTTCGGATACACCTTCGGGGAACAGTACTCCGAATCAGCGACGAGGGTTCGACAGTGCATTGTGAATGCGGCCCTTTCACGTCCGCATCAGGTTGATAAAGTGGAGTGGTTCTCGAGGATGTACATCTTGGGCTGTATCCCGAGTGGAGAGTCAGAAGCAGAAGAAGTCAGACAGCTGGTTGAGAGATGTGGTATGTCTCGAGAAGAGGCAGAGCGGGTTGCTAGGAGGCTAGACAGGCTTTAGTTTTGCCGGTGTTGATGACTCTTTGGATACATAAAATAGCAGTTATTCTTAATCGTCCTACGTCAATAAGTGATTGGTAAAAGCAAGGGTAAAAGGGCAAGCCACCACATATACAGCTAGCCGTGGGGTGGGTAAACCTGACACCAATACAACACTACTGTACCACTGCTGTCAAAGCATAACTACGATGCTAAGTATTATCAGCGTTTCAAGCGACTGCAAAATGACTACTCGTCCGAGAATGAGCTACCGTCGCTATCATAAGCGCCGCCACTGTCGTATGCTCCATCACTATCATACCTTAGTGGTTTTCCCGAGCGCATCAGACCGACCTGATTGATAATGTGAACGGTCTGAAACACTTGGTCCCATTGAAAATCATCGTCGAACTCTCTCCTCTCAGGCTCCAGGGTCTCCTGCGAGTGTATGTCTACACTCCAGGACCAGATATCGCAGTTACAATTGCCGATTCCATGGTGAGGAAAGATATCGGCGAGGAACGCCGCCGCTTCTGGGACACTGGACGCCGTAATCCTCGAATCCAGGAGATTCAACGTGAATGGCCTACAGATACTAAAGTGTCCCAGATTCTTCATCTTGATGTCTTCCGCCAATACGCTGTCGCCATCAATGGCCACTGTCAACTTTTTCAGTTGGGGGAGCTTCTTCAACATATCCCGAAGGCCTCGAAGAGTCACTCGTGGCTGTATCGTCCAGCCTGTCAGCTCGTTGATCACGAGGGAATTGAGACCTGGCCAAGCTTCCGTCATCTGCAGGAGCGTGACGTCGTCCAAGCCAACCGCTCGCCGAGTGTCGATGTCTATGCTGGAAAGAGATCTGAAAGGGAAGAGGCTACGCATGTCGTCGATTTTGAAGAGAAGACCAGAGTTCCCTGACTCCGTGATAGAGAGATTGACCAAAGTACTTGTGTCGAAAGTGCTTGCCAATGATTGTCCTAAAGTAATAATCGACGTTTCAGAAACACGGTAAGCTAAGGCATTGAAGTTCAGTAGGGACAAGCGGCCTTGTGGCGGTTGAAGTGAATCTACTAGGCCGGCGATATCTGATAGTGTACCTCGGAGGGTGCGAAATCTGAACGACTGGATGGCCGGAAAACCGGGATCCCGAAGCCCAGCAAGGATTGGATTAGAGTATATGCGATAGCTGGGTAGGTCCATGTCTAACCGTCGAAATGATTTGAGAGATGCAAGGTGTTTCAGTGCGGTGTCGTTCAAAGAGACACATGTCAATTCTTCAAGGTCATGCCAGAGGCACACAGAGTCGGAGAACGCTGATGCCACGTCTTCTGAGTCATTCAACCCTTCTCCCTGCATGACTTTTAGCTGAGAGCACATGCCCAGAACGGTGAATAAGCGCAGGGAGGTTCCTTCCAGGGACACATTTCCTACATCCAAACTCAGGTGAACAACCGAAGGGCCAAGGAACTGTTTGATGAGCATGATGCGATCGTGAGTGAAGGCGGGGCTGGGGGTTGTGAAGACGTGCTTCGATTCTGTCAGTACCGCTTTTCTGAGTTTTGGGAACATTGTCGGAGTGGGACTGCAACAGAGCGCGAAAGATAAATCCGGAGTGATGTCTTCAAGTTCGTCATGTACTAATCTGATATGTAGCTTAACGACACGTGCCGAGTACTTGTAGAACACCTGCTAGTCGCTTAGCCGGAAGCGCCGTTTTAGCGTATAAGTCTACGAGCATGTGATAAGCACATGTACAAGAATTGAACGTTTGAAGGTTTGTGGATGTGACAATGGATATGCAACGACTTACTCTGCTGGGCCCTGAGCCGTACATATACCCAGGTCCTTCGGATGAACCGATGAGGTCGCCGGGAAGGCATTTTAGCAAGGGTCTCAATCCATCTAATCTAGACCATAGCACATCCAAGGCTGGGTCTGAGAAGATGCGGCACGTTCGGGCCAGGTTTGCTAGACTCGGAGAGTAGGGTTTTATTGATTGGAAGCAATCCGCGTGGTGGACATGCCAGAAAATGAGTAAGATGATCTCCTCGATTTCTAGAGCTGGATGCATGCTGTGAACTAGTAGATGGGGGCCTCTTGAAACGTGTTTGATCGATGGAAAGGGGGTGCACTGGGTATCAAGACGAAGGTGATTGAAGTTGACAGAGATAAGCCATGCATGCCCGCTGCTGTTGCAAAGACTTTGTTTGCGCTTGTTAGATTCTAAAGGTTTTGGCGTATAAAGACGCCGCTACTGCAGCCGAGGATGGACCTGGTCGCATTGGCCGTGTTTCGCTACGCTGCGGCTCGACCTTGTCCACCAACTTCTAGCGCGTGCACCTCGCCTGGCTGTTTTCCTGGTCAGCGCACGTCCTAGATGTTTTACAACACTATCAACAAGGGCAAGCGCCCTTTCCTCGCCGCCCATCGCGTTCTTTACTCTACCACATCCAAAGCGGCCAACTCGTCCTCATCCCTTCTGTCGCGTGTCTTTGTCAAGCACAGGATCAGTCTATCTGGCACAGTACGGTCGATCAAGAGGGGTAGTTTCAGACGCTCGTTCTCCGTAAGGAATGGGATACCGCCAGAGACAAACCCGCCCTTGCCGGACGCAAAGCTTCCCTTGTATAGTACGTGGAGGCCACCGGCGCGCACCACTTGTTTGCTGACCAGAACCACACAGGGAAGCTAGTCACTGCTTGGACGGACACCCCTACGAAATGGTACCCTCTCCCAATCGCTGTTGGTGCGCTTTTGCTAGTCGCTATTCAGTACCGGAAGAAGGCTGCGCGCGCGGAGAAGGAGGTCATGGTTGATGAGGACGGCAATGAAGTCATTAAGCTCAAGGGCCCTTGGCAGGTACGCCGTGTCCTCATCCAGCTGCTTGCAGGTCGCTCACTGGGGTATTAGGTACACGTCATTGGCGCTCTGCCGTTGCGGAACATGTCTCGGCTATGGGGATACCTCAACTCGTTGGAACTCCCCGTCTGGTTTCGTCCATATGGTTTCCGGCTCTACGCTTTCGCATTTGGTTGCAACCTCGAAGAGATAGAGATAGAGGACCTCACACGGTACCGCAGTCTTGGCGATTTCTTCTACCGGAAGCTCAAGGCAGGCGCTCGGCCAGTGGACAATGCTGTCATCGTGCGTCGCCTACTTTGAATCTCCCGTTTCTCTTTCGCTGACGTTCCAATATCTACACAGGTAAGCCCAGCGGACGGAACGATTCTTCACTTTGGCACAATCGAGAACCTGCGTGTCGAGCAAGTCAAGGGCATCACCTACTCCCTAGACGCCCTCCTGGGTGTCGAGCACGCCGACCCGCAGTCCCCGCAGTCCCCTTCTTCCACCGTCGTCGAGTTCCCGAACGACGAGCTCTCTGCCGTCGCACATCAGGAGTTCGCCAACGTCAACGGCATCGAGTACTCCCTCGACCAGCTCCTCGGCACGTCCCAGTCTTCCACCTCCGGTACCAACACACCCACCTCGACTACCGCCCCGTCACCGTTCAAGCACGCCCAAGACTCGGATACGGACCGGCCGGCGGTGCCAAGGAAGCACGGAGAGTCGTTTGACGCGTCGGTGGAGCAGGAGGGCCAGCTGCAGGACACGCTAGCGCACGACGCGTCGGTCGCGCGCGAGATGGGTATGCGGCCTGCGCTCGAGCGCAAGCGGAGCACGTCGGGCACGAGCGTGCGCGAGGGCAACTCGCTGTTCTTCACGGTCATCTATCTCGCGCCTGGCGACTACCACCGGTTCCACAGTCCGACGGCGTGGGTGGTTGAGAAGCGGAGACACTTTGTCGGTGCGTTTCTCCGAACTCTGAAGTCGTTCGCCAGGATCTGACTCTGCCAATAGGCGAACTGTTCTCGGTCTCTCCGTACATGGCCAAGCGTCTGCAGAACCTTTTCGTCCTGAACGAGCGCGTCGCGCTCCTCGGCCGCTGGCGATACGGCTTCTTCGGTATGGTCCCCGTCGGCGCGACCAACGTCGGTAGCATCAAGATCAACTTCGACAAGGTGCGTCTCATCCACCCCCTTTCATCCATCCAAAACACCCACTTATTCATGTACTTTTGCATGCACAGGCCCTCCGCACGAACGAACGCGGCCGTCCCCCTCCCCCGGGCACGTACACCGAAGCCGTCTACTCCGCCGCCTCGCCGCTCCTCAACGGTCAACCGCTCGCTCCGGCGGAGGAGATGGGCGGCTTCTGCCTGGGCAGCACGATCGTGCTCGTCTTCGAGGCGCCCAAGTCGTTCGAGTTCGCCATCCAGGCGGGGCAGAAGGTCAAGGTCGGCAACCGGCTCGGTGACGTCCCCGGGGCGTTTACGACTGTCGGCAAGGAGAAGACGGAGTAGAGACGGATCGAGAGGCGGGACGATAGTCCGAATCCTTTCCGTCGAAACGATCTTCTTTGGTTAAGTGATTTTACGACACATACCGATACACTACACCATACCACCACTACTGACCTTTTCACGGTCCCCGCCTCGCCCTCTCTGTTTACGTATGATACGCACGACTGGACAACCTGGCATCCCCATACATCCCGTCTTGGTTAATGCACCGTTTCTACAGCATATCACATCGTTTTGTCTATAGCATTTGCACTCGCCTTTGCAATCACACACATGCATGTCCGAACACCCTTGCATGGATCCAAAAAATGCCGGTACTGGGATAATGTCTCAACTTGAAAAAAAGAAAGCAAGCAATACAGTAAGTAGTGATAGATCTCCTCGTCCGCACGTCCATCCATCCCATCGCTCCGTCCATAGTACGAATACTGGTACAACATATGGTGTATATACGTGGATAATATAGGTCCTTATATCACAGCCCTCTAGATCGATCGCGGGTCTAGTACAAATCTACGAACGCTACCACGTCCCCGGAGACGGTCTGCGCCGCCAGTTAGTGACGGCGAAGTAAGGTGTAAGGTGAGGCGTGTACTCACCCGAACGTCTGACCAGGCTCCAGTGGTCGGACGGGCGTTCCGCCTCCAGCAGGCCCGTAGTCAGCGCCCATTGCGAAGACCTAGAAGGTGGAGCGCATTTAGAGACCAAGTAATGGGGACGTAGGTACGAGCGACGCTTACCGTGTTTCCCCACCATTGACCTATTGAGTTAGCTCCGATCTGTTGGGATACAATTAACATCTATTATGCTTCTTGACGGAATGAAAGATGACGTACAGTTCCATTCCGTGGGTATTGCAAGCTTGGTACCAGGAGTCAGCATTTGTCGAAGGCACAGTAGAGACCTAAACTCACCAGAAGAATATTACAAGCACAGATACAGCAAGGCCCGAGTCAAGCGCGGCGGATGTGACATCTGCATTGCCATGTTCAGCATGCGTTCGTGTCCAAGTCAGGCAACAAGGAACGAAGTATAACTCACAGTTGTACTTTGTCCACCACGAGAAATGTCGTCTGATAGATGTCAGTCAATCCGAGTACACTTTCACTACAAATAATATATATGCACCTTCGGAGTATATATTGGAAGACAAATCCGACGATGCTACGCACATATACCCGTCAGTGCCTGTCTCCTAGAGCATAACAAGTTAAAGAGCTACTCACGCCCATGGAACATAGTTCAGTGCCGTTGCTGGGGGTATCAAATACGTCCCGCTGAAGAGCAGAGGGCTATGAAACCGGCCGAAAGTCAACATTTCTTCTTATACAAGATGCCACAGAATGCCTTACAAGCTACAGTCACATGAAAATCAGTGAGCTATTCCGACGTTCAGCGAATAATTCATCACTCACTTGATATATCGCATGAAGCTATTCGGGTATTTCCTGACGATTATCCAGGGTATAACGGGCGCGACGGCGCCGACGAGGAAAAAAAAGAGGAGAGCTACGTCGCAGAGTTAAATATTGCGTTGTATCGACAGTTGGCGCATATGCTTACGACTACGATCGTCGTCAGACAATCAAGGTTGTCAGAATATAAACGAATCGAAGCTCACTGGTATATTTGTCCAGCCGAGAACTGCCTCTCCGGACCAATGACGCCCCAAATGATAGACGCAGACGAGAACACCTCCGTGTCCGGACAGATGAAGCTGTAAGCAAACATCCCATCGTCATTAGCCTATTAACGCAATGACGGACAAAGGTAAGCCGACTGACCCGTCTTTCTGTGTCGTCTGGCACATATCACTATCCGACCAGTCGCCAGATGAGTACTTGTAGCACGAAGCACGAAGAAAAACAGAGGAGACATACGGTACATGCGTAAACATCCACTCCAGCACCGCCAGCTGCGTCGTGCCGGCGACAACCGCGGCGACGATCTGGCACCAGAACATGCTCCGTGGCGGGATCTTCATATAGTGCCCGAGCTTGAAATCGGCCGTGAACGTTAGTGCTTGCGTCATTGACTACGCGATGCTAGTCAGAGACTATAGAAGTTATGTAAGAGAGAAGAACGCACGATGTATCCCCATGTCTTGAACATCATCATGGCTATTGGCTTGCCGGGGAGCGCGTACCTAAGCTCGACGTGAGCAAAGCAAACCCATTGTATAGAATAGAACACTCACCCTATGATAAGCTCCGTGACGACGCTGCATCATTGGCCAGTCAGCATCCCCACTTTCCCTGCACATCCAAACCGGAACACGCACTTGAGCCCAACCTGCTGATTCGTAATCGCCTGGATCATCCCGCACGGCACCAAATACGTGAACGCTACGTCCACCCCATTTAGCTTTCCATCATGAATATACGATCCCATAGCACGCACCGACACACAACGCAACAACGAACGCCCACACGGGCATCTGCGTCGGCCACAACTCGATGCTGATACACCCAAGCGCGAACGTGATCCCAAAGAGGAGGAAGTACCACCACTCGGGGACTAGCGCCCACAATATCAGCCTGTCTTTGCTTAAACAAGTCGACCAACGGAAGAAACGAACCTTGTGGGTACATGTTCATCAGGCGCGCGTGCACGTCCGCCTGCTCCCGGAGCGACCGTCGTGCCTGTCGCCACACTTGCTTGCGGAAGTATATAAACGCATGGACAAGCGTCGCTATCGGGCGTGCATGCATGAGCCAGCGTCATACGGCTTGGCTGAGAGATGGCTTACAGGTGATAGCTGCGAACGACAATCTTGACTCAACTTGATGAGTTCCTTTCCTTCGAAAGCGAGATATTCGGTTCGACTCACCCGTACGACAGCGCAAACGTCGTTGACAGAAACAACGGGCTGTACGACATGTACGCCTCCAGATCAAGCGTCGACTCCGGCGTGAGTATCCGCGAGACGTTGTACTGCTTCATCTCGTTGTCGTACGACGTCCTCGACGATATCCTGTGAAACACATCCCAATCCCGGTCAGCTCTCACGCCAACACGCGCAAGTACAGCAACTGACGGCATGTAGAGCGAGTACCACGTGTTCGTGAACTAAGTCGCCTTGGTTCAACATATCAAACCATGAGCAGGAGAACGCAGGCAGACGTACGTAGAGGGCCGGGGTGACTATCCCTGTATACAACTCATTATGAGCCACGCCAACTCGAAATGGGGAAAAAAACTACCACGTACAATAGAAAAACACAAATCCCGCAAAAACGTTGGCGCTCGCCCACCCTATAAAGGAGAAGCAGTCAGCTTCCGCACACCAACAGACCCAAGAAGAAGAAAAACGAGAACACACATGGCGTTGCAAGCGGCGACCCTATGTAACTAAAACAAAAATCCTCATTAGCCATCTCTCCAAAGACAATAACCTAGGAAAAACAAACGCACGATACCTGACTCCAATCAAACGTGATCACCGACATGCCCTGCAACACCCACACCACGTAAGCACCAGCACCAGCACCATCCATCAGCTCGATCCAGAAAAGGGAGACACACCATGCCGTGGAAATAGCTAAATGACCGCATACGAGGTACATCACGTCATGCCGGCGGACGAACGACAGAACACAATTAATCGTTGGACCCGGTCAGCGCCGAGATAAGGAGAGAAAAAGCGCGCACGCGACGCGATGATAACGTACCCAAAGAGCTGCGCGATTGCTATATTCCGCGTGTGTTCGTGTTACGCAAGGCAGAACGCCGCACCGCATGTGAGGAGGGCGTCAGTGAGAAGAAGCAGACGGTTCGAGAGGTGGCTGCGGAGCACGGGAATGTCCGGGGAGGAGACAAGGGGAGGGCGAGAAAGGGAAGGGCAGGGAAGGGAACGTACCGGTGTCATCCGGCCATATCCAGGTTACCCATGAGAACCAAGATAGTGCTTGGACTGCATGCAGCGAAGAATAGAAGACGGACGATAGGTTTGTCGGTCAGCAAGTGCACGCCGTCGGGTAAGCTATCGCGATACGCACATAAATACCCCGGAAAGAAGTCTTTATCCCATCAATCAACAAGTCGGGGGAGACAGTTCCAAAACGCAAAAGTCAGCCTATCTCCCAACAGAGGTAACAGGGAGTGGGGAAGCACGTACACCAGAAGAACGACCCCAGGAACACGAATAAGAAATATCGCTCGCGGCTGGGCCCGCTGTGCTGGCCCATGCCGGAGTAATGCTGCGAGTGCAGCGTGTTGAAGAGCGCACACTGAACGAGCGTTGCGGGCCAGATCATGCTCGGCGGCGTGACAAGGAAGCGGCGGGCGATGCCACCCGCTGAGAAGCCGATGAGCTGGGTCGAGAGCACAAGAAACCATTGATCTGAGGCCCGAAGTAAACAGGTGTGCATCAGTCAAATGTTAATCGTCGCCACAAGGCTGGGATAAGGCAGCCCGCCTCTCGCGAGATAGGAAAGGGACGTACAGCTGAAGTTGTAGCTTTGCTTGTAGGTGACGCGCTGCACAGCGATGATATCGGTCTATAATTAGCCGTGCGGGGTATCGGTGAGAACGAACACAAGATTTTCGTAAGCACGTACGGCATATGCGGACTGGGCGCCGACCGTGGCCATAATCTGTCCGAGCCGAGCCCGAGCCCCAAAGCCGGAGCGGCGAAACGCGGGGGTAACGGTGCACATGCAAGCGCACGCAGGGAAAGGTCCGGAGGGCAGAGCGAGCGCGTGGAGAGAGGCGCGAGAAACGAAGAAGAGGGAGCCGATAAGTGATACGGAACCACCAACGAGAAGGGGAAAGGGAGAAGGGGGGAGCGGGGAGCACGCGACCACGCCACGCACCGTTATCAACACATGCTCCTTAATCGTGAACGGGCCGGGGTTGAGCGCCACGCCGAGGACGCGCCAGCGGGGGACGTAGCGCGCCCAGAGGCGGCCGAGCGGGAAGGAGAGCAGCTGGGCGACGATGCCGGTGATGGGCACGGACGGGTAGCGGAAGAAGAAGAACTGGTTCACGCCTGGCATGAGGATCGCCCAGGCGAGGCCTATCGTCCACGTCCGAATGGTCGTGACGGGTATCGAGGGGTCGTCTGTGTTTGCCACTGCGGACCGCACTTCGGGGTATGGAGATTCGTCGTCGTATTCGATTTCTTGGAACTGGGCGGGGTCGAGATTGGGGTCGTCGAAGTAGGAGTTTTGGTATTCCTAAGTGGGTATATGCGTCAGTGGACGCGACTAGAGATAGGGACTACTGCAGGCGAACAAGCGGAGGAAGAACACTGACTGATATTGCCGAGCCTGTATGGAAGGTAGGAGAGTGTAATGAGCACAATTCCGAAAGAAACATGAGGAGGGATACGCACCTGGGGTGACTGGACGGACTATGCTCTCTGGTGCCCCGCGTTCTAGTTTCTGCCCCGTATCCGGATGTCCAAGATCAGATTCCAGCTTCTGTTCCGTATGATAGGTCGAGGAGCTTGGTGCCTCCGCGATGGGCTCGGGAGCCATTATGCCTGATGTCGGCATGGGCGGTGAGGAAGGGAGGACCTGTGTCGGTCGTTGTGGGTGGGTGCTTGGAGGGCAAGAGGTGGACTGAACTTGTTCCTGGAGTTATGGCTTGGGAATCCGGCGCAGCGGCACTATAAGCACTACAGCCCCCGAGGCGCCGTCGGTCCTGTCAAAAGTCTCTTCCCGTATCCGAGTCGCGTGCCCAAACTGACCTAGTCAGTCTCTACTTTGTCTGACACGTAATGAGTGAAACAGGAAAGCGTCGTAGAGCAGGGCCGAAGAGAAAACGAGCGGGCAGGAGGGCAAGCGTGCGGCAGGACGCCCATGGGTGGCTGTGCATGCCCTAGGATAACACTGGAGCATCTGCGCCGGTCCGGTCCAATCACAACTCCTCCCGCAGATTGAACCTCGTGCCTAGAGATAAAAAAGGATAATCTCCGCGACACCAAAATGACGCGACCTGTGGTGATCATCCATTTGCTGACTTGACGATCCAAGATGAACAAATTCACAACGCTCACACTTGGATAACACCCGTCGTGATTTATCCAGGGTAAGCCGCCTTTATGCTTTATTTTTCCCGATGATTGGGTTAGACAATGTTCTCCCTCCTTCACAACAGATCATGATGATGGCCTCCAAACGACCTCGTACGATATCGCCCATCAAGCCCACACGCTGGACCGGAAACAGATTCCGCTTGTTGCCCTTTCGTCCGCTGGAGATGAATCAAAGTAAGAAGTCATCCGAAGATGGATTACAGTCCTTGGTCAGTGAGTCCCAGAACGCCTATAAAAGCAACAGGAAAGCCATTACTGTGCAGTAGGCCCGGAGCTTTCACCCTTGCTCCTTATCTTATAACCTTGAATCGGCGCGTCGGAGGTGACTGCGAGACCATCCTCCTTCTCGTTCCCCAGAAAACCTCACCCTTCGAACTCGCTAGGTTCAAGCAACTTTCTGGTCACTTCCTTGCCAGCGTTCTGTACCCAGAGACCCGTGACAGTATGCATCCGAATCCTCTTCATATCGACGAAATTATCACCAACGTCCTTTCGTTTGTCCGCGAACCAGACCTGAGCGGAGATGACGCAGCCAGCCCGCACAGAGACCTTGCAGTCATGGCTAGAGTGTGTCGTTCCGTCTCCGAGCCGGCGCTGGACGTATTGTGGTCAGACCTCAGCAGCTTGTTCCCTCTGTTGCGATGCCTGCCCAACGACCTCATCACCTATTATCCATCCACCTCCCGATACTCCCGCGGCACCGCTGTAAGTCGCTTGTGCCAGTGATCCGCTTCGAATGCAGAAAACTAAACACCACTCCGTGTTGAACAGAAATTCGAACTAAGGAGGCGGATTAAGTGTGGAGATTGGAAGATTTTCTTCAAGTACGCGGCACGTGTTGTCAATCTATGCGCAAATTCTGCAGGCGCTGAATGCATTCCGCCCAAACTCTATCTTGCGCTTTGCATCCCTTTCACTTTAAACGCATTTCCTAAACTGCGGAGTCTACACTGGGTCGAGTCCCCGGAAACTTCGGCCATCGTCGAGCGTTGCATGTTCATGAGACAGCTACTCGTACCCTCTATAGTCGACCTTAACCTCGACTTCGTCGGTGGGGCAATGACGCCTCATGTCCTCAGCCTAGTCTCTATCTTGGGCGCAGTATGTCCCAACGTCAAAGTCGTACGGTTCGCCAGCCAAGATATTTCTGACAAAGCAGCAGGGGCATTTTCCGACGCTATATGCTCTTGGACCGCCCTCGAAGATGTACAATGCCACACTCTGAGTTTCACAGGATTACGACACCTTTCGTCCCTCGCTTCCCTTCGCAGTCTCAGCGTGGAAGTCCCCGATTTTCCCCCATACCCCCGAAATATATGGGGCACACCCAACGATCAGGTTTTCTCCGGTATTCACTCGTTCACTTTCGTCAGCGACTCCAGTGTGCTATCATCTATTGCTAAACTGGTGAATTCCCTCCAACAACGGCGTCTGTCACCCAAAAAGTTCACCGCAGTGGCAAAACTTGATTCAGGAGAAGGCGATGCCATGGTGCACTTGTTTGATTCGATTCTTAATACCTTTGATAGAGACGCCCTGACCGATCTCACAGTCGCGGAAAATGCGACTTCATCTCTCTCCTTCGTCAACCCCGACTCGTTTCGCTACATCCTACCTTTCCATAACCTAGCATTCGTCAACATTAAATCTGGTAGAAAGGTCCTCATGAAAGACAGCACACTACTCCAGTTGGCAGACGCTTGGCCGAACCTTGCGTCCCTGGCCATCAACCAGGAGTGTGGCTGGCGGATCCGGTCGAAGATCAGCCTTCATGGCTTACGGGAAATGTTGCAGAGGCTGCCTAGACTCGTGTACTTGGCAATAGCAGTCGACGGCGCCACCGTATGCCCACGGGACGTCGAGGTGAACAATCTCGGGCAGTTCAGCATTTACAGACCCTTCACTCTAGACTTGTTGGATTCGCGGATCGGCAAGAACGTCCGAGAGGTGGCTGGGTTTCTCGCCGACATGTTTCCTCTCCATGAAATAGGGCGAGATGATCGCACCATCCATGCCTGGCAAATCCAGTCAGACTCGGCGGAAACGGGCGAAAATGCGAACCTGTGGGAAAGCGTGGTTCGCACGGTTGGTATTATTAACAAAGTCAGTCTGAAAAGGCTACAGACGCAGCTGAGGTTCAATAGTGATGGAGACTATGACAATGACGGAGCTTACGATATTGACGGTATGATATTGCGGTCTGTATAGAAATAGTCAATTAGAGCTGCATTGCCAAACACACATATGCATGCTCGACAATGTATTATATGTACGCTCTGTATGAGGTTCTACAACTTGATCACTAGGATATAACCTCCTGCGACACTCCGTACGTGAACGTCGGTGGTCCATCAAGAGCAAGCGGCACCTAAGCTTACCAGAAGCCTCCGATCTCCAGCGTAATGTCCTCCCGATCGAATGGACAAAGCATAAGGTAACGTAGCACTACCTCAATGCGATGAAGGACCGGAGGCGAAGGAAGCGGATCACAGGGAAGGGGGTGAACGAGTCTAAACGGGCAGATGGTGGCCGCTCCTTCGCTTGAATGGAGTCTTCAGCTGGTCTTGTGCTTTCTCGTTGTCGTAGGTTTCGTCGGCTATACCGCCCCCTTCCGAGTCTGAAGGCACAGCATTCGATTTTTTGTATACGTCTTTCTCTGTATCTTCCTCTTGTGCGCAGACACGGGCTCCCTTGTCTGCATCCTACTTCCGCTTCCGCGGGCTGGGGATAGACGATGCCGAACAACCAGCATGCAAAAATTCGTCACCGCGTGCTGGAGTGACAACGGGTTGGATGCTACCGGAGTGTCGAGGATGAACGGTTAGATCTGGGACAGCCTCTACTATTGTCGAGGTTAGATGCGTTGCTGAGGATATCACTCCCGCGGATATCTTTAATAACAATTCGCTTTATTTGGTGATGGCCATGAAGCAGACAGATTTGATACATACACATACAGTACGCTCGCCTTCCAGTTCTTCTCGGACATTGGCATTTACGAGACCGATTTCTTTTGCGTAGAGCTTCCAAAGCTGTGTTTCATGCGAACATCGTGGTAGAGCAGTATGATAGACGTGGAGACACGATTGATGAATTGGCTCGAAAAATTTGCTCATAAGTCGGTATGCGTCAGATAATAGATCAATGACCAATCCTCGCTCAGACCATGACGTCCATGTCTATTTCAGAAAGGTAGTTAGATGAGTGAGGATTTCCTCATGCATTGTATCTTCATAACGCTTACTTTCATTACTTCGACTGTTTGCTGAAGAGATGTGATACACGTATCCAATACATCGATAACGGAAGCAGCCTCAATCCAGTGAAGGAGCTGTTCGCTGGAAAATGCTAGGAGAGCGTCGTAAAGCCTGGGGTCGGGTAAGGATTCGTATAAATGATCGGTCCAGTGAGTAACTGCGTAAGCGGTCGCGCGAGACATAGCTCTAGCTTGCCTCTCGGAGAAGTTTTCGATTTCTGTATGTGGGATCAAGGTTTCGCCAAGGCGACAAATATCTCTGGTAAGCGATCGCCCCATGCGTTCAAGACAGGCGGTGGCAAGGCGAGTGGAAGAGAGTTTGTAGTACTGATTGTTAGTGCCTAGTAAATATCTGCGGAGTGATGTGTAATGGATTGTCACAGGTTCATTGGTGGACGGCGCAGACACGACGGCCGCCATGGAATTGAGGATAGGAAGCACGTCATATAGCACGAGATGGGAAATGTCGCCAGCTGATAATGGCTCTCGTAAAGAAAGAACGAGGGAGAGAGCGGCCAATCCATCAGAAGGATTCTCCGACGAGCGAATGGCATCCTCGTATAGGTCGGATACCCTGCTTGACTCGGGGTCGTACAGAATATCGGTCAGAAAACTATAGAGTTCCGAGCAGCTCATCCCCTGCATCATATTCACTACCGTTGCTGCACCAACAAATTGCCTTGAAATCTTGCGCAAAAACGGTTGAAGTTGGGTTTCTAGGTCTTCGTGGCACCGACCTCCGTACTCGCGATCAATATCATTGACGGATGCCAGAAGAAAGTGCTCAATATCGCTTCTAGCATCGAAGTCTTCCGTTTTGAAGTGGAGAAGTGCAACAAGAGGAGGTCCAGCAATGATGTCTCGGATGTGCTTATACGGGCGGCTGATGAAGACGACGTGGAAGCCACCGGTGCTGTCCTTCTGAAGGGCTCCGAAAAAAAGGTGGACAAGCTGGGCAAGATGGTGACTGTGATGGCCGGGGTCGCACTGATCTAACCCATCAAAGAGCATGACCATTGTCTTACCCGACTCCATCCAGATAGTCTTCAGTACCTCGATAGGTTTGAGCACAAGATGGGTGAACTGATGATGCCGCGATTTCTCGGGGTTGAGCAGCTGTGTATCGTCGGTGATGGCCTTGGTGATAACCTCTCTAGCGAGCGGGTGAAGGAGACCAAGCTGATAAGCGATGGTGGGGATGAAATAGGCGGTATTGCCGCGCTTGGAATCGGTACGGGAGAACGAAAAGGTAGCAGCGAGCGCGCCGGCGTCATGGAACTCCTGTGCGAGTGTATGCGCTATGGAGGATTTACCTGAGCCAGCTTCGCCCGAGAGCCAGATGATCTTGCCGCTCTCCCTCAGAAAGGTGTCCCGCAGCGTGTTTAGGAGATGCACGCGAGTGCCCGGAAAACACTGGAATAGCTTTGGCTCTGCGGGATCGAACATTGCGGAGTGGATGCACTGCTCTCCGAGGTTCTTCCATGCCTCGTGCTGGACTGTATCGATCATCGCTGAGGGATAACGCTTGCTTGATGGAAGTGAGTTTGACCACCGCATCGATACAGAATGTGAGACTTACCCGAGCAGCGTTGGCAAGAGATGATGAGGGATGAACTTGAAGGGGAAGCAAGCGATGCTTAAGCGCTCATCCAGAATCTCACAGCATTTGTTCGCACGTCAGGAACTCCGAGGTTCCCGAAAGTAGAACAAAATAGAACATGACCCAGGACGAAACGTGCCCATGAGCTTTATGATAGCAAACACGCCTCCTTAGTCTAGCCCAAGCCGGGTGCTGCTTCTGTCACTCCCTCTGCTGTTCGTCCGTCGACGCCTACTCAGGTGATGTGTTCCCCACCAACGGCGATGGCTGCGCGCGTTCCCCGACAAGACAGCGCCACCGGCTACACCGACACCGACAACGTTGACTTCACGTGCCGCAACACCGACATCACGTTCGCGCTCTGTCTTGGCACCACCTCTAACATCACCGCGACAACGGGCTACTTCCTAGCAGAGGACAACAGTGGGCGTGGATCGAGCATCGAGCTCTGAGCGCGCTCACGGTTCCCTGAGTCGTCGATGGACGTGTCGAAGGCGGAAACAACGGTATGGTGGGTGTGTGAGGGTTCATGGTCGAGGCAGGGGAAGATGGTCGGATGATGGATGACTCTACTGGTTTCATTAATCGTACACCAATACAACGCTGTGCGTTTGTCATAATACATCTTGGATATCTATAGACATCTTCATCAGCGCAGATCAGTATGATTATGAATTCGTTCTCACCTAAGCATCTTCCTTTCCTCAGATAAATCTCGAATCCATGCTCATCCTTGCGATAGCAACCACTTCCTCTCTGGAAAGCCCAAGTCCGTGAGGCGGTTTCGCCAGCAGCAGCGCGTACTCTCCTAGAAGAGATGTACGAAAGGGAAGCGTGTCGTCCGTCTGACCAAAAACCCTTGTTAGGGAAGGCTTGTCATCTAGCTAGCATAGTGGACCGGAGCTTACGCAAATCGACACGGGGTGGCTATTTTTGAGATAGGCGCGAATGTGATGCGCTTGGAGGTCAGGCACCGTCTTACACCTAGAAAATGGGGAGGGTTGTTAAGATGGCATATATGCCCAAGAGGGTGAAGCGCATACAGCAGGTTCGACGTAAGACAGATCTCGACACAGGGTTTATCAGCCACTCGTCTCGACATAGTGATTACGTCGGCAGGTGCGTCCTCAGATACCGATACGTGGCCGAAGTAGTGTTCACGGATGGAGGGAGGGAGGAAGGTAGCGTGGCCAAGGCGTGATGGACCGAGGTTGAGAAGGGCTCTATGCTCGTCTGGTGAAGTCTCGGCAATCTAGTAGGAATCATGGGTCACTGGGGTGTTCCGACGTAGTGGATTCGTAGGCAGAATGCTTACCTCTGCAATGTGAAGAGTCAGTCTGAGGCCAGCCTGGCGCGCCTGGGTCAAATGTGGCTTGAAGTTTTCAACATCTCCTGCCTGCGTTCATTAACTTGGTGTCCTGTTATGTTCAGAAAGAATGTATACCTGAGGATCTCCACACAGGTCGATCCCTACAATCGGCCGTCCCTCGCTCTTCAGCTGAATAGCGAGTCCCACACACTCATGCATGACCTCGCTCGTCATCCGCCGATCAAGAGACACGATTAAACCCGCTGACTCCCGCCCTCGCGCCTCCACCTCCTTCAACACAGCTTCCAGATACTCCCGGCGCGACATCTTCCCAGGGATCTCACGAGGCGTGGTGCGTAGCTCGATGTACGTGGCTTGCGGATGTCCATCGAGACCCGGCTCGAGGAAGTCGTCCAGCACGGCGCGCGTCGCTATCGACGACGCCTCGGGCGAGCTCGTGAGAGCGTAGACGGCAGGGAAGAGGGAGAAGAAGTCGCTAATCTTGTTCAAGCCCACGCCTTCTTCGAACTTTCGTATTTGAGCTTCGATCACGTCTTTGGAGAGGCTGTTGGGTAGGTCATCGGGTTGGTACTGCTCGAGCAGGATGCGCAGTGTCGGTAAGGGGATGGATCCGTTCAGATGAGCGTGTAGCTCTGCCTTGGGGAGGCTATGAAGAAAGGTGATGTCGTCCTCTGCGAGGATGTTCAGCGCTGCTTTGGCTGGTCCCTCAACAATGCGTGTCGACATGGTGAGAGCAGAGATGGTGAGTGCTTGTGTGGGTGAAGGCGACGAACAATCGGATCTGTCAAGCGCCCAAAGATACGTTCAGAGTCTCGTGGTATAGCGGACCGGGTTGCGAGAACGGCAGACATCTTACTGAGAGAATGGACGAGTCACAAAAGCAGCGACTCGGGAAGACCGCGCCAGAAACCACACGACGTTCGGAGTAAGCCGAAGCACTTCTCGCGCGACGTACACAAGACGTACAACGCAGGCGCTTTAAATCTTTAAACTGATCATGATGCTACCTCACCGTGAACTTGGAAGTGCGAAACAAGTGTGAAACGGAAAATTCTCAGCAAAACCGTGGAAGAATTACGTAAAATTAATACAAGTATATAATGCATTGATAATGCAGACTTTTTCTCCGCTTGAACCTCAACTCCCTTCCCTTCGTACTAGATTATTGCTCATCAACGCGTTTTCCTATCAGCCTGTCTTCAGCTGCATTTCGGTTTTTAAATCCTTGATTCTGATCCACTCAACATCTCTTCACCCCTTCCTGATATGATTATGTCCAGTTACGTCCAGTTATGTCCCTCCTGTGCATCCATGTACGCGATGATATAACACTCCACACCTCTGGGTAGCGATGACGCGCCTAAACAGTACTCTACGACAATAATTATACCGCCACTTCTGGATAGCAATACCGCACATATGAGGCTGCGATGATGTACCGCGCTGCCATGAAACCAGTGGCACGCCTACGAGGTTGCGATGGTATGCCGCGCTCCAAGAGCAGAAATTCCTCGACCTTAGGGTCGTGCGCTTACATTATTACCCATACCAGTGAAGCGGTCTTGACAGTCACAGATAGTACAGAATGCTATTTATCGACCGAGAACATTCACGAAGGATACTATCGGGCCAAATAAATGCTAAGCAAGACAAATGCGAGAGAAGACACAGCTGCAGACGTGACGGACTTATAAAGTTCAGGGCGACATGTTTTCCCGTCGAAGACGATGGAAATTAGTGGTTTAGCCCGAGCTGCGCTGAATTCGGCGTGAGTTTTCGTCTTGAACGGAGCATACATAACATTTACCTCTTACGTCTTGCATGACTACATCCACGATTTCCTTGTTGATGGCAGATACCGTACTGGGTTGTTGATTAGGCTTGACTCATGGGAATTCTCGAAGAACTCACTGAACATATATTTGACGCTCCATCGGCGATTTCTTGAAGAAAGCGTCCATGAATGATTCCGCGAAGAAATCGATCCCCGCTTCGGCGTCCTTAACAGGACCTGTAAATTTCTTTTGAAAAAAATAAACCATCAGCAAGTGTTCGTGGCGTGTACAATAAGTAACACTCTCACAGGAAAGTGTGTTGCAATATCTGAATGAAGTATTTTCTCTTCATAGATATCTCGTTTATTAAATAGTAGGATCTGGTGATCATAAGGCTGAATATATGCAGCAGATTTGGAACGAGGCACACTTACGAAGGTTGAGGAGCCGAGCCATTTAGATCGGCACAGTGAATCCCATACGGTTAAGGCGTCTTGCATCTGGTTCTACCACTGAATTTAAATACTCCTTGCCGAGAAGTGAGAATACACAGGAAACATATCACCCACGTCATTATGATCCTCCCAAAGTGTTAAATCATATCCTGCAAGGTTAACGCAGAAGACGACAAAGTCAGCGCCGTCAAAGCAGTGAATCCATTTTCTCCTTTCGGACTTCTGCCCGCCTGTATCGACGAGATCAATGGTCAAGTCGCCGAAGACAACCTCGTTTTGATCAAGGCCTATTGTCCTTTGTTGAAGGTGTATGATGTCTTCTGGGGTTGCACAATAGTTCGGGTCGCAAATTCGCTCGATGGATCGAAGAAAATATTGTAAGCTATGATGGTGTCAAAGAGAATTCGTGTTACTAGGTTAGCTGAAAAAGAGACGTACTTTGTGGGATGAGGCCAATCTTCGGCGCGAAAGACTTCTCGCACACAATCTTCCTTCCACACGGCAGCGAGCGTAGAGACATTTGGCCTCATACCACGTTTTCCTTTGAGCCATTCTGCCACATACAACAAGTCACTCATGGTATCTTCTATGAAAAACAGATGAGCTATCGGTACATTTCTGCAGATTTGAACTCACCCGGAAGACGATCCCATTCATCTATACCACATAACACGTCGAAGAGATGGAAAAGACCTTCAGACAAACTTTCAGTAATTATATCCGAGTAACTCTGTGTTTCAAGTCTTGAAAACCGAAAGTCCGATTGCGCAGATTGCATATGCTACTTTGCTATTTAGTGCTGGTGTAAATCGTACAGATAAGTCACCAACCTTATTGAGCGTTGTCTTTCCACTCTCTCCGCCTCCCAGGAGCAACATCTTGACCTTCTTGCTATTGGACAGGGATGACAAAGAAGGAGATGGAGATGGGGTCGTGCGTGATGTTTCTCTGTTCGGTGTTAGTCTCAAGTTACTGACCATTGAGACTCTGCGACTGTTCGAGCTCTAGACAAATTGAAGCTGGTCAACCGACCGCCGCCGAATCATCATCAGAAACGCACCTCTATTGATCTTCGAGCAGGTTCGAGAACACGCTTCCTAGAAGTCGGATATCGGCGCGGGGTACGATAACCTCGCTCGATAAACATAGTTTCAAGCAGGATCCTTAGGTTCTTATCAGAGTACATTCCTTGGGGGGCGCCCTCAAAAGAAGTCATGGCGGCCAGTCGAGTGGTAACATTTTCAATCGAGGGTCTGTGATTGGGGTCTCTATCAATGCACTCAATGCAGAGGCTCCAAAGGTTTCTTAGCGTCTCGTCGGGTAGCTCGTCAAGGGTAGTCATAGACTCTCCCCCAACGACCGCAGTCAGAACCGCAACGTCGTGTACGTATTGGTGGTATGGCCTGTTTCCGGTAGTAACCTTCAGATCGTTCATAATTCTTTGTGAGAGGCGGTTGAACTACAAGCCATGTTGTGATTTGACTAACCTCATAGATTATGCAGCCAAAGGCGTACATGTCTGTTGCTCGACCGATTTGCGCGTCTTTGAATAACTCCGGCGCCTGGTAACGTAGAGTTCCAGAGTTTAGACTTCTCGACTTTGTTGTCCAATTCTGACTTGCGCTGTTTACGCTAGCGAGGCCATAATCTCCGATGCACGCTCTACCATCGAGGGCAACGAATACATTCTCCGGCTTCATATCGCCGTGAATGATGCTTTGTGTATGAAGATACTCAAGGCCCAGGGAGATATCGTAGAGCTAGACTCATCAAATTGTCTCGCCATATGCAAACCGACCAGTAAACAAGGACATACCAAAGATTCGCGGATAGCATCAGGGGAGTGGTTAAGGTATTGAACAAGATTGCCATTCTCCATCAAGGGCGATACCAGACATGCACTAGAGTCCAATCCGTTGAGAAGGTAAACCCCGTAGAAGTTTAAGACATTGGGGTGCTCCATACATGCCCAAATAACAAGTTCGCGAGCACACTTTTGGGCGCGCTTAGACGAAAAATCGCGAAGCTAGACATGATACTGTATAGGAAATTACTGATAATGAGAGTGATTATGTGTGCTCACATGCTTGATTGCTACCGCTTGCCCTTTGTAACGGCCTTGGTAGACAGTGCCAAAGCCACCAACGCCTATAGGATCGTTTTGCGACACCTCAACGTCCTTGAGGAGAAGGATCTGAGGGTAGCATCCGGATCTTTGCGCCAATTTGAAGAGTGCATCAGTAAACAGTCTCCTAGTCCCTGAGCGATGACAAGGCGGCGTTTCAATGAGCTGAAGTATAAAAAAATGAGTCAAAATCCTGATTCGAACCATCACAGCTGACATACGGAGTACAGCAAGTCAACTACATCTTGCGCCTCTTCCGCCATCAGCGCAAATAACCGTCGATATGACTTCCCCTCCAGATCATTCAGGATGGTCGAGAGTACCTCAACTATTCCCGCTAAATCACTCCTCTCAAGGCGAAGCTTCTCCTCCTCATCAATGCAATCGCATGCATGAAGAGCACGATGGGCGGAAAACGATGACACATGAAAGCGCGAGGCCTTCTTGCGGGAAAAGACAGATGTGACGTGTGCATGAACTAGCTTGTGGTTGATGATCGCTTCGACGGAGTCCCAAGAAGCCCATTCCCTACTCCATTCCGCGAAATCATCATGGAGCCTTCATGCTGACGTTGGTGTAAGGTGTATGTGCGGTAAGGGGAACATACCGTTGATCTTTGCCTATACAGTTCTGAGCATGGACCACGGCCGCGGCCGCGAGATGCTGTGCATCCCACCAGACTTGCCGTTAGCATCAGAGCAGGATAAGCTCAATGTAGTCTCACCTTATACAACGGGACGTTACCAAGGGGCATGTCCTGTTGGTTCATCGGAGGTCTCTAGAGCTATTGGCGGTAAGTGGGGGAGCGGAGGGACTATGTACGGGCTATATACAGCAACAGCAGTGGGAAGCGATCATTGCCATTGCTGTAAGGTCCCGACGGATGCTGTACTCAGTCCGAGATAGCGTATTCAAGGCACGACACTTAGCTCATAGGGAGAATCAACCCAAAAAGCAAATGAGAAACTTAGCGTTATCTCCGACGGAGATATTCCGAGAGGAGAAATGATTGAAGAAAGTACGTCGCGCTGCGCACAAAGTACAGCCAATGAGATGACTAAAGTCCGTACCATTTATGGGCATAAGCCCCTGTCTTGATCCCACCCTTTGTGCCCGCCCTTCGTACCTTAGGCTACCTGATAGAGCTCGAGGAGTTTGAGAAACGTACACCCAACACGATTCATACCAGAACAGCAGCAATTTAATCCCAAAAAATATGTAAAAAATATCGATCTCGAGAACAGTGTTTCCGTCTGAGCGCTCAAGGTAGCACTAAGGTGAGCACTTACTGCGGGGTATAGGGATACGAGTCCACGGTCACCGTGTCGACAACCCACGTCAATCCGCCGTCGGGCGAGGACAATCCAGAGTCGCTCGTGCCAGCCTTGTACAACTGGTTGATTAAGTCCAGGTCTGCCGCCCCGAGCACAATCTGCGTGTTGTGGTACGCTGGGTAAAGGCACAGAATCAATTAGTAAGGACAACTATGCTATAGAACGGCGGCGTGCTTACTGTGTGCGGGCATGTTGCCGCTTACGTTGTCTTGGCACTCGACGGCGATATCCCAGTAGTAAGGCCTGCCGGAGTTGCTCGTGAATGTGGACAAGAGCTGACCGTCCCTGTACACGTTCTGTACGGTGGCGCCTGTCGAGTCGTCGTAATTGTCTGTGGCTATGCATTCAAGTTCGCGTTAGCCAACACCAAACAACGAAAGAGAAAGGAGGACTGACACTCGATGTCCAGCATACCACCCTCGCTCACAGGTACGTAGTTTCCGGACGACTGTGCATTCGCATTTCCGTCGTAGAAGCTCGCGAAGAGGCACCATTGGCCGGGCTGGCCGCCGCAACCCTCTGGCGCCTCACTGATTTCTCTCACGTCAACTGCTGTTTAAACCTTGGCAAGTAAAAGATAAACTTACCCAGCCGGGTTCGCAAACGAAGCGATAATGCTCTGCACGAGTCCGCTGTTTGCGGTCTCCATGCCGGGCCAGAGCGCGAGACGGTCAACCTGTGGGCTCGAGCCGCTGGAACCTGAAGGGTTGTCTTCGAAGAAGCAATCCATACGGGTCCGTTGGCTGTTCCCCACGCGTTGAGCCACCACTCACTGCCGAAGCCGACCGTTGCGGAGGCAAACATAGGAAGAGAGGAGAGGGAGAGGGAGAGAGGGAGGATGGAGCGCATTGTAGATGAGTGGCGAGGTGAGCGGCTGGTCGGTGACTGAGAGCGTCTGATGGCCTCCAGCTTATATGCGGACGTGGCTGGACTTTGTGATCAAGGTACCCGTTACATAGTATCACACTATGCCATCACGGGTCGGCCTTTTTTCGCAACAGATGCGGTGTTTTACGTCGAATTGAAGCTGGGAAGTTCATAGAGTGCTATGTTATGGGAAACTTGCAAATGGACTGCCTAGAGTATGGCCTCTGTCTGTTCAGTTTAGTGGAAGAGTCGGTGGTGAAAAGAAAGATAATCGCTGTTTGGGTGGTCGCGCCTCGCGGTGATATGGAACTGTGTGCACCCACTCGACTAATGCTACCTGTCCGTCCCTTGTACGCTCTCCTTGCCGTGAGATAGCCAATGCTTGAAGGTGTATACTGTGATCAATCAGAGCGAACGAAGCAAGTCTGCCCATCTGGCGATTGCTCGACGCGGGGATGTCGGCGTTGCGTTCAAGTGTAGCTATAATGCCTCCGAGTCTGGCGCCGCTGGTCTCCGCCGGAATCACCATTATGGTAAGGTGCCCCTATCTCATCCCTCGCTCAATCATTGATCAATCAAGCTTCAAGTAGAACAAGCAGAATCTAGCAGAATCAAGCTTGAAGCTTCAAGCACGGGCGACCGTCATCTTGTCATCGCCCTAGCAGGAGTCTTATTGCCGCTCTGGCATCCAACGCCACTATCACACCGATTTTCCTTCATCCATACCTCAATTTAATCACTTCCTAGAGGTTCAGCAATCCGTGGCCCGGCGACCCGTCGTTGATGGTCAGCTGGGGATATGTGGATCCTTACGGGCGCCGGTGTTAGGAGATATAAGTCAGTTGTCCATTTGTCACGGAACAAATCGTGTCACCTAACGCTTGCTATCAGGCGCCGGCCATTGATTGGACGCTTCACAAATTCCGAGACCAATTAATGCCGTATTCATCATTTGAATGGCCACGGTTTGTCAAAAGTTTTTATAGGTAGCTCGACATCCGGTTCCACGCGCGGTATAGCATGAGGTGATCCTCAGCTCAAACGTCGTGCCGTCTCCCCAACTTCGCGCTCTATCCTCCGCAACCCGCCCCGCAACCGCTGGCCCGAAAATTTGCGGCTACAGCCCGCTATCCTCGACTGTGCCATGTCACTGGCTTCAAGGGCCTATGACCCTACGCTTTTGCTTTCTGCTGAGGACTCGGCCAGCCTCCAAATCACCGGCGAGCTGCTCATTGGCGGGATTTTCTACGGATTCATGACAGCGGTGGCTGGTATCTGCGCGCACTCCATCATTCAAACGCGCCAGCGCCGGACGAGGCGGCGTCTCTGGCTCTTCCTCATGTATATTGCTGCGCTCTGGACCCTCGGCACAGCGGAAATGGGCAGCATCACGAGCGTCATGATCGGGACGTATGTCCTACACAGCCAACGGCCCCAAGTGAGTCCGATTCGGATGGTGGTCAATGGGGCAGCTTGGCTAGCGATGCTGTTGGGTGATGGGTTGATGGTGAGTTGCATGGTCCGTAATATGCTGGCTGGCGTGCTCGCTGAGACTTCGCGTCGTTGGTAGATATGGCGGTTCAAAGTCATCTGGGGCAGCTCACAGTTCTTCCGATATCTTGTGCTGCCTCCAGTTCTACTCTACTTGGCAAATGTTGGTGGGTTACAACACCCCAGTCCGTTATTGGCCTGATTCACGTTATGGTTTTGTCTAGTCATCGGCGTATTCACTGCCATAATCTTCAACATGACGGGACAAGATGTCTGGACTGATGCTGAAGTTTCCGAGGAGCAATTTTTCACGGCATATTGGATGGTCTCTTTGTCCCTCAACGTATACATCACAACGCTGATCGCTGGCCGGCTCTATGCCTACCGACGTCGTTTTGAAGCAAATATAGGTAAGTAGTAATGAACGAGTCTGTTCATCTTTTTGCGTACTTCTACTCACTATGACACCCTTGGTCCAGGATCGGTGCACGCCATGCACTACACATCCATCGGAACCATGCTCGTTGAGTCATGCGCAGCTCTCGTCATGTTCACCATCGTACTTGCTGCCACATACCTTACGAATAATCCGGCGGAGTATATGATATGTGTAGTGCTAGTCCAGGTGCAGATAATCGTCCCGCTCATGGTCATGATCCGTATTTCACACGGTATAGCATGGGACATGACGACCGTAAGCTTGGTCGAAAATGCGATCGACCGGGCTTTAGGTGGCGTTACTCAACACGAGCTAAAGATTCTGGACGACTCAATGGGTTAACTTGATCGAATGCACATGTAGAATATATCACACTCCTGTACACATAGCGCAGACCCAGATGCGGGTCTCAACACGGTTTCCTGCACGTTCCAGTCGATGTACCCAAAGAGACTGCATCCACCAGCTTCTGCGTAATGACACAGCCAGACCTTTCCGCTGTCTCCTGATCAGAGTCGCCCTTAGCACCTATCTCGCTCATATGAGGTAACCCAAATGCAGTCTCAAGACGGCGCAGTCCGAGCTAGTTGCATGATGGTTCAGCACTTTCTCGTATCAGGAAATGGTTAGAGCGTACCTGAAGAACGTCGCGAGGGCGGACGAACACGAGTCGGTATCGCGTAGGGTATTGGTCTTGGCCAGTCGGAAACTTGAAGCTCGATCAGAAACGGACTTTATCTTATGCAAGTATACTAGCACTTACCATTAAGACACCGGCCTTCAGCATCTTGCTTGAGAGCGCTTCTTCCTTCTCTTCCAATGTCTTCTTCGTCCGAAAATGATTCAAAACTGATTCGAGATCCATAATAGCAAATTGCCCAGCATAACAAGGTAACAACCTACTCGACGTCTGATCAGTCAAGGGCTCGGCGGTGTAGCGGGATGACACCCTTGCACTCACGGTATCTTGTGGAACCGACACCATGCCACAACCACCTCGAACGCCTCAGCAGTCCGACGCCGGTTCTCTTCCAGAAACCAGTCTCGCCACTGTCTGTCGCTGAGCGCAGCGGCGAAGATGGCGTTCGTGGAACCAGAAATCTGGTTCGACTCCGCAGCAGAGTCCATGAGCTTCACCAGCTCCGGGTTGTGCTGCGAGATGAAGATCCCGATGCACAGGCCTGACGCGCCAAAATCTTTCGATGGTCCTGCGACAACGTGCACGCGTGATGGGTTGCAGTTCGCGAGAGAGAGGAGGTCAAGGGAAAGTGCCGAGACGAAGGGCGGCGGGTGTGGGACGAGCGAGCTCGCATAGACCTGGTTGCCGTATATCTCGTCGACCAGAAGGTGTAGGTCGTACTGCGGCGGCACAGATAAATGATGTGCTCATAGGGCATAAGGGATTTATAGCCGACCTTTTCAGCAAGCTGGGCATACGCGACGATGCTCTCGGTCGGGTATATTGTGCCGAGGGGGTTATGTGGGTTGCAGAGAATGAGGCCGCGTATGGTCGGGCCACCGGTCTTAGGCTCCTTTATGGCTGCTTCCAGGTACTTGACGCTCTCCTTTGTAAGAGGATCTATGCTTGGTGGTATATCTACGACGACCAGCCCAGTTCCAGACGGGTATGCGCAATCACCCCGGAATCCATCTGGGAACCGTTGAGCGACCTCATCCACGGTCACAATCGGTCAAAACGACTAACCGTAGAAGGGCTGTTGGTGAATTTGGACTCAGACATGCTTGTCCAGTAGCCTCAGGTGTGACGCACCGCCGTTATAAGGAAGGCATCTCCGTCTTCGCAGACATGCCAACAAAACTGGGAGATGAGGGAGCCTACGCCTGCTCCAGCAACTGAGTTCTCTTGAGTGACAGGGATAATGGGGTGGAAGGTATCGTTGATGTAGTTCGGCAATGCTTCCTCAGCTGTAGGTGCGAATCCTTTTCGCGTTGTCCACCCTAGCAGTAAACCCTTGTCAATGTATCGCAAACGATGTAAGTGAAGGTACACACGGTATCGTAGATGATCAGGATGAAGATGGGAGTGCTTCTCGGTATACTGTGGACTCTGTATTCAACCCGTGGTTTTGACTGCGGTGACATGACAGAACCGCACCTCCGTAAAAACGGGCGTCATCAACGCGTTTTCAGCGACACCCATGACAAGCAATCCGTCAGGGTTGTGAGTCGGATCGTAGAGCTTCTCGGGAAGCTCCTTCTCCCTATTGTCGTCGCTGAATACACCGCTACGTCATCGGAAGAGGTGCAAAAAACCTTACGTAGGATCCTTCTCAATCATGTGAGCGCGTTCGCATGCTCTCTTGCTTAGAGGTGGCATTCTATGGATGCGATTAATTCCTCAGCAGAAGTTCAACAAAAGATGATGCGAGGTGAAAGGATGCGACAAGCCGGCGGTGTATAGGATGCACGAAGTTTAATAAACACATGCTGAACGTTTTAAAGAGTTAGGTTAAGAACTGGGAAGGTCGCCGCCGTTCGCGATATTTTTGGTTTCCCTGGGTGTCAGAACGTATCATGAGAGCCACTGGATAGACTTGGAAATGCCGACAAGGGGCGAGTATGTCTGTGGCATTCTTCCGATCATAAGGTTTGGCAGCATGAAGGAGAAGCACCGGCAACGTTCCGGTGGCCAGCTTTTTGGGGTATAACCTTCATGAGCGCGTTCGGGCACACGGCGGCGTGATGTTCAAGAAAGTGGTGTTTTGCGATTAACTTCGACTAGATAAGTAGCGTACTGGAATATCGTGGTGTTTCGCCTAGAAGAGGCTCAGGCTTCGTCAGCCAGCCCCTGAGCGCGCTCCAGCCTAGTCGCCGCTCTCTCGATACCAAGAACGCATACGATCTCAGGTACACTCGGGCCAGTCTACGGATTCAATGGTGATCAGTACTCTCTTGTAGTAGAAATGTGAGCCCAAGACCAAGGCATACCTTCATCCCGGAGAGTGCATGCCTAAGAACAGTCATATATGCCTTGGGCTTCACGCCCATCTGGTCAAGCTGCTTATGCAACGCATCCGCTACTTCCCGCGGGCTGACATCCTCCGAAAGCGCGGACACTGATGATGCAGCCTGAGCTACGATGTTATCTGTCACCTTTCCGTTAGCTCCCGGTCTCCCAGAAAAGAACAGATGAAACAAACCGTAGACCTCCCCGTTAATGCTCTTGAGCATCCCCTTCGCCTCGGTGCTCTCATACTCCGGCTCCACGAAGAAAAACGGTGCCAAGCCAGGGACATCTTGCAGATTCGTTATCCTACCCTGGAGGGCCCCTATCACCTTTGCAATATATGGCGCATCCGCGAAGTCCCTCATCACGCCTGGGAACGCGTCGCGTACCGCGGGGACGAGTGAGTGCGCATGCTGCATGAGAGGTCCAGAGGGATCGGAGGGGGCGGACGAGCGCCAAAAGCGCATGAGGTGGTGCTTGTTTAGATAGGAGAGCTTAGATGGGTCGAGGACGTTACGCCGGTGCGTGAGGTGCGTGAGGTCGAAGGAGTCGATGAGCTCGGGGAGGGTCATTGTGCGGGTGCTTTCGGGTGCCGCGTCGGCGATGTTAGTCGACGAGCTTGAGTCCGACTCCGTCCCTGCTTCGCTTCCGCTTCCGCTCGCGCTCTCGTGCGCCGTTCCCCACCCTGCGAGCGCCAGCCAGTTCAGCACGGCTTCGGGCTCCCATCCTCTCCTTATGAATTCCTCTACGCGCACGTCACCCTTGCGTTTGCTCATCTTGCTACCATCGGGGTTCAGTAAAATTGGGAGATGCGCAAACTTTGGTGGTTCCAACTTGAGTGCTGCGTATAGGTCGAGATGCAGTGGCAAGGAAGGGAGCCACTCTTCGCCACGGAGGACGTGCGTGATGCCCATTGCGTTGTCGTCAACGACGCTCGCGAGGTGGTACGTTGGGAAAAGGTCGGATTTGAGTAGAACTGGGTCGGTAGGGAGGGAGGCGTGTGCGTCGCGCAGGTGTGTGAAGACTATATCGTGTGCTGGAGGTCGGGAGGGCAGGTTATCGTCCTGTCAATGCCAAAGGTTAGCAACGCAATGGACAGGAGTGGATAGGGGTCTGGATGAAAGTGAGAGTAGGGAACATACATTGAGCCGCACGATGTGCTTCTCGCCTGATTTAACCTTTCGTGCAACCTCTTCCTCGGTCAGATGAAGACACGCCTTGTCGTACGTTGCATTGGAGCCAGTACGCGCTAGACGCTCGCGTGTGCTTGAGAGTTTATCTGGGCTACAGAAACAGCGATATGCATGACCTGACTATCAAATCGTCCTTAACGAGCGACAAGGAGAACAAGATAAGATATGACGCACATCAAGCAGCTTCCGGGTGTGTGTGTGGTACAAGTCCAGTCTCTCGCTCTGGAAGTAAGGGCCGTGAGATCCATGTCTTTCCGGTCCTGTTCTCCTCTTTTATGAGAATCGTATCGGCGATGTATGCTAACGTAGTCATACCGAAGTCATAGTCGAGACCTGCCCAACTCAGCGCCTGTTGTATGCCGTCTACCGACCCGGGTACATAACGTGTCTAGATGCGAAAATTAAAAGCGCGTCAACGTAGGCCCTTACAGACAAAGAGGAATCGGAATGTACAGCGTCTGTGTCTTCGATTCGAAGTATCCACTTTCCGCCTAACTTGCGTGCATAGAGGTGGTTATACAAAGCAGTCCTGAGTCCGCCGAGGTGCAGAGCGCCAGTAGGAGAGGGCGCAAAACGGAGCAGAACCGGGGCCGTCATGGGATGTGTTCTGTCAAACTCTTCGCGAAGAAAGCTGACTGAAAGTTGGTGTAGGAAGAGAGACTCTTCACTTGGCTGAGGAGGAGTGGATGGTGGTGGATGACATTGACATGCGACCAGTGTCGGAAGCTTTCGCGTTGAGCACGTGGTCCCGACAACAAACCCCTGGGCTTTGGCGGCCACGATCTTGACCTCGAGCTCAGCGTCTATCACGACGCACAAGCCTTCCAACGCGTCACTTATCGTCCTCAAACCCTCAGTCAAATTCGTAGATCCATAGCGTACAACGACATCCCCTTCGATCTTCCCCTAAACATCTGCTTCATCCACAATGTCCCGCCTTTCTCTCCAACAAAACCCTTCTCAGGCCTCCTCATCTCAAGTTGCCACAACCCTCACGTCACTAGGTCAAGAGTCCTCAAAGCAAGTGGATGGCGCTGCCCTGGAATATCTACTCATAGAAGCCATACCTGTGCTCCGCGCTTCGTCAGCCGTCGCGTCTGCACGGCGAAAGGAGCTCGAACGCGAGATGGCCGAGGCGGGTATCATCGTACCTCCACCCAATCCACCTCCTAAAGATACCACGCCAAATCCGACGCCAAATGCGAGTACAACGAACGTGAGAGACTCAGCGGGAAGTGCGCGAAGTGTGGCTGGCGCTGGAGGCGGAGCAGGGGCACCGGTGGACGAGGCAGAGGAAGCTCTAAGGCAAAGGCTGGAGAGCATTGGCATGCATATCGGGGCCAACATTACAGAGCGGTACGTCTATACATTGCATCCCGGTCCTCCTTCTTAAACATGAAACCTATATGCCCTCATGCAATATAGGCTAGCGCGAGATCGACAACCCTTCGGTGATACCCTCGATGTGGTCAAGTTCGTCTGCAAGGATCTCTGGACTGCGTGCTGGGATAAGCAGATAGACAACCTACGGACAAATCATCGGGTGAGCCATGTCCCTTCGACCTCCATGCACATAATGTCCTCGCTCGAAGTATCAATCGGACTGATATGTTCCTGTAGGGTGTATATGTGTTGCAAGATAACGCATTCAAGCCACTCATGCGTCTATCATCGTGGGAGGGGCGCACAGAAGCGCTCCGTCGGGCAAAGACTGTACGTTTGCCTGCTCTACTGTGTATGCGCATATGTTCACCCACGCTCACGCGTTAATGCAGTATGTTGCGCTCCCTGCGGGTATCATTCGCGGCTCGCTCGGACGACTAGGGCTCCCAGGGACAGTGACGACCGACATAACTTCTTTACCACAATGTACGTGACGTCGCTCTCTTCCCTCAACTACCTTCTAATCGCATATACCCATCACCGCACACTCCCACTCATATAGGTACATTTCATGTTAAGCTCCCTAAAAATGCGCAATAGATCCTCTGGGAAGTGGAGTATACCGATATCACCAAACTATTTGAGACATGAAGACAAGGTGCAGTGGAGGATGCCAACAGCCTAACGTACCGTCTGTGGTGCCAGGATGATTGGCAAGTGTGCTGCAATTAGCCATACAGCCACTTTTCGCGACAGTTCCCTCCCTGGTCATGTCTCTCAGGGTCTTGCCTTGAACGCTATCAAACTGTCTGGAAAGGTGGTCCATATCCATACCTCCGTGCTGGCCTCCGGTATCTTTTAGACGATAAACAACCTCCTCTCAATTACACAGATAAGGCGGAACGTTGAGATCAAGCGGAAACATAGGGCGCTAAGAGGAAGACGAGTGCTTCTCGTAAAATTCTCCTACCTTTAGTCACCATATTTTCGCCTCACATGACACGGCGTCCACGACTTTGATCCCGGTGCCGAGCCCGCCCGCAACGTTACACTTCTCTCGGGAAAACGACGGTCCCGCGCACGTGCGTCACGCCGCGCGGCAGGGGGCACGCGGGCGAACCGTCATTCGCGCGACGGTCCCGTCCTCAGGGGCTCCTCGCCCCCCGGATTCCTGGATTGCCTCTGGCTCGATCGACGCCGCCGTCGATGCCGGGGCCCCTGTGCTGCTGCAGGCATTCAGCTGACGCTCTCCCCGACAGGTTCGCCCCTCGATCGATCGGCTCGCCGGCGATTCGCCCGCGCTCGCGGCCCCTGCCTCCCTGCGACCCGGACTCGCTCGAGCCAGCGAAGGAGCCGACCGCGAACGCGACGGACGCGGCGTCAAGGACGCGCACAACGGCAAGGACGACGAGGACAACAACAACGAGGACGGTCGCCCGCCCACGCAGCCGAACGCCCCCACGCCCCCGCAGCCCCTGCCACCCCACTGGCCGCTGGACCTCGCTAGCGGCCCCTTCTGTCCAGCTCCCTCGGCGTCCCGCGCGCTCGTCCCCTTCGCCGTCGACGCGCCCACCCGAGGCGTCTCTCCTCCCCCATCGCTCGCTGCTTCCGCCGCGCGTCTGCGCGTGTCGGACGCCTCCGCTGCCCCGCTCGTCAACGATCGTCTGCTGCCACCTCCACCTCCGCCTTCCCCTTCCCTGCTCCTCGCGCTCCCGTCCCTGTGCCTGCCCTCCCCCTCCCTTCACTTCTCGCTCGTGTCGGTCGTCGCGATCGCCGCCGCCGTCCTCCCCTGGCTCTGCAGGCGCCAGAACCGGGCCGACCCGCACCCCAGTCAACTTGCACGACACACCATGGCCCAAACCGGGAGCACGGCGCCGCCGCCTTCGCTGGGTGGCACCGCTGACGACGTCGTCCAGCTCCCTCTCGGCCTGAGGCGATCTCCCATCGGCGAGTGGGAACTTCAGCAAATCGACTTGTGAGTGATTGCCTTCATTCGCCGCCGCTCCCTTTCAGCTTACCCTGTGCCGCTCAGATCGAGCGCTAAGAGGGCCGTGCTCGGCGAGTGGTGCACTGCACTCAAACTCCCGAAAACTGGCACCGTTCCAGCCCTCAAGACAAGGCTCCGTGACTTCAGCAGGAGCCAGGACCAATGGGAGGCCAGGTATGTCTTTCATAAACACACTTGGCCGGCTCTGTACTGAATGCACGATCACATCAACAGGCTTTTGCTGCCTCTCCGGCGCTCGCACAAAGGTCCGCAGCCCAAGGCCTACGGATCCACGATGTTGGACAGCAGTGTCCCAAGTGGGCCATCTGGCACCAAACGTCCCGGACGCCAATCCGCCCAGCGTCGCCACCTCTTATTTGGAATCAACAGCAGGGCCCATGCAGCTGCCGGGGCTATGCCGCCCTCCGATGCTGCCACGTCGAAGGTTTTTGAGGAGCGGTGCATGGCGGTGCGGGCCTGGGTTAGTTTGCTGGTTACTGGTGCTACGCTTTGCTCATTCTGTCTATTGCAGGCTGAGCGTGTTGTCACTGCAAACCCATATGTTCCCCCCAAGGAGCTGTCACCGCCCTCACACCTGGAGTCGGGCAGCTGCCCACCTACAGCATGTGCGTCAGCTCCCTCGGCTGAGGTGAGTTATGCCTCGTCTGTAGTTCCGTGGCCAGTTGCTGATGCACAGCCCTCTTCATGCAGGGTCTGTTATCCTCTACTATAGTGGAGCAGATCACACTCGGGGTTGCTCAGGCGTTGGGTGGCCCTTCGCAGATGGCTACTTTACCTCAGCTGCGTGCCACCAGTGCCACTCCGACGCCTACACCACCACCACCAGATGCTGCGCCAATGGACATGGAAACAGATTCTGCTCTGTTATCTGATGCCACCTCACTCAGTGTTGCAGGTGCTGCACCATTGCGTGTAGTTCAGATGGACAACGGTGTTGTGGTCCAGTTCTCGGAGCAGGATGTGAGTGATCCCCCTGCTGTCAGTTTTGCGCACGATCTCCCCCGCCTCAATGCCATGTGGGATCACACTGTGCCTCACTGGCAGGGTGTCTCCGAGCTGACAATCCAGCGACAACCCATCCCCATCAAGTACTGGCGGGACGTGTATGTTGGCCGTGACTGGAAGCGTAACCAGTGGCGGGGTTCTTGGGATTCACGCTTAGAAAGGGTGTGCGATGCGCTGATTGCGCTCAGGTAAGATTTCTCGCTTCCTTTATACTAGTAAATACATTAGGAGTACTTCTGTAGCTCCTGTACTCGTATTTAGCTTCTGATTCTCTAATATATAGCCTCTGCTTCCCGAGCCTTGGCCCGGGGCTTCTGACTCCTCTTGTGGTCTATCCGCCCATCTCGTGTCTAATTATCTTATCTTGGCGTCGGCCGATTACATGAACATGATGACAGGCTCACGAACTCAACACTCCCCCTCAAACCTTGGTCCATGCCGATTCTGGGACATGTTTTTCATGTCCCGGCTTTGGGAGAGGTTTGGTGAGTATATGGACTGTTACTGTCTTGTTCTGATAATTTATGTCATCTATGGGTTCTTTATTCATTCTCTTAGTGAATGATATATGGTCTGAAAGTTATTTTATGCTTTCTTTCTTTATATCCATATTTTATGTCTATTCTTTTGTATAATAAACGCGGTGTTTACACGGCATTTTTCGCCGAGCATTTATTCTCTTTGTATGTCTGAATTGACTAAGCAATGGCCAGTTGCTTTTGTAGTCTTTATTATATTTTATTCTTTAGTTTCGCGTGCCAGCATTGATTATTAAGCATGTTCACGCCCACAGTTTGCTATTTCACATTTTATCGGATGCTGGTTCCAGAGGATACAACAGACCCTTTGTCTACTTCGAAGATTTTCTGAACTGTGCTCTGTTATCTGACGAGTTTTCTATTCTTAAAAATTCTCAGCATGCAAGAGAACTTTTTATTTATTAGGCTAAGTCTTTATTTGGGCTGGTATGCATCCCAGCTTTTAGTTTTATTTATATTTCGACTTGTTTATGCCTAGGTCTAGGGTATAATTAGGCCACGCAGTAGCGCTTTTTAATAGCCTTGTTTCTTTGACTCGCAGATTCTTATTTGGTATTTTCGTTACTGAGTTTTCTACTCGGATTTTGTTCTGATTGTGTCTTTAGTGGCCAGATCATCGACGAAAAGAATTTCCAACAAATCATTCTCGCCTATTTTGACGCTGGATCTAATTCTAGCTTTCGTATTTTACTCTAGAATTCTTTATGCCCATTTAAGCAGCTTTTTATATGCCGGTTTCGGCGTGGTATCTAACTACTCCCCCTCATGCCGGAAACCCGGCTGGGAAAGTGCATTAGAGTTCGCTGGGACACTTTTGTATCCTAAACTTTGTATATTTTCGTTTCCATCTCTCATATTTTTAACTCCCCCTGACTTCAGTCAGTATGCTCGGGGGAATAATTTCAGGGACCTGTCTTCTATAGGCTCTTTTATATGATGATTTTTCTGTCTGAGTTTTAAAGCTCTTGCCATATTTGGCGCGCAACTTCAGTCTGACTGTCTCAGCCCAATTACTCGGACTTCTATCTTGTCTTTGGAGTATATATCATCGAGACACTCTATATTTCTATAGATATTTTCTCATTTATTTGAGCACTTTCGAGTGCGACTACTCATGTCTGAGTTTAAACTTTGTTACCATACATGGTATAGAGAGTCAGTCTCATCTTGACTGTTTCAATCTCAGTTTCAACTCTTGCCTTTTTCGGCAAAGAACATGAGTCGGGTTCTCTCTCATGATGAACACAGCTTGTCGAACTTATTCTACAACCTTTCAGGTGTATCTTTTATTTTATGTCTGTCTTTCGTATATATTTTTTAAGAACTTCATAGTCCGTTGGAGTATGTTACAAACGTGTGAACAAATCAAAACTCTGAGGTTTGGGAACATGTGTCATGTTTGTTTTTTCTCGTAAGCAGGACATTGTCTGACCAGTCCGCTTAATGCGTGTCCAAATACCTGCTCCGTAAATAGAGAGTATCTAGTTTTTGTTTGGTCTTCTGCTGGGCTTCTCGGCCTTATGCAGATTCTACTTGGGCAATCTCACCCGAGTACTTCTGTTTTTGTTTATTCACATAAATGTTTATTATGTCATCTACCCATTCGGTAACATGGACCGTCTCAGGGGTATTGCGAATATAATCGCACGAATCTGGCTTTCGCCAGTTTCGTATGGACTGTCTGAGTCCGAACGTGCAAGCACGTGATGTGCTTCTGCTGCCGTTCTCCGGCATGGCCTGTCCACGGTGCGTGAGGAATAGGATGTGGCAAGCGAGGCGATGGACGAAGCGAGGTGTAAATATATATGCGAGTGGGAGCGCGGGGCTCATAACCTCTTGGGATTCACGCTTAGAAAGGGTGTGCGATGCGCTGATTGCGCTCAGGTAAGATTTCTCGCTTCCTTTATACTAGTAAATACATTGGGAGTACTTCTGTAGCTCCTGTACTCGTATTTAGCTTCTGATTCTCTAATATATAGCCTCTGCTTCCCGAGCCTTGGCCCGGGGCTTCTGACTCCTCTTGTGGTCTATCCGCCCATCTCGTGTCTAATTATCTTATCTTGGCGTCGGCCGATTACATGAACATGATGACAGGCTCACGAACTCAACAGGGGTATCAAGAGTCGGTGGGCTGATTGGAAGGTGCGTTGGTCTCGGTGGTTGTTGAGACTGGATTTCTGATATATTACCCCTGCTCCCAACAGGTGCTTGTTGAACACTGGCGTGCTGTGGGACCCGACAAGTTTTGGCACGAGTTCTCACGAGAGGGTCACCGCATGCCCTATACAGTCATTGTCAAAGCCCTTCAAGCAAGGAGGCGTGCGCAGAACAGCATGGATGTGCAGCATGCTCGTGAAGAGTTCCCAGACTTTGAGCAGCAGTTTGGTTATAGGAAAGGTAGCCAGTCTCATGTCATGATCACTGAGGCTGCAGTGGCAAGGCATTACAGGCAGATGAAAGACCAAGGTTCATCGTAATTTAGCTCTTATTTCTAGTTCAGATATTTTAATGCTACAGCACTCGTAATTTACAAACAGTTTATATACACGTAATAGAGCTCTAGGCACACATACAAGACCTACCACACTGGAAGCACTTCTGCACGGGTTTTCTGTGTGGGTCAAAGAAAAACTCGCGGGGCTCGTTAGCATCATTCCAAGAGATGAGATACTTGACAATTGTAAGGTGAGAGAACTCGGTACTCCACCCTCCCCAATCACATATGCGGCGCAGAGGCCAGCGTCGCTCCATGTGCAGCCACTGGCACCCGCCACGACGGAAAGAATGGGTACCGTAAGGCAGTGGATCAATGTTGATGTCGAGAAGGTTGTTACGGAAAAGCTCCAGGAAAAGCTCCGAAGTCTGAAGGACGACATCAGCATGGGACTGAGAATGAGCAAAGGGAACGTACAATGGGCTCATTAGCATGGGAAACACGGTCACCAGAGAAGAACTTGCGAAAGAGGTAGCCATCATTGATTCCGGAAACCTTGATCCATTCCGCAAGTGCACGGACAGGGCATAGGTGCTGCTCCTGCTCATCCAGCACGTGAAGAAAGAAAGGCTGGATGGCTGAGGAAAGTATGAGTGCTCGAGTCACAGCACATAAAAAAAGCAGACAGCAACAACATACCACTGCACTGGTCCGTTTTACGGAATGGCAACGTCAACTTGACCCGGTTGTCGCCAAAGAACTCGAAGTCGCTGACCCGGATCTTGAGCACCTCATCAAAACGTAGAAGGCAGACATAAGCAATGGTGTATGCCGCCAACAGCATGCGTCGTGTGCGTCCGCCTGCCCAGTCATGGACTTCACCATGGCCCTTCCTGGTTCCAGCCTGGTACTCCTTGATCTCCCAGTTCTCGGTGCGGTGGGCATGGTGGTAAAGCTGGTAGAGGATATCCTTGATACCCATGAGCAGATTGTCAATGTGAAAAAGAGTCTGTCACTTACCGACGTTATCGCCCGAGCACTGGTAGCAGCTTCGCCAGCGTGGACCTGAGTGTTAGTGAGTATATGCACAGTGAAAGAACTTGGCTGTCGCACCTTACGGCGTCGCAGGCTACACATGTAGCTGCTGACGTTGCTGGACACGGATGGGTTGCCCTCGCAACGTCCATCGCGCATCTGCCACTGCACATTGCCAAGACCACCGACACGGCCAAAGGCATGTGTCATGGCTGCACGCATCTTCTGCGCATGTGCGTAGGTACGCTGCGGCTGTGAGGGGTGCTTGGGATTTCCGGTGAGATCAAGGGTGTCGCACCTGCATATCAGAGAGAAGAAAAAACGTGAGCAGAGCAGGATGGGGGAGAGATGAGGCTACACGCACTGGTCCATGATCCACGCAACGATAAAGGTCGGCATCTCTGGGAGGGGCTGAGCAGTGAAGATATCACCAACACTGGTGGTGACAAGCGCGTGGTCAAGCAACCACTGCTTGAACTGGGTCATCAGGCTGAGTAGAAAACGCGTGAGGACCAGCAGAGATGTTAAGAAGAGTGGACTCACTTCTGATATTCGCTGTCTGTACGTTCCGTGATGGGCTTAGAGGCGTCGCGCACCACGGACTGGAGCCTCCCAAAAACAAGCGTCTCCTGCTCAGCTTGAAAGTCGTCTGTGATCTCGTCGCTGAGGGTTGAGTCACCGGGGGGAGGGAGCTTCATGGCAATGTGGATGGTGTCGAGTGAGAGCGTCATCCCTACAGGACAGAGGGGGGTGAGCACAGATCAGTGGATGGCAGAGAGGGAGAGGACGTACCTCTTAAATGGTGTCGGCAAGAGGGGCGTGGCGAGCAAGGTCCGAAACAGGGGGGCATCACCATGCAGCGCCGGCTGCTGCAGCACCTGCGATGTAATGGGCTCTCGAGCCAGCCCGCCGCCGACATGCCCATGAGTCTGGCTAGTCAAAGCAGGGGCCGGCCGTCGTCGAGCTCAAGGAGAGGGCAGGCATGAAGGCGGCGTGGTGGGGAGAGCAGCGGGAGGGGCCGGGAGGGGAGAGGGTGGAGAGGGGGCCTGGGGAGGGGCTTGAGGAGGGCTTGAGGACCTGCCTGCTCTCGGGCCAGAGCCCCGCCAACCTGCCTATGGGCGAGACTGGTCAAGCAGGGCACAGCCATCATAGAGCACAAGGGGAGGGGGCGACGTGCGGTTGGGCAGCGCAAGTGCGTGAAGGGGAGAGGTGAAGGGGGGAGGTGCAGGAGGGGGTGACGGGCCGCCAGGGAGTGCCTGCACAAATAGTACGTCAGCCGGATGCATATTAAAAGCCAAGGAACTCACCAGAAAAGCCCCGGGACCGTCATTTCAGGGACCGGACTGTTGTTTGAGACTGCCGGACCGTCATTCTGTAGCCTCACGAAGGCCTTCGCGCCTGGGTTTGGTGGGGAGAGTGCAAGAGCGAGGGGGGAGTGAGCAGGGAGCGAAGCAGGCAAATGACGGTCCCGCTTGACGGACCGTCATGTCACAGCCTGCAAGTTCGCCGTGGACCCTGCCACGGCGAAAGCCTGCCGAGGGATTCACGAGTGTCAGCCCTCCCCGGTTGTGGTCCCGGCCTCGTTTCAAACACACGACGGACGTACTCACCTCTTTACCAGCTCCTGCACATCATCTCCCATCTACCCATGCTCCCGGTGAGTCCCCTTTCCTTTCTTTTGCGCATCGGGTGAGCGTGTTGACGCTCTCGTGTGTGGGCGTTGATCGCGCGGTCGACGGCGGCGCGCGCTGGGGAGACGCGTCGTGTATCGACCCTGCCTGAGCCCTTGGCTTGGCGTGGTCGAGCAGGCGTCCGGGGTGTGGGGAGGTGGATGAGAGGGTAGGGAGGGAGGGGAGACAAGAGAGGGGGACGCGACGCACCAGGTGCGTCGCGCTCGTGTTGTCGCCGTTGTCGCTGCCGCAGAGGACGCGAACGCGAGGCTGGGTGGGGCGAGCATGCTGAGTTCGCCTCGGCTCGGGCCTTGCAGCCGGGGTCCGCACCCGCTGACGTGCGGTCACACGTCACTGCCGTGACACGAACCGTCATTTCGACCGGGTGAATCCCCACTTCTCATACTCTACACAGCCTTTTTGGTCACACTGGCATTACTCGTATATTCAAAATTTCTGCCCGCTTTTATTTGGTTTTTTGTTTGTGGTCTTGATGAGATCCCCTTCAGATCAGATTCACTCTCGATCTGGACATTCTCATCCTTTTTGGGCCACACTCCCGTTGATAAGATAATGGACCCAGAGTTGCCGCTTCGTTCCTTTCCTCCCCTCCTTCTTTCTCTCCCCGTTTTCGGACTGTGGATCCTCGCGTTCGCAGAGATGGTATGTCACTCAAGTTTCCTAACATCAACATCAGCAGTCGCTTATTTCAGCCCTGCCAGGACCCGCCTACACTCTCAATACACTCTTCCCGACTCTGTACCACTGCTCTCCGTATCCATTTCCGCTGTCAACTCACTTGCGATCGCCCTCATCTTCGCTTTTGATGTACAATATGCAGGTACGCTCTCGCTCGCACCCCTTCCTCAGGTCCGCTCCCAAGCTGACGAGCTGATGTTCCGTCACGCTGCCAAGTGCAGCGCAGTCACTCTGGACGGCGTCTCGGTTACCTCCATCGAGTGGGATCAGCGTTCTCCCGCCATGGGTGAACCTGTATCTAGCAGCGCGAGACATAGTCGCAAGCTGGAAGACCCTCGACGGTGCTACCGGACGGACTACATTCGATTACGTCATCGACGCCAGCGGCCGTGCAGGTATACTGAGCACGCAGTACCTCAAGAACTGCAAGCTCAACAACAGTCTCAAGAATGTCGCGCGCTGGGCATATTGGGAGGGCGATGGCATTGGGAAGCATTCTCCGGGGGCGACGCGCGAAGGTAGTCCCTTCTTTGAGGCGTTTTCTGGTGAGCACCCCATTTCTATTCAACCCTCGAGACGCACGAGTGCTCATCAATACATTAGACGAGTCGGGCTGGTGCTGGTTCATTCCTCTGCACGATGGCACAACCTGAGTCGGTCACGTTATCGACCAGGAGATCTCGAACAAGAAGGCTGAGCTCTGCTCTGCCGCAGACCCGTCAGTCACTGAGGGCTTGCTTGGCCACTACCTCACTGAGCTCAAACTTGCACCCCGCATCCTGGATCCCATTGCCGACGGCAAGCTCATCGCAAGCAAGAACGGTGCGGCGACGGTCCGCAGCGCGAGTGACTACTCATACTTGGGTTTGTCCTACGCCGGTGGTACGCGGTTATCTGCTCAGCTTTCTGAAGTGAGGAATGCTGATAGTTCCTCGATCAGCCTTCATCGGCCCCTACTTCTCTTCTGGCATCCGCCTCACCCTCTCCATCGGTCTCTCTGCTGCCGCGACGATCAACGCCTCCATCAAGGACGACATCTTCGAGACCGACACTGCCGAATGGCACACCGCCAAGGTCGGAACCGGGTACATGCACTTCCTGTTTGTCGTCTGGTCTGCATACCAGCAGATCCGGTCGCAGAGCGTTCCCGTGCTCTCGGACGCCGACGAGGACAACTTCGATTGCGCATTCGCGCACTTCCGGCCAGTCATACGGGACAACGCGGACGTGGGCAAGGACATGAGCGAGAGCGAGTTGCAGGTGACAATCGAGTTCTGCATGCAGGGGTACGTCGAGTCGCCGAACCCCGAAGAGCGTGCGGTTGTCAAGGCGTGTGTCGGGGACCTCAAGCTCGAGGAAGCGGTCAAGGCGCTCTACGGAAACCTCTCGGCTGTCAAAAATGCGAGCGTAAAGTACGTCAACGGCATCAACAGCGCTCTGAACGGTAACGGCAACGCAGATGGCGTGGTTGGCAATGGAACGCGATCATGGAGGGGTTGGACGAACGGGAGAAGCGGATCGCGGTGGGGATGACGGCGCGCAAGGTGATGCGCTCCGAGGACACTGAGCATATCGACAACTTTATCAAGGACGAGCTGAACGGCTACCGCATCAAGCTCGTTCAGGGCTCGCTTGGCCTCGAGCAGGCATGAGTACTACTTATCGCACGCTCGGGTGCGCTAGTGTGATAGATTAGTTCTGGTGAATGTTCAGATTGTCTCAGTTGCAATGTATGTTCTTTGATCGTTACATGATGTCTCGGCGTGTCAAATTCTCCGAGCTTTAGGTGTCAATAAACTCACGTCGCACAAGGTTCCAATGTGATTTTGATGGGTGCAATGTGACTGATAACCACCGTGCATGTTATTGACATCTGCTGTCCGTTTTCGAAAGGAGATATGTCTTGCAACTGGTAATTTGGTATGCCTATATTTATGCAAAGCACTTGGCCAATCCCATGCACTGTCCTTTTCTCTCCGCAAATGTTACACTTCATGAGCTGATATGACTCGGTGTCTGCATTAATTATAAAAGAGTGCCTTCGTAATTTTGGTATTTGCATCGTTGCACTGAAGGTGATTGTTTCGAGCAATCTGATGGGACGTGGGGAGTACATATCAATCAATGTCCTTTCATGTCAATCAATTCCTGATCTACGATATGCTGATCTGATCACTTCCGTGCCTGAGAAGTATTCTATGTTCCCTAGCAAAGGGTAATAGCAAGCGGCCACGGGTGTGTTTAGTGATGGAAATTCTGGAATTCGTCTGGAATATGGAGCCCTGCTGCTGCATTCTGTGTTTGATTGTTTGCTATACCTCAATGCAGACTCGGCCAAACATTTTACATATCGGAGCGATTAAGCGTAGCTTCTATCCTTATAGTCTTCAACAAGTATTCTTAATTTTACTTGCTTATATGTGATGGCCACCCGAGGGTTAGGGTTAGTGGACCTCCTTCAGCTCATGAGCCGGAGCGGAGCAAGGCATGTCTTGTTGGTCTCTACCAATCAGCCCTTTACCGCCGGCAGGACGATTGAGTCCGTCCGACGTTAAACTTAGTGACGCCACCCAATTCCGAATTGCAGCGGGCTTCGTAGGAAACCAGATATGTATGTGGTAGTTCATCTTTTTGAGATTTTCAAAACCCGTTCTAAGATCGCGAAATATAATATGTAGTGATCTTGAACGTCGTGGAAGCCATAAAAAATGCGCAACTACGCAAACGCCACAGCAGCCCCTCACATATGTTAGTAAGCTTTATGGTCCGCATAACACGGTGCGTGATGCATGATACCCGACACACAGATGCGCCCATTTACTTAGCACGATTTAGGCCTGTTTCAGGACGCTATCATGAAGCAGCGTACCTCTCGCCTAAATTATATCGGTCATAAGTTACGAAGCGACGACCTAATCCGACGATACATACCAAATTTGATGGTACTCCAACGGTACGTGTCAATTAGAACGTTGGTATCATGTTTGTTCGATAGAATCTGTCATCCTCCATACTCTTCCATTTCTCAGCCCAACGTATCGGAGTAAACATGTTGGTTTCAAGCGCCCTATACATACACTATTTTCTTTGTAATTTCGCTCTCTGACGCAAGTCTTCGCCTTGCTTTCACCATCTCTGGTTCTGAGATACGCCATGTCTACCAAGCAGCACTTCTGCAAAGTTCCTAAATCCACTACCTACCTTCGCGATTTCCCCCAACTCTCTAAGCTCCCCTTCCCCCACATTCCACAGATTGCCTTCATAAATTGCGACGACACTAAGCCCGAGTTTGTTAATAAATTTGGGACTGTCTCCGACGTCTTCTACAACCTACTCAAGAACTACCTTCAATCGCTGCTGCATCCGCGTCCGGCGTGCGAATGGTTCTCCAACGACGGCGTCAGCCACACAGCTACCGATAGCGCCAGCTTACGATAACATGAAAGAGAAAAGAGAAATAAGAGGCTGAAGTACATCCTGAAGGCGAAAGGTATACCTCTCGATCCACTGCAGTGGTTCGATTGGCACTGCTTCGACGCGCAGAAAGGACAGCTGCCGATTCTTGACGGAACGGCTAGATATGACTGTATCATCGTCGGGGGATCTTGTATGTGTTCTCTGATTTTCAGTGAGCAGGATTTCTGAATCAATGTTTATCGCAGCATCATGTGTAAACGACAGTGACGAGTGGATATGCAACCTCTCTAACCTCATATACGAGGCAGCGCTGATGCACTCGGACATCAAGCTCATTGGTACGTTCGAACCAGAGTCCCTACTATCGGCCACGGCAGGGGAATATACACCGATTGTTCTACTTATTTCTAGGTGTATGTTTCGGACATCAGCTTATCTGCAAGGTTCTATACTCGCATGTGCGCGTTGTTAAAGGGCCGTGGGAGGTAGGACCTTATACAATCAAGTTGAATCAAGCCGGCTCCTTGCTCTTCGGTGGTGTTAATACCCTCGTGAGTCAAATCTCCAATGAACATTCAATTACTAAACTAACCGCACCGCAAACGAAAATCATAGAACCTCAACATGCTCCACGCTGACTCTGTTTGCTCAGAATCCTATGAAACGAGACTACGTCACAGTGTCATCGGTGAATTCAGAGGCGCGAATGCCAGCCCCGCATGCTTTCTTCACTCAGACAGATCCCCCGTTTCTCAGCCTATCACCTGGGGCAACACCGTGTGTACCGAGGCTACAACGTGCCAAGGTACTGTCGTATTCGATTCCGACTTGGGTGCCATTGGGAACGCAGATGGAGTACGCGTTCGTGTGTTCACAATGCAGGGACATCCCGAAACGACAGAATCAATGGCGGAGTTGCTTCTCGAGTTGTTCACTCGCCCTGGAGAAGATAAAGAGGCCATTCCGGAGTGTGTCGCGGAGGAGGCAAGGAAGAGAATGGCCTGTTCTAGTGGCGTTCTTGATTTAGATAGGGTGGCGGGAACTATATGGGCTGTCGCGAGCGGGGCTAGGTTCCCAACTTTTGACTGAGGCCTGTGTGGCGATAAAGGATGTCTGGTCCCCGTGGTTTTGTCACGAGACTCGTAACGAGCAAGCCCAAATACTATATTTAACACCGGCAGTAGTACAGGAAGACGGCCAATATTACTACGAGGAGAATGTCTAGCTGCCTCTGCCGCCTGGCGCAGTACGAATTAACCACTGGTAACTCTGATGTCCTTAGGAAGTAGACCACGTAAGAATTTATGCCGCATCTAATTATCGACCCGTGGTTCGGTCGCAAATGCCACCGTGGTGAGTTCATTCACTCCAGATCCTCCTCCGTTTATTGATCGCTTGTGCTCCTGCCTCAAGTTTATTATCATTCGTGGACCTACAATAGCCACTATTCCCGCTTCAAACACTTGATAAAATCCATAAGCGATCATTGACTGGAGGTTATATATGAGCGTTATGAGACCTGAGTGTCTGGGATGTTCTCACCTGGTTCCAAGCTGGCAAAATACTAAGAGTCGAAAATAAGCTGGCCATAAAAGCACTGTGCAATGTGTCAGCCTTTGTATAGACACACGGACACGATGGGATTTCAAACATAAAGAACGAAGCCAGGTTGTCGCGTACTATGATCAAAGCAAGGCTTGATCCTGCCCCAGTTGTACTCATCCGGGAGATTGGGACATTTTTGAATGCATAATGGAGCGCAAGGTAGCAGAGAATAACTTCAAATGTCAGTGCAGAGATGTTTGACGCGGGTGAGGTCCAACCTCGATTTGCAGAGGTGCTGATACTGCAGATATGCATGTTGGATAATTGAACTTCCACTAATATGATTTCAACGCGATTAATAGTTATATTGCAGCGCAGTATTAAATGTGCGCACCCATTATACCTGGACCAGCATCGAAGTAGTAAATGCTAGAAACGAAGCTGATAGTTTGTGCCAGAGTGAAGCAAACTGCGAGGATGATAGCAATTATTCGGGGCTTTCCGAGAAGCACGTATATTCGTAAAGCCATCATCCCTACGGCGTCAACGCGTCAACAACTTTGTTAGTAAAATGTTCCAGTGAAGTTAGACAATGACAACAACCTTGCAGTAAAAGCACTGTGACGATAATAGCTACCTCCGTTGTTACGAATACATACCAACCTGGTAATTCTGTCAAACGGCTAGTCCAGGGTACACAAGCAAGTCACTTACACCTAGAAGAACAATGGGTATGAAAAGGAAGATTACTCTTATATGTTAATTGTTTTTTCATACTCCTGTTAAGGCAAGTTTCGTTTCGATCGGATGATAGAAAGTTAACGATGACTCACAAAACTCGTGCTCAAGTTTGTATTCAATGCTGATTGAAATTTGATTAGGTGAGAATTTTTGGTTGGGTACACTGTTGTACCTATATTCATACTATTCCATCCATTGAGCCTTACCAGAGAATGATGGTAAACATGAATAACATACATCAAATATATCAATCCAATGTAGCGCAGCTGGAACATATCGTTAGCGGAGCTTTAAGCTCACAATGTCGATGACAACTGACAGCAGTGTACAACAGGGTTGTCCATGTGATTCGTTGGCTCTATAATATGAATTGAGCGTGCATCCCTTTGTTAGCAGCACCATTACCCATATAAACTCAAACTACGATGACCTGTAAGCTCATACAACATCATGGAAGAACAGTATACACCGACCTCAAGGCCAATATTCAAAACTGCTACAATCATCAGGGAGTCTATAATGCAGGTGAAGGGTGAAATTTACAAACAGTAGTCGTATAAACCTAGAGTGCAAGCAGAAACTGGAGGTCTGTTAATGATAACGCCCCTATAATTTAATATGGCGCACCAGTAAGGAGGCCTGATTGAAGGTTAAGAGTAGCTACAGTCACAATCTCCTGTTCAGCTTGGGTTGAGGCCATAATTAGATGGAAAGCGGTATAGTCTGGTGGACGGTATTATCCCATCACTCGCGAACCCATCTTATATGGTGCGATGCACAGCGTTTACCAGACTGAAACATCGAATACTGTCTCAACTTGAGGCGGTGACATGAAGGGCATTTCTGCCCTATCCATTCATCGGAAGTGAATTTCTTGTGCAATATTATCAAAGATGGCCCTCTATGTGCCTGGTTGTGGCTGGCATGTGGCATGTGGAGTTTACAGGGTGGGTAGAACATGAGGCCTGATTGTGGGTGGCGTTCACAGGATAGACAGGATATGAGGCCTGAGGCTTGATTAGCATGTGGCCAAGAGTCTATCGGTGATCGCAACATGCAGAATCCATGGCTGTACTTCATACGAAGGAACATGAGGACACTGAAAAGCGTCCAGCTAATAAATTCAGGCTTTCGCAAGTTATCTCCGTACGAAGGCTTGTAGACTGTTCTGGTATTCTAAAAATCAGAACGATGTTCGACGCACCTGTCGGGTCGGGACTGGGAGCGTGAGCCAACCGTGCCTAACCACGGAAAGATCCGGATAGCAGTGCCTGAGATAGGAACACGGTGAACTCACAAGGATTTACTACATTTCATCACCCTGATTCGATAGAGTCGAGTCTACACAGGCGTGGGGCAGCCAGCCACACAAAGATCCAACCCACACCTTGCTGACCTCTCATCAGACCGAAAATCAATCGACTAGCCCTTTTAGTCTGCCACCCTCGTGCACAAGCTCATATTATTCTCTGATCGTGGTCTGGTATGAAGTCATCACAATAAGTGCTCTTGGGTATGCGCGACTGATAGAGTTGAGCTCCCTTATGGCGGCACCCGTCCGGAACAGGCGAGTTCCCGGTGACGACAACATACCCGAAGAGCGACTTATGCAGTATTGAAGCTCGAACGAAGGTCAACAGATGCGTACCTGTAAAGAGCGCCCTTATGGCGGAGCGTCTCTGACCAACTGGCGATCAAGAATTCAAGGCGAGAAGCGTGGCTTTGCCGTTGGCCGATCTTGGCATCTGTGAAGCCGTGCCGTTTGGACACATAACCGGAACCAAGGCTATAACAAATGTGTCGGTGAAAGCAGACACGGTAGTGATCAAAATGTCCCGCCTGCAGGGGATGGATCTAACCATAACATAGAGATGAAGAATGAGCACACAAAGGAAAGAATAGACTGGCGCGTAGCGTGTAAGCCGTGCCAATTATGACCCATTACAATATATCCCTATAACTCTTGAATATCCACCATCAGCATGACCCCAGCACGATGAAACGGCGACGGGCTCAAACGTACGTCACCGTCTATCACCTAGTACTCCACCAACCACTTTGATATCCTCACGAGCGTCTGATCCACCTCTGGCTGATGCCACGGAAACAGCAACCAGTCATGCAGCGCATCCGGCGCCTGAAAGTACTCCACACCCGTCGGCCCACCCACCCCCATATCCCTCTCCATCTTCCACCTAAGACTCAATATCGAATCCAACAACGGCTCCTGCCCGCCCCCACAAATCAGCGTCCTCGGCCACCCGCCCGTAAAGCGCGCGTTCACACCGGGATGCAGCGACGCGGGCGATATATACGGACAGCGCTCGGCGACCGCGAACCCGAACGGGCCGAGAAACGCGGCCTTGGAGTAGTTCATGCGGCGGGGCGCGCGCCCGCCGAGGTAGTCGGTCGAGTAGTGCGTGCGGATGGATGAGTGCGGGCCCCAGTGGGACGTGCCGAGGTCGGCCCAGGGCGAGAGGAGGAGCATGGACGTGGGCGGCTCGGGGAGAGAGGGGTGCGCGGCGCGGTGCTCGAGCAGGTAGCGCACGAGTGCTAGGGCGAGGTTGGCGCCGGCGGAGTCGCCGACGAGGACGATGTCTTCGGGGTGGAAGCCGATCGCGAGGAGGTAGAGGTAGCCTGCGAGGGCGTCGACGAGCGCGGTCGGGAACGGGTTTGTTTCTTCGTATGGGTCGGTTGTGGAGAGGCGGTATTCGACGCCGAAGGTGCGTGTGATGCTTGGGCTGTGTTTGAGGATGCCCTTGGCGATGTTGGCGGACGGGTCGCGAGGATGTGCGGATAGTTGGATGTATGCACCGCCGTGTAGGCGGTATGCGACTTTGTCGCCTGGCCGCCAGGGCGTGCCAGCAGGGAGCGACGGGTCCTGGTCGATCCAGTACCCGGGCAGGCGGACGCACTCGACGTTGGCGGCTGCGACCCAGCATGCGAGCTTGCCGAAGATGAAGTGAGGGGTAGGGGCGACCCAGACGGCTTTGACACCGTCGCCCCAGGTAATCTTATGATGGTCGGGTGATTTGGTCAGTGAGCCTGATCTGTTTGAGTTTGAGTGATGCATGAGCGATGCGGGGTGTGGGATGATATCTATTGGTAGGACGCACCTCTGTGTGATGTGAAACATATGCCGAAAGAACCTGACGAGGACACACCGCTTGATCGTCCAGGTCTTGCATGGTCTCCAGGAAGCAGGCGTTGCGGATATGAACCACCATGGGAGGCGGATGAGAGTGGTGGTAAAGAGTTCGTAGGTGAGGTATAACCCAAAGTAAGGTTGCTCGCGCAGTTCATAAACCATGCGCGGAGGGGATGTGCCGAGAACGTAAAGCTTGAGGAAAATCTATTCGAGAGTTTGGGCTGAAGCGAGAAACGAAAATGAAAGTAAGCAAGAAGTGGTCTAGAAAGAGAGAGGATAGTGGTCAAGAAGTATGTACGCTCTTGTCGTCGAGCTCGAGGATGGGCAATGTCCGTTGTCTCACTTGCGATGGCGTCGGGCATCCAGGCACACACGACTGCACCGCCATCGATCACTTCATCATCTCTTTACACTGCAGACAAAGCCGAAAATTCCCGTTCCTAATTTAGATTCAAAGAGGCGTAGAAGTGTTATAATGTTCAGATCACTATTTATCCGAATAAAAGGCGCGCAAATGTTTAAATCTTTTCCTTTCTTTTCTTGGCTAGAAAAGCAAGTCATCACGGTAACATTTTCGCATTTGGAAAAGGTAACATTTTGGGTGCCTTTTTGATCTGCAAAAACGTGTCAATGATGGTAATCGTTTCTGCGGCCTTTTCGGCCGTCAAATCCGGAACCTTTAGTACGGCTCCCCTGTCACACAAAAGGGGTAGAAAATGATGACTCATCGCCGACCTCTTCGACTGGGAAAAAAGGTAAACTTTTCTGTACCTTTTCTTGGCGCCCAGAAGTGTGAGAAAAGTTTACCATCTTCGACTTGTTTTTGGTCATTCAAATGACATCATACTTGAACGGCTTTTACACCGCTAATAAGGTAAACTTCGGCGACAGTACATCGCATGGGGAGAGTTGGTCCATCCGGACCTATCCGTTCCCGTTGACGATGTCTGGCAGCCTCTCGTCAAATCGCGCATACACCCAAGCAATACGCCCACGTTGAGCGATCAGCACGGACAAGGATCACCAGCAGACATCATGCCGACTCACCCTCTGGCCTAATATATGTGCCCGACCGACGGCACCACTCCATCTATCTGCGAGCTGACATCGGCCCCAAGGTCTTTATTTCTCTGCCTACATTGATATACTACAAGTAAGATAAGGCCGCCCAATAGTAATGCGGCAAAGTCCGTTATCTCTTTTCTGTAACACGTGTAGCATTCAGATAAGAATTGTAGTATGTACATCGGTTATAACTTCTAAGTCTATGCTGTAATACTACGTATGTAGTGTTGAGATAAGAATTGTAGTACATTGGTTGTAGCTTCTACGTCTTACTCGTAAGACCATGTTAATGATTTCTAATGTCGAGATTTTTTTCGGAGGTCACATGCCGACATAAACATTTCCCTTTCGTAAGCCGACATACCAAGTTTGGCTTCGTACTTCACAATGAAGTTTGAGAGCCAATTAGGGATGTGGTGGAAGATTCCGTGATCGAGGTCTGAAAGGGTACGGATCCCGAGTCGGGCGAATGCGGGTTCGTGGATAGTGAGATTGACTCCACACTGACGTCGAAGGAAGTGAAGAAGTGGGTAACTGACGAGCACGTGATCTGAACGCGTTTCCTGTACAAGATAGGGGTAAATAGATGCGACGCGTCGTTGAGGAATAACATACCGACAGGGATGATTCGGGGTGGGATGTGGGGTCTTGATATAACAGAGTGAGATCGCCGTCATGATAGTTGTACTAGCAAGGGTTTGTTACAAGACATGACATAGATAAGAGCGGCTTACAATCATTCTATTGCGGCGTTGCTTTTGAGAACGCTTATGGTCGGCGAAGTGCTGGTAGAGGTAGAGGAAAAGTGGCCAGACATTGGCATATCGTTTGAGAAAAGGTAGCTTTTGTAGGGCCTGGTACTATAAGATAGCGGAGTAGATTAGAATGAAAGACGTACATAGATTTTGATTCTCTGTAAGTCTTCGCGGCATTGCTGTGGTAGAGGACGAGTTCGATCAAGTGTTTGCGCGAGTGGAAGAACGAGTTTCTATCATAGGGAGCGTCAGTGAGCGCTTGCATCTCGTTTGACGGTGGCATATGTACCTGTAGTTGCTTCCATTCGGCCGCGCTGAGCCTAGCGCAACGGCGAGCCTTGAAGCGTAGTCTGTGGTTGTCGATAACATTGAGGGCGACGTCGTAGGATGGGGCTTGGATCAGGATCATCGTGATGGTCGCGAATGAGGAGAGGAAGGGAAAGTGAATGAATATAAAGTGTGGAATAGAATCGGCTATTGCCGTATGTTCTTCGGTGAATAGAGTGCAAAGGAAGTCAGTTATGATTATAATAGAAAGGAAGACCAAACCAAACACTCTGCACGTCACCACTAGCAAAATCAATATCATGCATCCGACACAGATACTCAGCGACACTTCGGCGATCAGAAAGCAACCACGCATCAGTAAGCTCTCCCCAAAACATATCGTTCAAAATACAAGCACCAGAGATCATCACATCAGAATGGAGATCGACATGCTTGATAAACGAGCTACCATCAAGCGATGGAGCCGACGAAACTACACCTGCGGACGTGTCGCGCCAAACAATCGTTCGATAACTTTCCCAATCCCTGCCTAACATAAGTTCGGATACCATACCTTGCGAAACCAACAACCGAATATCAACAGTAAAACCAGCGTGAGACACTATCGCATTAAAGTACTCGCCAATTACTCTCCCCCGCACCGCAGAGCACGAAGAATCGACACAACTCTCCCGCAGGTCGGGACATCGAGTAATGGTTACTATCACGCCTACACGTCCTTGATCTTTTATTCCAGACAATACCGGACCAATCACCCTCTTCCAGAGACCGCCGGTCGCCTTGCCACCGAGGTCCAGGACCTCGATGGTCCTCATCGAGATGCGTGACATGGCAGAGCAATAAATGAAAAGTAAATTTTGCCGTCGAGGGCGGACCGAGACGTTGAGGTGTTACTAGACAAGTCGTGAACGAGGATGTGACGAGAGTGGCTCCAGAACACGGCCACGCGCCTCCGCAAGGAATTCAAAGCCATCGGACAATTGCACGTCGAAGATCATGCTTGCGCAGATGACGGCGCTACAGAACAGCTACAAGAGTCTCCCCGAGAAGTACTCGAGCAGGACGGAAGAGCTGGCATGCTTGGGGCGGAAGCACCACCAGGCAAATTTGCAAAGGCCTATGGGCGGGACTGTCGAGTACGAGGAGATTGTCGGGCAGGTCATCGAAGAGTACGAGAAGGCCATCAACAAGATGGAGGCTGAGCTTTAATCTAACCGCATCGCGTTGTTTATGACTCTGTGACGGAGCTTTATCTCGAGGAGCTGCGATCGATGCTTGATAACTTCTGATGGAATGCGGGGCATCGACGGAGGTAAGCTTTCGAATGTTTCTTTTTTCACATCGGAGATGCTGATATAGGAGCTGCACATGCGCACGTACGCGATCTAGAGAAAGTTAAGTCATACGACGAGAACCCGAGGTCATCGAATTCGTCGCTCGCCGATCTCAAGCGGGAACTCATTCGGTCGAAGGACGCGCAGGCTCGTTCAATGTCTTGCACTACCGGCCTCAAAGCAAAGCTTGCGAGCTCAGATGAATCTGTTGTTTCCTTGCAGCAGAAGGTCAAACAGCTCGGAAGCAGGTGCAAGCAACGGCGCAATGAGGCGGAGGCGTTTGAGGAGAGCCTTGCAAGGCTTGTCGAAGGCGGCGTCGCGTGGAGGTCGGGTCTTGAAGAGCAGATGTAGAAAGTGAAGGAGTTCGAGCAGCGGACGGAAGAGGAACGGAAGAAGGAGGATCGTGAACGGCTAAATGCGTCACCAACGAGGTCGAGCAAGCCTAGCGCAACCACACTCACTAGTCCACCGAACCCGAGCCCGACCGCCATGCAGCTGTAGGAGGCGAAGCTCGCGAACCCGACGATCCGGAAGCCCGTCCTTGAAGAAGACGCCCGTCCCGTCGACATATCCGAGAACCAGTGGGCCGACGCTTTTCCCGGGCCTGCAGGTAGCCTCTGCGGAGTCTCTCCACACGTCATGTCGCTCTCGCAGGAAATTTCATCAGGTCGCTCGCAAAGCTCTTCTGGCACAAGCCATACAGCGCACAGCCACAGCGTGTTGACTTCGTCCCGGGCTCGCGCACCACCGCCCGAACCTGCCTGTTTCGCTCGCGTTCGAGCATGGAGAAGCAGACTATGCAGGTACGGGAGGTGCTGAGCGAGCGCGAGGCGGAGATCACGGGTCCGGAGCCGTTGGTACGTAAGAAGGGCCGTGCGTTGCTGATGAAGGCGTTGGTAGCAAGACCCCTGAGGCGCAAGCAAAGGCGCAGGCGCAGGAGGACATTGTGTCACATTTGTTGCCTGCGATGATATCGAGGTTTAAGGCCGTGAGGATCATGCAGCTGCATGCGATCGGGCCTGGGGAAGTGCTTGATGGTCAGTAGGAGGGGGATGGGGGGAAGGGGAAGAGAATGTGTGTGGGTAAGTCGCTGGAGAGGCTCAATGAGCTCATGTTGTGGGTGTCGTTCTCGCTGGCATCATCGTCTAATAGAAAAACTGACAAAATGCCGGTGTAGGCATATGGCCCAAAAAGAGTCGCGGTACAAGGAACAGGTCGACAAGCTCGAGCTCGAACTGGCCCAAGTACAGCGGTCGCATGATGCGCCCACGACCTTGTCTCGCGACCAGGTGAGATACCGGGTGTCATGTTTCAGCTGATGTCTTGCATTCTCTGATTATGCTTCCATTCTATCTAGACTATCAATAGCTTTACTGCGGTCGAAGACCTCCACGCGAAGCATGAAGATACCGCACGCAAGCTCGAGCAGGTTCAAGCTAAGGAGACTGAGTTGAAAAACATCGAGAAGACCAAGGCTGAGCATGCTGCCGCCGTTGAAGCCTTGAAGGGACAAGATGCAGGGGCTCTAAAGGTCAAAGGCGAGGAGGTGGACGCACTTATGACCACGCTCAAGGAAGAGAACGAATCTAACGCCACCTCTTTCCGTTCCGAGCTCTCTGAAGCATCGGCTACCCTCGAGAAGCCTCACCAGGAGCGCGAAGAGGCGTGTGGCAAGCTGCAGAAGGAGTACGAGGAGGCACTGTCGAGCGCCGACGGCAGGACGCCAAGGAGTCAAGCTTTCAAGTTCCGAATTGAAGTGGAGGCGCTCAAGGCCAAGGACGAACAGATCAGCACGGACATGAGCCGTCCCGAAGAGTATTACAACGAGCTCACCGAGCTCCGGACATCTCACGGCGAGGCGACGCAGAAGCGGGCGTTTATGGAGGACATGGTGAGGCTCCACGCGGAGCATGCCCAGGTGCTCCCGGGGATGAGGAGGACTATCATGCGCACCGAAAGAATTTGAAGAAGGAGCTTGCAATTCTGCAGGAGGAGTCGGAGGATAAGGCTGAGAATGAGGAGGCTGCGAACCTCAGACGCTGAATATGCGGATGCGATGGCGAAGCACGGGGCGGCGGTACGGGCGCTCAAGAAGGAGCAAGCAGTCATTATTGGCAGAAGGTTGCGAAGGGCCACTAGGACGAGGTTGCGAGGACCAAGGCTGAGCAAGAGGCTGCGCTCGAGAGTGTCAGTGCGAAGGCAGAGGAAGAGCAGCCTATAGCGCCGTTGGCTTCGCGTGCCAAGGGTTTTCAAGCCCCATGCGGAGCACAAGCTCCGTGCTCCTGGTATTAAGAGTGAAGAAGATCGTGTTGGGTTGTTTGCGTCTCACGAGGAAGAGATGACAATCTCACGACATCTGGCCCATGAGAGTCCACTTGTAGTGACCATAATTAAAATACGCGAAAGAGACAATGTGCATAAATGTCATGTAAAAAGTCCACCGTGACATACTGTACACCATATGGATGATTGCCGACTGGCGACCGTCAGTGTTTACTATATAATAATTTGAGGTGGAAGGCCTCTTCGGAGATTGGTCATATAGCTAATCAGATGGGCATAATAATCGGGAAAGCAGACCGGAGACTTGATTCAGCGAAGACAGTAACTCTCGATCCAATTGCGACTGGTTCGAGAAAGCCGAAGGCCACGAGCGCTGGCTGCATTGCAGAGCCGATTTTGAGAGAGGACAACGAGAAAAGTGACACTTGCCACTTCCTTCCGACCTGCTGGCACCGGTGACACCTTGAAGGCTCGACCTTGCGCGCAAGGCCGTACATTATGCGGCACAGTTTCCTGATGCATTTGCTGCCCTGCACAAGACATATGAGCGCAGAGTATATCAACGAAGGAAGGGGTAACATTCACGGGAGTGGGATAAAGTACATTGTGAGCAGAAAGGTGTAGATGGACAGAAACCGAACAATGGTGAGGGGTATTTGTGAGGGAATCAGATGCGAAGACAATCTCCAATGTAAGCAGTCGATTTTGTTGTTATCAAGATCCAAACCACAAGTGAGAAATGTAAAGAACGAGGACAGGTCCGGGAGCAAAGACAATGAACAAATACCGGAATATGAGATATGAGAAGCCAGGTGCCGAATTCTATGTAATGCAAGGAAGAGTAGGTCTACAGCTCGCCAGCCGCTTTGGTGTACTGGGGAGGCATATGCTCGTTCATGGGCACAAAGCCGAAGTTGGGAGAGACTAGAGTTCAGACATGAACATAAGCAATAAGACTTGCAGGACTAATAGGTTACTCACATCTGTTGATCCCTGTCCCACCATGGCCATACCCGTCATCAAGGGGAAGCGTGTTCGCTTGTGATGAGGAGGTATGTGATGCAGCCGAGATCGACGAAGTACTTGTCGAAAGTCGGACAGAATGGTGCTGCCCCCATCCACCACGTGCATCCAATGAGTCGATGGATGCTGCACTACCAACGCCCGCCGAGTATGCAAACTCCGGCTGAGAGACGCCGCCCCCAAAATTGTAGTCAGCGGAGGGCAGCTGAATCATGCTTCGAACTCGAGGCATGCTACCATCGTCGAGAGGGTGGGGAGACGTAGATGGGCGGTCCGAATGATCGTAGGGCGAAGGGTAGGGACTCATCACCTGGCTATGACGCCGAGGACGGCGGATGCTGAGCGGGGCGTACTTGTTCGTCGACGACGGAGGGCGGGAAAGACCGGGGGAGTTAGGGCGATGGTGACTGGAACCCGGGCGCGAATAGTCGTCATGGGCCATCGAGTGATACCCATGGTGATGTGCCTCTTCATAGGGCAGCGACGAGACAGACGACATCGAATATCCCGTTGTCGGGCGGCTGTCCGGAGACAACGAAGGGGGAGAGTGGTCGTTGTGGATAGGCATCCCAGAATGGTTGGAAGCATACGAAGTATTGATGGTGGGGGTGGGGCGACTATAGCCCGATGAGTTCGGAGGATTCAACAGTGACGACAGGCTGCCAGAGTGACTCGAGGAGCCGTTGGGAGGGAAGGACCAGCTCTGATCGTAGTACGGATACTGCGACGACTGAACTATGGTGTCGTTGTGGCTGTGAGTGGAGTGACTATACCCGCTGCCAGAGCCCATCGCGCTGAGCTGGGTCGAGGGAGATTCGACGGCGGGAGAGATGGGGTGAAGATTGTGGGAGTGGTTCTGGTTGTACATTCCATGGTGGTGGGACGCTGGTGGGTCCGATGGAACAGTAAGGGAGGGCAGAGTGGAACGAGGGTATGAGGATCCCCAGGCAGAACCTCCCTGGTTGATAGGGGTGAAGGAGCCTGGAGCCGAGAAGCCGCGAGCTCCCCATCGCACTGGACTGGGTCGAGGGAGATTCGACGGCGGGAGAGATGGGGTGAAGATTGTGGGAGTGGTTCTGGTTGTACATTCCGTGGTGGTGGGACGCTGGTGGGTCCGATGGAACAGTAAGGGGGGGCAGAGTGGAACAAGGGTACGAGGATCCCCAGCCGGCAGCACCTCCCTGGCTGAGAGGGATGAAGGAGCCTGGAACCGAGCAGCCGCGAGCTCTCCCCATTGAGGGAGTCGACTTGTGGCCGACAGTGTTGGGGACGGTGACGGGAACGGGCGCTTGAAATTGGCCACGGCGTCGGGGGAAGAGTTCCTGCTGAGGGTCGGATGGGCTATGGCGTGGCAGTGAGCAACGTGTTTAGGGGTGTAAGATGAACCTAGTACTCACACAGGTGCTAGCATCGGGGTCGTCAATCGCGGGATCGACCTTGCGCAGGATGACCTTGCGCATGAAACCGTAGATCTGAAGGAGGGTTCGTAAGTAGGTACCAGGGACTCGGACGCAGGAATGAAAGCTGACACACATTTAATTGGCGAGGAAAGCTCGCGAATTGCGACTGACGATAGACAGCGGGGAGGACGAGCTGCTCTGGCAGCTCGACTTAATGGTGTGCTCGCCGGCGGGACCGACCTGGTCGTGTGATGATTCTCGGAGCGTTCAGGAAGGTCGCCTGGGGCTTGGCCTAGATGCCTTGGCCCGGCCGGGGGCAGCTGCCGCTGGTGGACGTCTGAACCTCGACGTGTTTTCACGCAAAAGCACATTCCACTGTAGCGATGTGCATAGGTAGTTTGAGAAGTTGGCACGTCGGATTCGGCAGTTGGGCATCCGTATATACTTTGTCGCGATCGGGAGGCCGGAGCCGGCAGCGTGGCCTGAACGTGAGATCAATTTTGGAAAATGGGTCTCGCGATGGAGAAATCAAGAACGACTATCTTCTGGTCTAGCTGTACGGTCTGCCTATAGACATAGCTAGGGAAGACTACTTCGACTCTAGGAATCACTCATATCAGAACGGGCCATGAGCGGTAAGTTTTTGCTGGATTCAGTTCTTACGGTCTAATCTAACTCACCGTTAGACTTACACAGGAAATGGTTATTTAAAGCCGGTGCTCCGCTTAGTAACGACAAGGAAACACCGACTCTGCTGCAGTTGCCCTTACCGATAGGATGGGACAACGATGCTAGGGAAGAAAATTTAACTAGAGCTACGATAGTGTGGTCGTTTGGCGAAAAACTGTCCCCGCTAAAAACCTGCTTGAAGAAAGTCCCTGGGTAAGCTTGCCTTTCTTTTGCCAAAGGGTTGTCACGCATGCTATCCCTGAAACAGTGAATCAGACAAGCCAGCGGAAACCTCACCCACTGTCGACGAAAAAACCGTAGCTTCACCCGTCAATAACCCGGATGAAGCTGATTCAATCATCGACAGACCAGCTGAAAATGAACCCATCCTCGATAAACGGGCTAGCACTGAATTCCTTCTCAGTAAACCACCTACAATCACACCCGGTCCTGATCTTCCGGATGTGTCTGAAAATACCGTGTTCGTTCATCCAATCGCATGATGCCAGCTTCTCTAATGCCTGGCCTCAGAAGTCTTGACGACTCACCAAGCGGTAGTACCAAGACCCTGAGCGCATCTAGGTGATCATCTACGTCCTGATGCATTCTGTCACCGGCTGATATTGTTTTAGCTCACGCGAAAGTACGCCGTCGCACCATTCTGTCCCTATCTCAGAAGCGGTAGGGGACCTGGGACCTTCATCCCACACAGATTGTCATGGCCATCGCATTTTAGTAATTTCTACGTTCATCCAATCTTGGCCTTATCGTCTGACATCGTTGCTAGGTATCGGGCCGAAAGACTGGTAGAAGGTTTAGAGCGGGGGAGGGTCGTGGATTTCACTACTTCGAATCACGGGCAGTGGATTTGATAAGCTTTCCGCCCGCCGTCAAGGGCGACGTTCACGTGGGCGACTGTTTCTTGCACCGGGCTTTCGGAGGCTGCCAGGTGTGGATTTGTACATCAATCGAGAATAACGGTACGCCAGACTGGCAGAGGATCAACTACGGCCATCGGACCAACGAGGACCGATATGTGGTCATGACAAAAGGAGATAGCCTATCGTTAGTGCAGGAGGGGACATGGAGAAAGCAATACGCCAACGGGACATCATCTATTATTCCACCTCCAGAGTAGGACTTGCAAACACATGTCGTACATACCAAATAAAAACCGTCCATTGAAGGCGTGCAAACCCAGGAGATCAAAGTGATGTACAATGAATAAGAACGAGACACTACAGAGCGGAGTGACGTGTAAGAAATCAGTCTGAAGCACGGAAACGTATGAACTGCGATACAAGGTGGGGATTTCTGTAAAGCCAAAATGAGCAGGCAATAACGTAGGCCACGAAGATAAACACGATATAGGAGCATATCTGATATTGTAAGAAATTAGCGACGGGGTGCAGGATTGAATGTCACTCACTGGGCTTCGATGCTTATTATAATTCTGAATCTTAGAAAGCATACTCAAGTAAGGCTCTGAATAGAATGTCAGAGAGAATAAATGAAGTCAGACCAGCTAGGAGATCACGTACTCATGTCACGCCCCTGCCAAAGTTGGACGTACGGCAAACAATCATCTTCGAGGGGGTTGATCGCAACAGCAATGATACAACGTCGATCATGCAATCCTGTTGGACCCTACTACAATTACAAAAATGCTAGCAGCCGAATCAGATTAGGCGACTTACATCAATGGCGAGGACAATCCCCTTGTCTAAATTAGAATGAGAGAAGTACGGCATCAAGAAAACACATTCCCCACATACCGTGACGAAGGTCTTGAGTAAGTATTTCGGTCTCAACATCCCAGACGCATGAACGCCCAACTGTACTCCCACCAAGGAGCGTTTGGCCCTTTTGCACGAATTTGACCGGGACGCGAAGAGTGTGGTCGCAGCGGTGAGAATAGGACGCCAGGTGCTTCCCAGCATCAAGATCCCAGATGTCAAACCCTTCGGTCATGTTCGAGATCGCTATGAACTTGGAGTCGGGGGTGATAGAAGTCCCCCCACTAGGTAACTGATGGTAAGCAAGATTCTTGGGAAATGTAAGACGAGTAGATAGCGCACAAACTCACATCATTGTGTTAAGCGGCAGGTATCGAAGCATTTTGTTCGTGATCGGATCCCATATCCTGCGCACGCAATCAACATCATAATCCGGAGAAATCAGTGGCTTTAGGCCAACTCACGTAGCACCATGGTATACATATCAGACAACGAGGACATTGGAGGAGTGCGAGCTTTTGATCCAATGCAGCCCGCTTATCAACACGGGGCGTTGCGCATTCAACTTGATAGCCGGGCTCTTGTGCAGCTGAGATAGCGGCGAAATTATCACTACATGATTACAGAAAGTGATTAGAAGCAATTAGTCGAAGAGTAATTGGTAGGCTTACGATGTTCGTCCACCCTCCAAACATGCACTTCGTTGCATCCACCAGTTGCCAGATAGCACTCGTTGATGGCTAATGACTCGATAGGAACATCAGAGTGAGCGCTAAATCCGGTTGCATATATTTCATGCTATCACATCACCCCAAGGTTAGTGGACGTATGAACTCTCCGGGCGACTGTTGCGTACCTTCCGAATGTGAACATGCACTAGGGTGCCGTTTGATTGTCCAATGAAAAACTCATATTCAGACGAGGGTTTCCACACTAAAGATAGAACAGGAACGGGTCCTTCCACCACAAAGAAGAGGCGGCCAGTCTTTGTCGACCATACAGAGACCTTTCCTTCGAGAGAGCCGACGGCGAGGAAAAGCCCATTAGGACTCAGGCAGAGGCAGGTTATGACGCTAGCATGGGCACCAGCCAACTTCGAAGAGCGCAAGTAGGCCACTTGAGGCATATGGATACAGCGAAGGAGGTGATAAACACTATAGAAGCCACAGCGTGGACAAAGACTTGTCGTAAAGCTAGTGGAGGAGCAAGTTAGAGATGCTACGCGGAAATGTAATTAACACTGCGGACTTCGGTGTTTGTACTCAGTCACGTGGTAACTACCCGCTGGGCTGCTTGGTGCGCACGTACGCTGCTTCGCCTCCACATTGAGCTCTCTTCACGGAACACGCCTTCTAACCTTCTGACCCATCTCGTTTCCCGCAACATGTATACTCTCAGTAGTGCCCAAGCGGCTTCACAACCGCTGCTGCACGGCACAAGCATAGCTTGAGCTAATGTACGACGGCGCGGGGCGGATACTTGTGGGGAGTACTGGTGAGTATCAGGTTTTCTGCTTAGCCCATTAGTCTCGACGATTATGATCGGAAACGATAAGACTTTGGGTTCCTTTGCACGCTATCGACACCCCCTGTCATGATCCCTAATTTCGAAGGCACTATATCTCTCCGCACCTATACGACTTTCCTTCAGGATAATCACTACGAACCTTTCCTACCTGGAAAAGGCAGTACACCCCGGGGCTCAGGCTTTTTCACCGATACTTGGTCAGCCATTCTGCAAATTTATAGACATGTTGGGGATTTTTGTTGACGAACATCGGCAGGAAACTCTGGCCCAGTTAACTAGGACCATCGAAATCGACTGGCGTAGCACCATCGTCAATGCTTAGCTGGATGCACTGTGTGGTACGTCTTCGCTACTATATTCATGTCCGTCGTGTGTTGAAGGCGCTCAGGATCACCCTGTACAAGAGGACAAGGAGAAGGAGGTTGAGGCTATCGAGAGTGATCCGATAGTACTCATTGGTGAGTGAATGCTTGATTCCCGTTGGACGAGCGGCTGATGTGCATCATTCAGCCAGCGGTGGTTAGTGTGGCTTGATGGGTGTCGCACGGTTCCGTCACATGGGCGTTCGCGCATTAGTTACTGAGAAGATACCTTGCGTCGGCGGTGTCTGGCGTAACCGGTGAGATTCATGCCATATCGTTCTTACACAAGCAAAAGCATTGACATAGGACCCCAAGGTACCCTGCTCTTTTATGACCGCCCGCTTCAGCTCGTGTATGTCAACGCCCCTGCTTTATCCCAGCTCACCCCATTAACCTTCTACTACTCTCCAGTCGTTTATCATACCTACCTCCAGAACCTCCCCCAGTACATCGGCCGCACGAAGTCCGCAGACTCTGCGGAATCCTATGCGATTCGTGGGCCTCCTCGAATTTTCTAATCAACCTATGTCGGTGTTTTACAACAGGATGAAGCGCTGGCTGTCGTTGTTAATCGTACGGGCAGCGAGGTGACGCTCAATCCAAGCACCTCACCATCGCGACAGGTATTGGCGTTCTGTCTATGGGTCCTGAGCAGGGCAATTTCAAGGACGGCATGGGCTCTTCGGTCCTGCAATCCGGTGCCGCAAAGAATAGGGGAAGGGAGGCCGTTGTTATTGGCGCTGTGCGTGGTTTTCCTTGTTTAAGCCCCAGGCACTGACGGCGGTTGCTCACCATCGTGTGCCAGGACTGTTTATGTTCCCTACAGGACAAAATCTCTGCAGACATAAGTCAAGATATCGTTTCCAAGGGTGCGGCACCAACGCTGGTGCAGCGCAACGTAATGCAACGTGCATCCTATCATTCAAGCGGAGCGGGGCCTTGGGCTTGGTCCACCCGGTAGACCGCGACTTCGGTGGCAAAAGTTTGACCTTCTGGGTTAGACGATAAGACTGCGTCGCTTCTTAGCCGCGAGTTTTACGTGTCCGTCTTGTCCTCAATTCTGCACTTCTAAAACAATTGATTCCCCCCCAGCTAATAATATATCGTGGTCTCGTGCTTGCATGTCGGCCGCTCGTGGGATTGAAGCTGCAAGTCCTTGTCCGCCCCGAGATTTTGATTTCATCGACGTGCGTGCTCTACTGATAGTGGTCGTTATCATGCTAACCTGGTTTCTTTTATAAGCATTGCGATGAGACGGTAAAAAAACTTGCTTCCATCAAGGTCTCGCTTCAACGCTTGAATAGAATTATCCGTATCTCAGACTTTCTTGCGCATTGATATCAGAACTGTAACCTTGCATGGCTAGACCTTTGTATCATAATCCAGTTGATCTCAATCCACCAACGGCGAGCCCATCGTAATCAGATCTCCAGGAAGGCGATCCATATTGCCTTCAATGTCCGAGTCACCCGGTTTCTTTGATTTCTAATTAGCTACCGTTCCCGCCTCGGCTTGCGCAAACTCGCTAACATACAAAATGTGGCTGGGTTGGGACACGTTGCTATCAGTCATGTTTCATTCTCGTGATAGGATGATATCGTTCTCGTTCAGTACACCGCGTTACCGCGTTACTAATACCACATTCCTCTTGTACGAAATGCCCCCCTGTTCCTCTGCGTACGATTGGTGAATCAAGATTGCCATTGCTAGTGTCAAGTTATTCTTGCGAATACAGTGCAGGCTTATCCTGGTCATGACTTTGAACGCGTTAGGCGATAGTAGTAAAAGCAAACTGAGAACGTACCCTATCTAGAGACCTCACCACAATACAGTCTTGATCAATGCCAGGTGGTGCATATACAAAAGACGCAAACTGTGAAACTACATCATCCAACCTCACCACGAACTCCTGGGATTCCTTCTCGTTGTAGCATAGCCAAGCGTTGAGATACTCGAAACCACGGTAGGGGTCGTGAATGGTGTGTGCAGCGGTAAGGCTCTTGAACTTTCCGATGACCAAGAAAGGTTCGGTCTTGCTGACTGAGTTTTCGACACGAGTGTGGTAAAATATCGAGTGAATCTGGCCAGCGTGGCAATGTGATGTGGGCGACGCGCCCGAAGATCGGAATAAAACATAGGAATTGCCTGCAGAATGCGCATTGCGGTCGCGAGCTGCGGATAATGTGACGTTCAAAGTCTTCGCCTTTACTATTGGCACCAGTGCAACGTCGCGATCCAGGAGTATACTTCCGTCTCCACGCTTTCTAGTATGCCAAGCGCGAAATTTCTGACCGGATAGCTGGTTGATCAGGGTAAGAAGTGTGGAATAGCATTCTTCATCTAGCTGGATCAGACGTCTTGGTGCTTTAATAATGTCGACCTCTGCTGGATCTTCACAACGGTCCCCGAGGATGGATCTGTCAAGCGGTTGCGTCGAAATGGAGGAAAATGCTGCGAAAAGCTGGTTTCGGCAACGGACAAAGTATTTGCCCTCGGGAAATGACATGTTCGCGATTAGAGCACGCAAATTTGAGGCCATACTAAAGTGGGTCGAGAACGTGAGTTCTATTTCATCTGCAAGAGGCTAAGTCCGAGGTTGTCACTTCATTGAGGGGCGCTTACCTGGTTTATTGTTCACATTGATGTCCCTGAGGACTCCGTTGTATCTTTCGAAGGGGAACGACCACCAAGCGTGGACAGGGCCGAAAAGTTCCAAACATTCGTCAAGATGAAGCGAGAGGTGGTGATTGGGAACGAGAGAATGATCAGAGAAGATGTCTCGAAGACCGCGTAAGTAGCGTGTCATATGAATCCTATAAAGTTCAATACGTTCTGGTGAGGTAGTACGACGAGTGGCCAAGTCAATGGCAATGACGAGATCAATGAAGTTTCGGAGAAGCTTTTCGTCACGCTCGTGTGCATCAGCTCCCCATAACTGGACCAAGGTTATCACCAGCGATACGAGACACACAGACCGCCATTGGTCAGCTTTGAGCTTCCCGTGACTGAGATTACCAAAGTCAGGTGGAGGCCGCGACAGCCAAGTAGGATGGCTTGTATGGCGCATATCTTCCTGAACCAACTGAAGAACCTCTTTCGAAAGCACCTTGTATTTTGATATATCTGCGCTTGTGTCGGATCCAGCCAAGACAAAGTCCTGAGTGGGCTCTTCCATAACATCGGGCAAGACAATATCGGCCAGCGGGTATTTTCGACGCTGAAATAATGATTTAATTAGCTAGTTGCGATCCAATATGACTGTATCCTCACCCAGTCAAGTAGGGCGGAAATGTACGCCATCTTTGTGATTGTGGAACCCGGTACATTCACTCCGTTCAAGGCTGCGACGGCAGTGATGTAACCTTTGCGGATGTTGCTGAGTTTGTTCTTCGACAAGGCGATTACCCCAGATTTGACCTTCTTCAGCTCGTCGCCCTGCCGTTTGGGGGTATGTGGCTGAATCTTGCTTCGGCCCGCTTCGCCTGATTTGATGTCTATGCCCCACACGTTTCGACAGTGATGCTGCAGCTCGCCCAAAAATAAGTTGTGCATCGCATCAATGACGGTGAATTTTGTGACTTCCCAATAGGGCAAGCGCAGGAGTTCAGACCACCGTACATAGCGTCTACTGAACATCGTCTCTTGATCTTTCCGACTGCGCGCGTTCCTCCATGTCTCAGCGTCTTGTCGGTGTTGAGCTTCTGTACGCCGTGGCCAAGACCCTTTAGCGAGATTGCTTATGTCCTTCCTAGATAACCGGCAAAACGAGCAAAACATGTCAGCTGCATAACTTGCAAATCCAGCGGTTTTCCTGGCTGCGGGAAGATCACAGATCAAGGGACCAAGTGCCACCCGGATGAGCACATTGAAGGATGCATAAGTACGGTCGAGTATAATGCCATGTTCGTACAGCGCCAGCAACTCGTCGACGAGCGGACGCAACAGATGATTAATTTGATCGAGAGACGGTTCTCGGGGGCCAGGGATTACGCCCACCAGGTAGACATTTTCAAGTTTGTAGCGAAGATGGGGGGGTAGATTCAGACAGACCATATATACGGCCCCCGTTGAATGATGCTTCCCGGCCTGCTTGTTCCCATAGGGGTTAAACCAGTCGACGAACAGACTGAAGACGAGGTGAACAGAACCTTCGGGAGCGTGCGTGAAGGGGGATTTAGCGGCAGACTTAAGGTTTCTTAAAGCGTTCGCATCCCATATATCCCTCCAAATCCCATCAGATGATGGGGCAGAACTGAGAGACTCCTCGATCCCGGGTCTAGAAAACAAACGAGCTAACCAGGAGGACATGGGCTGATAGGCAAATGTTTTTATTGGTTTATGGTGAAGCTGCTTCCCTCCCAGAGTAAGATTGACGAGAGAGGTGTGACAGATATGATCATCAACGTCTTTATTCAAGCAAGTGAGGGACTGGAGCGGGAGTGGTTGGAGTGCGAAGCACTTGGGGCAGCAAGCGTATTTGGTCTGGTCCGACTTGAGATCGAATCTAGATAGAGCAGTTCGCAAATCTAGAGGGAAATCGTCTAGGAAATTTTCTTCAGCCTGAGTGAGAGGCCCTCCGGTCTGTGTCTGTCTCTTGAACCAAAAGACCGAAACGATGAGGACTCTGATTGCTGACAGGACGAAGTTTATGTCGGCGCGCGAAACGCCTCCCAAGATATGAAGAACGACGACAAGGAATGCACCGAAGAAAAGTGCAGAATTTTTGAGGTAGGGGTTACGGTCAAAGTACCGAGCTAAATTCGACCGGTTAATTATTTTACCTTGAAGGGAATGTTAACAACGTACCCGTTGATATCAGGCGTGGACCCGGCTGAGTCCTTATTCTTCGTTCAAGTTCTTCCTTAGCCTGATGCGTTAAAAACTGACTCTGTTTAAGGTCCTCGAGGTCGTCCAGCTCGCGAAGAAGCCTCCGTACGAGAGCACGACGTCTACCCTGAACGTCTGCGTTTCGCCCGGTATCAATCTCGTCTAGTCTGGATAGCATATCTCTGAGCCAAGCTTCATGAACAATGAAATCGTTATTTGATTCATCTGACGAGAGAAGGGGTTGATCGGGATGATCTTGGCTGAAGACAAGGTTCAGACGACTGCTGTTGAAAGCACGTCCTGTGAGGTCTAATTCGGAATTAATCATTCCCATCAGCTTGATAGTACGCTATGCAAAGTTTAGAGCATGAAGAGCGCTTGATTAAATAACTTACTCGTGCAAGTTCGGGGTCATTCTCAGTGATATCATTGAGGGGTGCCAAGTGGGTTTCCAGTGAGTCGTGGATCTAAACAGAGATCAGTGTGTATACGTGTGAGATATAGAAACTCCCCCACCACGGATTGCTCGATATCTTGAGATGGATCTTGAGTGTGTAGGAGCGGTTCTTGATCATCATCCTCGTCAAGATCACTCAACCGTACCGGCAGTCCTTGATCGCCTTCTCCGTGGGGTTCTTTCCACAAAGCCGATGCGAGCAGGGCGGCCTCGGTTCTTCGAGCTTGGGAATTTTCGCTAGGAGCAGCACTTTTAGAAAGCCCCATACTCTGCATTTGCGTATCGAGGTCATGGCGACGAAGCGTCATGAGGGAAACCCAATCGCCGAATACCACATTACCGTCAATGTCGAGTACGGGCTCTCCTGTTTTGCACGTAGAGCAGTGGCAAAGAAACAGTTTGCCTCTGCGGACTGACCCACCAGAAGCGGCAGGCATCGTCAGTGTGTTTCGACGATCGATACGGAGAGAGGACAAGAAGAAAAAGATATGAGACTTATGATCCAGTCAGTACAGATGGGGAATTGATGGGATGTTCATGATCTTACCTAAGACCCCTGCCTTAATGAATATGTAGCTTCCGACGCCGACAAGGGGCAGCTCATCTCGACTTCTTGAATAACAAACACCATTAATATCGATGTGCTCCACCCAGCCACCTCAAGATCAGCCATACCTATGGAAACCATGAGGCGTTCATCGATGTACTCTCTTCCCTGTGGCGAAGCCGTGCTACTCGCTTGGGGCCCTCGAGGATCGCAAGCTCAGCTCCTCGGTCGCTACTTGACGGCGTCAAGACCTAGGAGAAATCGCCTGTCACGGTACGCAAGGTCGGCTCCCAGTGCCCCATGCAGTCCGTCAAGCAGCTCTACAACATCACCCTCCAGCTCTAGCGCTACTCCCGCGTTAACACCCTTGGTCACAGCGGCTTGGCCCGTCCATGCTCGTTAGGTGTCTCAACAAGCGCGGTGAGGTTCGGGAGTATGTTAGCCTGGCCATCGGTTACGTCAAACAGCACACTTTCCACCTTATGCTTCGACTTTGCTAGTCGACTTTGTCAGACAGGTTAGGATAGAACACTGCGAAAGTTGGCTCAATCTAACATAGCCCTCGCTCGACAGCTCTCGAAAGGATGACATCGTCTGTCCACTTTACGACTTTTGGTTATCCGGTTCGCTAGGCGAAAGCGCCGTTTGACAATCTTGAATGCGACATTGTCCTGAGTTCCTCAGATATTTGTGTTCCGGGTTTCAGATCATTCCTGGCCTTCTCGTCGAGCATTCTCAAGGGCACGCTTAGCCTCCTGCAGCCTTCTGATGTCTCCCGGACTGTGGATCTCATAGGAAGCAGCACCGTACTCCAACTTTCTCTGCTGCTAGGCGCGCCGAACCGAGTCTAACGCTACACTCGGGGCCCTCTTTATCCATCTTACCGACTGTCACTCTTGCTGCGGAATAGCTGCAGAGTCGTCAAAGAACTACGTCAGCCCATCTCCTTCCCCACGAAGCACCCGCGTCAACAGTGCGAGCGAGTCAGTGCGCCGCGGTACCCCGGCGGCTACAACACCAATAGCATCACAATACCCGAGCGGTATGTAGATTTCGTGAAGGGGACGAGCGAGGTGTTTCAGGCAATCTGGACGCGCAGTCTGTCTTGGCTGATCATAGAGTGGGCGAAGCGCTTTCGACTGCTGCTGCGGACTGTAGTGGATGTACAAGCGCTGCGCCGGATTTTATGCGCAACCACTTTGTACCGGAGTACAAGAGCCGCGTTGAGGAAGCAATCGAGGAGGTGAGCATGGGTCCCTGTACCAAGCAGAATTCCATCTTAAACTGAATCTAAAGGGACATGCCAGAAATTTGAGTCCGTTTCAAAGCGGGAGGTGTCGATAGCCACGCCTTTGGGGGGCCCGTGATCCTTACGTTAACAAGTGGGTATCTCAACTGATACCGTCGGCGAACATGATCTAACCTTTCATATAAATTACGCTCGTCCTCTTATCAATCGCAACGCGAGCTGCAGCAACAGTTACATTGTCATCATCAAAAAGAATGACGATGTGCGACATGGCGTGGAGTTCTCTCTTTAAGCTTTAAGGCGGGAGTCGGCGCAGGCGGGAGGTGAAGGGAGTGAAACTAGGAAGAAACGGAGACTTGTCGATAGGCCTTGTTCAAAAACATGCATTGCGTATCCAACTAGCTATACGTCTAGCTTATTCATAACCTGGTGGATGATCTAAGATATCAATATTGAGCAAAATGCATGTCCGTACGGCTAAGCTTCTTCACCATGTATGCGAACACGATACAAGCAAGTTTCCTCCCCACCATAGTTATCTAAGATATCTACTACCATGGTCTCAAAAGCGACGTCCAGTAATGTAAAGTCCTCTATAACAGAGAAGGATTGTATCAAATCGTCGGAAAGTATGTCATATTCGATCAAAACCAAGGGAACAAAAATTTGGCTTGCCGAAATTCGCGGAGAAGGGTTGGTTTGGAGTTGGTTGGTTAACGAAGAAGGGTAATTGATGGAAGCCTCCTGGATTCGATGAATGGCAGACTCGTCGTCTACCATCCCCCATATCAATAGCTGACGGGGTGCAAGCCTCATATCTGAAACCTGACGTGGTACATGCTCGAGTGTGATATGGGACACCTTAAGCCGTTGCGCAAGGGTAATCCCAAGTTGACCGGAGGTCGCTTCCAAAAGCCAACAGGAACCAAGGTCGTTGTCTGCATCGATAGCAAGCTCGGGGGAAGGTGTAGGCTGCGGGCTCGATAGGAGGGGGATATGCCAGAGGGTGGTTCTAGAAGGCTGGCTGGTAAGATCATAGTTGATCCTACCGCCATGGGATGCCAACGCGTAATCTCTTCGGCCAAGATAGGCAAGGGAATGCCGGTCCAATGCTTGACGAACGTGCTTATCCACAGAGCTAGTGGAGATGCAATGCGTTTCCAGATGAGAAACCTGTAATTCCAGGCTCTCCAATGCCTCCTCCAGGGCGGAGAACCGAGGAGCGAAATTGAACATGTGAGAAGCGAAGGCGTCTGACAAGCTGCCCAAGCTCAGGGGTGAGTCGTGAAGAGAGTAGCTCGGGATAAAGAACCATGGAGCAAGCATGGCTGTCAAGAGCGCGATGGCAGCTGCACCTCCGAAGGAAATTTGACGTTTGGTGCTCGGGGTAAATAGACGTGTAATTTCTTCATCTTCCAACTCGTTTGATAGCTGCTCCGCTTTCTTTCGGTTATTGCTCGCTCTTGCAAGAGTGGTAAAGCTGTCGTCCTTCAGCATCTATTCATAGTTGTCAGAGAATCGCCCTGAAAAGGAGAAAATAGAACCGTACGTCGGTACTATGACCTTGAGGGTCGACTCCATTTTTTTGAGAGGTCATCATGTAGCTGAGCGAAGAGTGCAGAGTATCAGCCATCGATTTAATCACAGGTTAGTAGAAAAATATGAGAGCTTACCTTGAGTAGCCGATGAAGTGGCTTTAGCGGAATGGGTCAGAAGAAAGTGGATGCGAGGAAAGAGACAGTCAGCCATCAGGTGAGCCCGGACCAGTGCTGGCATCACGTTCCGGATATTACCTAGCTGGGCTGCAGTAGCTACGCATATCCTGCATATCCTGCAAGTAAGCCGAAGTGAGTGCCTGGGTCTCAGATCAGCGCTCAGCGCTCGGCGACTAAACGTTAAATATGTATACCCACGGAATCATGAAAGGAATCCCTAGAGTTCATGCAATATCAAGTACCATCCTATACTTCAAGCTGTCTGGCTGGCGCGTGTAGATCTGCCGGCCCTAGACCGCCCGGCCGTCTTCAAAGGTTAATTACTTGTCAGAGTTTGATGTAGGATATCGCCGGTAGCTATAGGTAATAATTATGGTAATATAGATCCGTTAAGTAGGTGATTTGTAGTTAATTTGGATATCTACGCATAAATTGAGAGCTGCTGAGCGAACACCATCATGGCCGACTCTACCACTCCTCACTCTGAGGACGGCGGCGAGAGTTCTGACACATGCTTTCAACAGTGTTCAGGCTCGAAGCTTACGGATGGGCCTCCTCAGGAGAGTCAATTGACTGCTTCCTTCGCTCTCGTACCAATGACTACTCCTGTCACGGTCGAAGACGGCTACTGCACCCCTTTCTTTCGGACTATGCCTTCGGACGTGCGCGAGCGCCTGGATACTGCCGAGCACAAGATAGAGAGATTAGAAGACGTGATCAAAGAATGCGAACCCAGAACCACCGCTCAAGCCTTAACGATTCAGAAAGTTCTGTCGCAAGGGGTAAGCTTCTTCGAGCATAGTCTGCACCATACTGACCCGGTAGTCGCCTCAGAATGAAAATGCAGCAGCAATTATTGAGCAAGAATCCAACATCTTGGTTCTTCAAGAAAGATTGGACGTTCTTCAAAGTGCTTTTGAGAAGGAGCTAGATGATCATTCAGGTATCGCTCTCACTTTAGCTAATAGATGTCAAACTCATCACAAAAAATTGCGAAGCCACAGTGCTAAAATTTGAAGCTATTTTAAAAGCTGAAATTGCTTCGTCGATCGAATTGCAGGACAAGAGTCTCGAGGCTAAGGGTGCTCAGATCACGAAAATAGAGACAGGACTATCGGAGCTAAGGAAAGCCCAGCTGGACCTTCGTGACAGCAAGGAGACGCTTTCTGATGGCATGTCCTTCATGCATAAGGAACTCGCTCACATATGTGATCAAACCACCTACCTATCAAGTTTGATGGACATGCAGGCCGCCGACTTGCATGCAGAGCTAGATGGTTTGAACGAGCAGGTGTCGGAGTTGCGCAATCTACTGTGCGTTGAAGATCTTGGGCAAGTGAGTCTTCGTGCTGAGTTGGCAAGGCAGGATTTGGTGACACCTGTGGATGGCCAATTGCAATCTTTGCATACTGACGACAACGACATCTCAATCGAGGCACTTTCTGGACGTAGCTCTCTATGGGATCTCGACAGCCTTGAATTACCTGTTATATGTGGTACGCAGACAAGCCTCAACGAAAGCGTGCGCACTTGCGAAAGCTCGCCAGCATCGTACCCACAGTCAACCTGTAGCGCATCCGCGAAGTCCTCCCCAGTGTTCTCCATTTTAAACGATGTCTCCGAGGTTACCACATCACGCATCAAATCCAGCATTCAGCAGGTGTTGCAGTCGGACGTTCTTAAAATAGTGAGTTTCATTCATTCCATAGATCTGTCTTGCGATCCTTGACCCGTACTAGAGTAGCTTCGATTCAAAGTATTTGTTCATCTTCAAGTGGCGCTCTTTGCTGGCGTCCTTTTCCGAGTCAAAAATCCATCCATCGTTGGCGCAGATCATGTGGGCAGCCTTTGGCCTTATCCTTTTCCTTTGCGCTCTTAGCAGCCAAGGGGTCTTCAGTCACCAGAGGGCCCCCACGCAGACGAGGACTTGGAGCAGCTATTACACGCATAGTCAGGGCCGCGGCTTCGCCAAACCGCACTTTTGAGGATCACTAGATACTACCTACTTTGCTACGTTCCGATATTCTTGTAAGCCGGTGCCTCAGCTAAGATGTGTTGTGACGTCAGTATGCAGCGTCCGCAGGAATTCTGATTCGTGATATCTTTCACGGAGGTTTATCTTTTGAGATTCAAAGTGTGAACATTTTGCGATTTCACGAGCAATTCATGAAGTATCTCATGATCCAACCCACACCGGCCCACGGTTGCAGCTACATCGTCTCTCGATCTTCAGTTCTCCTATATTGAAATCATTCTTGGCCCATCTTCGCTCTGGTATCCGCCGCACTTATCGGAGAGTCATTAGAGGTTTATGAAGTCAACAGATGTATGAGGATGCCATGATACGGTAGTGCACCTAAATCTTTCAAGTGCTTCGCAGACCCCATGATGATCGTCCACGAGATGGAGCTCGGGCTCAAGGTTTAAGGACATGATGAGGCGTCCCTGGAGGAACTGATGACCACAAGCGCACGACATTTCTGCGCGTCACTTATCGAGCCTAGATTAAGTTATGGATCATAGGGCAGAGTTTTAAGGGATGTTTGAGAGACTGCATGCGGCTATAAGCTGAGGACGACGAAGGTCGCACAGAAGCCGAGAGTTTGTAAGGGTTCACCGTTACGTCATGCTGCGGCAGCTAAGGCAAAATGACAGCGATTTTGAATGAACGTATTATATACAGGCGACTGAGAAGAAAGTGGAAAGCGAAATCCAAACCATCGAAACGCGCCGTGCACTCCGAGGTTTCATTGACCCTCGTCCAACCCCTCGTATACCTTTTCGTTAGACACAGCGCAGCCCGCCGTCGGAAGGCCCGGTGGATCGGGCTACCCTTTCCCTCACCGTCCTCTCGCTCGTTTCTCATCGCGTCCATCACACCCATCCTGCCGCCACCAAACCGTTGCTCCTGTGCGTCTCGGGCCTGACTAGCGCACTGCCACCGCCAGACGTCCATAGCCTGCACTCCTCCGTCACCGCCTCGGCATCGTCCTCCTTCCCATTGATCATTGCTTCTGTCTCCCACTCGTTCTCAAACTCGACGTCCAGGAGCGCTTGCGTTCGTTGGCTTCCGTCAAGGTTGAGAAACCGCGCGAGGCAACGCGACCTTCCAAGTGCCGATGCAAGAGGGTGCGAAAGAGAGGAGGAGTTAAGAATTGACTGCACCACCGTTGCATGCACAGGCATTTGTGATCTTCTATGCGTCCAACAACCTCATTGGGCGAGTGGAGGAACTGGTGGTGCTCGCGGGATGAAGGGTGGTGGGCACGTCGGATGCGGGTAAGGAAACGGAGGTTGAGGCGGAGGGGCGCTGGTCGCCGAGCGCCAGAGAGCGTGATCGGTCTTTTGCGAATCTATGCCATGCCAGCTGGGCAAGATCTATGGTAAGGGAAATGAGGGGGTCGGCAACCAGATGCGTTTGGCTGAGGGCACCAATGGCGCGTAACTGCTTGGTGCTCGACAGATCGGGCAGTCCCCGCCTTCCTTCCACTCTTGGTGGTGGTCCTCCGCCACCATATGCCGCCTAGTGTGCTCAAAATGTGAGATCAAGGACGCGCAGGTCAAGGGTAGAGGGTGTGCGTACCGGATGAGATCTTCCTCGCGGAGTTCGATGCCTTACTCAGCCTCCCTGAATTCATCGTTGTCATCCGCGACAACATTCTTGTGCTGGTCACCTCTGACGCGCAACAGGCCTGATATAACCTCAACGATGGGTATTGCACTCGATAACGCTGAGCCGCTCACCTTCACCATGGACAATATCCTCCCTGCGAATCTCCGGTTTCTGGTAGCTTTCGTCGTACTACGTAGCTCAGTACACGGGTGCCAGTCGTACATAACCAGTGCGTCTATATTGATTGGTGAACCAGATCGGCCATTTAAAAATAAGCGAGACACATACATCGAATGGGCTGAAGAACATCAAGGTCAATCCACTTGCAACAAAGCCGCCTTAGACAGATGCCCAGCCACCAAATAACGCGTTTAAGCGCTTACAGTTTCACAGTCCAGTTTTGTTGAGTCTGCTGGAAGTCCTACTCTTTTCTCAACACTGCTCAGAACGAAGTTAGGAAATCTGGCCCCAAACGCACCTTGCCCGTCGCCTCAGGGTTACCCGTCAGCCAATGGGTAGACTTGAGATCCGGTATGTAGCGATGTGGAGAGGTCTGAGGGTTCTTATATGTTCCATGAAAGCAGGCTAGCCGCAGCGTGTCCGCTCGTCCTGGGGAGAATATACGTCGATAATATGTACATGCCCACTGGACGCAGCTTGCCCCAGCACTTCGTCGTTCATCAAGGTGAATGCCTCAGCCATGTCACTGCGGTAGGCTGTGCTGATTTTGTTGCGTTTTCAGTGGTTTGGTGCGTCTACACTGAAGCTTGGGACAATATAAGCGTGTATAGACATCATAGCTAAAGCGCTAAGGAGGCGATCTCACTAGGATGGAGTTATTGGCTACTCGCTCTTATGTCGTTTGTGACCTCACAGCTCTTGCAGATTGCGTCCATTATAAGCAGCCCATCGGTAAGCTTCTCCAGCTGTCCCTCATCCTCAGCTGACATCTCACTTATCCACGTCGTCATTTTTAGGTGTGATGTACGTTTCCTAGTTCTTAACATCCTCTTCCTGCCCCTCACTCGCTGAGTCTGAGAAGACACTCAAGTAGGTGCAATGGATGGCTAAAGTAGAGCCTTGCAGCGGGTACGGATCGCAATATCCAAGATGCATCGGCCATAGCTGACAGACATCTAAGTGCGCATGCGGCTTAAGGTATCCAGCGACAAGTGCGAGTCACGGTAGAGCTACATCCCCGCGCTCTCCCACACGTTGTCAAACCGCTCGTAGATGACGGCTCAGTGCGTCGTCCTATTGCCACTCGAAATGAACTCAACTGACTTTGTTTTGGGTATGCAGAGTACAGTGGACGATGTCATCAAGCGCATGGACGAATCATTTGTCTCGCGTGAGGACGGTCGAGCTTGCGCACAGGAAGATTCCGGCTGCAATGAAGACTCGGATGATGGTCATGCGCAAATACAACTCTACTGAACACCCGACCCTGTTCCACAAGGCGACGGACCTGGGCAAGGTGCTGAACAAGGATATGCGTTCTTTTGTTCGCCCATCTCTTGTCGCTTTGACTTATGGGTCTGATTATGAATTAGTGACTAGGTCGGCAACGAGGTGTCTCCGTATTCGGACGACGAGACGAAGAGCCAGCATACGGATGATAGTAGTGGAGACGAGTTCGTCCAGCATGCTGGTGCGAATGGCAAGGGTAAGGCAAAGACAAAGGAGCCATCAAAGGCAGCGAAGGCGGTAGTGAGGACATAGGCAAAGGATGAGGCGCCAGCGAAGGCACAAGAAGGAGCGAAGTCTAAGCACTCCTTTAACCAAAGTCGAGTATGCTCTATGAAATTTAGTAGCACTCTCATGTGTCTTTCATTCCCGTCCTCTTTTTGAGCATAAACATGGCACCATTGTATGTAACTTGCCTTAGTAATTCACGCAATCATGCACATGTCTAGTTGAGCGTTTGCTCTTAAACGTTTAAACGTCCGAGTATGTAGGCGTACGCGAGGCAAACATAGATGGGGGTATGTTACTACGTATCAGCCGATAAGAGCATTGCACACTTGCTGCTCGTCAGGGAATGGGGTAAGTGGTGCGTACTCTTTGATCATAGCCTCGCAAAACTGGACCTCTTCCGTAATTGCCCCAACCAAATCAATAGCGCGCTCGAAGGTGAACTGAAAGTCCAACGGTAGGGTTCGTTTGAATGGTGAAGGCAGGGACCGTATCTTCTTGATAATCTCCTTACCCGTAACCACCTGAAGCGCCATGTCTCCATACAATGTATGCAAAGCCTTCGAAGAGTCGAGCTGCGCCCGGGCACGCATTCGATCCTCCTGGAACTTGAAGTTGCTGTCAGGTCCTCTATAACCCATGGTCCAGTGGGCTACAGAAAGGCTAATAGCGTGCAGGGAGAGCATGAAATCTGACATGGATGTCGAGTGCAGGGAAGGTGACCTGGATGGGAATCAGACGAAAGTCCACGCTCTGTGAGTTCCCCTCTCACTGCAAACCGATAGATAATTTAATACCTTCGCCGGCTCGGAACCTTGTTGCGAGTCATGTCTCAATTAGAACTGATATCTCCGTCGGGTGGGATAGTCCTGTGATAGGATTCAGTCGAATATTGTTCACAGTACGGGATATACGTGATGCTTACCGTTCAATTGTATAGGCGCAGGGAAATGGTGTAATAATGAGAGCGGCGGAGCCCGGGGTTTCTAATCGCGTACCGCGGGTCCGAACAAACTACGACAAACATTGATGGACTCAGGCCCAACGTCACCGCCTTTGATTCCAGTTACCTTGCTAGAACAAGAACAAGAACGTGAAGCTGAACTAGATCCTGAGACTATTGTCCAGGAAAAGTGCACTCATCTGCTGCCTGACCCCCTCTCCAAAACATGAAATCTACCGTCCTATTCCTCGAAGTGAATGTCCAACGTAAGCTAACCATCCATTACCTCTGGGGACATCAACACGCAACATACACCGTGACAGATTCTTCATTGCCATTACGCAAACGAACGATTCCTCCAATGGACGAACACCCTGACCAACCAACTACCCGTTGAACTTCCGACATAAAGAAAAACAAAGTGCTTTCGCTCCTAACGTCTGTGCTCTGCGTCACGTAAACCTTCCTTCTCCGTCTTTACTCTTCACTTGTATTCGTCAGGAATCACCTCACCCTCTGTAATATTTAAAATGCATCGTCTCAGGGTCATATGCGCGGAGTTACGCACCAACAGAGAAACTGGCGAATGACGACGTGCAACTGCTTTTCGAGGCATCTTGAGTTTCATTCGATATCGCACGATAGAAATGCATAGGTACACCTCCTTCGGGTGCCGCTAGGTGCCGCTAGCTTACATAGATATCAAGCCGAGGCCCCATCGGCGAGAACAGACCAAACACATACTTTCTCGGTATTTGTGCGGAGTGAAATTCTCATCACCTCGCTGTATCGTCTTCTTGACTCTCACTGTGTAGTCATCGTCGTCAGATATAGCTCTGTTTTACGAGAGACACGCGCACCAATGCAAGCTCTTCCGAACAAAACTCCTAGCCTTACCACGTCGAGCCCGTCGGTGATTACGTGACGAAGAAGCTGGAAGGGAGATCGTCGGGAAACAAATTTGAAATCCAAGTACGGCGAATATGGCACACAGAGAAGTGACCTTCGGCACATAGTTGGGTAACGTTTCATCTTCACAAGGACCGACGACTGAGTAAAAAGAGTGTCTCGAGGAATCATGCGTACCTGACGCCGACTGAACGATTGCGAAGAGGACGCTTCGCCGACAAGATGGATGACAGCAACATCGCCTGACCGATAACTGACAGGGATTAGTATTCGTCGAGGTGCTATGTGGTGAACACATCTCACTGTATGTCGTCTTTGATGAGCGAAAACTTGAAGTATCGCACATCGTACCAAAGGTCGGAGTGTTATTCATGCGTTGGACACGGACGGAAATGCGAGGAGTTGGGGTGGAGAGCATAACTTCTGGGACTGTTTCTGAGCCCTGCCGCATTGTTTCACGTCCTCGTCGCATCTACAGAAGTTTTTGAGCACATTACTGGCGAGCTTGATATGGCATCACTGACCAGCTTGATCTCTCTTGATCTCTCCAGGTATAAACGAGGCAAGCAAGCCCAGCACAGAGCTAGGGAACTTGGAAGGTGAGAACTGGAGGATACATGCGCGCTAGTTTCGCAGAAGGGATTTGAAGTTTAAACTGCATGCGCACTTGAATTCACGAGAATCCATGGGGTAATCAATAAGCTGAGGAGGGGTGGCTTTGTAGAGGCGATGAGATCTGAGACTTGCGTGTATGCGTTTCTTGAGGCGTTGGCTTGTGGTTGTTCGAGTGTGTGGTCTTCAATGGTAGAGCGCATGAGGGCGTATGCTGGCGCGTGTGCATGAGCACGGATATAATTGGCTTTGGATCGGTCTCTCGGTCTCTCCGATTAGTTCGGAGTTCCTCTCTAGGTCTCCCTTGAAGCTTGAACCACGTCCACATCTGAAGATCTGACCTTCACACCATGATAAAAACAAAGCCCTTTGGGCGAGCCTGGATCCCAGGAAATTGATACGACACAAGTACTATTACGAAGTCAAGAACATTACAAGTATTGTTATAGTAGAGAGATGTACACTACGATTCGTACAAGTGAAGTAAGAGTCTGAAACCGAAGAAAACGTGCGATGTTTGAACGAGCCTCAAATGTTAATGAATGCTGCAGACTGGGTAGCTGCGGGAGCTACGGCAGGGCTGTGACCACAACCCAGCAAATTGAGCTGAACTAGCTCGAATTGAGCCTTTGTACGCTTTTGCCCGTTAACGTTGACCTCATAGCGGCGTAAAAGAGCATCAACAGCGTAATTGTGCGGTTCACGATTGGTCTACGATGGAGGTTGTCGGCAAGGTCTTTGCCCGTGTCGTCGTTTTAGAACGCGCCTTTGAGCCCTGTTGTTCGTACCAATGGTTTGTACTACCCCGGCACCATCTCATAAACATTTCCCCGGATCTGACCCTATCCTCCAGCCCATGCTACGGTCCTGTTTGTTGATGGCCCGTCAGAGGCTGGAAGACCTGGTATGCAAACCACCTATCCCTTAATTGTGAGTCCAAACTTTGAACCATGCAGGTTGACGCGACTGACAAGAACTCGCCCTCACCCGACGTCTGACGCTGAGAGAGATGTCGACGCCCCAAACACCTTGCAACTCCGGGCTCACACCACCTTCACCACCAGATTTTGGCCCCAGGCGCAAAGTAGCAGCACAGGAGAATTGACAGTTATCACTATGGACTAATGATCTGGATGAACCTCTATATACATGATGCGTTTGTTGTATGACAGAACGTATTGGCCAAAGAGATAGGAGGTGGTCACATTGGCCACATTATATCAGCATGGACGTGTAATTGTTTAATGCTATAACAAGCCGGGCGGATGAATTCAGGGCTTGCATTAATATTGCTAGATCTTGCCCAGGGTCGTTATATATACTGGCCGAATACCGGCGGTTAGGTTAGGTCCGAAGAACACGAGCGTCGGGGTCGGAAATAAACCAATAGGGTGGCTTTGTCGCACCCGAGCCGCCCCTGGCGGTTAAGCGCTCAGCTTGAGGCTGAGCGCTGAGTACGAGTACTGAATACTGAATACTGAATGCTGAGTTACTAGTCCTTGCAAGGCGAACTTCCCAGATCTAGAGCTTTTCCGCCGCTTTCATCTGTACATATGCAAGTTGGCCCACCTTAGTAAATTGGTATCGTGATGCGCGCCATCAAATCATGGCCCATCAAGGATTTTCTAGCGTAAAAGATTTGCTTGATACTGTCTCCCTTGCCTTTCCTGCCTCCTTTGCCTCCGCCTGCATCGAGCCTCACATTATGTCGGAAATGACTATCTCTCGCTTTCAAGAAGACAAGTCGCTGTTTTTTGACGACGGCAATGTGGTGGTTGCTGCAGCCTCCTTGCACGGCGAAGAGGGTCTCCTTTTTTGCGTACACAAATCTATACTGTCCATGCATTCCTCCGTCTTTGACGACATGTTCACTCTTCCCGATCTTCCGGTCGACTCTACCGACTCAAGCAATTTGTACAAAGGAAGGTCAATTGTGCGGATGTACGACAAGCCCCAGGATGTCCGTAGCCTTCTTCGATTCTATTACCACGCCTCGTGAGCAGTCCGTCCCTTCAGAGATAACGTGCATTAACTAACATGACGGTAACAGAATGTTTCCACTCACTCGCTATGACCCTGAGACTCCAAGCAAAATCGAAGGCATTCTCCGTCTTGCAAAGAAGTATCAAATAGATTCTGTGTGGCACAGATTAGTTCATCAAGTCGAAGCGGATTGGCCGACTTCACTCCCAGAGTGGGACCAGCTCAAAGGGGAGATAGAGCTTCGCCATTCGCGCCGCATGGAAGAAAATTTGCCGGACGAGCTACCGCACAACGACGATGTTTACCCAGAACCAGGGGCCGCTATTTCTCTCGCCCGCGAATTCTGCCTCTACGACATTCTGCCAGCTGCATTCTATCATCTTTCTCGCACCCAGATATCTTGCAACCGGGCTGCCAAGACGGATGACCAGGGCGTCTCCGACAATATTGCCGAGATTCACGAAGACGGTGGCCGAACCGCGAATTGGTCATACCTCACTAGAAACGATTTCAAATGCCTATTGCTAGGTCGAGAACGCATCCAGCGATTTATGGAAAGCAAAGCTCTCCAATTTCAAAATTCCTCTCGCTTTGCAGATTGTGATCTTGGATGCGACAGGCGAGGTATCGAGACCAAGTTCCAACTGGTGCTTCAGTCATCGGACGTCTTAGCTGGGTTGAAGGGATTTATTACTGAAGATTACGCTACCGATGGAGTATGCTCTCCGTGCATTTCCAGGGCAAAGAGGGACGCACAGACTCTACGTCAGGATGTGTGGGCTAAGCTCCCTCAACTATTTGACCTCCCAATGCACAAAAGCGGCCCGTGGGTTCTGTTCAGACTCGACGAACTCTAGTGGAAACCTACGTAATATCTGTAGTTAACTACGGAAAAACCTGCTGTATCAAAAATCAAAATCAAATAATGACTTATCACTCGGTAGCAGACGTACTCAGGAGCACACAGTACCTACTTAGGTAGAAGGCGCACGTAACTAAAAACCCAAGCCTCGTTATAACCGCCCATTATTGCGCCATCGCGCTATCACGCTTACTTTGCAATCATCACCCAGTTACCGACCCATCGATCTTCACCTAAAAAAACACATCGAAGGTGAGTAGGTCGAAAAGCCTGCCTGCGAGACGAATAAAATAAAATAACCATCCAGGGCTTGATGAGCCAGCACACGAGCTACGCGCCCAAGACTGACGGTCTGGCGACGGATACTCAACAGGAGACGCAGCAAGTCCCTCAGCCAGTTCATGTCGACCCACAGGGCATTGAACGACGTGTGTGGGGGGTCCTCCAACCATGCACTTCAGCGTTTAAGCGTATCGAGTTCTGCATGGAGCAGAAGGTCATCACTATTGGCCGAAACCCGGAGAAAAATGTGGTCGTCCTCCCGGGCCTTAGAGTTAGTTAGTATCGCGGTTTCCCTCTAATCCCTTTTCGGCTGAATGCGAGTGCTAATTATACAACTCAACCCGTACTAGGCAATGAACACTGTGAAATTCGCTGGGATAGTAAACTAGACGAGAAGTCGCACATTACTGTGTACGACACCTCGAACAACGGCACCTGGGTAAGTAATTAATATCTCACTTCATTAATATGCCCGTTCTGAAATACGTCTATAGATCAATGGAGTCAACATCGGGAAAGGTAGCTCCGGCATATTGAAAGATGGAAACGAGATCGCGTTTGGGCACTCCGTCGCTCAACCCGAACGCCCCTTGGAAGACTATCGTACGTCATTCGTAACTTCCTTATCTTCCTCTCTCACGGGCACCATTTCAGGCTTCATCTACCGTCACATGGCATACCGTCCCATGGCCTCGGGTCCGCCCAAAGTTGGTCTACACGCGTTTTACGACATCGGTCATGAGCTTGGCAAAGGTTCCTTTGCGACCGTCATGAGAGGGCTCTCACGCAAGACAGGGCAGTGGTATGCCGTCAAGATCATCAACCTCCAGACCCTCAAACGGCTTCAAGCGGGCTCCGGAAGTAGCGGGAGCTCCGGCGCGCGAGAAGACAGTAAGATGGCTGTTGCATTCGCAAGGGAGGTATCCATCCTCCAGAAGCTTGAGCATAAGAATATCTGCCTGCTCAAGGAAGTGTTCTTCGAAGAGTCTAGCATTAGCGAGTGTTTAATCTGGTAGTCATTTCATCTCGCGGGTCGCTTATATTCTCGTTCAACAGGTCTGGTACTCGAGTTGGTGGAAGGAGGGGACTTATTGGACTATATTTGTCTCTATGATTATCTAAGTACGCAGCTAGCTATCAGTGCTTTTATTTCATCTACTCATTTCTGCTTAGACGAGCCACTGGCGTGCCACATCACATACCAAATTGCAGACGCCTTGACCGTGCGTGACTCCCCTCTTTTTCTTGCCTATATCTCTGATGTCGCATTGATACAGTACGTCCATGCTCTCGGCATTGTTCATCGTGATCTGAAGCCTGAAAACGTGCTCCTTACTACTGAGAGCCCTCCCAACGTTAAGGTCGCCGACTTTGGTCTTGCCAAGGTGGTCGATGACGAGACACTTATGCAGGTTCGTTGGCCGCTTCTCCGCTTGCTTCTTTTTCAAATGGAGGTTACTACAGACAATGTGCGGTACGCCTTCATACCTCGCACCGGAGGTGGTGACCCAGAAGAACTCAGAGGGATACAACCACCTTATCGACGCTTGGAGTGTGGGGGTCATTGTTTTCACGATGCTCACAGGACAAACACCTTTCGTCGAAGACAAAACAATAAATGACATTAAGATCCGCATTGCGGAGCGTAAAATTGATTGGGGAATTCTCGGGGACGCACACCCTAGCCAGGACGGTGAGCACCCATGGACCTCTGCATGTGCGCATTTCCTTACATGGGACCTCCCTGTTAGCCCAGCATTTCATACAGAGCTTACTGCAGTACCTCCCCGAGAACCGCATGCCCATGGCTATGGCCCAAGAGCACCCTTGGCTTGCTACGCACGCGGGTGTGGAAGAAATCAAGCCCTCGCCCTCGGTCACAAGGAACGCGGATCCCGTCACCTCCAACCCTTCGCAGCTCTATTCTCACTCCATCAATGATGTCTCTGCGTTGCTGAGGTCCATCAGCGAAAGCTCGCTCTCGAGTGTTCCGGAGGAAACCGAAGATATTGTCCCCAAAGCAAATGCTGCTCTTCGTACCAGCCCTGGCTCGTTTACGACTGCTGGCGCTGTACCCACGCTTGCATCTGCTCGTGTGCCCGGGCCGGCACCGGGTTCGGTGGACTCAGCAAGTCTAGCGACAAGCGCCTGCGGAAATAAACGCAAATCAACCTTTGCTCTTGATGTCGACCAGCCGAGCGAGAAGGGCTTGAATCACGAAATGAAGAAGCGTAGAAGTGCGTGTACGGCAAAAGTGGCAGCGCCGTCTCTTCAATTGAGGTCGCCATCGCCTAAGAAAAGGGGGAATAGGACCACGCCAGCCGGAGCTACGTATGCGAGTGTTGGTGGGGAGGCCACAGATAGAGAGGCAGTGTCTCCCACTAAGATGTCTAAGGGACGGGCGACAAGATCTTTGCGCGGGCGGGGGCGTAGCCGCGCCGCCACCGCTTCTGTGACTACGGCTTCTGCGGGGATCAAGGCCGACGAGATGGACGCAGACGAAGATGAATTGACCGCGACCGCTGCCTTAAGCTCTTTGTCACTGTGTTGAAATAGCTAATCATACTAATGGTCTTGGCTATCGCCGATATATCATCACGGTTATATACCTACTTCATGCAATCTTGAGTTTGCACGATCGCTTGAAACTACGATTATTATTATTATGTAGTATTTAGTATGTTGAAGTCCGTTCGTGATTAATCGACTCGAAGCTAGTAGCGGGCTCCGCTTAATCGTCTTAAGATCACGTTGTCGTTTTTTCAGCAGCGATCTCCATGCACAGCGTTAATGAGTACCTTAGTACGTGTCTAGTACCTTAGTACGTGTCTAGTTCCATATAAGTATGCTCGAGCCCTCCGCCTGTAAATCGCGCGATTCCGATTTAGGGCTTTTTTCCTGCCGCCTCCTAAGGTAGCTAACAGCGATGGCCAAGTACCGCTGCCCCTCTTTGAGTACCGCTTCATTCTACCGTAGTGCCTCCGATGTCGCTGAAGACGAGCCTTATAAACAAGAGTCTCAGGAGACATCTCCCTGCAACGAAGGGACGCTCCTGAATACGGCCAGCATCCATATCTCAGTGCTCTCACTTCAACAACTGACCTTCATTACCATCTCCAGGAATTTCATGGGGGCACTCTCGGCGTTGAAACAATACCCGAAATGGAACATACCCAGGAGCCTTCCCAGAGGGTAGATACCAAGAACGAGGGATATCAGGTGATGGGAGCGCACCTCATGGCTCAGGTAGCCGCCAAGGTTCAAGCACAGAACCAGGCTTATATTTTTGTTGGTAACGTACATTTGTTTTTCAAGCATTGGTCGTCTGCCTTTGAGATTTGACATAATTTCGTCCAGTTCTCCCCGGCCACGACAGAAGATGAGCTGAACGAGTTATTCTCGTGCTATGGTACTGTCACCGACGTCAGCATAATCTGTAGTGGTGACCTACTTGTTCCAAGGGTGAAGGTGGACCCGAGTTATTACAGTGGTCACCTAGTCCAGCAACATGCAATGGTACGATTCTCTAGCTCGATGCACGCGGACAACGCGTTACAGCTGGATGGAACCTTTTGGAGAACGTCGAAGATAGCGGTTGGTTGCCTCTCGGTTAATACATTTGCGTGATGATGGACAGCTTTCAGGTCTCTCGCAATTTCTCCGACTTACCGGAGTTCCACTACAAGGTTTATCAAAACTCTGTAGGGGTTCTTAAGAAGTATGATCAAAGCGTGACAGTTCTCCAGTCTCATCAGTACGTGATACAAAACATATCATTCTTCCAAAAGGCAGCTCATTTCATTTCCTTGCCCCAGCCCCAGCACTCTTCAACCTCAGCCGACCTTGATAATTGGCGATGAATACATCAATGATACGAAAGTTGACGGCGATTACAATAAGGATCAAGAAGCAAAAAAAGTCGACGAACACAACCAGGATCACGAACTCCAACACCAGGCGGAGCTTGATAACAAGGAGGGTGGCATTGAGGGGTATCGCGTTTTTGGATCTCTACTAGTCAAGTCACTCGATCTCCTAGTTAACGCGTTTGTCTGGTGAATGCCTCAGAAAGAAGGATGATGGTTTATCAACGGTTTTTCAAGTGACCTAGTACGAGCTCGCTTTATTCGCATCTTGAGAGACTGTTTCGTTCCGAAGGTAGGGTCAATTAAGTACTTTCGGCCGTCCAAGCGCGGCGGCTGGAGCTAAATCACGTACCACTTGGCGATCGCGGGTACATAACCCGCGAAACAACTTACTGACACGTGACACCTTGTTCTTCCGCTGCTTTCGCTTGTGCTGTACCCCTCGCGCTGCTGCTCGCACCTCTCCCCGCCAAGCAGTGGGATCAAGTCTCTTACTGCACCAAGGTGTACCCTTTGAAACGGCAGAATGCGGAACCGCGCTCGAAGCGTCCCTCATTTTCACCCCGCTCAGACGATCCACAGCAAGCGGCGTCAAGAGCGTTGTCGAGCGGGTTCCAAGGGAAATGGGACATAGCTGTTGAAGATACTCTCCGGGCCCGATCCAAGCAGGCTGAAAGCACGACTAAACGTCTTCTGGAGGAGACGAGCGATCCAAAGGGACTCTGGTAGGCATCCTACTATCTCTGAATCGCAATGCATCCATCTTCTGCCAGTTTGCGGCATTCCAGAATAGTCCTGCTGTACCGTTGAAGCGCACGTCTGGTATGTCTCTCTGGGTTTTGTATGAAGTATCACCGAAAGCTGACCGCTCCATATCATCAATAACCTTGTAGCCATCGACACTGCTGAAGGCTTTCGACGTTCCGGGTCGTGCTGCAGAGCTTGAAGAATACACGTCTCTGCTGGAGAAAGGCGATGACAGTGTTTGGGTGGTACAGAAAAAGGCTCAGCAAGTAACAATCCTCCTTCGCCGGATAGAACGTTCCCGCTGAGCCATGGCGTATTTACCTTACCTGGCACCGCGCCCCTTGTCCATATACCGAAGCATGATGTTGGTCCTATCATTTCGAATCTATGGGCAAAGGATAAGAAAGGAGATCGACTGCTGGTGCTTTGCTGAAGGCGCTGGATCCATCGAAAGTGAGAATAACCCTATATTGTCAGTAAAGTGCCTTATACTTTGCAGAAGCCATGAAGTACGCTCTCATTGTTCTATGGGAGACACGAACCGAACTGGACGGTCGAGAAGCTGACATGTTTACTGCGGTTTTCCAAGGATACTCGAACCGTAAGCGTGTTTTAGCAATGGCATAATGTTCGTTTGTATTTATCTTTGGCTGCCCTGTAGATCCTAGAGGCGATCATGACCATACGCGATGATCTTTACTCCCGCGCCGAGCTAGTCTATGGCTTGACCCCGCTACATGGAAGTCTGTGTACATGGCAGAGCCATCTGCAAATGTTGACTCGAAGAATGCCATTCATTCGTCCGGCCTCATCGCCTTGGGGAGGTTCATCACGCGCCTTCCACATGAGATTCCGGAGGACGAGTCGCTTCGTCTGAAATCAACTCTCCTTTCTGTAAGGAAACTCTTAAAATGCCTACCGAGAAATGATCTGACTAGAGGTTTCTCTAGGCTTTCAACGACTCTGCCCCGGTAGTATGAGAGACTGCGCCGGCAGCCGACACCATAGCCCAGATGGCTCCCCTTGATGGCCTATCGCAGTATCAGAAGCATCTGTTCACGTATTACTTAGAGACGCTCAGTGCACATGGGCACAATGGGTCGTCTGGATTAGTTCATGAACACGCTGCGGTCGACGAAAGCTTAGCAGCCGGGCATGCAGGAACGCTTGATCGCGGTTCTTGGGACCCGAGGCTAGGTCCGAAATCGATTCCCTAATTTCATCTTGTTCATCATATATACACTAGTGTCTTAACGGCCACAGTTTCTGCTCCGCTTGCGTCTAACGTGCTCATTCTGATAGATCTGCAATCATATTCCCAGTAGTTTTGTTTTCTCAACCACTTGGAGACTAAAATGTGCATCTTCGCACCGAATTTGGGTTCCACCTGCCAGAGAATTGCAAGCACCGAGAATAATATGAACACTATACCTCTGGATGTCCAAGGAGAAGATCAAAGCGAATGTTCAAGCCCCCAAATTTTATCTAAAAATTCCTGAGCGTTGGGGATGCAGAAGAGCCCGAAAAATCATCAATCATCAGCGAGGTTTAAACTGTCCACTGACCATCGCGTTCGAATTCAGGGCGATACTCACTATCATCCTTCTCGTCCTTATCTATATTACAATCCTCATATCCGTCTTTGAGACAGACTGACAACCTGCTCGCCGTCCCAATGGCCCAGCACCAAAATGGCCTCAGCTTCAACCCGGACTTGGGTCGAGGTGCGTACACATGCATAAGGTATCTTTACAGCACAATACTGACCTGAACAATCGTAGCCAGACTACCCGCTCTCTTAGATTGCCGCTCGTTCACACCTGTTCAATCGGCATGCTAATGACCTCATCCAGAGATTATTCTTGACCGTGTCAATCACATCGCCAAGGAGCACACGCATTGAGGCGTGTTACCGCGGTCGACAACCTCTTCCCCCGACACCTCCAAAGGACCCGGATAGTCAGACGTTTCGACTCCGTGTCGACCACACCGGGCGCGACGATCGAAGGTATGGGCGTGGTGACGCTTCTACAACTCTTTAGGTACTTTGCTGCGGACAGACCTCGCCGGACTGTTGTATTGAGCATCAAGGATGGACTGAATGGTCCATATGCGGGGGTTTCCGGTCTCGTTCAGCGAAAGCTTTTGAAGGGTGTTGACAGCGGATCTGCATTAGAGAGGTTCGTATCTCATCTACAGAAGTGGGTGCTAGTCGGCACAGGACTGCAAGCGTTCGTGGTGGTTGATACTTGTTAAACCCTTTTGCGCGCTTCACATTTCCTGCTCGAACGTAAAATCTAATGGAAAACATTGCATGGAAGCGCTGAGCGCTAAATGTGTACACTAAGTAGCGTTCGGCTTGATACTAGTGGTGGGTATTCGGTACTGGTGTAAATCTAAATAGTCCTGCGAATAGATGTATGTTGTTCGTGTAAGTACTAAGTGCAGTTCCGGCCAGTATATACTGATTGAAGGGTTTTGTCGTTGCATAACATAGGACACAGAAGAAAGGGAAAGAGCACAAAGATTAAAAGAAAAGACATAACCCAGTAATAGTTGTCCGTCAGCTCTGGATCATTGCGGGGCGCGTAGGTCGACTTCTTTGATAGCCTGTGAATCGCTGTGTGCTTTGCGGAAGACGGCGCGTTCGGTGAGGAATGCACGAAGCGCTGGGGACCCTTCTTTGTAGAGGGGTCCGCAAGAGACTGGTAGGCATCAGGTTTGTCATGGTCAAGGAGGAAGCGCCGTGCGGACGCGAACTAGGAGAGGCAATGAAACAGGCAGAGAAGTAGCGATAAAGTGCTGAAAGGCTATACGAAGGGCGGGTAATGTTGAACTGGAATTAGGTCAACACGGGGCGTAGCCATATAGAGGGAATTGAATACGGATGATGCGACAAAGGGTCGTCACTGACTTGCGGCCTCCTTCCCGCGCTCGGGCTCGCGCTTAGCGGTTCGCTGGGGCTCGCAGTTGGTGGGCACGGACATCACAGAAGCCATGGCGGGGGAGGAGTTGAAGAAGAGACAGCTTTCCAAGTGAGCGTAGAGGCATTGTCGGTTACGGAAGGCTCTTGATAGCAGGTGCTGCCAGGTGCGCCTTTGCGATGGTGAGCCGCACACCCTGGTCGGAGGCGCGCCATGCAGCTTTGCAGCGCCCCCTTGACAGGCTCCAGTCCAACATGAGGGGGGACGTTGGGGTTGGCGATCGGAAAGGCAACGCCAGCTGCCTGAGGTTGTGGGCAGCGCGATGGGAACGGACCAACTCCCAGGATGAAACGACCTGCGACCTTGACGGTGGACTGTCCATTGGGGGGACACTCTTGACGGTGCTCTTGACGGCGGGCTTCCCATTGGGGAGCAGCACTCTTTTTGACGACGGGCTTCCCATTGGGGAGCCGCGTTCTTCTTGACGATGGGCCTCCCGTTGGGGATCCAGCCGCGCTCTTGACAGCGCTCTTGACGGCGGACAATGGGCCTCTCATTGAGCTCCGCTGGGGACATGGAGATAACCCTTCGGGCGACGTTGAAAACGCCAAACCACACGCGGGTGACTGCGCCTGCGAGAGGAGACAAAGCGAGAGCGAACAATTGGTAAGAAACCGGCCAATGCCGATGGCTTATGTAAGGAAAGCGGGACATTACTGCACCATACATAGAGTACTATTTAACCATAGTGCATTGTCTCGTTCAGCACGCGGTACCGGTGATACAAATCAAATGGCTACAGTAAATCCGGAAATGCAGATACTGTCCCTCGATTGCAACCGCCTTGTATGCTCGCGGAATTAAGCTGAACTATAGCCTCCTCTGCTTGATTAATACACTCCGAGTCTCCGAGTCGTCATTTGTTGTTGGAGATAGATTTTACCCTTTGCCTCATAGTCTCACTGAGGTTGACGAGCTGCTGGTAGAATCGAATGCCTTTACTATTGCGGTGTAAGGGGGAGATCAAATGAAATACGCGAGGATACTCACTCAAGGCCATCCTGAACCTGCATATACCCATCTCGTGCTCTTGCGAACGTCCGAACAGCATCCTTAACGCGCTTCTCCCTTTCTACCCACCCCCTAGCATAAAGGCCATGGGTCTCCATATCCTGCAAGGTTTTCCACAGCAGTGTAATTTCCTGTAATACTACTTGCTGGTGACGATCACATTCATGCCTCCGCTGTTGATAGAATTTGAACCTTTCAAGTTCAGTAGTAATGAGGCTAGGCTCAGTATTAGAAGTTTGCCTAGTGATTAGCAGCAACTGCAAGGAATCGCCACGTTGAGCCTGAAAATTATATCAGCACGATGATTGCACCACAAACCACTGAAACAACTTTGTTTCGTAGATCCTTGAGCACGTCGCTGCGCTCGGACCTTATCTCCTTCAGCTTCTTCAAGCGATCCTCAATGTCTGTTATACACTGCTTGATCTTTCTGCGTTTGCGTTCGTCCGACAGATCGCTCGACAGGTCCAAGTACGGGAGGCCATCCATTTGTGGGATTTTATGTATGCTCGACCTGAGCACGTCCTCCAAGTTGTCAGAAATTAAAAGACCAATGATCCCTTTCACTGAATCCCAAAGCGCGGCGACCTGGCCGTCTGATGAAGCAGCAGCATGGAGTGCGGCTACTTGTGAGTTTAATTCGGAGCGAATTGATCCGTCCGATAACGCAGAGCGGTCCCGGTGCGTACACGGGTGGTTCCGGTTATATCCGACTCGCATGGCCTTGCGATCTCGCGACTTGAGGTCATACGAAACCGAGTCAAGCACGTCTGTGGCGGAGGCCTTGAGCTTGCCGAGCTCCCGCATGAGCATGTCAACACCCTTGCGATCTTCCATGGCCCCGATGTCCTCCCTCCACCGCCTCATGTCGCGCGGGATATCCTTCACATCGATTCCTCCTTCTGTAATCGCCTTGAACCGCGCCAAACCATCCTGAACGCCTATCGCATCGAGGGCACTGCATGCCTCTGTGTCGGCACTCTCCGCAAGCTCGACCTCGCGACGTATGAGTTCCGCCTTCTCCTCCATGTACACGCTGGTGCTTTTATGTATATTCAGAGGGATTAGCTTGGAGAAGATATCGAGGCCAGTGACTTTCTGCATGTCCGGCGTCCCGTAGAACTCTTGGATTGAAACCGGTGTCGCAACGATCGCCTTCTCGATGGCGGGAAGCGTACCGTGAGATGGAAGAGCGGCAATGTAGATTAGGTCATTCTCGCGCGTGGCCTCACTTCTTCGCTCCGTACAGAGGGAAAGATGCACTCGAGTGGAGTCAAGAATGGCGCTGCCAGCATCAACGGGAAGCGATGACACAGAGCATACAAAGAGAGCGTTGAAGGAAGTTGCGTCTTGATTTGCTTCATTAGCTAGTGATTCGGCGAGTTTGAAACGGACGAGGGCATTGCCGTGGTTGCCGGCTTTGTCGTCTACCAGCCCGCGATAGTATTGCGCGAGAGAGGCAAAGTACTTAGATTTGATCTGAGGAGTAATAGGTATATTGAACTCGCTTGAACAAGGGGAATCAGCGTACCTGAAGAATCATGTTCCACTTATGATCAACGACACCTTTGTACGTGAGCGCCTTAACCTCCTCAGTCGACGCGGTGTACAAGTGCGCGGTTTGAGAGGCGACTTTGGATATCAGAGTGTGAGCCGTCTTCTCACCGATAACTTTCTCCAGGAATATCTCAGTTGCCTGTGCAATGACGATGCCCGTCAAAGAGCTAATAACATCGCGGCTGAGGTCGATGGAAGGGGCATGGGGAAAACTCTCGGCAATGTACGTGAGTAAGCCGGCGCAGGAACGGAAGTAGTAGAATGCAAGCTTGAGGCCCTCTGGTCTTGTTCTATTCTGTGAAGCCGCTATTGCCGACTGTGTAGCCGCTATCTGAAAGAGGATGGACACTTTCTCATACGCAAGGGATGTCTGGACAATCTGCTTGTTTGAGAATGCATCGCTCCAAGTGGAGTCGATACATATTTCAGGAAACCGAAGACCAAGAAACTCGAGCTGGGCGAAGTACCGAGACAAACGGTCATGGGCTAGGACAAATTGTCGCGTTAGATTGTGACAACTTCTATACCAGAAGTAGGTATACCTATTACATTACTGTTGGCATCTTTGACCGCGTCCCTGCGGCATTGCTGAAGTACTTGACACTCTGCAGCATAGTCGTCTGGACTTATACCATACGATTTGGCGATGAGGTTGCGAATTGAGGGGATCCAGTCTACATCTGCCGAGCTCTTCTTGGGGATGGAAATCATAGGCGACTGCCTAACCATGGTGCCCACACAATCCAAGAGTCGTTGCGCCTGCTGTGCTAGCGAGGAGCCCTGAATTTGGGTGCGGTGCGTATAATGTCGGCGTAGGTACGTACGAACCGCGCGACATATTTGGATCAATATTAATATTGTTAGCTTTACCGTGACGTTTCAACAAGCTGGACACATCCTTTCACTCACAAAGATGCCTTCTACACCGTCTCGACAAGCCCGTTATGACTCCTCCGCTTACAAGCCTTCTTCTTCGGCAAGGAAGCCATGTAGCTACGCTCCGGAGAAGAACACTCGTTCTAGATTAAAAAATGCTCCTGAGGCGTCTGACGATTCGGATATCCAGATAGCGCAAGTGAGTGAGATTTCCATTAGATCACATCTCGGCTTTACTTACCTATTTACTTACAGCTCACCAAATCCATGACGCGAACCTTGAGTCTATCAACTACGTCTCCGGCCAAAGACGAAGTCCGAGCCGCGTCTACAAACGATGAAGTCAGGTTCCCAGCAGTAGCAAAGAACGCGAAAGTGACATCTGGGGAGGTCGGAGCCACTTCAGATCAGGTTAATTCCTCATCTGAGGCCCTTTCAAAACATGAAGTCGAGGCCCTATCCAAAAACGTGGAAGCAACTTCCGGTACTGGCGTAACTTTACTCAATGCGGTCAAATCTGACCCTGACAACGATGTGAGTTTCGCTTCCAGTTCCTCAGGCATATCCAGAATTCTCATGAGACGGGATAAAGATCCGTGGAAGACTTATTCAAGCCATAACGTGTCCGGTATGTAAGGAGCGAATGCAAAAGCCTTGGAGGTATGCATAGTTGCCATTCGAGACAAACAGGTTGACGTTCTGATGGTCTCCCAGTTTCGGCTGTGGTCACACATTTTGTAGCCACTGTATTCGTCACCTAGCAAAGGACGCCATCAAGCAGTACTATGAGACCAACAGTCTCGCAATCCCTCAACGCGTGCAATCCAAGAGGGTGATCCAGCTTTTGGAGGGTGGTTTGCTCAAGGTGCAATGCCCGATATGTCGGAGACGTGTCAGCAGAAGCCCAGTCCGCAACATACTCGCCATTGAAGTACTTGATGTTGTTGGTAACCTTGAGAGATCGTGATGATGTGAATTAGGACATGAATTAGGACATGAATTAACCTCATGGATTGGGTAGCTACGAATGAAAGGATATTGCACAAAGTGATCGGAATTCTGAAAGGATGCAAGACAGAGGGATTAGGCGAGCGGGGATCGCCCAATACGCTGTTGGACCATTTGCTTTCTGCTCAGCAGAGTCATTTTCCACAGAATGCCTGTCCGATACGTCCATCTTGGCCGATGAGCTGATAGGTAGGAGCGGTGTGGCCTCAGAACTGTGAATGAAAACATTTCAAGGCTAGGAACTGGGAAGACAATGACTTGTGCCGTACAGCCATGCCTTCGCAAAATCAATTATGATAGCTGCACGGCTGCCTGACTTGAGCATGCTATCCTAGCGTATCAAACTCAGGCGTGCTGGGTTCATGATGATTTTCTATACATTTATTTTATTTAGAGTGGCAAATGAACAGATAGCGATATACGAACTGGCCCTTCGAATGCCTGGAGCATGATTGAGTCTCCATGCTTGCGGTGGAATGTATCAAGTGTGACTCACACCAATTAGTTAAGAGGCTGCCACTTCCGTTCAGATCCTCGTACCAGTCAATTTTGAACGACATTCCTGATCATGCGGTGTCTCTGGGAGAGCCGTTGACGTGCCTGCTGATGCTACCCAGAACATGTATTATGAGGACCCATTCGATCATGAACGGAGGGATATCGTCGGAGAACTTGGCCATGATGGTTGGTCTGAGTAGTTAGCGAAGATACCCAGTTCGAGCATGTTGGCCCTATATTGACATGCGGTAGTGATGCAATTTAGCTTGAATTTAGTCAGATGTCGACGCGGAGATTTGACAGAAACCGAAGAGATTATCAGTGCAGTTGTGTGCAAGGTATTAACGGGCGACCAAAGCTAGTGCTCTTGAGTTCAGCAGAGCTCAGTTAGCGTGGGGTCGATTGAATAGGTTCGGTGCCTTTCCGCTTCAGGGGTCCGAACCGATATCCGCGTGCAATCCCGCGCAATGACTGCAATCGTTTGTCTATCTCCCCATCCTCGTCGGCACTTCCAGTCCATCCTTCTGCCCGCGCATCTCTCCTTCACATTGCATAGAATCGCAGATTGATGACCAAATGCATCCTCTCAACGTACTGAGGCCATGGACTCCGAAGGTATTCGAGTCACTATCCCCGGTGCGTTGGGGCCAATCCACGATGTTGCTTGCTCACAGCACTATAGCTACTACCTGACCGGATTCCAACGACAATGACCATTCACCTACCCCCAGTACTTTCGGTCTCCCCTCCCCCGGTACCCTTGGCTCCTCCTTTGATGCACTTCGCTCTGCCTCGGAAAATGCAGGCTTGGGCTGCGGACCCGGGCCAGAGCACCCCACTGCACCCACCCCGACGCCTTCTCGGAGTGCAACGACAAGTGCCATTTTCATTCCCGAGGTGACCCAACAACGTCTGTCCAGTCAAGCCTCACCCTCAAACCCCTCTCGCACGGTCGCTATTTCACTTCTCAGACATCGGCAGCGACTCGGGATATGGTTTCCCCTTCTCATCCCCGTCTTCATCTCCTATGCTACGCATGGTTAGAACATTTGCAGGTTCGGCTGGCGATGAAGACGAGGCGCCCATCCAAGGTCCTAATACATCTTCGGATTACGTGCTTCGCGCCGTGTTCATCAGGTTTGCGGCTGCAGCAGAGGGAAAGGTGGAGTCGTTCCTCCGAGAGTCTTTGGTACGTCTACAAAGCGCATAAAACTCCACGCTCATAAGCTAATGTAATTCTGCACGAAGCAGAGCTCTTGTTGGCCCACTTCTTCGGCCCTGGCATTGACCTCAAGTTCGATAATTGCTTCTCCTAGTTGACCCTATACCTCTACTGTCTCGCGAACGGGACCCTTTATTTCCCCTTCTTATTTGACGCTGCGCGACATTGTCGGCCGGAGCAGGCAAGACTGGGTTTAAGATGACGTCGTTATCCTGCCCCGAGTCGATGTGCGCTGGCACCAACGGAAAACCAAAGGTGTTGAAGAGCCGCAGAAATCTGAAGACTCTCGTTAAGTCTAAGCAGTACGCCGTCCCCGCTTTTCACACCCCCATCGACTAATCAATTTTTTAGCCTTGAGCTGAAGCTACGGACCAGTCAGCCATCGGTAAGCGTTATAAGGGACAACACGGCTGGACCAGACTTTACTATGACCGGCTCGTTGGTAGGCTGTTTCTTTACTGAGGAGGATAATAATTAATTCGGCGTATGTTAAGGCCACCAACGTTGGCTAGAGTTGTTAGCCTGCCGCGAAGGGCAGCTAGACGGAATGAACCAGCCCACCAGCCTTCTCTCCCCTTGTGCCCCTCGCTCCCTTCCTCAGGAGTTGGGCGCAGTTTGGGCGCGATAGCGCTGGAGAATGCAAAACTCATCATTGACTCGGTTCTTGGAGCCAATATCCAATAGGGTATCGATTGGTGTCGACGACTTTCGAACAACTTCGCAAACCTGATATCCATTTTCCCAATCGTAGGACCACCGCATCAACATCGAGTTGTATGCGACAATGTTACGGTAGTCAACCAATATTTAGTTCAAGCGCTGGCTCACATCATTTAGCTTTGTAGTTTCGTCGGATTATTTTCTTGGGTGAGCTGGCCCCAGTATCGGATGGTTAAACCCGAGAGATTTAGATACGATTTACGATATCTACTCTATTCAAAGTGCGTTTCCAGCGTGTCCGAACAATTATCAGGTTACTGACTTTAATTAGGTGTGGCCTCCTGAAGCTTTTGAAGAAGGGGCCGAGTTAATGGTCTCTGTTGTGAAAGTCTTCGAGAATACTTATGGCCTTCGATCCAAGGTAGTCCTCGCCGAGATCTAGACTCGTTTACTCCACGGAAGGTTCGTATTCCTCTTTCGTGTCAGCGTCTTCGATCTAACATTACTGAGTAGACTGTACAGACCGAAGTCAACCGTCCACACAGGCACAAGGCGATCGAAATCATCCACGAGCGAAAGATATGATGGCGACACCTATTTCCGCTAGCCGCTAGGTTTTGTGTGCTGTATACCAAAGCTATGTTTTTTTTTGTAGAAATGGTGCATTACCGTCTAAAGTAGGCCTTCATTTTTATGGTAGCCTGATAATTACTAACATTAATCGCCAGGAAATTTCTCTCCTAGTATTCAACGGACAGGATCATGCGATTATTCAGGACCTATCTGTATCGTTGTCAGGAGCCGGTCTCCACTACTGCGTCGAAGCTAGATATTATATTAGGCCTTCTTTCCGTCGCGCGCCACTCCCCTCGACTCCTTCGTTTGCATTGAACATTATATCTTGTCCCGACACTTCTGTCTGGAGCTCTTGCAAGAAAACCCCTCAAATTTTGCATTCTCAAGTGCCACCTTCGAGGCCTTCGTGCAGGAACGCCTTGATTGCCGTCAACACCGTCTGACTCTTTATGCCTTTGAGCGGGATGAACCACATGTCCACCTAGCGGGCTGAATACAGCTTGTCTACTCATCTAAGCAATCGTATCCGACATCATCCAATTTTATGTCCCCGTCACTGCCTACAAAACCCGTCATCCAAGAATTTTATGATCGCTTTGAAGCTGTGATATTCTGAGTCGCCCAGCTTACCTTCACGTTCGTCGGGAAGATGTCTACCTTTGATGACCCCTGGTCTCCTGCGCACTGGAATCCCATCTGTGACGAAACCCATATTATGACTGCGCGTCACCACTAGCATACCCCTACCACACACCCCAGCCAGCTCCCCCCATAGACCAGCCCTCTGCAGACCTGCTCCCAAACCTAGCCCCGCTGCCCTCGCTAATCATCGCCTTCAAGATGCTATCGATATGCGCTTACGGAACTATCCACGCTGATTCTCGGACCAGTGAAGTTGCCAGAGCCGCGCTCCGCCACTTCATCAATGAGCCCAAGCACGCAGGGGCGCTGCTGAACCTGTTTACGAAATTCTTGTTCGACCCCCATGTCATCGTGCGGGAGAGTAGATCGCCGGTGATCAAGGAACACGCGAGTAGGGTCTCGGTGTCAAAACCTGGTTGAAGGAAATTCTGTTGAGCGGTATTGCGGACGAAGTGCAACGGCGGTGATACGAACATCCTTGTGCACTGTCTGAGGTCACCAACTTCAAGTGGGAGCGTATGACGGCGACAAGGTGCTTGTTCCGTCTGCTCATACCGTCCTTGGACTCCGATCACAACCCATTCCGTGACATTGCTGTGCAATGCATCGACTACTTCCCTGCCAGCGCGTACCCCCGCTTTTCTGAAGATCTCCACCTTTTCGCGTACCGCCGGTCTCATGATGATGCTCGATCGAAGATGAATGGTCAAGCAGCGGATAATCGCTGAAGTCTCAGAGTGACTCGTTTCTATCTCCGGGTCTGGACACAGTCGTGCCTCTCTCATACTTATTCAATCGCCGAAGGCTCCGTACCGATAATCACCTTGGGGGACTGTAGTCGTAGAAGATGGAGTGGTGATCGTGGGGCAAGGAACCATTGCCCTATACCATCATAATCTCTGTGACCAAGAGATTCGGAGACTCTAACACAGGCCGAGTCGCCATTATCTGGTCTCGATTTATAGAGCCGTCTCATGGCCGCCATGCTGCCAACACTTGTCCTTCTCGTCAACGGGGTTCAGAAATTTTCCACTGGCTCGTCCACCCGGTGTTGCGGACCATCGTCAGCTGCCTATCATGCACAGCGCTATGCGAAGAGGTGTTTATCTAGCTCTGCACTGTTATGGACCCTGATCGTACTCTCGCGTCTTACGAACATACCTTTGACGAGCTTTCTGTTGTCGGAGCGAGTCGCTGTTTGCCCTTGACCTTATTTCTGCCGATGAGCAGTTCTCCAAGCTTCTCCTGGGACCGGTCGAGTATGCGTTGCCATGGATGCCCAAAGTCGCCGAGCGACATTAGATCTGCTTTGAACTGCTCCTCGTCCTGCTACAGTTTATCTTCGTGCATCTTGGTCATCGCGTCCCTTTCGTCCGCACTCAGGCTCACCGCACTAAATTATAGTTAATCCGGTTGTGCATTCTCGCCTCTACGAACTCGCCAGAGCGTGAAGACATGTCATAGCATACAGAGGCTATGGCTATTCTGACCCATCCAAAGTTACGAGGCGAAGATCTGTCCTTGGAAAATGATGGTCTGTCGGACATCTCGGAGACCAAGTTCCAACTCCTATGTTCCGAAGCCATTAACATCTTGGATCTCTTGCCCCTGGGCTTACGAAGCTTGGAATTGCCACTGTGGTACATGATACGGCATGTTTCTTCCTCCATATGGCCTCGGATTCTCCAGGTCTATCGCGCCTTCAATTTCCCTATGGCAGATGACAGCATGGTGGTCTTTCGGACACTATCCAGTCATCCGATCCTATTACCTACAACTTTCACTCTCAATGCGGCGTTGATGTGTGGAGAGTTCGCAAGTCATTCCGTCCCCGTATTTTCTTGGGCTGCAGCTAGCTGCCAATTGGTTACCATTGAAAGTGTCTTGCTGTCGTCGTTCAGTTTAGCACGATTAACCAGGACCTTGACGTCATTTAATCTGAAGTTGCACATTACAGCAGCCTTCTCCTTGGGATACTGAGCGTTCAAGCGTATCTCATGGCGGGACTGCGTTCCGACGTTACCGCACGCGCTTTTACACTATCTTCCAATCCCCGTTAGATTTTAGTTCTCTACTTTGCATCGCGGCGGCTGACGGCTTGCGACCTCTGCCATTCTTTGCGTCTTATCACAACCAATGGTATCAATCCCAATTATCTGATTGCTCCTTTCACCGCTCGCCGAGGTCTGTACGTGTACTGTCCTTATTCCCAATGCCAATACACCTCATCACTATAGTCACCCAATCCTCATGTTCCACCATCGCTACTTGACCACATCATCGGACATACGATCTATCCAGCCAGGATATCTAGCACCAACTATTTACAATATTCCATCCCCCATCATCAAATTCAGAGACCGAGCTTGCTTCCTTCTCGCTCCGTTCTAACTCTAAGTCTGTTTCAGAGCGTTGATGGAGCTCGCAGCCTCCTTCTGATATGATTTGGCAGAAGCTTTCACGGCTGTGTGGAGACTGAAATGTTACGGACCATCTCTCCGATGTCGTTGTAGGGTAGCCTGCTGTTGAGCGGGCAGACTATGCGATACGAGTTCGAAGGGGATACGAAGGCGAAGTGCCAGAATAGAGGGATAGAATACGAGGAGAGAGGCTCGGACTGAACTCGGATTTCTGAGAGAGAAAGTGGGGCTGAATTCAATGCAGACTAGCTACGACATGGTACTGTATTTATACGACTTCGAGACTAGGTGTGAGTAAGAGAGATTACGAGTCGAAACGAACGCGTGTACATGAGGTTTGCAGTGAGTGACAGCGATAGGGAGAGACCATGAAAAAGAAGACAAAAGAATCTAGGTACAATGAATGGAGATCTTGCTGCGCGTACGAGTCGGGAGTCCAAGCGAGACGTCGAGGCCAGAGGAACAATGCGAGGCAAAGCATATGAGGCGGATGGTCATTAATGTTGATCAGGGGCGAGTCGAAGCGGGAGGGTCAAAGCGATCGGGTTGTGGCGCAAGCAGTCAGGGTGCGTCTAGGCACGCGCACAGCGCGTCCCTTACATCGTCCATGTATCTAACCCTACGCGGCCATTTTTCGATATCACCACGCCCGTCGTACTCTATTCGCTAATTTCAGTACGTCAATGAAAATCGAGGAATCTATGCTCACATGCGGTATAGGAACAGCTGTCCAATTGAAAGAGAGTTGCTGAAGAAAATGCAAGTGGGTTAAGCTACGCAGAGCGAGGAAGACTGTGACGAAGGAATGAGTCACAAGTAACTGGTGAATATACCCGAATATTGACTAACACCTTCCACGGCTCAGCTCCAGGACGGAAGCTTGAACGCGACCCACATTTCGATAGGTGCTTGACTCCGGGGCATAGCTTACTGCAATAACACTGTCGCTGAAGCAAAGGTGAGCTACCATATTGAAGGGCGCGAAGGGATACCAGTGCGAGCCACAGGGTCCAGGCGCTTCACGCCCTTGGCGGATAATTGAGGTACTAGTATGATCGACTCTTCCCTTTCGGATATATGATAAGCAAAAAATACTTTCCCTTGGTCCCGTGAACCTTTAAGCGCTGTCAGAGACTATCAAGGCGGGCCGATATAAATCATATAAGTAAGTACCTTTGAACCAAGGATCTAACTCGATATTAGTAGCTGATTAAGGCTGCGAGCCTTGCAACAGGCCAAAAATACATAGTCATCCGGACATGGTCATTAGCTTTATAAAATCCGGACCACTGTAAGACCCACGGCCAAGCGGAGTATATGTTTTGATCGCGATCAATGTGAACCTGCCTCGTAGGCGCGGTATGTACGTGGCGAATCATCACTCGGATAATTGCCTGACAGCTGCTAATCCAGCCAGGCCGGATCCAGCTATTTTGTGGATCAAAGTAAAGTCCGCTCGTGATCAGGGCATCTTCGAATTTGGTTAATAAATCCGCGATCAGTTTTTTGGCCTGGGGCTTTCTAACTCTTCGACGTCCACGCCCTCTCTTTCTAATGTGCATTTCCAATACTCTCCGCGAAACTCGGAAAAAATTAGAGGAGGTGAGAGAAAAATCTACAGCACATCCACACGTACTAACGACTCTTCAGCTTGCTCTGAACGAACGGCCTTCGGTTTGTTGCCATTGATCTTCGTAGCCTTCCAAATGCTCATGCTTGGAACAGGTTATCCTGTCTTTAGACAACGCAGAAGCTCTTGACCGTTTCCTGTCTCGCTGCAAATATAACACCAAATTAGCTTCTGAAGTTCTTTATCTCAGCTTACGCTTTGGCGTAGGAGAGGTTACTTCTCACCAGCTTCGGCAGTGTCTGTACGCTTGCAGCACTGTGTCTACACTCGAAATCATTCTTCGTGGCGCGTCTTCTGGGACCATCTCGCACCTTCTTCGAGACATCAAATTTCCAAGGCTTTCTTCATTCAAATGCGATGGCTCTCACGAAGGAGTCAACGATTTCCTCGGCCAGCATCCAACCATTCTTGACATCTCAGTCGGACAGTGCAGTTCCGCTCCAGAATGCACCTTATGCACAGAAGCCTTTCCCAATCTTATAAGCGTGTCCGCACCGCTTCCCTGCGTATCCGCCTTCGTGAACAACACCCCCAGCACCCCCCGTCGTCAGATATTGCAGGTTAAAGCTCACATCACAAGGGACAAGTTGAGCTCTCCCACACGGATTTTCAAGACATTGGAACCTCCCGGCTGCAACATCACTCGCCTCGAAATAGATTTCCATGCGTCGGACACAAGAATTCTTCACAAAATCGCTTCAATCAAGGGGCTTCGTGTGTTGAAACTGAGCGAGCAGCGTTCAGTGAGTCTTCTACTGATTGGCTATGGCGCGGAGGCTAAGATGCAGTATCAACAGGCAAACGAGAATATTGGCACTCCTCAGCCCTGGAGCAACACGTCAGCTTGGGCAAGGGATCTTAGGGCGTTAACCTCGTTGGAACGTCTGCTTTTGCGGACGAGCTCTCCGCTAGTACCTGTCCCGGGTAACAAGGATCAAGAGAAGGACCTGATCAAGAGTTGGACGGCGGGTGATGGTAGGTATAATCTGAGAGACGATATAGCTCACCCCAAGCTTCGACAAGTTATTCTATGGTATCTTGTAGTTTCTTCTCTCGAGCAGGTTTTCTCGCTTTGGGATAGACAGGGTAAGGGTGCCTGGACTGTTGGGCCGCGGATGGATCCAGTTTCGAGCGCCTTTAAGTAGAACATTCCTTTGTACTCAGAGATGCTAGAAGAAATATCACGTTCACTATTCCTGGCTAGCCGTTCTGTGTGCTCGATGAAAAACGCTGCTGGTGAATAGATTATAGTATGATCTAGAGTACTAGTGGAGTTAGTAAGCGAACATTAAGTAGCTGTCAATGTAAGTTGCGGTGTCTATGTGGTAGATATTTATCAGTGATCACGAGCAACGGAGTGCAGCTATCCCACAGCAACCAACCGTCCACTACCTTTTCCTTCGTCCTCCACAACCTGTCATGGATGTCCAAGGTCAAGACCCTCTTCTAGAAAATTTGCAGCCGGATGAAAATCACGCTGATTCCGGGGTGACTCCCGCTCTAAAGCGACCCGCTGAACACCCTCCTGAATCGCCCAACCCGCTGAAGTTCTGGCGAGCTGAGATGGTATGGTTTCCCGTCGAGAGCAACTTTATGCGCGGATGACTTACTTATGGTAATCAGCCTTCAGGTGTTCAACGACTTCCGGGTCAAAACACTATTTGTTCGAACGGGGACCGTTTTATTGAAGACGCCGAAAGCAGCAACAAAGGTCTGCTAAGCAGGGACAAGCAATCAATATATCGGGGGCCAGTGGCTCCGCTCCCCCATCGGACGCCTGCTTTGTCTGCATTAATCCTTGATCAAGGGAGCAGCTCCTCTGAGTCGTTGACGGTTCCAGTCTGGAGTACCTGGGATACTACGTTCACGTCACCGGAAAGGGAGGTCGATTCCAGACCGGACGGTTCTTCTCCGTGAGTAATATCTGCTCCCCCGGGCATACTTCCCACAAACACCTTCGCCCACGAGGCCACAAACCATACCGGAGTTCCATCGGGCCGACTAAGTGCTGCCCAGCCTGGCTCTCTTCTTCACCAAGACACAGCGCCCGCCTTGCTGTCGGAACCGGTAAACACTGTCCCAAGCCCCAGCGCTCGAGCCAGCCCCAAGGATGTTGGCGGTTTCACAGCGACGTATCCTTCTCTTACTTCCACCGACAGATCTCCTGGCGTACTCAATCCCAGCAATACCCTTGTCAGAGATCGTGACACTGAAGCGTCCGATCACACTGTCCATGAGCTATGCATCCCCGAACCCCGCAGGGTTGTTAGCGGCGCATCCAACATCGTCCCTGTGCCGGTCGAGGCTGATATGTTTCACAAACTCCCCGGACTCCGCGAAGCTAGCACGCCCCACTTCGTCTCTAACCCTCACCAAGCTGACAACTCGTCATATCTCACCTCTGCATCCGACGAGGCCGTTATGCAGCGCTTCTTTCCTGCACCCCGCAAGTCCCACGCACCCAGCTTTGCTCCTGTACTTGGACCTCAACCTTCTCATGGCGAAGATCACGCATTTCGCTTAAAAGGAGCGGAACGCGATGATTTGATCATTTGTGCTGGAAACTTAGCACAGAAAGTAAGTTAATGGGTCAAATCCAAATGAAATTAATCTAATTCTTTTCTTAGAATGAGGCTCAGGCTCGCGCGGCCGGCTTTGGCCCTGCATATGGACCTCAAACTTCTTATGGCGTAACAGAACGAGCTGATATGAACTCTATTCATGCTGGAAGCGTAGAGCAGATAGTAAGCTGCACAGTCGAGTTCAGTTGTATTTATTCTAACCTCTTTTTTTAGTGGGAGCAAGCGTATCTTTACAAGGGCCAACCGAATCATCAGCCATCTCAAAGTGACTTCGGCAGTGGCAATTACCTCCAGCCCGACATCACGCATTCAGTGAGCTTAGAATAGATTGCCGCATATTATCCAATTCTGATGATTGGTCTCGCTTGCTTTTATTAATAGTATACTTCACAGGGTAATTCTAGAATGTCCGCAAACGCGAATCAAAGTGGAGTTGCCTCATATGAGTCGAGACAAATTGACGAGGATATAACTATGGATTCTGTGATGGGTGCCATTGACTTATTCCCGAGAGGTCCGTTCGTACGTTTGATGATCTTCTCCTGGCTTATATTCTCCCACATAGTCGCATATCAACGGACGATGAATCCGGCTGATCCTCGAGCTCGCCCTGCTGTAGAGCATTTCATGCCTCAGAGTTCACCGTCAAACACTATGGCTCATGGGTTCGACACTCAGCATCAGCATCAAAACCCATTTGCTTCTGTAGCAGACAGTGGACGAGAGCATGTAGCTCTACGTTCGAAAACGGAGTCTCATTCCCGGGATGGAGCCGCCGCCCCTAATCTCACGAGAAATGTTGGCGGGTCAACTTCGAAAAATCCCTTCGTTCAAAGTAAGCCGCTACCTATAAGCTTTATGATCCGGTAAGCTTATTCATATGCGATTAGGACGCGACGGTGAAGTCAGGGTTCAGCAAAGCAGAAATACAAAAACTATTCCTCCCCATCCAGCCGACTTTGATGATCGCCTCTACCGCCATCAAGACACGGTGGATGGTGGACGCTCTGCTCGTGAACTCGGTCGACGTGACGGCGAAGCCAGATTTCAGCAAAGCAAAAATACAAAAACTATTCCTCCCCATCCAGCCGACTTTGATGATCGCCTCTACCGCCATGACACAGTGGATGGTGGACGCTCTGCTCGTGAACTCGGTCGACACGACGGTGAAGCCAGGTTTCAGCATAGCAAAAATACAAAGACTATTCCTCCCCATCCAGCCGACTTTGATGATCGCCTCTACCGTTATCAAGACACGGTGGATGGTGGACGCTCTGCTCGTGAACTCGGTCGACGCGACGGCGAAGCCAGGGTTCAGCAAAGCAAAAATACAAAAACCATTCCTCCCCATCCAGCCGACTCTGACGATCACCTCTACCGTCATCAAGACACGGTGGACGGTGGACGCTCTACTTGTGAACTCGGTCGCTCCGCCTGCCTGCCTTCATCCAATAACGTTCATAACGAGACCGGCTCCTCCGCTACTATCCCTTCTTCCGACGCTGTTTTACACGATGGGGACATCAGCGCTCTCCTCTCCGAGCATCGCTTGCTGCGGGGCTTCGAACACTACGCCAAAAGACTCAATGCTGCTCAAGAAGACCTCCAAGCTCAGATGAAGGGCTTGAGTTTAGATATCAAACAGCATAACCAAGTTTTTGATGCGCATGCCAAGGCAGTGTCGTTGGCGCTATCTAAGTCCAGTAAGAGGAGGAGAGCCAGCAGCCAAGCTAGTAGCCCCGCAAAGCGTGTTCGGAAGAACTTTGAGCTTCTAGTAGCACCGTCTAGTGACCATAAAGACGAAGAAGAACAAGTTCAAGAACCATTAATCGATGGTTTCGCAGTTGTCAATGATTTCAAGAACCATGCCAGCTGGATTCCTTTGATGGTGAGTCGCCTTCAGCAGCGTATTCCATGCTCTTTTAACACCTTCTTTTTAGGAAGCTGTTCGTGATGTGTTCAAGGCGCTTCTCAAAATCTCGGAGTATAAGCCAAAAGAGTTCGAAAAGCTGCCCGAGCCATTAGATGACGAAGAACTTGAAATCTATGCGTCTATGCAGGCTGGAAATATGGTTTCGGTAGACAAGTTTCGAGTCGACTTTACGCGTCCTTGGAAGAAGGACGATTTCAACGCGAGTGCTAGGGAGGTTTTTATCGATCACTTCATAGAAAAAGTGAAGAGCGGCGCTATCCTAGACCGGTATGGCATCAAATCAAACTACGTTACGTGGAGAGTCGTTGGTGCCGCCATTGACCAACATGTCGTCCGTTACGTCCGTGGCCTCTATATCGATTGGTACAATGGAGCCGCCTCAGAGTCTGAGTATGAGAGACGTAAACGAGCGGCGAAGGCCAATAGGAAAAGCACGGTTCGTACTCTCAAACTTTGCGGTAATTGGACATCGCTCATTTCTCTGCAGTTGCTATGGAACCGTTTTACTATCTGCCGGGATCGCAAGGCGCTCAACCGCCATGCGCCATTTTTCGTCTCTCTGACTCGCGGGTGTATGAGCGGGGACGAGACTGAGCCAGAGGAGGGACCTGAGAAAGCTCCGAAGCGTTACCTGATCGTTAAACCGGTTTGGCGCAGTTTGGAGTTCACTATCTTTCTCCATGCCCTGGACCGCAAATACAGAGAAGCTTGGCGTTCTCCTGGTGGTGGTAGACGCGCAACACCTGGCAATCCTCCTCGTATTCGCAAGGAAAGCAGTCTCTCTGACTTGGGCATTGTTCCCAAGGGATTATATCGCAACTGCTATGATGCGAAGTGGTTGAAGTCTATCAAGTCGTGGCAGAGAGAGAACTTGATGATAATCGACGAGGACTATGATTTTTTCATCCATGACATAGATGATGATCTGTAAATGCACATATACGACTAGCTACAACAAATATGGAATTGAGACCCTGTACGCGCAACCCAACCCCTCGTCACAAAAGGATACATACACAAGCTGCTGGTATATTTGTAAAGTTGGGTTGTAGAAGGACATTAATGGAACGAAAGTGGAGAAGGCAGAACGGTACGCGGAAACGGGATCATGGCGAAATCCAGGGGAAATACTACTTCTCAACGCACGGGGCGTGGACAAACTTCTCGCCCTCGTGGGTGGTTGCTGGAGTTTCAGGAACGTCACTGAGCGTATTGTGTTGCCCTTGTAAAAGATATCCCGTGACATAGGTCACGCCGGAAGACCCTCAAAACCGTTCCGCATGTCTTTCTACGGCTAACTTTGTTTCTGCGAGGGTGCGCGATGGTTAAGCGTAACGAGCGCTCGCTGGCTTACGATAGATCTATCGTGGTAAGTCAAATGTAAATAGGGGTGATTCAGCCTTTGGCTCGACGACTTGGGCGCTTACCTTTCGAGGTTTAAAGAAGACGACTCCTTGGTCTTTGTAATGGCGGTCTAGTGATGCTTCTAAACTCCATCGACCCAACGAATTTTTGCTATTTGCCATAAAATGTCTTAGCCTTATAACCCGCAGCGAGAAAAAGAATAAGCGTACCTCTGGAGTCGTTCGAGCGAGGTTTGTCAAGAGCCATGTAGCTGACATCTCCGACTTCATGTAGGAGGACTTGAAGGCTCTTGGAAGCGGTATGTATCTGCTTTGATGAATTATTTTGGTCAGCACTGTACCGGTTTGTCTCTGAAACTGAGATGTGAAAACCTCATCGCCTATCGCAATCCGCAAAGCACAAGCCTCAAAGCCGAGGGAGACACAAGAGAAGTGGGCCGGGAAGGCGGAAACAAGGTTTGGAAGACCGGCGCTAGCAGAGCTTGCATCTGGAATGAGATGGTCGTCGGTCCCAGTTGGCTGAAGGTAGACAGAAAGATATAGTTGCCCGATGTAGAACATTCTTAGGTATGTAGGCCCTATAGCAACGTCTAGTTAATAATAGTTTGCGTTTAAGATCGGGTGCGGGGATGGTCAACGCAGTGCACCTACAATAACACAACCTGCTTCTGCTCCCGATAACTTGGCTCGGCGTTGGTAACGTTCAGCTTATATGCAATTGGCTCCCACTTGAATGGAGAAACAGACATAGTGGAAGTGCAGTGACGAAAGCTCAAGATAGTTGACAGGTGATCTTATCACGCCGCAGTAGCGGATAGCGTTGACGTAGGGGTTCTGGTAGCCTAACGTTAACTCTCAGCACTTTCACTGCAAGGAAAACGAGAAATGTCACTCACCTCTGGAAATAACATTGTCGCAATGGCCGCCTGCTCTGCGGCGAGGTAGCATGGTCCGGGGCACCACATGCTGACGTCGGTACTGGTATTGAGGCAAGCTGCTGTCCTGTACAACTACCATCCTTTGACCGCATTTCCCGGCCCTTTTTCGTCCGAGATGATGGATAGATATGGAGCGGTGGAGACTTCTCAAACTGATAGATTCCATGAGGCAAGTTGCCCGCACTGCTGAAGAACTGAACATACCGTAATATTTCCGCCTGCTAGCATGGCTTGAGGTAGCGACCAAAACAAACCACCAAGGAGCTGATCACTGAGACATGTGAGAGTAATGCCTAGTAGTATGGGCTAGTCTAGCAAAGAGCAGAACGCGGGCGTCGGGAGTCATAACAAAGCGAGGTCGTGAGTTGACGCGCAACGCGCGCAGGCAGACGCACAGGATCACGTGTCCCATACCCGGGTGCAATACCAGGTGGTCTTACTCGCAAATGAATAGGTGCAAGGCTTATACTTTGCTTATACTGTGCGCTGTAGATATAACCTCCAGCATCGCAATCTCAAAAATGGTGAAAGAAAATAAGATAGGAAAACAAGGATATATTCAGCTTGATTGACCAGCACGCTAGATGTTACGGCGACTGGGTCCTCCATTCGCTTCTTCCACACTCAGCTGCAACATCAACGAGGATATGTCGTCCTCGGGCCTAATTCCAAATTCGTCACTTGCTCGAGACTGTACTGACGCTTCCGATGGTGACGAGGATGAGGGAGCTTGTCGCCAAAAAGGTCCACCTCTTACGGGGATAGGTTCAAGCTTGCCGTCCTCGTACTTCTGTGTGTAAACGGCCAGAGCCTCCTCGAACGTGGAATAGTGGCTTTGCTTATTGCTCGTCATGCCTGTAGTGCGCTCCGAGACATCGTGCCTGAAGGATAAATGAGCATTAATATAGATCGCGGCATATATTGGCGGTAACATTCACCAATTATCGTATATCCCAACCTCTTGTCCGCGTGTAATGACATAGAAGCGCTTGACGTGATAATTCGGCTTCCGAAAATAGTTTGGGTGAGGGATGAGGGTCCGGTGGGCATGGGAAGGGACGGAAGGGACGGAAGGAGGGCGGGTGTTGGTGTTGGGGACATGAAATGAGCGACTCCGGGCGGAAGGAGTACGAGGTGCTGCCAGTAGGGATGCTGTATGCCCGCTAACACGGGAGGCGGGTTCGCAGGAAGAGCGAGGGCGAGGGGTGCCCGGGGGCGAATGAATTGAAGCCGGAGTAGTAGAAACCGAGGGTCTTCTAACATGTGGAGAGGGTGACGCGGGGACGGAGGCCGAGTGATACGTGGTGACTGTGCGAGAAGTCCGGATAGTTTGGCTGTGTCCGGGAGATTCGGTGGTGGTGACTTCAGTTGTACGGGTGCGTACAACCACAGGTGTGCTGCAGTGAATGTCGTCGGTCACGCTCACGGCTGACGGCGGTTGAGCTGTACTGAAAATCAGTGATTCTTTTATGGTATGCACAGGTAGAGTGAGATGATGTACTGATTGACGACTCCGTGCTGATTGACGAGATGGACGCAGCTCGCCCTCGAGCACTTTCGTATCTCTCTTGGACCATAGGAGTAGCGCTGAACGTAGTTCTGATCGACTGATCATACGAAGCCCTGATACTTATCGTCTGAGGGAGACGTGCGATCACGTGGTGCCCTTGATTCAGATAGCTGCCAGGCAACGAAAGCGAATGTCGATGTTCGCAAGATATCGGAATCCAACAAGGCCACGCTCAGGCGCTGGAGTGCCTATACGAAGAGCAAAGCTGGAGCGAAGTCCGCGTTGCAAGCTGGTCTGCTGTTGAGATGCTTGTTCTTGGTCCTGTTAGGTACAGTCAACCAAGAGAAGCCCTAACGGGGTATCAGCAGATCGTTGGCCGCTGGCATAAGTAGCAGTACTTCACGTTGACGCGATTCAGTTGTGTAAGTGTTTTCGCTAACACGGTGATAATACTTGGATAATACGCCTGCGTGCTTAACGACGTAAGGCGTTTTCCTGCGGTAGTTACCAGCGAACCAGGAATGATATATGATAGACCTTTGATTGGAGTACACGTACCAGCGGGCGTGGGACACACTGCCTTCGAGTCACCTGGAAGATGCTGATCATGACCTTGTCCTGGACGATGGTGCGGACACTGTAAGACCGAGCTCGAGGAGCCACGCTGAGGAGCGCGTCGCCGCATGGTAGCTGCTGTGAGTGAAAGCCCATCTTTGATCCGGATGTAATTGACCTATAATAATACAGACGCCCACACGGCCCCACCACCGCCGCTTAGTAGCTATTCCCAGCCTTTCCCGCACTCTCCAGTCGAGATCGACCGTGCGAAGATAGAAAAGCCATAGCGCCCGCACGATACGTGAGCACCCGTCCGGGCGCCCATAACCAGTGCAAGTCGGCGGATTGACAGGTCGCACTCATGCAGGAAACACCGGACGCAATGTCCGACGGCTAGGTGCCGCACACGGCCTTGCTCAGCGAGCCTGCACCTATGGCCACGTTGCCCGTGAACCCGCGCGGGCGAACGACGAAGAGCGAGATGGTGACGTTTCTGGATATCGTGCCACCTGTGAAACTGAGCTTCGACAGCGGCTGAGACTGCACCACAGCAAACGCCCGTGAGCAGGGACAAGATTCCGCGCGTGGAAGGGGATGGCAGAGCTCATGAGCTCGCCGGCTGTGTTCCTGCATGTGAGTGAACCTATTACCCTTCCATTTGTGCCGCAGCCTAATAAACATCTCTCTCAAGATGTCTCCAAGAATGCTTCTTGCTGCGTATTTGCAGGGCCGTCGGTCTCACTGCGTATGTTGTGCGTGATCCTGATTCCAGCCTGTCTTGAAAAGGTGATGTACCGTTCTCCTCCTTTCCAGTCTGCCTGTCAATTATGGCGGCACATCTGTACTGAGCGACAAAGCCGTCTGATGTATTATCGAATCCAACGAGATTTCAGAAGCACCTCGGAGTCGTAGCTACTCCACGAAGCCATGGTAAGCAACCAGGTATCCTAGGACCACTCATAGGAAAGACTTAGAGCTCATCCAGGAACAAGAGACTACCTTGATAGCCAAGGCAGTGATTATCTCCAAGCTCAACGCACGGACATCCATCCTGGCTGTCGCGAGCGCCGTCGAGTTCAAGTATAGCGTCAATCTCCTCATCACGCGTGATATTGATCTCTCGCCGACCTTCGCTTTTCGTTTTGAAGCTGACGGATGCCTTGACAGTTTCTACCGTAAATTTACTCAAGATCTCATGAAGTTGTACCTGAACCGCAGGGCTTCCTAGTGAGCCAAAAGTCCGACTACGCCAACCTGACTTTCATCCAACAGCCATTCGACAAGCTCTCCGCCTACAATGACTATTATGCCCACAAACCCGTCCACCCCACCCTTTCATCGGAACCCTTATATGATCTCGTCACATCCTCCGCCTTTCCGAATTTCATCGGCATATCAGAATGGCGCAATATCGTAACCACACCGCAGCTCGAAACCATGATCCGTCTAGATGAAGTACACGCATGTGCCTCGCGGCTCATCAACGCCTTCTGCATCAGCACTTCTGAGCGGAAGCCACTCGGGAATACCGCCCACTACAACTTCGTAAGGCACATCAGCTTGTGATCAATGTAACGGAGTCCCCTACGGACTACAGAGAACACATTCGAACGTACGTAAGTTTGTCTCATCAGATATTTTCGTTGACAAGCGATAGATTTGCAGCGTTGGTCATTATGTCTCCCCTGATTCGGTTACAAAGCTAGACCTGTCCACGACTCGCTAGTTGAGAAGATCAATCGCACACTTGAGGTTCTTGTTCAAGCCGGCTCTCCGGAGAAGGCTTTCTTAGTGGGTTCTTAGAACGCGCCGGGCCTGCGACACGGTCTGTTTTTAGAATGATGCTGGCCCCTTCAATCAGAGACTGATTGTGTCGTGGCCCCAGGGTTGATGAGAAAACATTGACGTGAAGATGCTGTGGACGTTGGTGGGCGGCAGTGTGTACTGTGCCCCACCACTAGTTCGACGGCCCACCACTACTTCGACGGTCACATTTGTCACACTTGATCACGGAGTTGGTCACATCTCGGCAGCGCGGCATTAAGGTGAGAGTGACACGCTGAGGCCTCAAAAATGGCAACAGGAGGGATCGAACTCCTGAATCGTAAGCAAAATGATGTGTAATGCCGCCAAAACCACTGAGCCACGACCGCTTCGCGGTTGCCATTCACGCGTAGAATATCAATAGCAACATCGGACTTATGCAACTAGGTTCAAACTCAGCTACGGATGTTTTGCGAGGTGTCGAAGGAGTGACAAAACTCGCCGTCACGACCCCTATTCGACAACACAGAAATGCATCGATTTTCACCGGGTTTTCGAGAAAATGATATGACAGCAGTATGATAATGACGTATTGCTAATAAAAATGGGAGGTGGAAAGGGAGGAATGGTCAAAAACGGGGGGTGACGAACTAGTGGTGGACCGTCGAACTAGTGGTGGGGCACAGTACGGGTGCATACAGAATGAAACGCACTTAGCCAGATGACATCGCTCAATTCTACGCGAGCAATACAGCGAGAAGGTGTCAAGGCGACGAGGTGCTAGTGAATGCTGAAACGAGGCTTGCAAGGAAGCTGAAGGAAAAGGGCAAAGTAACACTGCAGACAAAGCCAAAAATTCCCGTTCCTAATTTAGATTCAAAGAGGCGTAGAAGTGTTATAATATTCAGATCACTATTTATCCGAATAAAAGGCGCGCAAATGTTTAAATCTTTTCCTTTCTTTTCTTGGCTAGAAAAGCAAGTCATCACGGTAACATTTTGGGTGCCTTTTTGATCTGCAAAAACGTGTCAATGATGGTAATCGTTTCTGCGGCCTTTTCGGCCGTCAAATCCGGAACCTTTAGTACGGCTCCCCTGTCACACAAAAGGGGTAGAAAATGATGACTCATCGCCGACCTCTTCGACTGGGAAAAAAGGTAAACTTTTCTGTACCTTTTCTTGGCGCCCAGAAGTGTGAGAAAAGTTTACCATCTTCGACTTGTTTTTGGTCATTCAAATGACATCATACTTGAACGGCTTTTACACCGCTAATAAGGTAAACTTCACAGTATTTTGTCAGAGAACCTCACCCTCCGACAGGAGCCACATCATTATAGATGAAGTAGCTCTGTATCATAACTACCGGACGCGCCAGGAACCTGGGCGAAACGCTGAACTCGTCTGCTCAGATAGCGAGATGTGGGGCTCAAACCGAATTAATAGCCAACGCTGACTGAAATCCTCCGTCGCGCTCGTGTAGCCACTCGCAAATTGCAGACTACCCCCTCTCTGACGATCTGTGAAAGGTTGAATGGGTCAACCCTCTCAGGCAGCCCAGCTTGCACACCCATCTTTGGCCGGTGAGGGTGGCCGAGCGCACTCAGGCTGTTTGTGTGCTTAGAGACTTGACCGAAAATTTCTGGTGCGTGTGGTTCCGAATCGTAGACAAAAATGTAAATTACCGCCACTACTTATGTGAGGCGCTAATAGCCTAATGCGCATGTTTCGTCGCTTGGATTGCTTCTCTATGCGTGGATGAGAAGTATTGATGTAGGTAATCTCAGCTATATCTATGAAGATGACGATGGACATGATCATCCCTCCCCACCCGAGCTTTCCTTTACAGCATTCGAGTTGCCCCGGCCCTAGGAGTGCTCGCTAGGGCCTCGGTAACTGATATGTACTATGTTACATCGAGTGCGTTAGCAAAAGGCGCAGCGAAGGGATAGGGGATAATAGGAGGAGGGGAGGCACAGCGTGCAGCTCTTCATGATCAAACTAGAAATCAGCCGCCCTCGCAAACTCAAACATCGCAAACACTGACAAGTACCATTCAATGCTGCGGAAACTCCTCTTCTTATGCTGCGACGGCGTCTGCTGTTGACGCTGGAACTGCGAGTGAGCTTGCGAGCGGCGAGCGCACGCACCCGGCCTCTTCCTGCCAGTCGGGGGTAGTGGGCAACTGCTCACATGCGAAGGGAGTGGTCTCGCCCGATGTCGGCGACAGACCTGTCTTCGTGACCCATCACCCGCGTTGGCGTCGCCACCACCGGGCTGGTCCCTGCGCCCGCGCCCTGGCTCGCTCTATGGATGATGCTAGGTGCAGGGGACTTCGCCTCGATCGCATGCGGGATCGCGAGGCGCCAGAGCGTGATCTATGAACACGAAGTGCGCTTGGCCCAAGCGGAGCGACAAAAGCGGCAAGGGCCCGGGGGTGGGCGGCGCATATTCGAGCGTGGCGAGGTCAAGGACGTTAACGCCTTGTGGGCTTTCATCATCATCTAGGAATGGCACTTCATCCAGCCCGTCTTTGGCCGATGAAGCACCGCCATCGTCCTCAACTATAGGACCGTAGAGGTGCGAATGGAGGGTATGATTGCCTTTCCTGAATTCAATGACATACGCATAATCAGCGTCTATGCGGAACCCAGAACGGGGTGGAACGTACCGGTGGCTCGGATACGGGGCTCTGCCTCGAGCGCTTGACGAGGTCGACAAGATCGTGTTGTACTTGACCAATGCTTATGGTCTAGAAGCGGGCACGATCCCGAGCTTGACAAGGACAGTGCCTGATACATATGGGTGTGAACACGGAACAAGAAGCGTCATGGTGAGGCGTGCTGAAATGCGGGTGGGGGAGAGGGACGGGGCTTAGAACAAGTGTCCTTGTCATCCTAGCTGATGGTACAGGGCAGCACAACGCACCAAATCACTTCCCAGGACCAAGCGAGCCTTCCATCAGCAAAGCGATAATCCTCGATGAACTTGTAATTACCCCGGACGACAAACTGGAGCGTGCTGAAGCAACCCTTCTATAGAGATAGGTGTGCAACTCAAGGGTGGAGGACGGGGCTGCTTAACCTGTCGGTGATGGTTATTGAGGATGACGATATAGACAAGGTTGTTTAGGGAAGACGAGTTGTGGGCAGCATGAGGAGTATATAGTGTCTAAGTAGCTACCACACATGGCGTAACCAACCTTGTCGCGTTGTTACGAATTAATTAGGTAAGGGGTCACTAGTCACTTTCTACCTTGTAACGTGTCACACTGTTGCTGCTCCAATAATACCCGCGTCTTCTGCTTGCAATGTAGATACTTGACTTACCTACCTGTAGGTGGAGGCGCAACAGTATGTAACAATACCATGACTTTAAAAAATACGGAAGGGATTTGAGGCACCGTACATACATTTACACCCTCGAGCTTGCGAGTCTCGCCTATTTTGCCTCCAACGCTTAGATCTCTACGGCTTCAATGACCTCAGCAAAGCCTACTCGGCCGTAGCGACGCGGGTGTGGCTCAGCTCTGAGCCTTTTCAAGACTGGATCCCCACACTTTATACTCCACGCTCAGTTGTGGGTTCTAGAGTTGTTCACAGTTTCAGGGAAACTGAGAGAGAGGATAGCGATGAGACGAGGGAGTGGTTGAGGTGTCGGCAGAGGGCAAGGACATCGCCGAAGCCGAAGGACAGGTAGAAAGCGGAGGACAGGGCTGCTGAAGAGGTCTGTTCAAACGAGGCTAAGCCGATATATGCAGAAGCGAGATGACTAGGTATACACGGAATGGGAACCGTTGCTTGGCAGCACTGGACCATAGCGGAATGGGCCATACATTGGTCATATAGCGAGCTCTCAGGCCTCGGGCTTTAGTGGCGAGGCGCTGGCACCATCATCTCCCGAGTGAGCATGCCATTATGAAAAGCGTCTCATAGATCAACAAAGAGCACGTACCCAAGGGCAACCAGTAGCATCCCGCTCTACCACAAACGCCCTCCCGTTCACATGCGCGATTCAGCCAATCGTCGGAACAAACTCCCGATAGAAGCTAGATAAAGGCACGGAGTTGAGACATTATCTAGGAGATAGCAAAATAGCGCCAGCAAAAAAAAACCATACCTATGGGGTCTGGTCGAGCGACGCTTCGAGTTCAACGATATGAGTTGGATCGGGTAAGCAGGTCATCTGTAGTGTGAGTCAAGCGCCTGACTCGCGGATGGCGCCGAAGAACGCGACACACGGAAATTGCCGAAACCCCTATAGGTCCTTCTTGAACGTACTCGTCGACCAGTTGCTCGCCTTCTCTCACTAGGAGTTCAATACCCGTATCATTAAAGTTGTGGGCGAATCTTTCTTGAATGCGTACGAATTGACGTTAATTGACGGTGTCTCTCTGTGTGCAATTGTTCTCCGCGTTCTTTGAGTGGCGCTTTGTTTGTTTATGTCTGATGTGCGAGTTTCGGATTTGGCCGAATTTGAGAAGGTTTAATAGTTTGTTCTACACGCGTTCGTATTCCTTGCCCTTTGTTCTATCTCTACCATGTCGGTAATTGAACGTCCAGACGATGAAATCTATCGATTCCTTCTTTCGCATAGTACTAGGAGGTCGGATATCTTGGTTGGGGTTCGTTTGCGCCCTGATCAGTGGGATGAATTGATGGTGAGTGCGACTAGTAGTTTGGGATTCTGGATGTGTCGTTGACTTCGTTAGACGAAAATGCGTCCTGTCGTCGAGGAGGTCTTGGATCGCAGTATTCCCTTCAGTCAGCAGTCCGAAGAACGTATCGCGTTGGTTATCGACACAGTACGTAGTGCTGTGCCGTTCGCCGCGCATGCTACTGATGACATTAGGCGAGAGACCGGCTCGAGTTCGTGCGTGAATATCAGGATGCGTGGCCTGCGCTGCTGTATACAGAGCGCAACATCTCGATCCATCTGAGACATCAGGAGGAGCGTCGCCGCGCCAACATCCCTGATGAAGTAGGTCAAATGCTGTGGCATTATTGATGCTTAGAGGTTTGACATCGAACTTTGCACAGGACGGTAGCGTTTCGGTATCCGAGGTAAATCTACGTCGTCGTTGCGATACGCTGCTGACTGCTTTAGGCGGACGCTGATTCGATTGGCACTCTTTCTTCTGCGTCGGAGTCTCGTTCCCCCTCGCCTAATGTATCCGATGTTGAGCTCGTTTCTGTGCGTATTTCCCTTGATTTATACTGTACTCTAATTATCAGTGCTTACTGAGCGGCAGGTGTGGGATCCTGCCGATCATCTGGTCGATTACGGTCTTTGGCGGTTCCTCAAAAGGGACTGTGTTCTCGATCTGACTGGGTTCGCTGGCACGTTCGCGAGGCTTGGTGTGCCAGGCTTGCTGGAGTTTGATGCGCTGATCTGGGAGCGCGGTGGTGCCAGGTTCAATGAATTCATGGAGAATAACGGGATCGAGTTTGGTTTTACTGAGTTCGAGATGTTCCTCTTCAAGTTGGCGGTCGGAAAGCGTCAGAGGAGGCGAGTTCATTGAGGTGCTGTGTACATCGTATAACGAAGTTCGATCCATGTAGTGGAATGTAAGATAGGAGGAGGCTGCGTTGACGAAATGCATTTTGTTCGTGTGCTTCGATCGATAACGGTGTCTTGAACATGATATATTTAGTACGTACTAAGTGCAGTGCTAGGTCGTATGATAGCCGCACTGATGTCATACTACATGATCGATTTGTATGTCCTCGAATACATCAGCGTTGTTACCGAATAACATAGCACACGTAGTACATGCCTGAGTCGTCCATTATAAACGGCGTGTTGTTATAAGGTGATCTTTTTACTGTCCATTATTCATAAAAATATGTTGTTGTCGTACCACGTACAGATTACCTGACAGGGTACAAACACAATATACAGTCTTAAGATAGTCGCTACGTTTTCCGATTCGCACGGAAGTGGTAACCGTCACCAGCAAAATCGAACTCGCAGAAAAGGGAGCGAAGCAGAGAATCGAAGAGGGGAGGAAGAAGATGGGTATCATGAGAAAGAAGGAGATAAGACGCACTCAGGGCTGATGATAGTAAGAATCAGCACAGACGCCGTGACGACACCGATGAATGTAACCTGCATAGGTTCATAGTTCGGCTGGCAATCTGACAGTGAGAAGTTGTCGCCGCCGCGTACTTCGATCTGGGTTGACGACGATGAGACCATCTGCACGTGGCACCATCACATTAGCAGCAGTACAAGAGAAATGGCAAGAAGGGATGGGGACGTACATTTCCAAGCTGATATGCGACACCTGGGAACGGAGCGCGGAGCGCGGGCGGAGATATATCTGCGAGGAAGATTGGAATCGAGCCGGTTAGTGAATACATAGCCTATTGCATCACATCTGCAAAGAGACGACGTACGATGTCCTGCACGCTAATCTGGATGCAGGACGTGCCCGCCGGCAGCGCGGAGAAGCCCAAGCCTCTAAAACTAATTAACTTACGTTACCTGATCTTTGTATAATAACATGATACTCGCAGGCATTTATCGCGAATCCTTGGGAAAGATCCAGAGCGGGATGAACGCGCCGGCGATGACGTAGCAGATGCTATTGACGCACAGAGTCACTTTAGATGAACAATAGAAGGCGATGGGAAGGCAACGCGTACACGATGGTCAGCCGACGGCCGATAATGACTTCCACAACCGGCGAAGGCATCTCCACCAGAAGAGACAAGAAGACGTGTAAGTACGGAGGAAGGGCAGACAAAGAGGCTCAGGGTAACGCACGCGACAGCACCCTGTACGTGCCGTCGTTAGTTTGCGAGTTTATAAGAACACAGATAAGATGAGACCTACGGTGATGGTGGCAACTGTTGCGTCGCGCGAGCCAATGCCTTTCAACGTCTCGAGGTAGGTTGGGCACAGGCCATATAGAACTAATGCGCACTCAGAGCCCGCTGAGGAGTAGGTATCACAAAGCACAAACGCACCTGAGATCCGTGCGATAAGAGTCGAAACCTTTGTTCCCCATCATGAGCTTTCGTCCGCCGAGCGACCGCCGCCCAGTTGACGGAACTGCACTCGCTCGTCATGGGCGGCACCGCGCGTGTGCGCGGCTTCCGGTGGTGCTTGGGCATCTCTTTCTCCTCGTGCACAGGGGTCTTGGTCTCCTTGCTGGTATTCGCCCCCTTCTCCTTCTCGGTCGCCTTCGCCCGCAAGAACACCTCCGACTCAGGAGTGATCGCCCTCAGAGCAGCTGCGAACGCACTGATCCCGTTGCCCGTCCAGAACAGCGCACGCCAGTCCCCGGCTCCGGTACCAAATATAGATCCACCACAGCCGCTATCATACCCGACGCCGCATTCTTCTTGGAGAAGGCCAGATGCAAGCCCGTGCACCCTCGATGGGCAGGTTTTCCTAAGCGGTAGAGGCGACGAACCCCCAGATGCCGCCCATGGTGATACCAAAGAGGGAGCACACGACGAGGAGCTCTTTGAAGGTCTGCACGAAGCCAGTTGCGAGCGAGTGGTTGATGACGGGTAGGCCTTACGGTCTCGGGGGTTGCGCTTGTAGTCGTCATAAGCTTCCTTTCCCATGGTGACGCAGAGGACGAAGGCGAGGGGATTGATGTAAGTGAAGATTAAGCCTGCAAATTACGAGCAGCATTAAGCATGCGTCCGCTTTCATTCGAGGGGACGAGAATGGGGTGAACGTGCAGGCGTACCAATCTTGAGTACGGTGGTAAGTTGGGAGGGCGTGACGAGGGGGAAGTAAACATTGAAGAGCGTGAACTGATCGTACTGCACGATCGGTCCGGACGTGAGGATCCTGTACTTCTGGTTCTGTACGATGTTTGATGGGGAGCTCTTCTTGGCTTTGCCTGTACATCATAAGTTGAGAACACCGACATGGGATCGTGCACGACTCGCCGTCCTTGCCAAACAGCGCCTGGGTCAAACGGGCTCACCAGAGCGCCTCCTCCCCAACTCAAGCCATGTATAGTGAACTCACCCTCGGATGCGACTTTGCCCGCTTCTGCGCCTGCCCTTCCAGACTCGAGCCTCTCCATCATCACCTCCGCCTCCGTCTCCGCATCCCCATTTCGCGCGTCGTACACAAGCACCGTCTCCTCCTCCTCTGGGTTATCACTATGCTGCTCCTCTGTTTGTCCCTGCTCCCCATCGACGCAAACTTCCGCCGTGCGTTCGCGGCGGTGGTCGTCTTTAGTACTGCGTACATTTCGAGTCCTTGCGCGCTGCTGCCACTGCGTGGGCCTGGTCTTTTTCAAGGGGTGATCGCGTGACCCTGATGCTTGTCCTGCGGGTGGTAATCATCGGCGTCGCTGAGCCGTTATCCTGGACTTACATGTGCGTTGTTTGGAGAGCAGGGAAATGTCAGGCATAGACAAGGCAGTCAAATAAGCGCTCTTCAGCCCGCCGTTGCCCAGATGGCGCTTAAGGTAGTCGGTGATGTTTGTGCTTAGCAGTGATAGTGCGTGGGTTATGTGTGGACACAGCGGAGGAGCGTACTGCGATCCTTAGTCGTCCTGGCTTTGAAGTTGGTGCTAAAAATAACTCAAAAGGGCGTAGCTTCCAAATCGCTCAAAATGGAAACTCTCCATCATCATAATCAGAAGTCCAACATACTGGACCAAGTAGGAAGCTCGATAAACATTCCTATTGATATCATGTAGGTGTGATTTACGACAGGAGACTTTATCGTCTATCGCTGCGTATACTCAAGAGGCCAACCTAATAACAACATAGTAGGGATCGGACATCACCTCCAGCGACTCGTGCGCTGGAGGCTGGTGAAGGCTGATGAGCGAGGAAACAGTCTGGGGAACTATGTTAGTCAATCAAAGATGAGTGGATATTAATTGAGGGAGAAAGAAGCCTTAGCAAGCCTAGACTCGTTGATGTCGAGGGCAGAAAGGGCTAGTTCTGCGAACAGGTTAGAGGAAGAGAAGCACGAGATCGCCTCGCAGGCTGGCCGTGGATTATGATACAATAGTGGTGGTTCGTGCGTGAACTCTCAGACATCTTCGGGACGTGGAGATCGCAGAAGGCCTTTGGATCTGAATACGGCTAAAGGCTACCTTGTACACTTGTTCAGGGCTGCACGCACGAGATGAGTCTTTCGACTTCAGCTTCAGCTAGCTCGGTGACTCACACTTCGCAACCAGCCCACCCTTTCGCACGTCGTGAGCACTGTTTCGATAGGGAATTACAAAAAACATTCCTTTGAATGCCTATGCCTACCATCGCGTTGCTTTGGGGTAAATCATCACGGTTGATCACAAGCTAATGGTTAGGTTGCAGCCACGCGATACCTATCTACCGTGTACACTTGGTAACATTGATCCTATCCCCTCCCACCTTCGACTTCCTGCGTACCGTTTGCGTCGTCCTCGTCCTCATCATACAACGGCAAGTACTTGGTCTCATCCTCATCTATGACGCAGCATGAAGCAGCACCATGGCTGGCCCACCAGCAGTCAGATACTATTTCACCAAATTCTTCATGTGCGTCCCAGGAATGAAATCCGAACGTCCACCTGTCGACCACAGTGCCATCTTCTCTGATATCGATGTTCCACCTTGGTACTACAGCCTGAATGATTAGTTGGTACGGTATCCGCTGGATATTGTAATGATTGGCGTTTACTCGAATGGATCTAGGTGGGTGTGGATAGATGGCCCAATCCTTTGATACAGCCTGAAAGAAAAGCGGGCGTATACCGGAGCACAGGACTAGTTCGTCTGCATAGCATATGCAAGTGAATGTTCGATAAATCGGTACCGAGAACTGCTTCTTACCTTCCTGAGTGATGAGTGCTCTAACTTCTCCGAGAGCTTGAATGCTGCCTGCATAGCGTCGCACGGCCATGACGATGTCATCAAAACGATGCATGGATTTTCCGATGAATGAAGAAATTCTGTCGATACTTGGAAGGAGGGGAGAGAGCTTAGAGAATGTTCAAACGTTCATATGGGCTAGTCGGAACTCCTGAGGCCTGAGGGTGTTGTGCCACTCGATTAAGCCACGCCCCTGAGGACTGTCACGTGTTGCTCTCGGTTGTCTCCGGTGTTGATGATATCGTGCCAACCGACCTCTTGCGCACTGTCTTGTGCACTGTCAAACCACTTCCAAGTTCGATGTTGCATTGGTATCAATGATGTAGGGGTACGAAGGGAGTAGGAGCAACCGATTCGGTCCATATTGACGAGCACATCAGGAAAAAAGCGGACGAATAACTAGTATTAATAGACCTAAATACACCGTCTAGCCAAATAGCTATCCCCCCAGCTTCATAACTATAAATAGCGGCCGTGCGTCGTCAATTAGCACCATATAGGACTACCTAGTAACACGCTGATGTTAAGTAGTTCACTTATTGCACTCCAAAGTAGCGAAAATTTGCCCAAATTTGCACGCATAGTAGACGAGGGAAAACATTTATTTTCAAAAACGAAAATAGAAAAATATGCGACTACCGCCCAAATCGTGTGCTTACTCCTCCTGCTCATCACCCTCCCCAGCCTCCTCTCCCTGCTCGTCATCATCATCGTCGCCTTCCTCTCCCTGCTCAACATCTGAAACTGCGGCCCCTTCACCTCCCTCCCCCTGTAGATCATCTGAATTGTCCGACTCATCACCTCCGTGCTCCGACGACGTCCTTGACAAATAATCTTGGAGCTCGGAGTCAAACTCAGACTCTGAAAGATGCTCGACCGGTGCAGACGCGTTACTAGTAACGCCGTCAGGATCTCCGTGGAATCTGCAGAATAAATAAAAATATTTGGATCAAACGAGAGATGGGAATCGAAGTATGATGACGCACCTGGCAAGATTGTAATGCTCCGTTACCATAGAATGAAAGCGACGAGGAACCCGGGCGCCCCATTTAACTACGGTCTCCTCGAGATTGGTGATATGCTTCTTGAGGATCGGGTGATATACTTTCTCGTCGAATTGGATCGTCTTCTTAACCCCGGTTTCCCACTCTTTGATCGCGTGTTCGACCTGCAAAAGAGCCCGTATTGAGGACCAGACAATCTGACATAATAATAGTAAAAAGCGCACGCCGGTCCACACTAATGCCATGGCGGGGATAGGCATAGGCTCAAACAGAGCTCCGTAAATGATGCCCACGTCGCGCGAATTCTTAAACCAGAGCCGATTGATGGCATCTTGCATGAGAGGGTGTTCGTACAGGCCAGTGCGTGGTATGCCCTTCTCCGGATCACCAAGGTCCTGTGCAGATACATCGGGCCCTCAGTACATCTGAAACACGGAGCGACAAGTTAATACTCACCCTGTAGCACATCCCGAAGCGGTCAAGTAGCTGCTTGACTAGCTCCTTATTCCGCTCCTGGATGCGGGCTTTGTCGCTAGACATGAACCCGTAGTACGTAATGACGAGATTTGCTGTGCAATTCTTGACGTCGTTGGTGGCATTCGAATAGCGTTTACATAGCTATCCAACAACATCAGCACGGATACGACTGATAGTGAGTATACACGTACTAGATCAATAATCTCATCTGTATACTTAATGTTGGACTTCAGATACACGCGTGCATCCTCCCATCCAGCGGTGGCTTGCTCGATGTTTGTCATATCATCAACCCATACACCACTGGTGACCAACCGGGCAGTGAACGCGTGAACCGCTTCCGTGAACAGCTCGCGCACAGGCCGTACAAAGTCACGAATACCGACCTTTACACCGGGCACCTCTGCACGACTTCGTTCAGGTTTAATGAGTCCATCAGCATCTTCTTCGACATCACCGGTTGAAGATGCCTCGCGCGAGGCAGATGCCTGGGTTGATGAAGGGCGGGGACGCTTGGCAGCAGGGACTTGAGCCGGTGGCGATGAGGACTGTTGGCCACTGGCCACCGGCTCGGCCGCCTCATCATCGTTGGAGACAACGAGACGGCGCTTGTGAGCTACAAGGCATCAGTAAGGCGTCATCAGAATGGTAGTGGCAACATACTTGTCGTATGCCCACTGCGAGCTTGAGAGGGGTGATCGCCTACATCGTCACTGTCATCGAGATCATCAATATGATAACGAGAAGACGCGGGCGTGGGTCGTGCATTTGAGTTGGCATTAGGTACCTTTCAGAGTGGATATATCAGAATTATGGATAAACAATCGCCAAAATATTTTGACTTACATTGCGAGGAACATCTCGGGGGAGAGTTCGGCTGGGTGGAATATTGGTAGCCCGAGGGATGAGTGAACGTGTTGGTGCAGTCGGCATAGGAAGTCGACTTGTTTTTTGAGAACGACCCGCCGGAAGTGCGATGTCTCGAGAGGGAAACTGCATTGGGTGGGGAAAAAAGCGTTACCATTGATCACGCAGATAATTGGACATCGTACGCACGTGGTTGCCCGAAAACACGCTGTTCACTTTTGCTAGATAACAAGGAGTCAGTGAATAAGAGATAGAGAAGATCGAGTACTGTACCGGTATGTTTGGAAGCAGCCGAGCTCCCAGTGGGCGTCTTGACTTTGTTTTTCCTGGCTTCTTTCTCAGCCTGCTCCATCTCTGTAAAGCAAGTGATCAGACGTGAGCGTGCCGCTTTTGAGAGAGGTAAACTGGTGCCTTACGTTGGGCTTTGACCCGTTCTGTGGGCTGGCGAGCACGAGTTTTGCGCTCCCGATTTGACAACCCATCAGACGTGGGCGCCTTTCTTGTGCTTGCATTGTCTGCAGAGATAAATGAGTACTGTGGATTGATGATGAGTGAGGAATAGTACTTACAGGGTGACATGGCTGGCTTGTAAAGAGCGAACTGATGGGGGTGTAAAAATGGATGAGGGAAGGAAAGAAGGGGCGAAGACGGGCTCCTCACAAACATGCGCCAAACAGGGCCAACGTAAGTTGCCACAGTCAACAAACGCGAACACGTCTGCTAAGCACAGCTGCGGATCGTGAATTCTGCATTAGGATAGAGTGATTAATCAGCAGATAGGCAGCGCATTGAAACAGTTACAAAAACATACCTCAGTACCACCTATCCTCAGATTGTATTCGACGCTAGACAACGTCGCAATGTTCGCTTGCCCGTACTGCCCAAAAGCCTTCAAGACCAAGGCATCTGTTAATCAGCACATAGCACACAGCCCCGCCTGCCTCAAGCGCAAAGCAAAAATACGCACCCAACGCCAGCAGGAAGCCGCCACTGTGTGTGAACCACCTGCTTGTACCTCAAGTTCACCAGATGCTGGAGTCTCTCCGAATACCACAGAAACAGATGAGCTTCTCCAGCTGTCGTACTCCAGCTTTGATATCCCGCTCGACGATGTCCTTCCACTTCAATTCCTGGATCTGGCCGATGAGAATCAAGATGACGATGCCACTCGCAGTGTAGAGGAGGCAAACCTGGTAGCGAATACCTCCAATACCCCCGACTATCGTGCCTATGTCGAAGATGCTGAAGACGAGGAGTTCGTTCGCCAGCGTTTTATCGAATCGTATCCTGGACAAGTCGCATCAGCTCTCGGAATGGGCAAGACCATGTTCGAAGACATACGTGATGAACAGGTCGCCTTGGGCTTGGATCCTTGGGCACCTTTTGCTGACAATGCCGAGTGGGAGCTAGCCAGTTGGCTATTCAAGCGTGTCGGCAAGACAGCAATCGATGATTTTCTGAAACTCCCAATCGTACGTCCTTTTGTCAATGCTCATGTATACTCCATCAACTCACCAAACTATCTTGTTATGTCCAGGCACGTGAACGCTTGGGCACGTCGTACAAGAGCGCTTACCTCCTCTTCAAGCAGATAGACCAGTTGCCGCGCGGGGCAGACTGGAAACTCAAGCGAATTGAGGTTAGAGGCAAGGAAACAGATGAGGAGGGGAATACTCTCACCGAAGATCTTGAGTTGTGGTATAGGGACCCGGTGGAATGTATCAAGACACTACTTGCAAACCCCACGCTCAAAGATTCGATGGCGTACGAGCCTGAGCATGTCTACGACGACAAGGAAGCGAAGGTGCGCCGGTACGATGAGATGTGGACGGGTGATTGGTGGTGGGAAACACAAGTACGCCGTGTTCCTCCCTTATATGACTTCGAATTGAATGAATTACTTGCCTTTCAGGGACGTCTTCCAGAAGGCGCTGTTGTTGCGCCCGTTATTCTTGCTTCGGATAAGACGGCCCTTTCACAATTTTCCGGTAATAAAACTGCTTGGCCGGTCTACATGACGCTCGGCAACATCTCAAAGGACGTTCGTCGACAGGCATCGAGTGGGGCTACGATACTCTTGGGATATCTACCTGTTGCAAAACTTGGTGGTCTCGAGTCTTATCGGCTGTTTCACCACTGTATGAACATCATACTTGAGCCCTTGATCAATGCGGGAACGGACGGTATCTCTCTCACGTGTCCTGATGGAATTATCCGCCATCTCTTCCCCATCCTCGCCGCTTAACGTTGCCGACCATCCCGAGCAATGCCTCATAGCGTGCTGTAAGGAAAACAGATGCCCAAAATGTCATGTCGGTCGCGATGACCGCGGATCTTCTCAGCGATGCCGTGCTCGCTCTCAGAAAGTGTTCCTCTCGAAGATTCAGAAGCTCCGAAGCGGCACTATGTCGCTCCAAGAATTTGAAGATGAACATGGTCTCCGCCCGATTGCTGATCCCTTTTGGGCCAAATTACCTCATGCCGACATATTTACAAGTATCACGCCAGATGTTCTCCATCAACTGCACAAGGGAATGTTCAAAGACCACCTCATGACATGGTGTTTGGATTACCTTGGCAAAACGGCGCTCGACTCACGCTATCGCGGCATGACCCCTTATGGAGATCTCCGCCACTTCAAGAAGGGGGTGTCCACCGTCTCGCAGTGGACAGGAACCGAGCATCAAGAGATGGAAAGAACATTTCTCGGAGCGCTTGCCGGTCTTCTCAGCTCAAAGGCAATGACGGCAGCACGCGCACTTGTTAGCTTCATCTCATATGCTCAGTATCAGTCGCATACTTCGGAGACTCTTGCAGCTATGTCGAAATCTTTGCGCGACTTTCACGCTCACAAGTCTGTTTTTATCACCGAACTCCAGGTGAGGGACGACTTCAACATCCCCAAACTCCACGCCATGCTCCACTACATTGAATCAATACAGCTTTTTGGAAGCGCTGACGGTTTTAACACCGAGAGCCCAGAACGTTTACACATTGATTTTGCGAAGCGGGCATATCGCGCCAGTAACAAACGCGACTATATTTACCAAATGACGATGTGGCTCCGCCGACAAGAAGCATTTCTTATTCGGTCGTCTTATCTTGCATGGCTCCAACGCGGCGAGATCGACCCACACTCCCTTCCTCCACTCCCGGCTGCTCTCGCCGACACAGACGACGGAGTCGAGCCAAACGAACACGCCGAAAACGAAACCAACCCAGAAGGCCGCGAGGAGGCTCAAGCCCTTGCGCTGTCGGCAGCAGACACCTTTTCCAGGCAGCTGCGCCGTTTCACAATTGTAGGCTCACATCACGGCCGTGGTTACTACATTCCACGCCAATGTCACCGTCCTCGCCAACAGCTCGCTGAAGTCACCCTCGCCCATCGTGCTCCTCTGCTCGTCGACTCCCTCAACGCTTACTTGTCGGCACTCCCTCTCCAGCTACAGCAGCTACGAACCGTGTCCGCGACGTCCATTATCAATGTCTATAATTACATTTCTATTCTCGCACCCCCAGCGCCCCACTTCAGTGCTATCAAACGTCTCCACAAACTCCGCTCTCACGCTGAGATACGACCTCGCGATGCACGTAAAATCGCAACCCCTCCTCAGTTTGACACTGGTCTATTCATCACAGACATCGATGCGTTCCGCCGTGATCCGTGTTCATTGTCGGGTAAGTGATCCTGCAGTTCCGATGATCGTGCTGAGTCGCTCAAATCAGGCTTTTCAAGGACTTCGCACCGGGCGTGTACATGTGGTGTTTCAGTTGCCTCCAGAGTATGGCGTGGAGTGCCCTCTGCTATATGTTCACTGGTACCGTGAGTTCCATACTGTAGACCCCCGAGCGTCCATGTTTGTACTCGAGCCGGCGTCGCATCGAGATGGACCTAGTGCCCAGGTGGTCCCTGCAACTTTGTTGCTAAGGCCATGTCATTTGATTCCGCGGTTCGGGAAACATCCAAACATTTCTTGGGCTCGCGAGGATGCCTTAGACAGTGCTGCGAAGTTTTTCTTCAACACATACATAGACTTAGATATGTTCGAACGCATGGAGGCTCATGGTACTTGACTACAATTGCAATTAGACCCCCACTGCACTAGTAACACGTCTATAACTTCAGCATGTCTCTAGTATGTAAAAATTTGCGAAGGATGAAGGTGCCACGCCTGTGGTGATAAAATGTATTCAACGCTTCGAATGCAAAGTCGAGCGGCTTGTATCCGTGGAGCTAAGATTCCGTACTCATAGTGCATTGCATCTTATTATATTACACTAGGCTATATTGTGATAATTAGACACCCAGCAAAGACGTAGACTATATTTACTTATTACAAGGATAACTACTAACTATCAATAATTAGGGAGTCTAGCCACGACGTCGCTAGTTAGCAAATGTGTTTTTCCTGATGCATGGCTCCTGTTATTTAGATAACTCAAAGTAGTGCGAACATGGTTTCTTCGAGATGACGGAAAGGCCCATCAACGAATGCGCTGCAGCTTTTCTTGCACCTAACGACATTCATTCTTGTAGGTATGTACTTCGCTAATCATTTTGTCAGCTATATCGGCTCAGGTAGAAACTGGAACTACTTATTACCGAACCTTAAACAACACGAAACCAGCTTTTCACGTTCAACATGCAAAAGCCTCTGCGCCGTGTGCTGCTGAAGACAAACATAAGGGCGAAGGAAGTCGCTTCGGACATCTCGGCCTTTTGCCCTCTCTTGCGCAGGCACCGGTGGCTACTGATTAAATGTTATAGACGAATTCTAACTTGTAGTCTCACTTCGACCCTTTCCATTTGTCTCAACGACGGATACCGCATGCACAGCTGAGACTTCGACCTGGACTCTGGACGAGCTGGAACTTGGGACAGCCAAGCTGTTAACGACGGATCGCTGCATAAACGCGCGTCTGTCTCTAGGCATGGCCATCAACCTTGCTCTGACAAAGCTGGCCGAACAAGCAGTCGTGAGATTGGAGGAGAGAAGATGTACATACTCCCGCTGGGTGGTTCGCGTAGCGCATTTGAAACATGGGGAGGGTACATATTGGAAGATGACGAGGTATTTCAACATCCTCGATGCGAGGTTTTGACACTGACCGTCTTCTGAGCGTACTACTAAGTAGCTGCGTTCGAGGTCAGCCCTTGCGAAAGCTGTGTCCCTGTCGGGATATTCTGCGCGGCGGACCGGCGGACCGTCCCCGCACTCATGTTTGCTCCCGAAGTGCGGGCGCTTGGCAGCTCCACGTCTTGTTTGACCAAGTCGCTCGTCTGGTACCGATGGCTTAGCTTTGGCTTAGCTGCGCTTCCAAACCCTTCATCGGGTATTCCTTTTAGTTTCTCGAAGTGATTGAGACACAGTGGAGCGCTGATTCCGTCAAGGGGAAAAATAAGGCCATTCCCGTCGAACGCTGCACCTGGGACATTGACACGGGTGACAGGCCCATTGCGGGGCCTGTCCTCTTGTGCCTGTCATCCTACAAACTATATCGTGGAAGGGTTGCGGCCGGCCGTACGGTCGTACTCACAGAGAGGCACGTCGGACTAGGTGCTTTGGCAGGCACTGAGATCTGAGAGGTGGGCACGGTATCGCTGTCGGCTGAAGACCAGTGAGAGCATCCCTCCCATGTATGTGTTTTCGCGGCTACGTTTCAAGTAGCTGCCACCCCGCATGAATCAGATGTTTGAGCTGTCCCGAGGTATACAATCGCTTCAACATCCTTGAAACTGCGTAAGCCCTACGATGGATACTGCTCTTGTAACTGCAAGTTCGGCCAGACGTAACACTGTCGACTCCTGTGAAATGCGCACATAACTTACACCAGTGATCTGAACTTCTTCATCGTCGCTTGGTGCTGCTTGGTGCTGAAGATTTCGCGTTCGCTTTGATAGAAAGAAAGAGGGTGGTGAAAAACGTGTTCGAGGACTCACAGGATGCATATGAACTGTCCCCGAGCAAATAAGGGAGATCCTCTTCTGAGAACAACGGTGCACTCCAATTAGCCAAGGTTTCCGTCGTCTCCAAGAACACTTTTAGAACACTGCTGTTGAGCGCGAGCGATAGAGTTTAGCTGAAACATGTTGCGTCCGAACATAAACCTTGTGTTTAGCGCTTCTATCAATATTGTGGCTCCTTCCGCTCCGACGCTTCTTCCTTTGTCCGGAGTTATCAACCCGCTTGTCCTCGGGCGGTCATGGCCTGAAAGCTGGATGCGGGTGATGAGAAGGCAGGTGTAGATCACTCGGGCCTTACGACAGAAGTGGCGCTAATGCATTGCGCTAATGTTAGATTTGATCCCACGAGGCGCGCTAAGACAGTTAATCTCGACATAAGTTGTCGTCTAGCCGAGATGACCTCCGAGATCTGTCATGGCTTGTTCAGGGAGCCGATTACTGACAAGAAGTTTTTGAGACAAGCATGCAACGTTTCTTCTGGGATGGCTTGAGATGCATGGGTATGTTGTGTATGTTGGGCTGAGAGGTGCTCAGGTGTTACTGCAGACGATGATGGAGGGTGTCAGTGGTGTGCCTGGGCGGATGGGGGATGAAGTGGCCAAAAAGGGGAAGGGGTGGGCGTAGTGGGGCTGTTCTTCTCCGCCAAAATGGCCTCACGTTTCTCCAACAATTAAATGTAACCCTACTGCAAGCGAGCGCCCATACTCTCTTCTCTTCCCCCATCTCTTCACCGCTGTCGTCGACGTCCCCCGCTCCTTCTTTCATCGACATCGACGGCAGGCACGAGTATGGCGGCCAACACCACAACCACGTCTAGCAAAAGCGCCGGTGCCAGCGGACCGTCCGCACCCATCGCCATCCCCAGCTCGCGCTCCACAGAGTCCTCAGCTATGCTCAGCTCAAGCATCCCCACCTCCAGCTCCACAGACGAGCGCAGCGTCCGCTTTGAAGACGCCTGCGTGCTCATCCCCGACACCACCCCGAGTCGCTCGCGCGGCCCGCGCATGGTCAGCAGGACATACACCCTTCCTCGGTTCAAGAAACGGCGCTCAAGCTCGCTCGACGGGCCCACCTCGCCCGAGGACGAGCAGCGCCTGCAGTTCCGCGTCGCATTGCCCAGGTACGCTGACCTTCTGTCACGCTTCACGTCGCGCGCGGAAGCAGTTGACGCTGACATCACCTCCCCCCTCTTTCTTCTCGCTTCCGTCGTCGTCTTGGCACCCGCAGCTTTCTCGGCTCACCCAAGGCCTCATCTTCCGCTGGGCCTTCGTCCTCCGCGCACGGCTCCGGGGCATCGTCGCTCCCGCACCACCAGACACTCACGCCCTGCCTTGTTCACCGCACACCCGCGTTTGCATCTGCGCTCTCTTCCGAGCCTGAATCTGCCGTCGCAGACGAACCGTTAAGCCCAGCCTCCCCACAAGACCAGCAAGAGCAAATTCAGCGCTCCCCGCGCGTCGACACCGTCCCCGCCTCTCCGCGCGCGAGCTTCTCCGGGTTCACGCTCGCGACGATCCCCCTGCGCGACTGTTGCCCTGACTGTGGCGCCGCCACAGACGCCGCGCTCGCCCAGGGCCCAGCGTGGGATGCCCCGTTCACGCGCGGCGCCGCGCGCTTACGCTCGCTTAGCGCCAGCGCCACCGAAGGACTGTCACCTTCATCGGCTGGCGCGACGAGGAGCGGCCGTGGAGCGACTTTTCCGTTTCGGCCCCACGCGGTCCGGTGCGTGAGCGGGAGCGCTGCTGCCGCTGCCCTGGGCGCGGACAAGGTGTGCGCGATTAATGTGGACGAGGTGGATATGCGCCGCGGCGGGCCCTCGCCTTTAAACGCGGACGTTGGGGCGGATTCGGACGCGCAGGCGACGGATACGGAGGTGACGGACGCAGAGTCGCCGGCTATTAACTTCGCCGATCCGCCCAAGCGGCCGTGGTGCAAGAGCGCGGGGTCGTCGTCGTCGCGCGACGGGAGACCGCACTCGGCGATTCCAGAGGAGGAAGATGAGCTGTTCCCATTACCGTCGCCACGGCGCTCGCCCAGCGGTTCGCCGTTGGCGAGCCCGGCGGGCTCTTCCTCGTGCCTTTCCATCCCTTCATCGACCGCGGCGGTGGAAGGCCCTCCGACGCGCAGGAGCCCGTCAAATAGCTCCGCCGAGAGTTTGCCTGTTGCTTCTCCCAATCCGAGGCACATCCAGACGCAGACGCCTTTGGGCGCATCGCCAGCTGCTGCTGCGCGGCCGAGATGGCTGGCTCCTCCAGGCGCGAACGGGTCGAGCAGCAGTCTTGCTAGCAGAGGCACATTCCGGTCTTCGTCGCCTAATTTGCTGGGTGGTATGCCGTCCATATCAGGTCGCTCTACGCCTACCACATCTTCAGACCCACTTTCTTCCGCCTCTGCCTCTGCCTCCTCCGAGTCCTCGTGTGCCTCCGAAGCGCCCCGCGCTCCGTCCCCAGCACCTTCAGACGTGTCCGCCTCGCCGACACTCTGCGACGCCCTCGCTCAGCCGCAGCCGCAGCGTCCTGGGATGACACGCTCGGGCTCAGCCACACCCACACGCGCGTACACGCCCAACGCGGCGCCCATCTTCCCTGCGGGCCACTCGCCGCGCAACCTCGCGCCGCCTGTGACGCGCCGGCGGCCGTCGCCGGCAGCGAGCGCGGAAAACGTGTCGCTGAATAGCAGCGGGCGCGCCAGCCCGCTTCCGGGGAATCTGAGCGGGCGTGTTACTATTCGCTCGACGACGACGATTCCGGAGCGGTCTGCGTCTAGCCCGGGCCTCAATGTGGAGTTGGGAGAGGGAGGGAGCAGACGCGGGAGTCTGAGTCTCGTGTCGCCGAGTTTGCCGGATATAGCGTCGATGGCGAAGTTTATGTCGTTGAACGACGATGCGGACCGCGTGCCGCCGCCGACGAAGAGTCCGGTGCTGTCGCCGCTCTCGCAGTCGCACTTGACACCGTTGTCGCTGTCGCCGTCGCCGTCGCAGTCGCAGGGGCGCACGGGGCAACTCCGGCCTGTGCAGATCTCCACTTCGAACTTGTCCTCGTCGTCCGCCTTCGCGTCCCCGTCTTCACCCTCCGCTGCGCCACAACGGCCCTCGCAGCGCGCGGAGTCGCAGACCGCGCTCAGCGCTAGCCCGACGCAGCTCCGCGCGCCGCCCTCGCCGACGTTGACGCGCTCGCCGAGCACGAAGAAGCGCGCGTCGTTCAACATTGCGAAGCCGCGGGGCATCATCGCGGATGTGCTCCGCGGTGTGGGCGCGATTGGCGGCGGGGGCGGGGGCGGGGGGTCGGCTGTTGGTGTGGGCATGTAGGCGGGGTGGCTTTCGCGCATTCGTCCCCCCAGACTTCCTCCTGCCCTTCTGGGCGTCGGCCTCGGCCTCGGCCTCTTGCGATAATAAAACTGAAGAAAGGACAAGGAAATGTATTGTATAAACTGTCTTTATACCCACCTGGCTTTCGTGGATGCATGCTAGTATCTTTTCTGTGCTGTATATTGTAATTACTAACTCTGCTTACTTGCTTGCTTTGTTTTGTTTAGAGCTCGTAATTGCCCTTTTGTCTTTTACCTGTTGTTTTTCCATTGTGCATATATTCGTTCTTTGTTTGCTTGTTTATTTGTTTGTTTCCGTGTCAGTTGTTGCCATTTCCGCTAATTGGCTTAGTCTGTGTAATGTATATCTACCTATAATTAGGACCTGGCTGTTTATGTTCAATATAACATGCATGTGCTCTCTTTCTTCATCGGTATTCTTGTTTCTTGAGGTTCTCGAAGCTACGACTGCACGGCCGTCGGCCTTCGGCTTTCCGGAACCCGGTATCCAAACGTTGCCGATCCGGTACCCCGAAGGCCGAGGCTTCCCTTCCCCACGTCGTCTGACCATTCACGCGCCGAGCCTCGAGCCTCTCAATCCCCAGCGCACCTACACACGGGCTCACGTTTGCATCAGCGAGGGTTTTTCATCAGCGACTTGCTCTTCCTGTTTCCTCCGTGCTTTTCGTCTCTCAGCTCGAGCTCATCTTTACGCGCAAACGTTATATAAGTAGGAGCATCTGCAACAATGTCGAACCGTCTTGCGCAGGTCTCTGGACACATTACGAATGTGTATGGGCGTGGGATGCTTGTGGGTGAGGTTGCTATTATCACTGGTGCGTTCAGTTCTGGGCTCTGAGGCGTGGAGGGAGGTGTTGATTCCCGTTTGCGATAGGTGCTGGTCAGGTTCGTTTGCATATCTCGCTGCGTACAGCGTAAGGGTGCTAAGCTCAATATGGATGCAATGTAGGGTATCGGCCGGAGCGCAGCGCTCCTCTTCGCGAAGGAGGGAGCCAAGGTCGTTGTCAGCGAGTGCGTGCACCCCATGCTGTCACTGTAACCTGCTTCCGGTGACTCACACCCCACATATATAGCATTGACCAGACCAAGGCCGAGGCTGTCGTCGCGGAGATCAAGAACGCGGGCGGCGAGGCGATCGCTGTCGCAGGCGATGTCGGCGCGGACGACTTCCCGAAGAAAATCGTGGATGCGACTGTCAGGTGAGCCCCCATCGCCTCTCTTTCCGAACTTCTTCAGTAACGGACGGGTGCTGACTGCGCATGTAGCCAGTACGGCGGGATCAACCACATTGTCAACAACGGTGCGTTCGTCCGTGCCCGGGTTTCGAGCGTGCTGATAAGAATGGCGTGGGTGTAGCTGGCTTCACGTACGACAAGATGCTGCACACGATGCCCGACGACGCGTACGACATCATCATGAAGATCCACGTGCGCGCGCCCTTCCGCCTCGTACGCGCCGCCGCTCCTCACCTGCGCACCAAGGTGCGTACCCTATCTTCCCTTCTATCGTCTTCAAGCTCGGGCGGCGCGCTAACGAAGTGCGCAGAGCGATGCCAACAAGAGCATCATCAACGTCTCCTCGACGACGGGCCTGCACGGCAACGTCGGCCAGGCTAATTACGCAGCGGCCAAGGCCGCCGTCGTCGGTCTCACCAAGACAATTTGCAAGGAGTGGGGGCCGTACGGTGTACGCGCTAATACGGTTGCGTTCGGGTTCATCCACACGCGGTGCGTACTCATTTCCCCTTTCCTCTTCTCTTTTCCTCTTCTTTTTTCCTCCTCTTTCCCCGATGACGATTCTGACGTGTGCCCGTGCAGGCTGACCGCCGACAAGGCCGACGGCGCGGAGATCGTGATCGACGGGAAAAAGGTCGCGCTCGGTATTCCCGGCGCTAACAAGAACCGCTCGGCGGAGACGGTCAACGCTGCGTCTGACATTCCTTTGCGCCGCGGAGGCACCGCCGACGAGGCTGCTTCTGCTATGCTCTTGTATGTTTTTATAACGTTTTTGGTTTGGCCATCGTACTGATGAGGTTAACTATTTTACAGCCTGGCGTCGCCGCTTGCGTCGTACATTAGTGGACACACGCTCGAGGTCACTGGTGGGCGGGGTATTTGAGTATGTACCCTGCATGTATACTTGAAGTTTGTTGCGCATCGATGTTGTTCCTTCCCTATGGCCACGAATAGGACGGTATCAATCTCTGGGGTGTGTTGCTTTGTTCCATCTTCTCGGCGATCAAATCGTCCAGTCGCGAATGCATGTGAGGAAAGGTGGGGCCGAATCTGGTCAACATGAACCATACAGTAATTGATGAGGGGCAAAGCTACCTCGATACATTTCAGGAACGTGACCTTGAATGTTCTTTGCATCATCAACACGAACGTACGTGTAATATTGTCAACGTTAATCCTACAATTGAATACCTCTCAACTACGAGCTAACATGCCATCAGACATTGCGTAACTGCACTATTTCTGACCAGGCCTATGCAGAAGCAGCAGCCTCATGTCGTTGAAGCTCGTCCCGCTCGCTACTGCCCATATCGCCCTAGTCACCCTCACCCAGTCTAGCGTCCCCTTCCAGCTCGCAATACGTAACCGGGCCTCCTCGGCAACCTCGGGTGGGATCGCCTCCTTGCCCTCGCCAGGCTTGGAAAACAGGTCGAGCAGCAGCTTTGCCATATCCTGTGTGAGCTCGGGGTGTCCTTGCATGGTCAGGACGCGGACACGAGCGTCGCTTCTGCGTCCCAACGTTTGCCCTACGTAGTTAAGCCCGTGGTCTTTGGGATAGAAAATGACCGTCCCCTGGCACGCTGTGCCCTCGGTCGATCCCCAGATCGTGGGCTTGAACGGGTTTACTGGCTTCAGTATGGACGCGGCGCCTTGGCTCGGCGTGTCGCTGCTCGATCTGAAGTGCGCGGTGATTTTCTCTCTCAGGTGCTGGAAGTGGATCTCGAAGCTTTTTGTGAAGACGGCTTCAGCGTGGAACATCTCGAGGTTCTGAGCAAGGGGAGCGCCATTAGTATGACTTCAGAGCGACCAAAGGCCATCGGGCAGTTACGTACAAGAGTCCCCAGGCCTCCAAAAAGGGACGTGCCTGTGCCATTTAACTGGACTGCATAAGGGCCTACTTCCCAGACACCTGGCCCGACGTGGACCGAGGGCGCATAGAGGACCTTGCAAAGGAGCTGGTGGCCGAAGCACACGCCTGCAGTGGGAGCGTACATTGAGCATGTGTGCCGCACGTATCTAGAGCCAATGAAGAAAATGATCGAGTCTTACCGACAAGCCTGATGTTTGGGTGGCCGATTGCAACCTCGTAGATGAGGTCCGAAAGTCTGTAGATCCACTTGTCTTCATCGTTCACGCTCGATGCTAATAAAGACGCTTTGTTAGAGTCATGATTACTGGGATGAATGCCGAACTCACATGACCCGCTGAGGATAATACAGTCGTACTTGACGCTACCGTTGAGTTTGGGAAGCTGTCCCTTCTGCGCGTCGAATCGGTGAAAGCCAAACCACTTGAGCGGATCCAGAGGGATCCCCCGCTTCTTGATGATCTCCTCGTCTTCTTCACTGAGGCCGCTTTGACTTGCGACGCCGTCGCCGAAATTCTTTCCCGGAAGAGGAAAGAACGATCCAAGGTAGTGCCTAAGCAAGTCGTAGAAAATTTGGGGGACAGTCCCGAACTTGTCGATGAACTCTTGCTTGGTGTCGTCGCAGTTGATCAGCGCAATTTGGGGGATGTGAGGGAATGGAAGCCCTGGAAGGTGAGGGAGAGAAGCGGCTTCAGTAGTTGCGGAAGTCTGATGTTGGGCAGACATTGAGATAGGTGATGAAAAGAGCCAGAGGTACGATACTGAGGCGAAATGAACATGGGTTATATACTGTATGCGCCCCAATCAGGTTCCTAAACAGATACAAGAAAGCTTGGCTTCAAGTTGTGGCGTAGTTTTCCCTCCCAGATCTAGAACAAGTAGAACGTGCGAAGCGATGTGTTGGAAGTGCGTGGGACGAGCTATCAGACACAAGCTGTAGAGGTTATCCTAGATTTCATGACATTCTGTCGACCAACGATCAAAGTCAGGAACAGCGGGCGCTTGATACGTTCCACTGTTATCCCCAGTGGAAACGTGCTGTGCTCAGATGGGTGGGAATCCGGGCGGATTGGTGAATCGAAGCATATCTCGTGGTGCTTCTTTGATGCACCGATACACACCAATGCGAACCGATGGCTGGACTGTTCACCGATTTTTTGGTGTCAATTCATGACGCCCATTGGCTCGGATCCGGGCACATCGGTTCGTATTGGTGCACGCATTCACGAGTACGTGAACTCAATTTAAATACCTAATTGATATAATAGAATACGACTCAATCCGGTTTATTCCATCCATAGCGAAAATTCCAAAGCAGCTTGATTTATATTAAAGGCTACTAAATATACGTGCTGGCTATCTTTACAAATAATGAGCAGTGACATTAGCCGGATATGCCCGACCGCGAGCCCGTCGATGGAATGAATCATGATATGTGATGGCAGAGGTAGCGAGTACGTACCACATAGAGGACAAGCTTTGTGCAGTCGATGAGCAAAGGCAAGGTAAACCGGATTGCGGGAATCGACTCACCTGAATGTTCAATCACTTTCTACTCGTGAACTCGACAATCAGAAGTAATTTTCAGTGATGCAAGTTAGAGAGGTTGACCGGAGTGGCGAATGTGGAAGAGTCATGTTGCGGCAACCAGGAGAATGTCGTAGTAGACGTACCCAAGTGCGTACGGGCGGTGTTCGGGGTGGTGAAGAGGATGGTGGTGGTGGTGGAAGGAAGGAAGGGAGAGCTAAGTACGCGCTCACGAACAAGGCTGTAACACGCGGGGATCAAAACTGCGGAGTTTCCAGACTGTTTTCAGAGAAGTCACAGCAAGCAGAGCCAAGCAACAGCTAACTTAAATATTACAGACCTACTGAAATGCGGTTTTACGGGGGCATTGCAATTGCCTATTTAGCGGACAAACACAGAACTACTGCAAGGATATCACATTTAAATTCACTGTCCGAGCCAATCAGGACCTCTGCATGACGATTTGTGTCGGTTTCAGGACTCATAAAGACTTGGCATTTCACGAAGCAAACACGGCAATACTTTTTTTTCACCAGGACCGCTGCTGGGAATATTCCATTCATGAAAAAGACGATTGATGAAGCAACAGCGGGAAGTCCGGGCCCGTATCTAGTTCCCTGAGTGCCATATGCGTCGAACTTTTTGGTATTCTAATCGCGTCAAGGTCACATGCACTGGCTTTCACCAATCTGCCCGCATTTTATTGATGAAAAATCAAAGATGTACCCTACTATGCTTCGATTCACCAATCCGCCCGGATTCCCACCCATCTGAGCACAGCACGTTTCCACTGGGTGTTATCACGCCCTGAGCGGAGCCTAAATGCGAAAGCTGTGGTACCGATGGACACAAAGCATCGCATCGCTCTGAGAAGTCTTGTTTGAGTGCATGCATTGCTCAAGAGAAGTATTCGCAGGAGAAACGTACAGCAATCAACGTTCTCGGAACGTGTTGTTGTTGGGGATACATAGCGTGTCTTCAACTTCTTCTGTAACTCTAAGTCAGATATCACGCATCAGCGTCATCCCAAACGCAACCCAGCGTAACCAGTGGAATATGACCAGGGCGGTAAGGCTTAATATTATCCACCTCACCTCGAGCTTCAGCTTCATTCCACATCATGATGGATTTTGTGTTACTTACCACAATGGAAAATTGATCGTGATAGAGGGCCATTATCAGAGGCGTGCAAAGCGTCTGGCACACTGTAAGTGTAGTATTGAACTTAATTTTCTCAGGCCATCATAGTGGAGTCATGTTAGCGCCTTGCATGGAAATCGGTGTGGAGGTTGAGACTCGCAATTTGGAAAGACTCAACTTAAAGGCCAGGTCCTGAATCGTCCGTTCCTAACGTTCGCGACTCGGGGGAACTTGGAGTATGGGCTCTACGGTTGTTTCAAGGAATCGATCTCTGGACAAACAGTTTCAGAAGAGGTGGGCCTATGAGAGAGACCTCGGTACTTGAGGAGAAAATTCATAAAGAAAAAAAAACACCTAAGAGCGAGTGAGCGCTTGAGCGACAGGACAACATCGAGCAAACACCCGACGGGCCATAGCCACCGACAAGTCAAAGTCCGGAAGCATTAGACGACACTGACCGCGGCGCGTGCGCATAAAAGCTTGAAATGTGGGGGACGCATGTGCACTTGGCGTATCATTCACTTCTATAGTATTGGACAGTCCTCTCTCCCAGTGCGAATTTACTGGCAGCAGTATTTGATTCCTATAAACGAGAACCTTCTGAAATGGACTTCCTTAAGGCAAGCAAGTTGTCCTCTTAAAGAGGATGGAGATAGAGCAGTCACTATCAAGATCCGATAAATACCGTAACACTAAACGACCTCGAAGATAAAACTGTACTACGCCATTTCCATCTCATCGTCACTAGGCATAGCCGCGGCAGCAAACGACATAGTCAGTTCACTAGAACTATGGATACCTGCTGCTGCTCCCTTTTCATAGCTTTTACGCAAGCTTATTATCATCCACGGTCCAACCATGGTCACCAAAGTGAGTTGCATCAGCTTCTCTAAGCCGACGTATGCAATCGACTAGAAATAGATGACGTAAATAGAAAATTTTAGAAAACAGAAAACCAGGATGTTGGATCTCACGTTAGATAGGGCAGGAACAAAATTAACGGATGAAAGTGTCAGAGACACGAGGACGCTATGTGTGTATTATAGTGAAGTGAGTAGTACCGATGATAATACTAGGAGCGGGAACGTACATAAAAAAGTACACCAAGTTGTCTCGCACTATGATCGAGCCAAGCCCAACCGCCGCACGGGCTGGTTCGCGCCATGCGGAAACGGAAAGATTCTTGAACGCGTGTCGTAAAGCTAGCGCGCAGAGTATAACCTCGTATGCTAGTACTGTCATGCAGTACGCTGGATAAGTCCAGTCCCTGTTCGTGGGAATGTCATCGTTGCAGAAGTCGATGCTGAGCAGCTGCGCTTCCGCTATATATCGAGGCGATGTCAATTACCAGGTAGGAATGATAGTAATAAGAACTCGTAAGGGTGCGTCACACTTACACCAGTACACAGATCCGGGTGCAAAGAAGAATATCGAAGAGGTTATACTGAATATTTGGGTAGCCGCAAAGCACATCCCTAGGACGACTAGGATAGTCATTGGTCTTCCAAGGAGGACGTATACTCGGATAGACATCATCCCTATAAATGGGGCATTACAACACATTTCTGCCATTACGCATAGTAGAGGGATATACGAACCTTGGAGGAAGAACGTTACTAGGAGTACAGAGATTTGTGCAAGCACATAGAGACCAAAACCTAACGCCGCATCGGATTAACTGGCAGTGCTTCGGACTCAGGTTTAGTTTACTTACAGCTACAGAAAGACCATGAGATCCTTCTTTGTCAGATACAGCATATCGTACTCACTCCTGAAATGAACAATATATTGAGTGACAATTCTCATTATCAAGCGATAAAGGGATGCACCAGGCCAGAAAATGGTACATTTAGATCAAGGACTGAGGAAGGACGGTGAGCAAATGAGACTCAGAAGACTAGAACATGCCATGACACACCTATGTCTGAGCTAATACAAGCCAAGCCGATCAGACTCTCTGACTGTAACATCAGGCTTGTTTACTCACACTACGTAGGCTAACCCAACATAACGCATCTGCACGTTAGTATTACGCAATTTTAGCTCATGGCTGGGCACGACGGACACAACATGCGTACTAAGATGTATACCAGGCTTGTTGAGGTAAACTTCTTGCTCTAAGTAAGTGATCTAAGCATGAGCCATGAGGAAAATAGACGGTGGGTACTTTACCCATATGAACTCGATCTGTGAGCGAAAATTCAGCCTCTCATACGATTAGCATAGTCAGCGCCGATCAAGTTTCACGCACTTCGAGTCCCATGTTTAAAACTGATTGATTATTGTTGGCGGTATGTTCACACAACCAATAAGTGGTGACGGCTTACGATAGTCATATATGCCTAGGGCTAACACGGAAACTATAGGTAGCATCTTCAGCTGTACTTCACTAACTTGAAGGGTTAAGATGACGTAGCGCACCTAACAAGGAGTTGACTTTGAGGACGTAAGACACCTCTGACTCAACCTCTTGCTGAAGGGAAGTGGATGTCATGATTCCCGGGGCCAGGTTGAGGTGTCGACGCGCGTTGCTTCTTATACAATGGAGTTATATGCGGTTTCCAACCCCGACCTCGTACCGAGTTAAGCAAGAGCTCAGCGCTCAGCGGCAGACGATGGCGGATATGAGGTTGAGCATGATACTAAAAATAGGTCTTCATCAGAGGAACTGCGCAATGAGGCGAGCAAGTTGGGTGTGTTCACGTAAAACGAGGTAGTCCTCGGTACGGATAGGAATCAACGCCACGATACAATGTTTTCACGCAAGTCAACCGACCATTTCTTTTACCAACAGTCGCGCGTCGTAAATGTTACGACCTCCCGCGGCAACCTGGGCAGATAGAAAACAGCCACAGGAAGATCCGAGCACAGTGACTCATATCTTCTGTCACGCAACAGCCATCGCGCAGCAACTGATGGACAATGGTATAAACCTAGTATATGTAGCCATTTATGAATAGCCATCAGCGTTAAGAAGCTTATGAATCTACTTACAACTCAGACCATTTCCTAGTTCACCATGTCTAGTTCCCACGCGGCCTCCAGTCTTTCCTATTGAAGCTCAATGTAAGAGTCTCCGTTTCAAAACCTTGGCTCAAATACGTCCGTAAGTGTCTGTTTCTCCCAGCATCAGAATGATAGCTACTCCTTGCGCCAAATTCGGGACCATGGTCTTTTATTTGGTCACGGTGGGCCGCACATCTCCCACCGGGGCGCGGCATTGAATGATGATCAGACGCTGCTTCAGATGCTGTTCGAGGACTCAACGCGCCAGATGAGCGAACACTCTCAAATAATTTGAATTGCTGCTAACCCAGGATATCTTGGGTTGGCTCACTGGTTGAACGGAGTCTTGAATGTTCGTACATATGAAACTGGGCGCGATACAAGTGCCAAATCCATCTGGTCGCCAGAAAATGGATGCGGTGATGTCGTACCCTGCGTATGTCGGAGGTTTGATAGCTTTTCCAGGCTTCAAGCTGTCAGAAGTGGATTCCTGGATCTCCAGATAGGCCAAAGACAGCGAAGAGCTGAGATGTGCTCTTCCCGGATGCTGCGCAAGCTGTTATCGGTGACTGACTCACTGCAGACAAACGGCGATTTTACCCGGGATTAAACCGAGAGAAAGAGGCGGCGAGATGAAAGCCTTTTCCTCCGAGTTTTGGAACGCCTTTTTGCACAGGAAAAGGTATTCTTTTGGCCGATATTTGCGTCAATTTTGCGCTGGTAAAATGGATGGGTTATCGAATTCGGACTCCATCTTCCCGATTTGGACGTGTTTTTATCTAATCTCCGCACAGAAATGCAAACTCCGAGGCAAAAGTTCAACTTTTCAGTAACTTTTCGCACAGCAAAAGATGGGTGAAAAAGGCTTTCATCTGTCCGCCTTCTCCAATCACATTTTGTAACAGAAAAATCACAGCTTGTCTGCAGTGACTAGGACTGGCGGCTGGTGTGAGATGTACATGTGTGTGAACTCAGTTTATACTCAGCTCAATCTCCGATGACCGATAATTTGCGTCGGCTTTCAAAATCTCACGTCCGAAAGTCCAAAGCGACGCAACATCAATTTGCGTGGATTGTTCTCGGACGGCCTTGGACCCTGCACATTATTTGACGCTTGGCGGCTTACTTGGCGGCAGTCAAGCTTCAATCACTTTACATTATACTCAAGAACACCTCCAATCCACTGTTGACAGCCCTGTCGAACAATTGCTAAGTGGGGCTATGATGCGATTGGCCACTTTGCCCATCTTCAAGATTTGATATGAACACCTCATGGAGAGCATACAACCCGGGGGCGAACAAGTAGTATCGGTCAAGCAGAGTAAGCACATGTTCCGTGTCAACGCGAGGTGCGCTCTCTGGATTATTTCTCGCCGATGTCTTACGCTGAACAGACACAAATTTCTCGTGCTTATGAGTTAAACGCAGAATCCAATTTTCTGATCCCAGATTCTCCAACCTTCAAGTCGACGACGCAAAACCCATGTTTATTGCGCAAAGTCCGAGTTGCGATGGCCTAGAACGACTCTGCTATTACCGAGTTCCGACCTCAAGCCCTCGACAAAGCGTCCACTGGCATGGGCAACCATGTGTCTCTGAAAATTGTAGTGGGTATCGCTGGCACAATGACCAGACCCGTGCTGCGGTTGCGCTAAACACCCTCGGGGCCACAAGCAACGCTTGCGAGAGCTCTGCGCTGTCGGTATCCACGCGGAACAATAGCGGCCATACAGATGAGCTGATTTGCGCATTCAGTAGTCCTGGATGCATCCTCCGAGTCGGATAGCCTCTAGTTCTACTCAGCGGATGTCCCGTTCACTACGAGATCCAACTACGTCCCCATATAAGTTGGAGGCCATCAGATGTTGATCAGATGCTCTCGAGCACCGGATAGCCCCCTCATCGCTCTCTGGCAATGCGCTCCATCCTTCCTCTCGCACTCTCCCTTTCCTCTCTGCCTCTCTTTGCCTCCGCAACGGTCGGTTTTGGCGCCCAATGGTGGTTCAACGCATTTGAACAAGCCAACGGGCCCGTCTGGTTTTTTTTCTGCCAAGAACACCCTCCAGGTTCCAGCCCCGCCGAACCCATATGGCATCTTCTACTAATGCAAGCCACTCCTTGCACTCGTATCATACTCGTTTTCCACCATTTATTTTCCAACACCAACGATAGAAAATCGCTTATTAACTCCTCACAGATTGAGTGACAAACATGAAACCTGAACACCGGTTCCTAGTTACTCCCTCCGTCTTCTACTAGCGTGCGGCACTTCGGTAGAATCAATGCTGATCTATATATGCCGGTACTATACGCGCATAAGCTAAGTAGGATGCAATGGCCATAGCTAAAACGGAAATCCCGAGCATTCGCTCTCCCATGCTGGTGGACTCGCAAAAGCTATTGTCGCAAGTTCATTTTCTCCGGCTGTTCCTATCCCAAAACCAGCAGAATAGCCCCTACACAAGCTGATGAGCATCCAGGGACCGGCCATTGTCTTAGAAATAACGTGGAATGAGAAATTGAATATCGCAAAGATAGGCGACTGAGAGGGCAGCGATCCAAGCTAGCGTCATTTTTCATTTCAACTCACCAACTGTGCTCCTCACGTTGACGAATACATCAAACTTCTAGATGGTGTTAAACATCAAGGATACGAGCGCGCTAGACATATCGCAGAACTCTTAGTGTACAAAAATTAGAGTACCGGAGAACTTGCACTTGCACGAAAAGATACACTAAATTGTCACGGACAATAATCCATGAGGGGCTTCCTAAACAAGTTAGGAAAGTTTCTGGCTGCGTATATAACATCAAGTGCGCAAATACATATGACAGAGAGACGGGTATGTCGGACTTCAATCAAGGCTAGTAAATCAGAGGTGCAGACCAAAGATTTCTTCCCGCTCTCTATCTTGCATAGGCTGGTTGATGGTTGATTCATGCGGCTGAAAGTCATTTCTCACAGTAACCTCGGCGAACTCCTTTGCAAGGGAGTATGATCACGTTGACCCTCCCCTGAGCATTTGCGCTCACGACTTCTGACAATATGCTGTATAAAGTAGCCTTTCGGGATATGACTGCTGTCGAACTTGAATCCGAACAATTGTTAGCGCCTGGCTGTCGCCCAGTCATCAATCGTCTGGCGAACTAGATCAGCGCAGCCAAGGCAGCATGCACATGCGCTCTGGATCTATACAGCAATAAAGACGAAATAACCCTCTATATCCTGTCCCAAACCCACCTCACGCCCTCCCCAGCACAAAATCCGCACACCGCTCCGCAATCATAACCGTCCCCGCCTGCAAATGCGTCCCAGGGATCCACGGGAACACACTACTATCCGCCACCCTCACATTACACGTCCCGTGCACTCTCAGCCGCGCATCGACGACCCCTCCGCCCGCCGCATCGTCCTCGGGCGCCATACGGCACGTCGACGCATAGTGATACGTCGACCTGTTGCGCGTCATCGGCGCGCACCCGGCCTCGGACGACGCCACGGGCGCGGATATGAACGCGTCGAGGTCGGCGTCGGATTCGGATGCGGGGACGTACCAGTCTTCGAGCGGGTATGAGGGGTCGGAGGCGCGGATGCGCTCGACGATGCGTAGCGAGAGGCGGAGGGCGGCGCGGAGGGGTGCAAAGTCGGCCGGTGCGGAGAGGTAGTTGAGTGCGATGTGCAGAGGGGTGTGGATGCTCGGTGAGAGTTTTGCTAGGGACGGGGTCGAGGATGAGCGTGATGAGGAGGGAGTGGAGAGGCGGACGGCGCCTTTGGATTCAGGGCGGAGGAGCACGCAGAGGAAGCTGAAGCGGCCGCGGGACTTGGAGAATGGCTGGTCGCCCGAGTCGTAGGACATCTATCCACGCACAAACGCGTCGGGTTCTGTTCCGCGCGGGAAAGAAGGGAAAGACGCACGGGCATGATCTCGAAATCCGGCAGTACCTCTTTCTCCTCCTCAGACTCCTTCTCCTGAGGTTTCGGCGCCCCGCGCGCATCAAGTGCTCCGCTCCAGGCGAACACCGCCAGCTGCACTACAGGAGCGAGGAGCACGCCCGTGCCCCATATCAGGTATTTGAAAAGCTCGATGATGAACATCCAGGGGCGCTTCTCGAGCGCGATCAGCGAGTCCGAGACAGGGACGGTGTACCCTAGGGAGACGCCAAGGTGGTCTTGCTAAACGCATAGAAGGGGAGTGAGTAAAACGGAAAAGGAAAAAGGAGGGAGAACGCACGAGGTTGGAGCCTACAGCCGGAAGATGCTTGCGTACGGGTATGTTATGCTCTTGTAGATGTTCTTTAGGACCAATTCCACTACGCGTGACCAGGTCGTTCCAGTGGATAAGATAGAAGGGACAATCCACGATGACAACTCACCTGAGCATCAACACCTGAGGACTGCCAAACGGTCCTGCGCACAAAATGACCTCTTTGTCCACACTGACCGCCGTCCGCGTCTGCTCCAGCTGTTGCGTCGCAGGTGTGATCAGCACCTCCTTCACCTTGAGTCCTTCTCCTGTAGCACTCTCATCGAAGACAAGTCGCTCGACGAGGGCATTCGTGCAAACGTGCAAGTTCGCCTTCCGCTTCACGACAAGTTCATGAGGCAAGAAGGCGTGATATGTTGAGTGGCGTGTGGTCGGCGTACGGGTGTAGTGCAAGCGCGCGATGCCTTTTGTTGGGTGGGACGGGTCGTTCACATCACTAATCCAAGGGAGCCCGATATCGCGAGATGCGGCGAGGACGCGCTGTGCGGAGGCGTAATGCGGTGCGCGAATGGTCGTGTTACGCCATTCACCTTTGTAGGGATCAGCTCATGTTGGGTTTCTGAAGTTTAGATGAAAGGGAGAGTTGTAACGCACCGCTTGTCCCATGCACCTCCGCGTCCACAGTCCCGTCATAGTCTACGACCGTCTCGCCCTTCGTGAAGTATGGTCTGACCTCTTCCCAGCCCCACCCTTCCCTCCCCTTACCCCGCCAGCTCTCCCACTCTCCCGGCAGCCCGCGGGTATACAGCATCTGATTGATCCTCGAGCTCCCGCCGAGCGCGCGCCCCGTAACGAGTGGTATGCTTCTCCCTTCCTCCCCTGGACCCATATTGCCCTCTAGCGCAGAAGGACGGGTCCATGTACGCGTCCCATCGGAGGCAAAGTCTGATGAGAGTAGTGGGACGCGTGATGCCCATGAGTCTGCGACGGGGCCGGCTTCAATGAGCAGCACGCGCGTGGACGGGGAGGCGGAGAGGCGGTTGGCTAGGACACAGCCAGCTGTGCCGCCGCCTGCCGAAAGAGAACATGTTAGATAGGAGCAAAATGGCTTCGCAGAGTGCGAGGAGATATAGAGATGACGCACCAACAATAACATAGTCGTAAGAGGGAAGGAGATCCCGGATGGCCACCTCGGGGTATGCCTCGTCGAATGGCCACATTTTCAGACTTTTCGATAAAGGTTGCGGGTATGCACGGCCTTTTCCACGCGTCCTTTCAGCTCAGGGCTTTATACGATGTCAAGTAGCCTGTCCAAGTGGGTATACGCGCTTGTCAGTTGCATGGACAGAAAGCTCGGAACTGAGGCGCCCACGGGCCGTGGGAACCGGACGACGCGCTGGACCCAATCGTTGCTTGACATGGCTTACGTGGATTTTTGCCCTCAAAGCGGTTGTAAAATTTGGCCCTAGCAGTTTCCGATGGCTCATCTCTGCCAGACATTCGTGGCCAAAAGGTATTGTGCGTTTCCACTACTTATACCCGTACGCCGACAACGCGTCATTCGACATACCACGCCTCCCCCCACAAAATTTCGACGACAAACGTAAAGCGAACTTACATATATGCACGAACGTACTTGTCGAGAGGATAGTCTATCAATGGAGACGGATTAAAGGTGAAGGAGGTTCTGATTACGCCCTCGAAATAACAACTGTAGCAATTACAGACAACGATCAGCGCAGAGAAAGACGTCGTTTTGTGCGCTGTGGCGTTTGGCGGTTCTCGGTTGTTGATGCTGAGGTGTGTCTGCCTTTACTTTCTCTTCGTCGCACCGTTTGCTGATATAAGCATACCCTGAACAGCGGCATCGACCCCAAAGAGCACATCCAAGTCTCAACCCCTCTTCATCATTCTCAGTGATCACTTGTCTCTATGGATAGCACGACCAATTGGGCACCTCCATCGGCTACACCGTCCCCATCTCGAACGCGCTGATTGCTCTCGATAAGGGTCTTTGGATGTTAATCCTCGAACTCTTTACGTATTTAATATGAGGAACGGGCGTGCTCCTCGTGCCCGACGTGCAGCTGGTCATATTCGCGCGGAGTGGAGCGCTCGATGTGCGCGGTGCTCCGAGGACGCATCAGAACAAAGAAGTGTCGCCGGATTTTGAGATTATGCCCGTGCGTCGTCGTTTCATTTCTCCGAGTTACAAGGAATGTGAGCTGACGAGAAGGTGGGGTACAACACAGATGTCTTACGACTCGGACGACCAGCCCTTCTCCAAAGCCCGCTGGCGCTTCACCTCCCTCTGCATCCTCCTCCGCTCGCAGTTTAAAGGCTCTGTCCGCCTCTCTCCTACCCAACTCCAGTCCTCCCTTACCACTCCATCTTCGTGATCATCTTCTCTAGCAAAATCGTCCCCAAGCGTCCACACAACCCTGCACATTACGCTCAGCTACCTCTCCGCACCCACGGACTTCGCATCCATGCGCGCCATGCTGCGCCTTTCCATGCTCATCGTCGAGCGCATCCGCGCCTCCGATCCATCATACCCGATCGAGGACTGGTACGTCCCCGCGTCCGATTCGGATGTAGACCTCGATGCATTCATGACTTGACTTATGGAGTTGCATGAGGAAGGGAGTGCTATTATGACGCGTAATAGGACGACGTACCACTATTCGTCGACGTGTCGGATGGTACCTGAGGATGACGCCGAGGGCGGAGGGGTTATGAACAACAGGCTGAGGGCGCACGGCACACAAATTTTGAGGGTAGCGGACAGCGGTGTGTTCTCATGGATCCCTGGAACGCATCTGCAGGCGGGTATGGCGATGATTGCGGAGCGGTGTACGGATTTCGTGCTGGGATATGCGTGAGACAGACCTAGCAACCGGGTGGTGTATCAAAGAGGGCTATTTATGATGTGTAGATGTAGGAATCAAGTGCCCGCTGCCTTGGATAGTCCAAGTCATCTCCAAATAACATGACACTGTATATTGGCTAAGGAGTGTGATATGGTACTGATGGTATCTCAGCAGATGGAGCGGTACATAGTGGTCTGGCACCAGTTTTATTCAGTAAACGAGTGATTCTTCAAAGGCACACTGAAGAATGACACTGAAAAATGCATTCCTACTCTTCTAGCTAATGCACCACCGATCGCAAATTTTGAGCCTTTCCACAATGCACGATCGCGAGAAGTACTACCGCAAAACAAGGATACCTAAGGAGTAAAAGACGGTTGCGCGGCTTTCGTACAAGTCGCAATATAAAAGCAAGGCCTCCCCTCAAGAACAGAACGAGCGACGGTCAGGGTAACAGCGCTTATTGTATTTATGAGCATCTCCTTCAAGTCGCCCGATCCGGCATCTAGTCCTTGTAGCACGAAGACTAGGAAGAATCCTTGAAGTAACGCCCGCTTCGATTCCAGTAACGCCTATCTCAACAAACTCAGAAACTTCGTGGATTCAATGACTCGAGAATGTCGCCTGATTAGAGAGCAGGGTTGGTTGTGAGTGATGTTATAGTCTAACATACCAGCCTCATAAACAGCAAGAAATATGTTATTAGCGATGAGCACGCCTATGGCATGTGCGGTGTAGTTCGATGTGAACCTTTGAGTTATTTTTCGTAACATCAAAGATGTGGGCACACGCTTCGTTTGTGCATTTTCCACGCTACTCCGACTTGCTCGCTACCATTCCCGGCTGAAACTCGATTTAGACCTCAGCCTCGTTTCTCGCGGTTTTACGCACATGATTGATTTCGTGTTTTATATTCATCACGATATGGGGAAACTTTCACCAGCTGGGCCTCCTGCCCTCGGTGTCGACCCCCGGCGGCAGTGTTGTTTCAGCTTTGGATGCATAACAAAAACGTCACCGATCATACGCCAACCAAAGTTGAATTTGGTATCGCTGGGTGTCATGGTCGCAACCAGATGGCTTGCCCAAAACCGCGGCTGTTGCTTCAGCCGCCTCTAATGAACCGGTATTATGTTCGATGCATGGCTGGTAGGATGGATATAATTCCGTCTTTGCTGCTCAAAACCCTTTTCCTGAAGGTACCTGTCTCCTTGTCTATACGCCCATATGACGCCGACTTTACCCTTGTTATGCGGACTGGTTTAAGAGGTTTGTTCAGCAAGTCGAGTAACCGTATACCAAGCTCAAGGTTGTATAGAATCCGAAAGAGATGAGAACGTGAGGCGTCTTTTTGGACATATTGGGTATGCTGTGCAGGCGATGGTTCAAGTGATCCTACTTCACTTCTGATATATACTCAGCAGCAAGATCGATGTAAGGTTCACAAAGCTCTTTTTCATTACGACCTATAACTAGATATCAAGCATCACTACGCACTAACCCAGCTCTTACTTCATGTTGCTTTAGAAGAATAACTCAAACAAGAACTAGAATGTGCGTAATAAGAGTCCAGGGCGTTCATCCATTGTGAGCATATCATCAATCTGGTGATTCATGCCGATGACTTTAGGGAACAATCGATACCAACTACGCTGCCCTTGGATTCGGTTCCCAGGCGCAGACCTGTGTAAGGTTCAGATATAAAACCGGGGGTCGACGATCATATGGCAACCAGTACGGACGAAAGCTGCTCTGATTATCATAGTTATAACAGAAATGATAGTATCCAACGCCCTTGGTTTGGACAGGGCTTACGGCCCTTTTTTCTTTTTGAAGTGAGCTTATTTGTCTCGAATCCGTCAAACGTATGTATAATACAAGGTTGTTGCAATGATCTCGGTCTTTACTACGCAGAAAAGTTAAATGTGGAGTTACAATACCTGATAAAGATCCAGATGGTGGACAGATTTCTCAGCAATGGGAGGTGCGGGATACGTGGGCATTTCAAGGTCTTGAAATTTTTGAGATTTGGAGTCTCGCTTCTGCTTAAGGCAGCGTCAATAGTACATGCGTAGAACATTACATTTGTGGCAATCTGTAGCTGATTATCAATTGGCTGTGTTCATCTTTTGTTTGCTTCATGATGGTTTGGAGCTAGAATTTGTACCTTTGGTATGAAAAGAAGATGTCCTGTTTTCTCTGCATCCAATGCTATATCAACGCCTTTCAAATCTGGGGCCAAGGCAGATCAGACATATACAGGAATACCTAGACAGTCCATCGCACGCTCCCGACAATTTAAGAGAGTTTCATAGATGCAAATCTAACCAACTTCCCTCCACTTCTCCATCCTTACGCCTTGAAATTGCACACTTGATTTTGGGTGTAGGACATGTCTTCCGCTGTTATCGTGCAAGAAATTATGCAGGAAGCAGCTGATTTACAGAGGATTACTTTTCTAGTTGGTACGGCTATTTTATCTCCCGTTTCACCGTAGTTAAGCTTTCAAATGTTCAAACAGCGGGCATTTTGTCACTTATGACATACAATTACTGTAGGTGCAGATAGTAAGCTGTCATTAATCTAAAAGTCACACAGGTTTGAACTTCTAGTATTGAGCCTTGGGGATGAGGTGCGCAGAATATTGCTGCATACCTGTAGACAACAGAGCTATATCATATCCGTAGCTTGAGTTTATATGGGTATTTGCCACCCTGTTCAGATCTCAACTTCAGTTGTTGAAATATTTACCCAATATTTTTCCAGGCAAAAAAAGCGACATGGTCAACGTTGCTGTATGCGATGGTACTGCCTTTCAGCCACCGATAATGGTGAATAGGTCACTTACTAGCGATGTATCAAAACAGCTCCGCTACCTTGGAATTATATATATAATGTGAGTGAGATAATAGTAGCCGAACAACGTTAACGTTAACGCTGCGCTATGCTTTAGATTGAACGCTGGTACATTTAATCTTGTTCATGAATACACGAATTGTTAACTATTTCAAGGCGGACACTTGGGCTTTCCACTTTCGGGAAAAGTGAGTCTAGCGTGAACTTTGTCACTGCCAGTGATGGGACACATAAGGCTAAAACATGCTGAATACTAAAATTGATAGAAGTTAGTAATATACAATATAATCTGTTCTCGCTCAAGTTTTCCATTATTAGGTGCAAGTACCAAAACACCAACAATCCAAGGAAAATTTTTGACGTGTTATTTCTGTAGGCCTTTATCTAGAGTCTGTCTCGCAAGTTCTCAACCTTGTCATTGTTATGCTACTCCAAGGTTTATCTGTGCCTTTATTGTTTAAATTTTATGATCGATGCTTTAACACATTTATAAACCAGGACTAATGACTCTTCGAGTATATGTACTCCTTGGGAAACCAAAATCAATCTGCCTAGCCCTAGGAATATTATTCGCTGTCACACAAATCACTAATATCGTCTCTATGCTGTATTACTTAACAGCCGGGGAGAAGTTTTGGAGTGAGTTAAACAAGTTCTTATAAGTGCTAAACTCATAGTAACGGATTTAGCCGATGATGAGGTTCTTGGATTCCATTACTGCATGTACAACGTCTCAACAAATCGAGCTTGGACAATCCCAACATCTAGCATCAGTCTTTTAGTATTTGAAATTGTTCTCTGTGGGTTTATCCTGAATTACGCTGTCAAGAACCTTTCCGTTTCGCTTTGGAGTGTCCCAGCACATGCAACGGCCAGCCTCACATGGATCATTGTGCGCGACAATCTGGTGTACTTCTTTATGTGAGCATATGACAATACAGTCGTATTCTGGTAGTGCATTAAACACCGTATGATCTGCGCAGTGCACTTGCGACCCTCCTTCTGTCATCAATTAATCTAATCCCAATTATATCCGAGGTACAGATTATTCTCGATGATTCCATGTGGAAGCTAATGTTAGCCATACTTCTAGTCATTTTTCTTTCAGGCAATAAACAGTGTGGCAGAGGTGACCTTACTTTCGATGGCCGGTCCAAGAATGATCATTAGCTTGCGTAAAAGCTACTTGATGGCGCTAGAATCGGGAACAGCGGGATCAAATGAGCTGACAACTGTAGCTTTCAATGGGGCTGCGCCTTCACAGGCCGAGAATGACCCCTAAGTCTGCTACGTTAACAGTTCCCTTTTAAAGCTACTGACATTACAACCTTATGAACAGACTTCGGCACAGATGTCGCTGAGTTTTCTTGTACACCCAAGATAAACATGCCATTTTGTAACATCTGCTTATGTTGCGTAGGCTGTGTTTGGAGTATATATATTGTAGATGATGTAGACTTGCTTCTTGATTTCTTGTTTTGCGCATTCACACACGACAATGCTTATAGAGTGCCATGCTTGTAGATATACCCGTTCTTGATGTCTACTCGAAACAGAGAGGGGCGAAGAGATATGGAAACAAGCCACTGCGCCGAATGAAGCACTGTTGATAGCGGGTTTGTGATTAAAGCGAGACAGATCGCCAAAACCGATCACCCGCTGGCTGCCATGGTCTAGTTATTGTTCATGCACTGATCCAATTTAAGACCACTTTTAACGCTAAGATATTAGGAGCATATAACAAAAGTGTGGTCATGCAGAAGCTGGTGAGGGCTACGACACCAGCGCTCGTACAAATTCGAAATGGATCGATGACAGACCACCGAAGTGGGAGAACCGAGTGCCAATGTCCGAGCGCAGCCACGATACAACCCTTGCACCATCATCGCATCGCCATCGTTGCCGTTATCGACTAAGAGACTTCAACATTTATCAAGGGGACATTCCATTACGATCAAGTTCTGCGACTAGCCAGGTGCTCAGTTACTCTAGAACACCGCGCAGCACGCAGGTCAACTAGTAGCCTGTAAACTAACTCCAGACTAGGATAGTCGCTTGTTCAAGGCATTGAGGATAGGCACCATCAATCATACCTGATACCCCAATAACACCCCCATGCTGGTGCCCAGACGTCATATCGGTCATCGCTCTTTTGCAATGGCAATAAAAACCAAAGACCGAGCGCACCTTGGTCTTGAGAAACGCATACCTATATGGAACACGTGTTGATGACCCTTGTTTGTACTTTAACCATTGTATTGCGCCCGACTGCATATAGTTTGCTCTTCCTAGCTTCAGCACCAGAGTGTACTTTAGTTCGGATACCAAGGCAAATATGAACGTTCAAACAGTAGATAACTCTTGTTTGACGATTATGCTCGAGTCTAGTCATAACCACCCGCCTCAGCTAATCTTTATCTCTAGTTTATATCATGTTGTCTAAGTTGGAATGGGATAACAAGACAGCGATAGCTACAACATTATGATACATACAGATAAGTATCCCGTCAACAACGTGACGAATACGTAAGCCTGCTAGAAGGACATCATAACGTCTCCCAGCCCCCGTTGTCGACCGAAGATTCGAGTTTGCGTGCGATGACTGTTGGAATCGAGTGGTTGATCCAGGTCTTGCGTATCTCCTCCCAGCGAGCAGGGTGCAAATATTGTCTCCGGCCACGCCTGACAGTTGGGTTAAGAGGGACAATAAATGCAAGGTTTGATGAGTGTTGACGTACCGCATTGACGTATCCACCTCTCCATGAGCATCCAGATAGGGCGATTGCACAAAGGTGCCCAGGTTTGGGTACACATAGAGCAAAGCGCATCGCTTCACGACAAAATACACACCAATAGCACCACCGCACCTAAAGATGTTCCGAAATTAGTATAGATGGGTTAAGCACGAGTACGCAAAGGATACGCACTCTCGCAGATGCATATTACACTCGCCCCTCCCCATATCCGAGTCGAAACAGCAATGGCTCAGCATGCAACATGCCGCCCCGCAAATAAGACAAATCACCGCGTCAGCTGGCACTGTCCCGCACCGCTGGCACTTCATCAGCCGTTCACGCCCACTGCCGCTGAATAGGTCATCCAGGACAGTAGGCAGCGACGCCAGCTGGTACACTCCAGCGTAATCGAGGACCACCCCGCAGTTGAGCTGCGACGCCGCATGCGAGTGTCCATAGTGAGCACACCAGCCCGAGAGGGCGTTTTGTAGCGTATCCTGATTGGGCAAATCGGCAAGGGGCGGAATGCCAAGCACACTGAGAAGGCGTTCGTACTCGTTCGAGGCGCCTGACATCGCGTCACCAGCCGTGGGAGTGGGGAAGACATTGGGGGCGACTGCGCGGCAGAGGAGGGCGGCGCGCCGGAGGAAGGGGAGTGTGTACGCGTAGAGCATCTTCTCGATACGCGCTTCACCGAACGTCTCGAACACGAGCATGGCGTTGTGGTCAAAGATGGGAGAATGGCGGACCACGGACATGAAGAACACCCGTATGTCGCCGAAGATAGATTGATGGTTCCGCGAGACGGAGCGCACCGACGATGTGCTTCGTGCCTTGTTCAAGACGTAGACCATGCCGATGACGGTCCGCGCAAGGCAAGCATAGTACGTCAAGACGAGGACGTGCTGCAGCATATCCGGGGCGACAGCCGCCGTTTCGACAAGGATCGTCAAGGGGTCGCGCAAAAGCAATGGGTAAGAAAACGACGTGAGCGACGTGCGACTCCACTCAGGGAGCAAACGCTTGATGATCGCCTGCTTGATCGACTCGCGGCCCCCATCCGCTCTGTCGTTCAGCTCGAGTGCGCCTAAGCGGTTGAGGCACGACAGCATCCCCCTGATCATCCTTGTCTGCGACTCCGTCAAATGGTCCGCGAGAACACCCTCTTCGTCGCCTACGCCACGCATGCCAACCTCGATTGACGAGAGCGTGTACCCGATGAGCTCCTCCGGCAGGTATATCCCCGCTCCGCGTTCTCCAGTATCAGGCTCTGGCCGATCACGCAGGTGCCTTGTCTGCTGTGATACGTTCTTCGAGATGGTCATGATACTGTCCAGCATCTTCGACACATCCGATGCCTCCGCTTTTCTCACGGACGACGAGTATCCAGGGTCCTGCGCGCTCCAGAAGACGAACTCGCCTGTGCCGTTTCGGAACTGCAGCGCGTCCATCGCTGCGTCCGGCTTCGATTTGAGGATCCCGATGCCCGCCGCGCGAATCCAATCCGGAAACGGGATCGTGCTCTTCGTCAGCGGCGGTGGTCGCGATACGGGCAGGAGGATATTGCCGAGGCTCTTGCACAGAGGACAGATGAACTCCTTCCGGGGAATATTCTCTGGATGGTTTCGCGTCGCGTGCTGGCGGTGTCGTTGCCGAATCGATACACTATACACCTGGAAGCACTCAAGATGCATCATGTGGCCACAGACGCCCGCGTGCAAACCGAAGCGCGTGTACTGGGCAGGGAATGCATCGAAATTCTGCGGGATGTTGGCTGCCTCCGCGGAAATCTTTGGCGGGAACGTCATATCCCTCTCCTCCATGGGCCCGTCCAGCGAGTCAGGCAGATTCATGAGTTCGTTGAGGTACTGGCTCTGGCTGTCGGGATGCTTCCTGAGGAACCGACTCGCCTGCACGAGCCCAAGTGAGCCAAACGCGCGGGCACTCGTAAGCTCCTCCGTGCAGACAATGCACGTCCCGAACGTCTCCGGCTCCTCAATTACTTCCGACATAGCATCGTCGGTACTTTCGTCGTCGCCACCAGCGTCAAAGTTGTCCGCGAACTGCGCTTGCTGCTCCTTCATCCGCTTCATCAGTGCATCCTGCCTTGCTCGCGCCGTTGCCTTGCGCGCGCTGGCCGGGTCAGGGGCAGCAATATCGGGTATCTCCTCGATCTTACGCCGCTCGCGCACCTCGTCGGGCACGTGTTGCGAGAAACGTTCAAGGATCCAGGCGCAGCGTGCCTTGTATGTCTTGTAGTTCTCGTCGTGCTCCAGAAGGCAGATAACGTCCAACAGGCTGCTAGTGGTATTGTTTGGGTTGTTCGTGCTCGGGTTCTCTCCATCCTCCACCTCGGTCGCAAATCCGCGAACAGCCGCGAGCCGCGTAAAGACGTCCGGCTTCTCCACAAGCGCAAGCATTATAAGGTGCAGCGCCTCGTCAAGAATAGCCTCTGCGCTGGGCGGCGGCGATCCCGCCTCCTCCGTAAGATCCAGCACATTGTAGATCGCAAAGAACATAACCTGCAACAGCGCCTCGCTCTGGAACACCACCGGAAGAATCGAGAACGGCCCCTTCTCAATGCCCAGCGGCTTCGGCACAATCACAGGGTCCTCCTCGCCCGTCGTGCGGCGGAGCCACGCCTTGAGCACGACCTCGACCTCCTCGCGCTTGTTACGCGTGTAATGGTAGAAGAACGGGTTCACCTCCCCGAACAGCTCCTCGCGCAGCTCGTACGTGCCCGTGTCCGTCGTGCTCTCCGGCGCGCGGAAGTGCGCGACCTCGCGGAGCACGCGCTCGAAGCATACGTCGTCCACCATCCGCTCCGCCACACGCTTGACGAGGTCCGTGAACGTCGCGGGGCCCATCGCGAGCGCGTGGATGATCTCGCGCCGCACGGCAGCGGGCAGGGGCGTTTGCGAAGGGGCGCCGCGTTCGGAGAGGAGGGTGATAATAAGCCCAAGCGCTTCTTCGACGAGTGCGGCCTGTTGCGCGGGCTCGTACGGCGTCTCGTGCAGCTCGCCAGTGAAGTATGTAACGAGGCCGAAGCGATCGAGGATGCTGACAAGAACAGTATCCGGGTCGAGGATAACGAATGCGCTCTGCACGACGAAGATATCCTGGTCGTAGCAGAGTTCACGGAGCATGAAGTCGCGGTAGTGCAGGAGCTGCCCACGGATCGGGAAGCCGTTGCGCACCCAGAGACCTGCACGGATCTGTGCGATCATCGCTAGAACTGAACACCAACGGTACATTTAAGCATTGAAAGCCACCTCGACAGCAGGATGGAGGACGCACCTCGCAGTGGGAAATCAATCATCGTCAAAATCGCCTGCTCGCTCGCGTTCCTCAGAAACACATCCCTTATTCCCGTCAACCCCACCTCCTTCAACGCGCTCTCGTCCAGTAGATCCACATGCTTCACCAGCTCCGCGAGCAACCAGTGCAGCGCATGGTGGAAGCTCACCCATCCCTCCAGCACATCAAACTGCACCACCTGATACACCGCGCCCGCAAACTCGACCGCATGAAACACCGGCGGGCCATACTTGCTCCTATCCAGCCGCTCGCTCACAAGCGTGCACACCATCAGAATCTCATGCACGACCTCCGTAATAGCCGCAACGAGCGCCGCCGGCGTCGCCTTCGCGAACGCCGCGCCGTACACCTTGACGACGCGCGCGAGCGAGAGCGTGACGTTGAACACCGATATCCACGCGTCCGTCTCGTACTCGACGTGGCTGCTCGCCGCGCGCCGGTTTGGGTTCACGCACATGAACAGTGCGCACACGCGCGCGAAGTCGCGGATGAAGCCGTGGTGCGTCGCGATGAGCGCCTGCACAGGTGTGTTGTGGCATAGGTAGCGCAGGTCGCTGAACACAGGCATGAACCGCTTGCTCTTGAACGGGAAAGATTCGACGTCGAGCTCGGCGGCTGCGGCGGTGGAGGAGGGCTGCGTTGGGAGGATGTGTTTTCCCTGGATTTGGTTCGTGAAGAAGCCTGTGATGATGTCGAGCAGGCGCGAGACGATGTTGTGGTTCCGAACAATGTAGGACGACACGGAGGGGACAGTGAATAACTGAAGGGCGAAGTATTTGATCGAAGTTTCGGCTTCGCGGTCGACGAGGAGGTAGGCGTCGACGACGCGATGATACACATTTGCAAAGTGGCTTCCTGTGCAGAATGTAAGTTGGTATTTTCCGAAACTGATATGAGACACGTACCCATAGCAAGCTTGTGAGCATGGTTGATCGTCAGAATGGATGCGTACATCTCCTTGAGGTTGATCCGGGGTTTCTTCCACAAGCGCGTATGGTAGAGGAACAGCCAGTCAATCCTGCATGGACTGTTGACGTCTGCCATGAACTCCGGAAGCGGATTGCTCCCACTGAACATGCTTCCCTCTCTCTTCCGCGGCGAGAGCAGCTCCGACACCAGGATTTCCGAGATAATAAGCGCGTCGCCCGACATGCGAGCCTTCGTGAGGTCGAGAAGCCACTCGATGAGCACAACAGCGACCTGCTCGCGGAACGTGTCATACGCCCTCCGCACCGTCACTCCCAACTCGATCTTGGCCATGCGCTGCGCTGCGTCCAAGAGAGCCGCCACGTTGCTGTGCATGTCGATGATCTCCCTCCCGCGCTCGTCAATCGCCCGCGAGAGCCCGTCCGCCTCAGCGCGGTCCCGTCCGGTGGTCTCGACGATGACCTCGATAACCTCGTCAAACGAGTGTTTGTCGTCGTTCCACAGCACCAGACAATACTGCTCCTTCTGCATTGGGTCTGCGCTGCGCTGCAAGCGGAGATCAGCTTCGTTGCTCGGCACGTTCGGTTCGTCGGGGGAGTAGTCGAGCGTGTCCAAGAGGAAATCGAGCGCATAAGCGATGGTGCGTGACATCTGCTCGCGCAGCTCGGGTGGCACCTGCGCGCGGTGCGGGTAGGCGGGGACCGGTGGGACGTCGACGCCCATGATCGGGCGGGCGGTGGTGCCGGGTATGAAGCGGAGCTCGGCGAGTTCGGCGGCGATGGCTTGTTGAGCCTCGGTGGAGGGCGGATGGAGAGGGCAGCCGACAGCCTGGCGCCAGGCCTCGACGTCGCCGCAGTCGCAGCAGCCGCCGGACTGCTGGGCGATGAAGAAGCTGACGTTATGGTCCGAGTGGTCACTGGCGTGGAAGCAGCGCGAGCAGAGCACGCAGCTATCATCAAGCGCGCAGTCCCTCCACGGCGCATACACGCATGTCAGCCAACGCGTGCTGTGGTGGAGTGACAATGCAACTCACTTGCACCTAAAACAGCTCTCTCCCTTTGTAAAAATGTGGCCGCATGGTCTTCCCTGGACGGGTGGATTGTCGAGCCCTGCACCACCAAAGTTGACCGACGCTTGAGCCTCGCTGAGAAGGGCATGGCCGGAGGTGAGGCTCGCGTTGGATGACAATGGAAGGAAGAGGTGTGGGTGGGCTCCCCAGAAGGCGTCGTAGAGTTCTGTGAGGATCTCTGCGCGGGTTGCTGGGGTGAAGACGTATTTTCGCGAGCCTGGCATGGTTTCGAGAGCAAAGCGGAGGCGGGAGAGCGGGTCAGAGGGACGGTCGCGTGGACTCATCGAGGACAGGAACTTGGAGGGGAAGAACGAGAAGCCAGACATAATAGATCGCGACGGTGGTCGTCGACTTTGGGGATGAATGTTATTACACAATGGTCATTGAGCGAGCGTCGCCGATGTCGTCCACGGCGTCGAGGAGTGTTGGTCGAGGGTCTGCTCGCTGTGGCCGATGGCGTCGACGCACAGACTCAACAGCTTACGCGATAGCTGCTGATTTCCTCTTTCGGATGATGCCCCTATTTGTCAAGCCTCCAGACAGCGGAGTCTGAAAGAGAAACGCTGGCTCAATCTAGCCTGGCCCAGCCACTTCAATTGGACCCTGCAGTGCTTGGACCTCACCAGACCTCACCCCGATGCAAACATCACAGATCCCGAGCTACCCAAAAGAACGAATACCGCCAAAGCAATCTCCACGGAAAGACATACTTGTTGGCTTGGTCATGCTATTTGCTCGCTATGTCCATGGCGGAGGACCTAGATGTCGAAGCGCTCACAAAACTCTTCAATAGACGAAGCTTTGACTGTACTCGAGTACGCTCGGGTGAGCATATAAGTGCACGCCATGCAAAACATACTACTCCCTATACTTGCTCTCGAAGTCCTAAAGCTCTCTTCTATGCACCTTTTCTTCCTCACCTTTGACATCTCGGCCATTCATCTTCATGTCAAATTCACAACCTCTCGAAATGCACCACGGCAACGGACGGCAGTCCAGTTCCAATTCTAGTTCCCTCCATAAACCTTGGCTTCAGTGCTCTTTCCCGGGTTGCCGTTACAAGACACAAAGGCAAAATGCTCTCACGAGGCACGCCGACAGCCAGTATGTACCCATCTTGCCAGTACCGGATCTGGGCCGAATGCTGATAACACTGTGTTCAATATACAGCGTCGTACACCCTATCAACGGTAGGATTCGACACTCTTCGGAGGCTAGACACTCACAGGGAAGCTCGAACCAAGAAGCTGACGGTGCATCTATTCGGATGACCGATGATGGTAGGTGGCAATGTCCGTTCTGCGACCACAAGACTCCGCACAAAGGGGACATCGTCAACCACACTCGCATTCAGTACGCTAGTCGATTTATCATAGAGTTCTGGACTGGCTGACGAGGTCTTGATATTGTGCAGTACCGGTGAGAGGCCGTATATCTGTGAAGTACCCGGGTGCAACTATGCTTCAGCTAAGGCTTCCACCCTCAATGTTCATCGAAGGCGATGGCACCCTGCTCCCAACGACCGCAAGGTACACGCAGATATGGCCGTAAGTACCATAGTGGTGACTAGTGCAGGTACTTCAGAGCTAGGGTCTAGCTACGGCCTTCGCTTCGATTCCGATAATGTCGAGCCGCTTCACCACAACGGGTCGCTACAAGCCAGAGGCAATCAATCATCCCACTCTGTGAATGTTTCCTCGTCGAGGCCGCCTCCCCTTCAAGTAGACACTCCACAATACAATCATGCGGGAACATCCAGCAACCTCGCCGAAGAGCATATACAGTCCACAACTTTCCAGCCCACACTCCTCCAGGAGTCAGATAAACTGAGTCTGAAGTACATCCTACACCCGTAAGGCTGTGTTTCTCCAAGCTTCACGCGCTCCTTTTCCTTCTCGTTAGAAGACGCCATATAATACATGCTACTATACATCTCAATACTAACACATACCCCCAACTATATCTACACCTGCCGCGAAATAGTATCGTTTTCGCTAGTTTGTCTTAGTCAGTGAGTACCAACTGTGACGGCTTTCGGCGCTACCCGTCGGAAATTGAATCCGAACGTCACGGAAAGCCACTGAGGAGTCCGAGTGGCGTCTGCCCTGTTCCCCACTTGGACCAACTCCGTCATGGTGCAGTGCTTCTTTCAACACTTATCCTTTATGCCACGCTTCAGTAAGGACGCGACGCTATGGTTTCGGTGAGATTATACCATTATCGAGCGTTCTCTTTCTCGCCTGATCCAGGGTCAAAGCGCCGCATGGCATTCGCGTGGGCAGTGCCCGAGTTTGAAGCTCGACACAATCTCGATACAACGGCATGGTCTCAGCATATAAAGCAAGAGATCGCAAAATCAGGTCATCCACCGGCAGCCTCCGCTCAGGTCTTCTCTCCGACATTTTCTACGTTTACATTCTCATCCTACCGATAGAGGTCTTTTAGGCTATGACAGACGAAACGTCTCGATCCGTACCACCAGCGCAAGTGGCACAAATACCAAAGTCGCAGAAGGTTGGAGGGACGGTGCACCCATGTACGTTCCCAGGTTGCGGCTACGAGACGCGGAGAAGAAGGGACTTCGAACGACACATGAATGTTCAGTAAGTTTAATGCCGACTTTATCGTGTTCTAAAATGTGTGTGGCGCTGACGGAAGGCTATAGTACCAGGTGTGGAGTCATGTTTAAGTGCACGTTCACGGGCTGCCCTTTCGAGGCGACCCAGAAAAGCAATCTCACGACACATATCCGAACCCAGTGCGTTGTGCTCACAGTATATCTAAAGTTACCAGAGAACCATGCATCTAACATAGCATGTCATTTAGCACAGGCGAAAAGCCATTTACCTGCCATGTCAAAGGATGCACTTTCCAGACGGCGCACCAAGGATCTTTATCTTGCCACTTGGTGAAGAAACATTGTTTCCCTTATGCAAGTACACAGCGACGCCAGTGCCAGCAGATTCAAATCCATGATGACGACGCTGCATATGGGTGCCCTTCCGACGGTTGCGACTACAGCACCATGACGAAGTTTCACCTTCATGAGCACATTCGCACGCAGTAAGTAGTAGCTTGTCATCGTTGTGTCTTCGAACCGTGCGGAAGTCTAAAATCCCAATCTTACAGTGGCACTATCAGGCTGAGTCTGCACGTATGTCAGGCTCTCGGGTGCAGCTATGCCTCGTACAAGCCAGAGGACCTCCAGAGACATACAGATCGCGACCATGCTTCCGCTGGTAGTACAACCGTGATGGCATCTAGTTCCAGGAGCTCGCCCTCTTCGAATGCAGACTCTCTGTCATCATTCACTTCCGACTTTTCCCGTTTACGTTTAGAGCAGAGGGCAAGCTCGGAAGTCGACGGGAATTCGATTCCAAGATGCGACGACTATGATAGCGAGGAGGAGGTCCGGGGGATTTTGTACAGCTACAAATAGCGTCATCTCTGTGTCGTATTCCGTGAATTCTGTGAGCTGCTCTACTGGCTTGTTTCGCTCCATAAAATGTGTCTCGCTCTGATACGAAGGCCCATAACACCGTAATCTGTTTGATGAATATTGAGGTTGTATTATATCTATCCTCGGTACTGCGCATGGCTTATAAATCAAACGTGACATATCACAATCGGGTATCTTCCAGACAGATCATGGAATAAACGATGTTTATCTCTCTCTGGAGTATGATCTACAATAGCTATTGCACTCCGCAGGTAATGCAAGTAAGTGCGGTGGAGCTCACGTATGACAGTGGAATTGTAATCTGAGGAATCTCTCTCGCGGTGGGGGAGTGGCGTCAGCGACGCCGTGTTGTATCGTGATACACTAGTGGCTGGCCGAGAATAGCAGATTTCTGTGGTCGGTCGTATTATTGGTGGAACAACTCTCACTGCGGGCTGTGGGAGAAGAGGACTATGTGCCTTGTCACTTTTTCCAAGCGCAATGCTTGGACCTCTATGACGCATTGCTCCCGCGTTTGGTGTTTGGATAAGGCGATCGCTTGTCGGAAAAACTGTAAATTCCAAATAAAGACAAAAACAGTCAGCTATTTGCAAAGCTTTCAACACTGCCAACATCTCTTGTTGTTTTCACGTCAGGAATGTCAATCGTGTCCATGGCATGGCGTCACAAACAATGCCCTTACGACCCTGTATTGTCGACGAATGTCCCAGGAGCTCGCTACGCTTCGATCAGGTTCCCGTGACGTTTGGTATCAAGGGTCGCTCGATGTTCCTACAAGTCGCAAAGCCGTGCATTGACCTCGCGAGCTTAGACCCTTTTAGTGCCCTTGCACAAAGCGGATACTACTATATAACCCAAGGGCCCGCTATTACTGGCTTCTGTGGTCATCCTTCTCTCCTTCCATCTCTCCTGATAGCCAAACCACACCGTCATAACCATAACCGTCAACGCCTCTATCCCACGATGAATCATGGTACCTTCCTTGACCCTACCTCGACCGCAAGAGGAAGGGCTAGCGATCCAGGTGAACCGCATCACGAAGGAATTCCCGGAAAGCCTATACGAGTTTGCTCCTTTCCGGGGTGCGGATACGCATCTGGGCGAAGGTTTTCTCTTAAAAGGCATGAAGACACACAGTAAGATATCAAGGTTGTGATTTACTCGATTGACATGGCCTAATATTCTCGTTTAGTGTGGGAGCATGGATCATGATTCCCTGTCCATACCCAGGCTGCCTATATAAGGCGCGAGCAATCCGATACCTCAGAATGCACATTGTTACTCAGTACGTGGTCTCTCCTGCGCTACTGTCATGCTTTCTTATGAGTTTGTAGCGCCGACGAGGAACAATACTGTTGTCAGGCCGAAAGCTGCACTTTTACGTCAGCCAGTTGGTGGTTATTCAATAAGCATACGAGCTCCCGGCGCTGCCCGCTACAGCCCCAGACATGCGAGTATAAATGCACTTTCGGCAGATGCGATTACGGGAACGCAGATAAGCAGGTGCTTAAGAGGCACATGCTCCTTCAGTAGGTTCTTCGCTCCCTCCACGTAATCCTGCTCTTATATTGCTTGTAGTCAGGTTGATAGGCTTAATACAACCTCGACGCATGAAAACCTAGGCTTCGGCACGATAGGTCCCGGACAATATCCTCCCATCGCAACCTTGGCCGGTATATCTGAGCACTCTCAGGGTGGTACTAACTACGACGCGTTAGATTCCAACTTCGACGAGATGGATACAGACAATAGGGAGAACGATTTCGTGGTTGGAAAATCCGAGCGTGACGTAGGCGAGCGTATGGAAGAGGTCGATGAAAACGGCAACCCACTTAACGCCACATCGTCGGTATCTTCGGCATGCAACCATAACACTAGCGCCCATTCATCCGACTTTGCGCATTCTTCTTATGCGGGGAAGAGCAAGAAATTTAACCTCTCATTCATCCTCAATGAGTAATACAAGACGATAATCCGAATACTCCTGATGTTAAACGAAAATACTACTAGTATACACATAATATGAATGTTGTCACGACCGCCGAACGAATCATCTGCGTGACTGATCTACAAGTTACTTCAAGCGCATTTCACTCAAATTATCTGCTATGAATGTCTTTCCTCCGCTGAGATAAAGCTGTATCGTGGCAGTCGTTGTATGAGTTTCTTTAAATTGTACACCACATGAGATGCCACCTGTAGAAGTTTATCTCCGCCCGAACTTCGCTGCCACTGCACACCGGCAGCGGGTCGGCATGTGGAAATATTTGTCGGAGATCAAAGCCGACACGGCAACAGCCGAAGAACAAGGACCGTCGCGCAGGCGCTTGGACCACCATCAATGCATCATGTCATCGCGTCGTGCATTCCCCGGTCTCCGCCAGATCAGGAAGGCACAGTTTTTCTAACTACAGTCACAAAGAGATGATTTACAGCCCCCCACGGCAGCCAGTCCAACCAACTTTCGAGCCTTTGGAGGTGTAGGACTGAGAGATTCTTGAAGCTAGGCCTTCATCCCTACCTACTTTCTCTAAAAAATCGAACGCCAAACGAAGACAAAAGCAGAATGGCGTGCTCCGCAATACCGTCCATTCATACCTGCCAACATAATTGGAAACCCCCAAACATACGCCTGGACCGTTCAACGCTCTACCCATTCATTCCAGCATCGCCCACTCGCGTAACAATGCCAACACCCCGCTCTTCTTGACACCTCTACAGGATGTTCTGTACCAGAGGTCTGTCTGGCTCCTGCATGGATGCGAGCGACCTTTGGGCGCTTACCATACGTGGTAATTTCTACGGGCGCTTCGCGAAGAAACCTGAGGCCGCTTGGACCTTTTGGATAGCTCGCTTACCGATTGAATGAGAGAAGCGCCGCTGCACTAGCACACTGGACCTGGCGTCGATTAAAACGCTTTGATAGCTTAGGCGCACAATGCCGAGCCCTGAAAGGGCGTTCGTCGTATAAATCAGGGTCCCGGGGATGCGAGAGTGAGACAAGCACTCGTCTTCTACTCGTTTTCGTCGTTGATCTTCCCACACTCTCACCTCCTACCCCAACTCGCTCAGCTATACACCATGTCTTTTCCCGCCGTGGCTGATATTACCAACAATATCGTCATCCAGGTCATGTCGAAGTCCGTGAAGAGGGCAACCAAGGCCGGGACCAAGCTTGTACACCGCTGCGAGCAGTGCACTTACGAGACTACGAGTTTGGGTCTAATGAACAAGCATGTTCACAAACAGTACGTAACGTCCGCACTTTTAATTACACGAAATACTGACTGGTGAGCTACGATGTAGTGCTGGAGGCGAAAAAGCATACGTGTGCCCCACGGATGACTGCGACTTCGCCACCTCCAACTCGTGGGGTTTCTTTGATCACACGCGCAGGTGTTCCGGGAAGGATAGGCATTTCCGCACGACGTATGTTTTTTCTTATCCTCCAGGGTGAATTATTGATAACCTGAGTTTATTATATAGTGGTACAAGAGAGAAGCGCTACGCGTGCAAGCTCGCTGGGTGCACGTTCACGGCGCAACAACGCTCCAAGGTTACACGACACAAGGAGAAAAAGCATGCTATCTTGTTCAGGACCGAGCGCGAATTTGGGCCCGAAGTAGAAGAGTTCGAATTCGAAGGCGAAGCAAACGGGGTCGAGGTCTCAGTTCCTCTCATGGCTCCTGCCGATGTCGTTGACTCTGTCTACACCACTACGTTGCCATCGACTTCATCCTCGCCTACTGTTTTTGCCTTCTCGCCGGAAGATGCTCTTGGTGCCATGGATAACGTTCTCGACGATACCCTTTTCAAGACATTCCTTGCGCAAATAGGCCAGTCCGATCCTTGTTCGACTATTCTGGAAACACATGTACTTGACGGTGCTCCTACTCCCTCGGAACCGCAAAGCAGCGTGTTCCCCGAGATCTTGTCGCCGCGGCCAATCACGCCTGTCCAAGTCGAGACGTTTGAGACTTTGATTACGGACGAGGAACGCCACGCTTTTGCTTTGGAAGTGGAGTACTTTTACGGATATGAAGAAGCCGATTTGGCATACGACGCTAGGGAATGTCCTCAGCTTGACACTGCTGGTGATCTTTCGGCTATGATCAATTCGTGGCAATGCACGCCGTCCGAGAAGATCCCCGGCCTCCATTTCAACACCGAAATGGGCCTACATTGGGAGGCGCTCACATGCCCTGGAGACCCCTCTTCTTGTGCATTCTCTCGTCCTCGAGGGTTTGACTTCGACTCTGGCATGTCGACGATGCACCACAACGGTTGGAACACTCGATTGATTCAGCACGCGAATGCAATGGAGCTCTAATTGAAGCAAGCAATGCTTATCTTCAGTACGGTTTCTCACTTCATGGACTCTGCATTGGAATTTTTTTGTGTATACCATTGGATAAATCTCATCAATGTTCAGTAACAGAGTCGTCCCATTTCATCTCTTGATTTCGCTTGTGTAACTTTACATGATACTACATCCACACCTCATCAGTAGAAAGTACCCCTCATGTATTTAATAAATGTGCATATCCTGACATTGATAATGCGAAAATTAGCTGTTGTCAATCGTTTTTATTCCGTCCGGTAATACAACGGCATTATGGCACTAAGAGAAGCTGAGTGTTCGGAGAGCCGGCAAAAACCGATGTGATTTTGGTCTCCGCTCAATGCATACGTCTTGTCGCGGCGATCCCGCGAACGTGTCTTTTGTTTTACAACATAACAAGATCTCTGAACGACGAATACACCAACTCGTCAGGAACAAACACCCACAAGCTCTCATCAGTCTTCCCTTTCTCGTGCGTCTCAATTCAATGGAGCAATTCACAAGCAGGGAGTTAACACGGCCGTGCATGTATGCGCACCCACGCGTGTCAATCCAGTGCTCATGATGGCGTGCTCGCGGGCGTCTAGTGGAGTACGACGTTCCTTTTCTCCTCGTGAGTCGAGATACAACGCCAATCCTTTGATTTCTGTACTCCGTATTGAATCGTGCTTACCGTCAAATAAGCAGTCAGTTTTGCTCCTATCTCTGGGCTGAAGCGAGAGGTGGAAGAAGTATGACATCTACTCACCGTCCTTAAGAAGTGCCATCCGATCTGCTGCCATGATCCTCCAGACGAGACAACCCATCTCACTGGGCAGTGGTTGCTCAGGGCGATCATCATGCGACAGCATGAAACGCTTTATCAAGACTTTGCGCATCCATTTTGCCTCCGTCCCATTCCCATGAACCGGGCAACCTCAGGCTTTGTAGATCATCCAGTGAGTTTGGGCCAAGCCCTTTGTTGACGTAACAACAAAAACTACACGAGTCTGGCGTATTTAATCTTACACCAACCACTAGGCCGCAATCCTTGCACAGCCTAGTCCTTACTGTGGCAGACAAATAACGGGCGTGGCGCCGAGGGTCCGCATCAAAGTGCCAAGTTTCATCGCATCCCTCGTGTATACATCCGTCGGGGCTGCCATCACTCAATCACATTACGCTGGCTGTGGAGCTTTTTGTTGCTATTCGATCTGCGCTGTGAGACGACGCGAGAGTTCTATCAGTTTTGCCTCTTTGTCCCGTACCGCTTCGTCGCTTCCATCTGCTACCCTTCCTGCAGAGCGCGCCCCGCGCTCGCTCATCCCTCTAGCCCCTGACAAGCACTCCAACGACCCGGCCAGGAAGGCAGATTGCAAAGGAGGATGGAGTCGGCCACGGCGCGAGAGTACGCGGAGATGGCGAGGATCATGAATCTGACGAAGATATGCCAGCGTACGCCATCCATTGCCTCCACGCTCTGCCTTTGCCGCCTCTGATATTCTCTACCCCCTCAAAGTCTCTGCCTTCGTCGTCGTGCTCTACGACCACTGTGCGTCGCCCTCTCTCGTCTTACTTCTGATTACACTGACGTCATCTCGTTTGTCAGTTTTGAACATAGGTGATGAGGTGATTTGCCTGCGTTTCCTTTCTCGTCATCCAAAAGGCTCTGTTCGCTGACAGGATAATCTTTGATTGTGGATCATAGATCGAGTTTGTCTGGGTGCGTCAATCTGTTTAGCTCTTCTCCACACATTCTCATGAAGCGCTCGCTTGCCCTTTTGAATGTTAACGCTGTGCAGAGAAGACGCATGTCACCAATAGCTTGGGTATACATGGTGATGCGGTACTTGGGTGATGCACTTGCAATGTGCGTGTGCTTTCAATCTGGCTTCTGTAGGGGTTCACTAAAACCTTCGTCTATACAGCGTCAGCATCGGCGGCACGTTCTTCCCGAATCCGTCCCTAAAGGTGTGTATCATCCCTACTCCACTTCTTGTTCAAAGCCAACACGCCATCACTATTCCTTTCAGCTGTGAGCACGCGTCTGTTATTTCCATACCACTAGTAATTGGGCTTTTGAAATGCTCGCTGACACCGTCCATCAGGTGCCAGGCATACTTCCCAACTGTACACGCGATCGCTGTTCTACTTGGGGGAGTCTTCCAATGTACGTCGCCATGCAATGGCTTCCATTGTATACCGCTATCTTACCTCTCTACCGCATGCAGTCGTCCTGCTTCTCCGTGTCTACGCCCTCTATGAAAAGTCCAGGATGATGCTCCGGTTCCTTGTCGCCGTGTTCTGCATCGAAGCGATCGTCGTGTTCGTCGAGCTTGGGCTGGGCTCTGGTGGAGTGGCTCGTACGTTCTGCCGCTCATTCTATCCGGCATCTCAGAACTTGACTGACCTTAAACGCCACTCATCCCTTAGTGACGAACGAGCCCCTCCCCGGCCTCAGAGGCTGCATCCTGACGGCGAACCCGCCGATGTACTACCTCGAGTTCTGGGGGCCCATTATCATCTATGAGACGCTCCTCTGCGTGCTCGTCCTCAAGGCGGGGTGGACGCACGCGCGCGCGGAGTACCAGGGAGCGCGGTTGCCCGTAGGCAGGATCGTCAAGACGCTGATCAGGGACAACGTCTTGTACTTCTTCTGGTGCGTCGTTCGTTTGCACGACCCTTGTCCCGCTGGTGGTGGTTTAGGCGTGCTCAGAAAAACCGGGAGGCTGATAAGGCGCCCAGCTTCCTCTTCGTGTGTCTCGTCAACGTCGTCATGTGGGCGAAACTTCCTGTACGTCCCCTCCCCCCTCCTGCGCCTGTCTTCCTACCATGTTCTAACGTGGTAAACCAACGCAGGCCTCATGGTCCGACATGCCCGAAGGCTTCGTCCCCGCCACGGACATCGTCCTCGGCTGCCGGCTCATCGTCAACACCTGGCAGTCCGTGCGCGGCGGCCCGCAGCGGATCGGCGCCGGCGCCGGCGACGACAGCACGTACGGCGACAGCGGGACGCACGAGCTCGCGACGATGACGGCGATGCAGTTCACCGACGAGAAGGGCGTCCCGCGGCCCTCTGGGACGTACGGCACAGGCCGCCGCGGGCACGGGCACGGGCACGGGCACGGGCACGGGCATAAGCGGAGCTCGACGCAGACGAGTGCTGGCATGCCGAGATTTTCGGCGGACTCGGCGTACACGCGGCTCGGGGAGCGGACGCTGGTCGAGGGGGAGAGGAACAGGAGCAGCTTTGGGTCTGCGAAGGGGAAGGACAGAGATGTGGAGATGGGCGTGGGGATGGAGCTGGTGGAGGAGCAGGAGGAGCCGGTCTACGCTCTCCCTGATATCGATGGTGACGTCGACACCAGGATATCGGGCATCGTCCCTCTGTCAACTTACTCGCCGCTTCCACGCGATCACATTGACCACGGTGGACGAGGACGATTAGACGGGCGCGCGCTGTCGGAGGACTCTGTTGCATCGGGTCAGCATGGGTTCTCAAATCTGGCAGCAGAGGAGGGGGACAGATATCCGCCAGAGTCGTTGCGCCGGAGCCTGGACCGAGAAGCGGTTGCTGGCGCGGGCGCTGGCAACGGCTTGAGGCCGCTCCCAATACCAGGCGTGCGCCCTCTGCCTAACCCCGCTTCCCATCCTCGAATACGGCCTCTACCCGACCCAGGAGCTGGGGCGGTGGAGAGGAGAGAACGGACAGCCTACGATGACGGAGAGCCGTTCATCGAGTATTCGTATTGATTTTTCTGAGCTCGAGCAGACATTTTGGAGCGCTGCGCGCCCACTTCTCTCCGTTACTTGTGCTCCAAGATGGGAGGGGTGCCATCGGGGCACGAAACTGTAACTTTATACTTTACCCACTCACAGAGCGTACGCACATTCCTAGTCACGAGAAACATGATTAATTGATCCATAGTAGTGCAAGAAACAAAGGAAGCAGGGCAAGGGAGAGAGAAAGGATTTTGAATATGTATGTAACATGCGATGGTCGCGACTACCCAACCGTCGAGTTCAGGAACTGAAGCAGGTCAGACCTATTCGCGTCCATCTCGTGATCCCGTGAATCCTTGTGCACCTTCAGCTTGATCTAAACGAAGCGGTCCTTGTCAGCGACGCATGTTCAACAATCAAGCAGTAGACGTTACAGACCTTCTTCCCGGTGAGAATGCTGCGCTTCTCCTCACTCTTTCCCCTGTCTTTATCCCTTCGCTTCCCCTTCCCCTTTTCCTTTCCCTTCTTGTGCTTCTTGCGGTCCTTGTCTTTCTCCTTCTCCTTCTCCTTGCCGCTGCGCTTAGACTTGTGCTTTCTGCGCTCACGGCTGCGCGACCGAGAGCGAGAACGAGAGTCCGAAGAAGAACGGCGGCGGTGCTTTGACTTGCGCTCACGGTCGTAGTCTCGGTCGCGGCCACGACGAGGGCTCCGACTGCGTTCGCGATGGTGGCTGTATCGGGAACTGCCGTGTTTGGAGCCTGAGCGACGCGAGTCGTGCTCGGCAGAGGAGCTGTCTGACCCAGAAGAGGAGCTGTCCGACGAGACGGAGCGGGACCTCGAGCGGGAGCGGCGCCTTACAGGGGTCTGAGGAGAGGCAAGACGCGGGGTGGGTGTATGCGATTGGCGCACGTCTTCACATGTTAGAATGATCATTAATGAAGGTGAAAGGCGTGTACGTACGATGCTACGGTCACGGCGGCTTGAACGGGGAGAGTAGTCGCGCCCACGGTGCTTGTACTTGTCCTGTCCACTGGTAAGTTGAGCGCTATAGTATACATGGTAAGGTGCTCACACTGTGCCGACGCTCTTCAGGGGCTTGGGAGTTTGAAGTAGTGCGGGATTCACGAGCATAGCCATTCTGGCTACGCTTCTCGCCTCTCTTTTCATCTTCATACCTGTCATGGTGCCACTCCCGAGGCGAGCGCGAGCGACTCCGTCCCTTCACCCGCTCGCGGTCTATATAGGCGCGCCATTGTGCCGTTCATCGTCCGTCCATGGTTTCGTTTAGAGTGTGGATGCCGTGCGCGCATGGGCGTACGCCGTTACAGAACGTCAGACCTGCATCGAGCTGCGGATGGCCAAACGGGCGCTCACCATCCCGCCGATAACTGTCGCGTTCTCTGACCTTGTGCCCGTCTTCTCTCGCTTTATCTCTCTCCTTGTACCTGTCGTATCGTTCTGCCCTGTCGTGGCGGTCTATGCAGTCGTCGTACTCGTCTCTGTGTCCCATGGCGCGTTCAGCGTGAGGTGAGAGGAGACAAGTGTGTGTTTTCCAGGATTCCCACGACATGCGCCTGCTAATATTTCTCACGGCCTGGAACTTGGCGCGTCGCAAGGTCCGGTCCGATGACGGAACTTGGATCCGGCCAACCTCAACCTCTCCTTCCTCCTCTCCTTCTCCTTCTCCTCCTCCTCGTCTACGTCCTGGGGCTCATCTATCTCTGAAGTAACGCTCATTTTTGCTCAAACCCTTAGCATGATCATCCGGCCAGTGCGCAGACTCCTCCACCGCCCGCGCGCGGTCTCCTACTTCCACTCCTACCAACCTTGCTGGGCATCTCGCAAGGTCCTCCAGAAGTTCAAGCTCGCTGATATTGGCGAGGGAATCACCGAGTGCGAGGTCATCAAATGGTCTGTTTACTCTACTCTCTCGTCGTTCTCTCCACGTTGACGCGACATATACATGGAACGCGCCTCGTGCGGATCATACACCCCACACATTACATCTCCATAGGAACATCAAAGAACAAGCGACCATCGCCTCCTTCGACCCTCTCTGCGAAGTCCAGTCCGACAAGGCCTCCGTCGAGATCACCTCCCCCTTTGACGGCGTCGTCACCCAGCTGCTCGTCCAAGAAGGCGAGGTCGCCAAAGTGGGGCAGGGACTCTGCATGATCGAGGTCGACGAGGAAGACCTCGAGGGCGTCTCCAGCGACCAGATCGGCAGCCCCGAGGAGCCCGAGCCCGCAAACGCCAACGGCGAGCGCGGCAGTGGCAATGGCAGTGTGGGGAGGCGGTCCACGGAGGGAGATCATGTCGTGTCAAACGTGCTCACGCAGGCGGAGGAGGGGCTCGGGTCGCCGACATCGCCGAGTACGCTTGAGACGGAGATGGCTTCGATGTCGGAACCACCAGAGCGGAAGCGTAACCTCCACCCTATGGATCCCAACTTCAAGCCTAGTACTTCTGGCCTTGGTTCTGACGCGTCCAAATCCAAGGATGTGCTCGCCACGCCCGCAGTACGCCATTTTGCACGCGAAAAGGGCGTTGATCTCGCGCTTGTCGCGCCAGGGAGCGGAAGAGATGGACGCGTCGAGAAGAAGAATATCGAAGCTTTCCTTGCGCGTGGAGCTTCCGCTCCGTCTCCTCCGTCAGCGGAGTCAAGTGTTGCACAAGCACCACAGCCCGTGCAACAGGACGATGTGGTCGTCGAACTTGGGCGGACGCGCTATGGGATGTGGAAGGCTATGGAGAAGGTACGCATCCATTCGTTCACTCTAGTCGCCTCTCACTCATCCTCCCCTCAACCAGTCCCTCCAAATCCCTCACTTCGGCTACTCCACCTCTCTCGACCTCACTCGCCTACACGCTCTCCTCCCTCTCCTCAACACGCACATCCCCACCCACTTCCTTCCGCCCTCTTCCCGTCCCACTAAAGACCCATATGGCGGCCTCGTCAACCCCTCTGCCCTGCACCCCGCCCCACAGGGCCCAGACGTCCCCGACGGCGCACACTTCACAAAGCTCACATACCTCCCCGTGCTGCTCAAAACGCTCGCCCGCGCAATGATGGACTGGCCCATCCTCCGCGCCTCCATCACACCACCCAGCAGCCCCGCAGACAAGCCGATACTGACGATCCGCCCGGGCGCCGACATCTCCCTCGCGCTCTCCACGCCCTCGGGGCTGTACACCCCCACGCTCCTCGGCGCGCAGTCGCACTCCGTCTTCAGCATCGCCTCGCGCGTGCGGCACCTCGCGCATCTCGGGCGGCAGACGCCCGTTGGACTCACGCCGCGCGATATGCCGAGGCGCGGGGGCACGGTGAGCGTGTCGAATGTGGGCGCGGTCGGTGCGGGCGAGTCTGCGCACCCTGTGCTCGTGCCCGGCGGGGGCGTGGCGATTGTGGCTGTTGGGCGGGCGAGGTGGGTGTGGGATGTGGATGCGAAGGCGGAGGGGGAGAGGAGGCTGAGGGTGCCTGTGAGCTGGAGCGCGGATCATCGGGTGCTTGAGGGTGCGGAGTTGGCTGCGTTTGTGGAGTGCTGGAGAGGGTGGGTCGAGGCGCCGGAGAGGATGATCGGGGAGGGAATTTGAGGAGTTTCACTTCCTTTTCTTTTGAGGAAAGTTGGCCATGGACAATGGAAGTTTGGAGTGACGTACAGCTGGATCGAACAACGCATAAACGCATCGTCTGAACGACCCATTGCATTACCCGCATGTACGAGTAGGATACTCTCATTAAAAGCAAGATATGTAGATATCCATAAACATCAGTTTTGTCATCCAGTACCAACGTTCGTGCCTCCCGCGCCTAGCTCTCCGGCGACGACATCCTCACGCTCGCTGAAGCCCTCAGACTCGCCCTTGCACGCTTTTGCGCGCGTGTACGAGGGCGCGACTCATCATCTGCGCCGCTGCTACTCCCCTCCGCCTCTTCATCCTCACTACTCTCATCCTCATCCCACCCAGGCCCCGCCTCCGCCCTCTTGACCTCCTCGTCCCACCCCGCCGCACTGCCTTTACCTTTACCCTTACCCTTACCTTTACCTCTATCCTTTTCCTCCGCCCGCTCGGCCTCCTCCATCCGCTCGTCGAACGCCCACGCACGCAGCTCCGTCTTCCAAAGATGCACCGAAAGCGTGTCCGGAACCGGAAACCCTTCGACGGCGCCAGCCGCCGTAGCTTTCAGGTCCTCGCGCGCGAGCCGGCGGCGGCGCTTCGCCTGCTTGCGCTGCCATGCGCGGATGAGGTCCTGCACGGTGGGGTCGTTCGCGGGCGAGGACGCGGCCCATGTCGTGTTCGAGCCGTCCGAGGCGCGTGTCCAGTTTGACCAGCTTACCTGTGTCGTTGTTGTTCAGTGATTCGCAGTCATAAGCAGAAAAGGGGAGGGGTTGAGTCAGGTAGTGAGTGCGATATCATGCCCAGTGGGAGGCTACACACTTCATACCTGTATGAGTACGCCTGTCGTTAACACACGTCCCGTTCAAACATAGAACAAGTGAACCCCACCGAATCGTCCCATCCAGGTCAACCTCCTCGCCCACGATCCCGTCGACGGGCCACTCGAGCTCGCCGTCCGAGCCTTCGTTCGCGAGCGCCATCGTCCCCTCGTCCGCGTCGCTCCAGTCCTCGTCGCTGGGCGTCGGCATGCGGCGAAATGGGTCCGGCTCTGAGTCGGTGTGAGGGTTTGCGGGCATGATGTGAGCACTAAGGCGCGTTCAAATCGACAAGTGGTGAGTGAAACAGACAAGAGAAAGGCGACCCCCAAGGGAGGGTGTTGACCCCCAGCGAGTGAAAAAATGTGAGTGGGTCTCTGTTGACGTCAAGGTTGTGGGTAAACGCGATCGCAAGACACTGAGACGCGAGTTGCGACGCAACGCGACGCGTCTAAACGCGTCATGACTAAGTTTGAGCTCAGAAGTTCAAAGTTTCATAAAGTCTGATTACTTCATAGCTCTCTGAAATCTCGCGTTCTATACAATTTTAGGTTCGAACGATTTTATGTCTGCAACTCGTCCGCATGGTGACGCAGGGGTATGGACATTAAACGCATGGCATAAGTGTCAATCATTGCGGCAAAAGCGTTGTCTGCATTGACAAGATACGGGCCTATACAGAAAACCAACCATGCTATCCTATAGCTTTCAACAGTGTAGGGCCCTAGTTCTAGGAGATTGCTGTGTCTCAAAGCAACACCCTCGCTCTAGCCACTCTCTCCGCGGTCCCGGGAAACCTTGGCGTGATGCGACACGGAAAATCCGTAGGGCGACTAAGAGGTAGATCATGGTCAGCAATTGAGGCTTCTGGGAAGAAAACAGCATGTATCAGATACATCCCGGCGTACCTCGTCAACCCAGGCGTCCATCGTGGATTTGGCTCGATATCTCTCCCCTGTGCATCCTTGGCCTTCTCAAAGTTGAAGGTCGCAAGCATGCATGCTACCGCGGACCACACCGAAGCCAACGCAAAGTGACGCCCTGGGCACAAGCGTCGGCCGAACCCGAATGTCATAAGATGGCACATGTCGTCCCCGATAGACCCGTCGGCATTCAGGAAGCGTTCCGGCTTGAATGCCATAGGCTCGGGGTATCTCGTTTCGTCGTGGAGAATCTCCCTTCGGGGACACAGGAAAGTATGAGCCTTCGGTTGCTACGTCAGGGAGGTGGGTGGTGGCATACCATGTGCTAACAAGGACAATTGCACCTTCAGAAAGAAAAACGTGAGTGAATATCCATGATGGCAGCTCCATAGAAACATGTACTTGCCTTTTGGGATAAAGTATCCCTCATAGATATCGTCGTTTGTCACCCCATGCGGCAGGTTGACCGGGACCGTAGGCATGGCCCTGATGGTCTCTCGCACTATGGCCTCAATCAGGGGTAACGACTCTCGATCTTCAAAGTCGGGTAGTCTATCGGTCCCCACGACTGCGTCAATCTGGGCTTGTGCGCGTTTCTGTGCTTCGGGGTTCGTCACCATGCGGTATACGAACCCTTGGAGAGTAGTGAATGTCTGGAACATCGTTAATCGGTAAGTAATCATGTCGTGCGTGACGTCTTACTGTATCTGCGCCGGCTGAAGGTGGGATGTAGTGAATGAGCTTGTCACATATCAGTCTTAGATGTAACGCTTACCCTGGAAGGCGGTTCCACCTGCGTTCATGAGGCACTCCTCAAAGTCGTCGGGTACATCGTCTTTCCCTTCAGACCATTGGAGCATGTCGGCGGTCATCGAGGTTGGCGCAATGCCCATTTTCTGAGATGTGAATATGATTGTTGGAGAGGCATTCAAAGCGTGTGTTGTACACGAACTCACCATCGACTTTACAACGTATTGATAAGGCACCTCAAGCATCTCCTTCACCTGCTTCTTCCCGTCCATGACTGCCTGCCGAAACTTTCCGCCGGGGAGCCATGTCGGTATGCTCAGCACTACAATCACGCGGTTCATACAGCGTGTCAAGGGCAGAATAATGAAGCATGTTCACTTACGGAACGGAAACGCTTTGACGATTCCCATCGAAGCTGGTGTTCCGAAGGGTATGATGTAGTCGTTGGCGGTTTCAATCATTGACACCATGGGATCCTTCTTCGACGCAGTCTCGTATCCGTACAGTACTGACATGACTATCGCCGCTGAATGTCTAAAGCAAAGTTTTGGTCATATAACAGACTTTAGCACGGGTTCTCTCAGGGAAATGATACACGTACGCTTGGAGGTGCTCTTCGAAGCCTTCCGGATCCTCCAACAAGTCCTCGATCACTTTGTACGCCCGACGCAGTTGCATCGGCCGATACTTTGGAACGACTTCCTGTCGTAAAGACAGATGGTAGATGCGCCTGTGGAATCTCCATGTGTCCGTGTACGGAAGCCATGCAGTGTTGAAGTCTAGGCTATATCTGCGAACGTTTGAAGGTAAGTTAAGAACGACAAGTAAACGAGATGAGAAACAGACGCTTTGGATTCGGCGACGAGCATCTTGTCGGAGTAGTTGGAGGATCGCTTGTCGAGAAGCTCCCTAGCTATCTTTTCGGAGCTCACAACGATCGTGTTTTGACCCCATACTCTACAGAAGAATATGTCGCCTATCGAACAAACATGCGGTGCGCAGAGGTGAATGATTTGTCTCAGTGAACGTGCTGTAACGCACCATATCGACGCCTCCACTTCCTAAAGGTGAGGTACGGTTTTTCGGGATCAATTTGGAGGATGTTCCCAATATGCGGAAGACCTGTGGGTCCTGGAGGAAGCGGACTGCTTCTCTTCGACCTCCACCGCGGTATAGCCAAAGCTAACGCCAACGCGCACACCACTCCGGAGATGAGGCGAGTGGACATGATGACGCCGGAGATCACGAACGATGGAAAGGGCTACCTTTAAACTATTGTTAGTTGAGCAGGTGGTTCCCCTGAAAACCCGAACGTCGCAAACACTGAATCTTACACGTGGGCCATAAATGCATAAATAGGAAGCAACATGCCCTTTTCCGTGCGGGTGGCTTTCCCAGGTTGCCTATGATCTCGAAAGGAAATACCAAGGTTTCTGAATCTGACAACCTCATTAGGATTGCGCTACTAGCGGAGGGAGTTTGATATATGATATTTGGTCCTGCCCGTGAATTATACGACGGGCGAGTTGTACCAGCACATTCTGAAGTCGGGTTCAACTCCGCTAGAATCTGATTGACTCTTCCGTGTGTTTGGCTGGTGGTGGAAGAACACCGATCACTGGTGGCGCGTGTATCTTATCATCATGTGCAAGTATCGCGGGTATCCTGAAGAGACTAGTGGTAGACGGCAAGCACATAAGTCGCCGAATCTCAATTGGAGAGGAATCATACCTTTCATTCGAACAAGGTTTTAGATAGGGACTCATGGACCCGTTAACTTCTTGGGGTGCTAAACCCTAGCAAAGACGCAACCCTTGAGCAAAATACCCATCGTGAGAGACCGCAGGAGTGCATCGCGGTCTTACTACCAGAGTTATGGTATAAGACCCTCCGAGTTCTTCTGATAAGTCAAGTCGCCGCGTTGAGGGTTGCGCAGCTCCTCGCTCTCTTGACCAGCTAAGTATGGAGAGTGGCGACGGGGACCCGAAAGCAAACACCGATGTCAGGCTCCTCCTGGAAGTCTATCCAGCGGATATCTGCGAGTAAGACATAGCTAAACACGGCACGAAGCCGCCGGTCCAACTAGTGGTCAACAATGTAGCAGTGGGAACGAGATGATAGAACCGTCGCATGGCGGCCGGGCTGCGCAGGGGCAAAAAAAGAAAACACGAGAGCGGAGCTCCCGAGAGTTTTGTCGGAGAATGAAATTATCCGATCGCCAGAGGCGCCGACGCCCGGGTACACGCAGCGTCTTACAACCCATAATTTCGACACAAACACTAACAGATTGAGAGAGCAAGAACGGTTTGAAATCTGTGGCAAGGTGACGCTGAGACCTTTTCCTCCTCGCGTGTTTAGGGCTTCCAACATGTGCAAGCATACCACCCAATCTTCACAACAGCACCCTTGCAATCCTTACTTCTGTGTTCGCAGATCGGGGCCTTATCCAACATTGAAAGTCGGTAGGACGGCTGGAACACAAATCAAGTAATCGCATCAGATGCATAATCACGAGACGCTCGCAACAACGCGTACCTCGTTAACCCAATAGTCCACCTTGGATTAATCTCGATCTCGCTTCCATCCGAGTCTCTCGCTTTCTCAAAAGTGAAGGCCGCAAGCATGCACGTCATCGCTGACCACACTGACGCAAGTGCGAGGTGTCGACCTGGGCACACTCGCCTACCAAGTCCAAAAACCATCATGTGCGACATGTCATCCGTGAGTGACCCGTCACCGTTAAGATATCGCTCCGGCTTGAAGAGATGAGGCTCGGGGAAGCGGCTTGCGTCGTGATGTATCTCCCTGTAACAAAAGGTATGCACGAAATCCTATCTGTAAATGGCTCAAATGCTTACCACGTGTCTATAAGGACATTCGCTCCTGGTTGAGGACATAGGTAAGCTGTATTACAGTTCGTAGAAATGGACTATGAACTGGCCTTTAGGAATTAGATAACCTTCGTAAACGTCATCGTTGGTCACTCCATGCGGTAGGTTGATTGGAACCACGGGAAATATCCTGATGGTTTCTCGTAAGATAGCTTCAACTAGAGGCAAGGAGTTGTAATCATCGAAGTCTGGAAGTCGTTCCGTGCCAACCACAGAGTCAATCTGGGCTTGTGCACGTTTTTGTACTTCGGGGTTCATAACCATGGCGTACACAAAGTTTTGAAGCACTGTGAAAGTCTTGGCGAGAACAAGTCGTTACACTTAATTTGACTGCTCTAGCGCGACTTACTGTGTCCGCACCAGCTTTGAAACGAACTCTAAGTCCTTCGTCTCCCATGTATGAAGTCACTCACCCGAAAAAGCCGCACCAGCAGTGTTTCTCACACATTCTTCATACACCTCAGGTACAACCTGTGCTTCCGCCCTCTGCAGCATATCGCCAACCATAGACGCGGGTGCAGTTCCAGAGGCCTGAAGGATTCCGCTTCAAGGCCAGAAGTCGAGAAAACATTGATGTTTGCTTACCAAGCTTTGTTTCACATATTGGTACGGAAGCTCCAGCATAGTGTCTACATGCTTCTTCCCGGAAATAACGGCCTGCCTAATCCATCCCCCAGGGAACCATGTCGGTATTTTGAGCACTATAGGAGGTAGTCGTTACATGGTATGTATCAGACCATCTACATGCAGTGCACTCACAGAACGGGAACGCTTTGATCAATCCCATTGCAGGGGGTGTTCCGAACGGTATGATGAAATCATTCGCTTTTTCAATTACGGACACCATCTGATCATTGTGGGACCTCGTCTCGTATCCGTATATTACAGACATTATGATGGCAGCCGCGTGTCTGATATAAAGAAACTTTAGCATCCATATCAAGACTCCATGGATTATGGGCGATGCGTACGCTTGCAGATGTACTTCAAATGCATCTGGTCGATCCAATAGATCTTCGAGTAGCTTATGAGCTTGCCTAAGCTGCATAGGTCTATACTTCGGCACGATCTCTTGTCTCAATGCCTGATGATAAATGCGCCTGTGGAGTCGCCATTTATCCGAGTAGGGTATCCATCCTGTGTTGAAGTCCAAATTGTACCTGTAGATATTAGACGCTGAGAGATACATCTGGTCTAGGAAGCAAAGTGAACACTGACGCCCTTGATTCGGCAACGAGGCTCTTGTCTGAGTAGTTGGAGGAACGCTTATCCAGAAGATCACGGGCTATCTTCTCGCTACAGACAATGATCGTGTCTTGTCCCCAGATTTTGCAATATATAATATCCCCTCGAGTTACATCTTTGTTAGACCTTTGAGTCTAGACTAAATTGACAAATCCTACATACCATATCGGCTCCTCCAGTTGCTAAACGTGAGATGTGGCTTCTCCGTATTGATGTGAAGTGTATTACCAACGATGGGAAAACCTGTTGGACCAGGAGGTAGAGGGAGACGCGAGCCTTTATCCCTGACCCACTTGGCGATAGTGCATATTGCTAGCACGGATATAACGATGGCGGTGGCCATGACTTTTGTGTGGAAAGTTAGTCGAAGGCACGGTTGCCTTTATCGACTGCTTGGAGCGCCACGTTTCTATTTCAGTCTTGCATGAGATTCGCAGGAAATATCATCCTGCGACCAAACAATCTGAAACCCTATTGATAGCCACGGACGCAGAGCTTGTTAAGACCGAATGAACGCTAAACCGTTGTCAAATTGAACCGGGTTGAAACCCGGAGTTTCCCCGTTCATTCGGAGGAGAAGTATGTCGAGGAATAAACCCCACGGAAGTTCGTAGAACCACCAGTGGATCGCCAAGTATTACAAAGGCCACATTACCCCAGACTGAAAATGCTTTCTCGGGTCGACCACGCACGTTCCTACGCATCTCTGGCATTGTACCATGGGTCGGATAAGCGTACACTTTTAATGAGACCTAGAAAGCTTATAATAATAAACGCGAAGCTTCCCTTCCCTTGTGCTTCAGTAGTTCACCATACTCCGTGAAACCTAGGTGTGATGGTACACTTAAACCCCGTAGGGCGACTAAGAATATATAAGTTATATTCTACTAGTAGGGTGAATGATACTTACGCTGTAATGCCCCATGTCCACTTAATATCCTCTTCCCAGCTTTTTCCGTTTACATTTTCGAGGGTCTCAAAGGTGAAAGCCGCAAGCATGTTAGCCATTGCAACCCATATAGATGTTTCGGCGAGGTGACGACCTGGGCAAATGCGCCTCCCAAAGCCAAACACTGTCATATACGACATGTCGTTTGTAAGGGCCCCGTCCGATGTGAGAAATCGGTCAGGGTTGAATGCCTCGGGGTCAGGGTATCGCTTTTCGTCCCGAAATATCGCCCTATTTTAGACTTCACGTAAATGCAATACTCCTACAGAAGAATGACCACAACTTACCATATATTTACGATGACGTTGGCACCTATTTAGAGCGTGTAAGAAACGCACAGCTGATATCAAGGAAAGGGTCACCTTTCGGTATAAAGTATCCTTCGTAAATGTCGTTCTCGCTGACAGCGTGAGGTAGATTAGTGGGAACGACGGGTATCCATCGAATGACTTCGCGAAGGATGGCGTCTATCAAAGGTAAACCCTTCCGGTCATCAAGAGTCGGAGGTCGCTCGTGTCCGACCACTGGGTCAAGTTGCGCTTGAGCCCGTCTCTGGACGTCTGGATGTAGTATCATAGCGTAAATGAAGCATACAATGGTCGAGAATGTCTGCAAAAAATCATTGACTTAAACGATATCTATTCAATGCCTCCAGAACTCACGGTGTCCGTTCCGGCTGTGGTGATTAGCTGGTGAGGAAGACATTGAGACGGAATACACTCACCAGCAAATGCGGTCGCAGCAGCCCACTTCATTGCTACCTCAGTCGTAGAAGGTATTTCTTTCTCGCTCCGCATTTGGTAGAAGTCCCCCACCATGGACTCTCTAGGATTGTCAATATCCTAAAGCGATATAAGGATGCACGGGAATTTATTGCTATGAAATGCCTACCTTTGACTGGGAGAAATGCCTGAGAGGGGCATGTACCAGATCCTGAGCGCTAGCTGTAACAAAAGCAATAATCTCTTTCATTCCGCCGTCAGGGAGCCAATGTGGGAATCTTGGTACTGAAAGGTGATGATGGCCATGGTAAACCAGATTACACTAACACAGGTTAAATAGAAAAGCTTACGCCAAGGGAGGGCATCGATGACTCCAAGTATGAGAGGTGTACTGTACGTCATTACAGCAGCATTGGCGCGTTTCACAGTTATGAACAAGGGATCATCTTTTGAAGCCACGTCGCACCCATATACCGTAGACAGGATTATGGACGCCGAAAACCTAATGGGCGATTATTTTTATTGAAGGATAAAATCGCAATAGTTGCTTACAGTTCGATGTGCTCCTCAAACTCTTCAGGTGTACACAGAAGAGAATGTAGGAGTTTCGCGGCCATCTTTTCCTGTAACGGACGGTATTTATGCACAACGTCCTGCCGCAAGCTGTGAGCATAAAGACGCCGGTGAAGCCGCCATTCATCGTTATAAGGCAGAAATCCGGTAAACCGGACTACTCCGAGTCTACCACGTGTCAGGACTCGCGGAAGACAGTCAAAGTCGGTGATAACTTACGTAGTCGCAGCTTCAGATTGTACTTTATCTGAATAGATTAAAGAGCGAGTCTCCAGAAGGTCACGAGCAATTTTCTCCGTGTTGACGACAATGGTATCATATCCCCACACACGGCAATGTACGATATCACCTATTATGGTCTCATCAGGCTGAGGTTGATGACCTCTGTTTAACACACCGTAGCGATCCTTCCATTGGCTGAAAGTCAGCTGTGGCTTGCGACCATCTATTTGGAGAGTGTTTCCCACAAGTGGGAGAGCTCGTGGTCCAGGCGGCAGCTGTACGTGTGGCCACTTAGATCGCCGTTTAATTGGTGACGAAGACCAATCACCTCGGATCTGGACTCTGCTCTAGCCATAGGATCGCTCCTATTCAGCCAATTGGATGATAAGTGCTGTGATTGATTGTAGGTTTGATAGGGTCTACCTACGGCTAGATATAGCTCATAAAATAGGAAAGTCTGACTCTGAAGGTTTGATCACGACCCGCAAGCAGTATGGAGGTGATTAGATGGTGGCGCCAAAGGAGAAGATCAATTCCGTGCTCACCGTCATTGAAAAATTGATGCATGGTGCACGGTGAACGTTCTTGGCGCCACACCAACGCCACTCTTGTATACACGCCCTCCGAGGGCCATCGCTTCGCCATTGTGCGAATATTGGGCCCGTGTGCGAGGCTCTCCTGCATTTGGTATTAGCCTTCCTGAAGCATCAAGAGATGTTGAGGATGAAAATGGTTAATACGTGTAAATCTTTCTGGTTCTGCGCACGCGAGGCGGTACTGAAGCAAGTGCAGAGAATGTGCGCAGTCCGTGCGCACGTCACAGTTGACTTTGTTTGTGTGTAGTTGGCTTCAACCTCGCTACAACTGGGGCTACGCTATACTGAAAGTTATATCGAAAAGGGTTGGATCTGCCTGACTCGCTACTACAAAACACTAATTACGAAGGGCAAACTCACGAGACTGTATATGTGCAAGTATCTGTGTGAATGAATGTTACTTTAATCAAGGTTTCCCCGGAATGACTCTGGAAACCACATTGTGACAATGCTGCTAAGTACATGCTGTAGCTTGTGCTGTATACTACTGTTATTACACGACGCGAACCCTGCTTACGCTTCATGGCGTACTCAAACGACCCTACACATTTTAGGTTTTACCTATATATGTTTACGTATCCTCCTCATTCAACCAATCAGCTCGTTCAGTGAACCTAGGCCTTATCGTGCACTTGAATGCCGCAGGTCGACTGAATATTGATAAGTCACTGTAAATATTCAATGACAGGAATTTCCGTTAGGCTTACATTGAAATACCCCACGTCCATTGAAAATTCTGCACCACTGAATTTCCGTCCGGGCCTTTAGCTTCGGTGAAGTTGAATGCAGCCAACAGGCTCGCCAATGCTGCCCATGCAGATGCTTCGGCGAGATAACGTCCAGGGCAAATGCGTCTCCCATATCCAAACACGGTCATATATGCCGTGTCATCTACCAACTTTCCGTCCGAGGCGAGAAAACGGTCAGGGTTGAATGTTTCTGGGTTGGGATATCGCTGTTCGTCGTGAAATATTCCCCTTATTGACTCACATTAATAATAATGATGCATAAGAAAACAGCGACATTACCAGGTGTTAACAATGAGGTTGGCGCCTGAAGAACAACAATTAGCCAATATTAACTGCAGGTTGATGTCATACCTTTCGGGATCAGATATCCTTCGTAAATGTCATCCTCAAGAACAGCGTGAGCCAGGTTAGTTGGAACGGTAGGTATCCATCTGATGACCTCGCGAAGTATAGCATCAATCAATGGTAATTCACCCCGATCGTCGAAGGTGGGAAGGCGCTCGTTACCGACTACGGAGTCTATCTGTTCTTGAGCGCGTTTTTGGATATCTGGATGTAGTGTCATCGCATAAATGAAGTTCTCAATAGTCGAGAATGTCTGAAAAGCTTGTTACAGAGAAATTAATGAACCCAATGATTGAAAACGTACTGTATCTGTCCCGGCTAGGAAGGATTAGCAGCTGGCTGGACGGCTATTAACACGATTTGAACATACCGACAAAAGCAGTACCGGCTGCGTTTCTCAGGCACAATGCAGTCATAGCAGGTATCTCTCTGTCTCCCCATTTCTGATACAAGTCTCCAACCATAGACTGACCAGTAGTACTTTCACCCTACGTTTGCATCAGATATTACTATAGGGGTTTTACTATGCTAAATACCTCGAGCTGGGTGATAAACTTGTAAGGCGCGTTCATGAGATCGTGTACGCTTGCTTGAACAGAAGATACTATGCTTCGAATTCCGCCATCAGGGATCCAGGATGGGGAATATGGTACTAGCGAGTCACGGTATCGACGATATATCAGCTCGCGCTAATAGATTGTCAATAGCATATGAATCTTACGCCAGGGGAGAGCATCGATAACCCCAATGACTAAGGACGTTCCATGTTTCATGACAACGTCATTGGCGTGCTGCACAATCGAAAACAGAGGATCATGCTTCGATGATACGTCGTATCCATATACAGCAGATAAGATGACGGATGCAGAATACCTAGCGGGGGATTGCATCAATACAGGCATGACGCGCGAAAGTAACTTACATTTCAATGTGTTCCTCAAAGTCTTCAGGTGTACGTAGAAGCGCTTGTAGGAGCTTGATAGACATCTGCTGTTGTAGAGGGCGGTACCTGGGCACGACATCCTGCCTGAAGCTTTGTGCGTACAGCCGTCGGTGGAGTCGCCACTCATCAGAGTAGGGTATGAACCCCGTTAGCTTGCCAATTCCAAGTCTATTCCCATCAGATAGTACGGAGAGCCGTTTGTCAACATTTACTCACATAGTGGCAGATTCCGCCTGCACTTTATCCGAGTAGATTGACGAGCGAGTCTCGAGGAGGTCTCGGGCTATCTTGTCCGAGTTGACGATGATCGTGTCATAGCCCCACACGCGGCAGTGGACGATATCGCCTACATTCAATATTACAATGGGCCAAAAACAGGACGAGCACCTCAGCGTACCGTAGAGTCGCCCCCATTTACTGAACGTTAGCTGCGGCTTGCGACCATCGATCTCGAGGGAGTTGCCGATCAACGGGAGACCATTGGGGCCAGGTGGCAGCGGCGCAACTGATCGCTTCCCTCTCTGTTTCTTCCAAAGAAGAGTTAAAACGAGGGTAGTAATGACGCAGACACGAAGGATAGACATCATTATGCCCGCTTCCAAGTTGAAACAAGTGCTCCCTTTTATTCGGAGTGTTACAGAGCTACCCCACAAGTCTACGCCAAAGTCATGAGTAGCATGTGCTGGAGGTATTGGGCGCTGGCCGCCTTACCAGCCGGTCGGAAGGCCGCCGCGTGTGAGGTTTAACGTTCTGATTGGCAAACCAGGAAGGTCAGCTGAACCATGACTTGACTGCTGAGCTTCTTAGTATTGAACGGGAGAACTGTTCTAGCCAGCTGATTGAATAAGTGGTTACGCTCGGGTGGAGGTTTCAAAGATGGATAGGCATACCTGTCTCGAAATTTCTCTTCGAGCTCCGGCTGAAGTAACCATTACACCCCCAAACGCATGCTATCTCCAGCGTATCAAAAACGCGGTTATACAAGTAAGCTATTATTAGCCAGCCAAGAAACAACGTGGGACGATGAGGAAGAGCCAGTGGTTCCCGTGTACAGTCCGCATGATCCAGACATTGGCTCAGCATCTACCTCATGGTGACATAGTGGTCAACGAAGACGCAGGTTTCAGACTCGCCTGAATCATATTCCTGATCAAAATACTGCAAAGAGATTTGAAGATGGACAACAAGGCATATGGTTTAACCTAGTTAACTTGAGAAAGGAGCATGGCGCAACAGGAAAGCCAATTCTTAAGCGTCGCGTGCATCCGTCCTGCCAATATTGAGCCTTTCCTGGGACCTCGGTCTAATAGAACACTTGAAGCCTATAGGGCGGCTGATATCGCGTCATTCAGGGTGCCGGGAATGATATGTAAAGTACGTACACAGATACACCCCACATCCATTCCGGATCCTGCACTATTGAACGTCCTTCCGCGTCCTTTGCTTCTTCGAAGTCAAAGGTTGCGAGTAGGTTCGCGATCGCTGCCCACACAGATGCTTCGGCTAGATGACGCCCGGGACAGACACGTCTGCCATACCCGAACACAACCATATGCGTCATACTATCACCTGTCAACCTCCCGTCTGGGGTGAGGAAGCGGTCAGGAGCAAATCTATCCGGATTAGGATAGCGGTCTTTGTCGTGAAGAATCTCCCTAATTCTGAAGGTTATAAGCGGCATGAGTTCGGAGCGTATGATGCATACCAGGTGTTCACGATGATGTTAGCACCTAGGGAGTGTCAGCAAGCCGTACAGCGGTGAGAAAATTGTGCCCACCTTTCGGAATCAGGTAGCCCTCATAAACGTCGTCGTTGTAAACACCATGAGCTAAATTATTAGGGATGGTGGGTATCCATCTGATTGTCTCACGAAGAATGGCATCAATCAACGGCAACTCGTCTCGGTTATCAAAGGTAGGAAGTTGGCCGTTGCCAATCACAGAATCGAGCTGCAGTTGCGCGCGTTTTTGAACGTCTGGGTGCAGTACCATTGCGTACACAAAGTTATTGAGGGTGGAGAATGTCTATCGCATCTACTGGTCAGTTTAGGGTGTTTTAGACGTCAATTTAAACTTACGGTATCCGTTCCGGCTAGCAAATCCACTAAATTCAACTTATGAAGACACACATAAGGAAATAGCTCCTACCAATGAAGGCGCCTGTAGCTGCATCCTTCAAGGCAGCTAGAACTATGTCAGGTAACCCTTTGTCGCCCCACTTCTGATAAATGTCTACAATCATAGAGCGTCCAGCAGTTTTGTCTTCCTATGGTGCGATGTAAACAGTGTATTTGCTTCCGCCGCGTAACACTTGCGTAACACTCACCAGCGCCTGTGAAATATAGTCAAAGGGCGCCTCCCGCATATCCCTCATGCTTGCTCGAACAGCAGAGACTGTTTCCTTAACGCCCCCGTCGGGAATCCACTTTGGGGCCTTCAGTACTATAATATCAGTACAAACGAGGTCAGTAGAACGCTCAAACTGTGTCAGATCGCGCTCACACCATGGAAAAGCGTCTATCAGCCCGATGATGAGAGGTGTTGAGTTTTTCATGACGACATCGTTTCCGTGATGTACAATGGCCAATAGAGGGTCGTGCTTTGAAGTAACATCATACCCATGCACAATGGATAATATTATTGAGGCCGAATACCTGAGTTGTGCTGTATCAGCGGTGATGGGGTTACACATAAAGCAACTCACATTTCGAGATGGCACTCAAACTCCGCAGGCGTGTCCATCAGCGCGGTGATGAGCCTCTTTGCCATCTGGAGCTGTGTGGGATGATACGAGGCAACGATGTCCTGACGCAAGGCTTGGTGGTACAATCGCCGATGAAGTCTCCATTCGTCCGAGTAGGGTATAAACCCTGTCAACTTTCCGATCCCAAGTCTGCCGGTGTCGGTACCCAAGGCGCTAGACAGTGTTGTGACGACTTACAAAGTGGCAGACTCAGCCTGGACCTTATCCGAGTAGTTTGACGGGCGAGTCTCGAGCAGGTCTCGAGCAATCTTCTCCGAGTTGACAACGAGAGTATGGTATCCCCATACTCGACAATACACAAGGTCACCTGGAATAGCTGAGTGATCGGTATGAAGCCGTCACGACGACGTACCGTAGTGGCGCCTCCATTCACTGAACGTCAACTGCGGCTTACGCGCATTGATCCCCAGAGAGTTTCCTAAAAACGGCAGCCCGAAAGGTCCTGGTGGCAGAGATAGTGTAGAAGATGCCCTTCGTTGCCTCTGCCACAGGGCAAGCGCGGAAACACATGAGAGTATTAGAAATAGGAGTTGATAGTCGGGAGTCATAACAATTCTCCGGTTGCTCGAAAACTTGGTCAGTCTTATCTTGATAACGATTGTGGGTGCTCAGTTGTGACCGTCGACACAACCTGCCTCCGGGGTAACCATATAAACCAACGTATAAATAGACGGTGAATGCATACCCACAAAACGTCAGATCCTGGAAAGGAGTTCAACAGAGTTCAACAAATGAACCGTTCCATCCGCTCCGCTTTACACACATGGTGCTTGTGTGCGCTTTTTTGCAGGTCGCATGACTTCTGACGCCACAACCTGAGAATCGAGGACGGTTCAGTAGCTCCGAGGCGTATGATCAGAGTGGTACTCGGGTGCACCGTATCAGGTAGCGCTGTGGTAGAAATTAGAATGTTACTAACAGGGTAATTTCTAACAGGTTAATAACATGTTAGTAACGACCCTAATATCGGGGGTCCCAGAAGAGTATGTTAGAAACTGTTAGAAATTCGGGAGGCAGTGCACAGATAAACCCGGCCATCGGAAGGTGTTTGCCGCGTTGCTTGGCAAAAATGCGCGTAAGTACTCGACGCGTTTTTGGCCGGATCAGGACAAGTAGCATAAGCATTGTTTGAATCACTCTGTGCTCGCGTCTGTGGCCTTTGTGGCTGACGTTGAAGGCGGTAGCGTCTAAGTGGACTGATTCACGGTTTCGCGGCTGAAAATGCGATGCACCTGTTGCTTTGACATAGGCATTTCTCTTGTATATAAGTCGTCAAAGATTCGATGATATTCATTAAGCAAAATGGTTCTAACTCCTCAGGCTTTGAAAAATCTACTCGAAGCCCGTCAACGCGTCAACAGTTTATCGAAGACGATGGCTTCGAATTCCCTCATTTCGTTGAAGTCATTGATCCTAATATTGAATTGCATAGCAAGGAATGCATCGAGTGAACAAGATATATTGACAAGATATTAGCAGCACAGGAGGAGAATCAAGAAGTTCCTGAAGTGCACCTGCCCTGTTTAAATATTATTATCTTGCTCAGATTCTTGTTTAGGCGCCTTTTGCATTCAATGATCCAGGTGTACGAGCCACTGGAGCTCATGGAAAAGGAAAAGGGAAAGCCTCCGCCACTGACCATCCTGTTCAAGCTCTGGTGGTTCCCTCAGACAAGGAGGCGCGTTTTCAGAGTATCCGAAACCAAAAAAATCTGGAAGTATTCTTAGAAGCAGGCAGAACATATTGTAGAGGTCAATGACGACGACGATTGGAGTGCTGAGGACTTTTTGATGATTTTTAACTGATTCTAACATATCTAACCTGTTATTAATTCATTTCTAACCCGTTAGTAACCGTTATTGGGTAGTTTATTATTAACTCTTGTTATAAATGGCGCCTCGAGCGTCGCTATTTCTAACCTAACCTAACACGGGCAAAATAATTTCTACCACAGCGCTAGTATCAGGGAAGGTGCAGTCCTATCACACTGCACTCTAATGCGAACTTCGTCCGTCTACTGAACTCCGACTCTACTCCGCAGCAAGTGATAATTCGGAGACTCAAATACAGTGACGCTCTACCGATCGTCTGGTTTTCTCCCACTACCCGTTGACTCGCAGCGTTGGACCAGCAATCGCCTCCACAACGTTGAACGTCGGGAGAACGTACTGAGGTAACGGTGCCAAGTCCCATTAAAAGCGCTCGAAAACTCGCTAACTAGCAATCTTAAGGAGGGAAATGGCGATAAGAGGGCCTTGAGGAGCTTGAGGACCGCCAAGCGGGGAAGAGCAGCACCAAAAGCGGCTGAATGCGTGGGCTGAATGTTCTGGAAAGGCACACTAAGAGGTACACTTTCTGGACGTGATTACGATGCTGTTGAAATTACTTGACTCCAAAGAAGCGGGGTCACGATGGATTGTTATTCCCATCTCATTGGGTCCGGAACTGACCTATCCCGCCTTCTTGGGCTCGGACTAACTGACTTGCAAAGTGGCGTACAGGATATTTGTTTTACCAGACCATAAGTTGACAAGACTTTTCTACAGCCCAAAGTAATATGTGACTGATGTTTCACCAGAAACGGCACCGGAAGACGCGAATTAAAGGACATGAGAAAGAAGGTTCACGTACGTTCAACGCCCACTCCCTCAGGGGTATGCATGAAGTGGACATCACATTCAGTACTGATTGTGGCGATAAGGAAGGTTATTCCTACCTGAGCGATGCTGTGTGGTGTACATCGGACAATATCTGGTGACCGTGCGTCTGAATTGAACGCACCAAATCCGAGGGCTGGCGGACGAGGTATTGCTTTCCGATTGAAATGCATGCACCGTCCATAAGTGTATGTCCTTTTCTGACTGTTCTTCTCTATCGTTTCTCATGACCATTACAGAACCTCCAATAACCAATCAAATGGACCCTTCCTAATCTGTGCGACATATATTAAACTGGTTTTGCATTCTTGGGTGCTAATTCATTTCAACTCGAAATCTTTGATCTTCTCGCCATGTCTCTGGTGGCTTGTGCTATCTCTGGGTTCCTCATCGCGCTTGTGTCCTCTCTTTATCTCGGGACGAGGAAGGGTAAGGGCGGCCTTTTACCCCCCGGTCCACGAGGTTTCCCAATTGTAGGAAGCGGGCTTCAAATTAATAACGCAGAACCTTGGGTGACCTTTAGTAAATGGGGCGTGAAGTATGGTACGCGACGTGCAGTTGTCCACAATTTATTTTCGTATAACGGATGGTCGCAGGTGGCCTAGTGTATTGTCGAGCTTTTGGTCAGGGACTGTTTATTGTCAACTCTGAACGCGTCGCACACGAGTTGCTTGACAAGCGCTCGTCCAATTATTCTGACAGAACATTCGCCAAGGCTCTTGATGTGTGCGTCCTCACGCGTTACCCGCGCTTCTCCCACTCACTGTACAACATCGATATGTACTCTAGCTTTGGGTGGGAGTGGAATCCCGGTTTCTTGGGTTATAATGACACCTGGAGAACCTCCAGGCGCATATTTCACCTGTCACTCAATCAAGATGCTGTTAGACAGTTTCGGCCCATGCAGATGAATAGGGCTCATAGGCTCTTGTGCGACCTGTTGGATGACCCAAACGAATTTGAAAAATACTATAGGGAGTACGCCGCACTCATTTGATACTGGCTCTTTTTCCCGAAGTTTGATACTGAATGCTAATCTGCAGGCACTCCGCCTCAATCATATTGTCTGCCACATACGGGCACGATACTACTAAGAACGACGAACTCGTGTCTTTGATTGAAACATCTGTTGCGTGGATTGTCAAGTTCGGCACACCTTTGTGGATGGGCATGATGGACGCGTTTCCGTTTAGTAGGTACTTTCTTTTATACTTCGATGGCGTTCTCAATCGTTTATGTTACGTCTAGTCGCACGCGTCCCGAAGGCGTTCTTTGGGATAGGTGTGAAAGAGATGATCGAGGATTGTCGCTGGCACATGGAACAGATGGTTAAAGTTCCGTACCAGCGCACTCTCGCTTATATGGTGCCTAACTATACCTCTCGGTACGATGATGCGCTAGCTTACGACTATATAGGCTGAAGGCGATCACAAACCCTCGATAGTTGCGAATGCTCTGCGGAAGGAAATTCATCAACCCGTATCAGAGTATTTCGAATGGTGCGTCTCGGGTGCGGCGGGTGCGGCGTACTCAGGTCCGTACATACACGATTACCGAGCTCTAATTTACTCAAACTAGTCACCTACTCCAATAGCAGGAGCAGATACGGTAGGAAATCCAGGGTCTCACTATCACTGTATACTGATGCGCTCCAAATTCAGACCTATACCACCCTACAAGTGTTCACCATGCTCATGGTGTTACACCCGGACGTACAGCGTCGGGCACACGAGCAAATAGATTCAGCTGTAGGATTTGATCGGCTTCCCACCTTCGAAGACCGTGGCTCTCTCCCATTGATCGACGCGATCCTGCGAGAGACATTGAGGTGGTCGCCCGCTGTGCGCGTTAACATTCCACATGGCGTCACCGACGACGATGTTTATGATGGCTACTTTATCCCAAAAGGTACGCATACTCGGAAGATTTGCACTGTTCTATGACCCATGCCCTATCCATGATTTTAGGTACCAACATCGTAGTCAACATATGGTACGTGTACAAGCATGTGGGCTCCTGGTTTTGATACATTATTGGTGATATACTATCACAGGGGCATCTTCCATGACGAGGGACGTTATGAGAACCACATGCAGTTTAACCCCGACCGGTTTCTGGACTCGAAGGGCCATCTTACGGAAGACGATTCGCATATGCTCGCGTTCGGGTTCGGGAGACGGATTTGTGCTGGGCGCCATCTTGCTGAGGCGACGCTGTGGTCGGCTATCTCGTGCATACTCGCTGCATTCGAGTTTTCCAGGGCGATCGATCAGAACGGAAATGAGGTTGATATCAACCCTAAATGGACGGTTGGACTGACAAAGTGAGTAACCTTTACAGTTGCTACGTAGGTGCTACTCACTTCTTCTTGTACAGCTGTCCAACGGAGTTCAAATGCTCGATTACGCCTAGGGAAGGGTGCAAGGCGAGGGTAGAGGAAGCTCGACTTGCAGCATATGGTCACAGAGCATCAGCGTAATTTTGCTTCGCCCAAGGCGTGCAGTGCATTCTTACATGCTAAAAGGTTGTTTCATACCGCAGGGAACGGGCCTACATCTTCCTAGCTTGTATATCGTACTACTATTGTACATTACAATTCAAACCGACTCGAGCTGTAAGATCAGATGTCCGTGTGCGGCTCGACTGCATTTCGCAGTGTTTCAGCGATACTCAAAGAACGTGGTGTGATAGAACACTTGAATCCCCTTGGATGTCTGTCAGAGTATGAGTTCTGGGGAACAAGGCTGATAGCTTTAACGTTCGAGTACTTACGTCGAAAGGCCTGTGGTCCAGCAAGGCTCGACGCCTAGCTCTCTACCCTCTTCGTCCTTCAATTTTGAGAAGTTGAAGGTCGCGAGAAGACATGCCATCGCCGACCATAGTGAGCCTTCCGCTAGATAGCGTCCAGGACAGATACGGCGGCCGAATCCAAAACCCATCATGTGAGACATGTCGTTGGTCAGTTTACCTCCGGCGTCCAAGAACCTGTCAGGGTTGAACACTAGCGGGTCTTTATAGTTCTCCTCATCGTGGAGGAGCTCCCTACCACGTCCAGCGCAATAAGTAACATACAAGATATTTTGTATGAGCGATCACTTACCACGTATTAACGAGAACGTTTGCACCTTATGAATGCATATCTATTATCAAGTTCACTCAGAAGTGATCGTGCAGAGCTGACCTTTCGGGATAAAGTACCCTTCAAACGTGTCGTCGTCTGTTACACCGTGCGGCATGTTAACCGGGAGCACTGGCATCCACCGCATAGTCTCTCGCAGTATAGCGTCAATGTACGGAAGAGATTCCCTGTCTTCGAACATGGGAAGGCGATCTTTCCCGACGACATCGTCTATTTGATCATGTGCGTGCTTCTGAGCCTCTGGGTGATGTATCATAAGCAACACGAAAATTTGAAGTGTCGCAAATGTCTACACAGCGCTGAGTTAGTGCATGTCGCGCGCCTTCTACTGAATTGTTTCAAACGCACTGTATCTGCACCCGCTGTATACAAAGTTTTAGTGTACCGAGTCGAAGAGTCCGTACATCTCGAGACCCACCAGAGAATGCCGCACCCGCACATCCTTTCAAGCACGATTTTATGAATTCCATTGTCATCTCGTCGCTCGTTTTCGACTCCTCTTTGCTCAAAGTGGTGGTCACAAGCGAGTCTTTTGCCGTACCCGCTGCCTGGAATTGATAGCCGATTAAGTATGGCTAAGAGGTTGAAGTACACTGCTCACGATATTGTCCATCACAAGCTGATAAGGAACCTCGACAATCCGTTTCGTTTGCGATCGACACGCAGTACTAGCTACCTTCAACTTGCCAAAGAACCACTTGGGAAGGTGTAGAACTGTTCGCACACATATCCCATCAGTGTCGCAAGCTTACGGTAGTCAAATATGCGATAAGACACACGCACCAAACGGAAAAAGCGAGATAACACTCAGCATGAACGGTGTACCGTATGAGATGATGTAGCGGTTGACTTCCTCAAACATTTCGACGAAGCTATCGTTCTCCACTGTGTCGTACCCATAAATCACCGATAGCACAATAGAAGCTGCGTGACTGGTGAAAGCAAAGTGAGTAAACGATTCCGACGTGCACGCAGTCAAATAGTACTCACGCGTTGAAATACTCTTCGAAGCGCTCCGGGCTGTGCAGCAATTTCTTCACGAGTTCATGGGCCCTTCCCAACTGCAAAGCTTGATATTGAACGACAGCCTCCGGTCTCAGCGCTTGATGATATATGCGCCGTTGCATACGCCACCTGTCCGAGTAAGGCGTGAACCCTGGGCTATAATCGAGACCAAACCTAGAGAGTAGATAAGTGCCACATCGACTGCGAGCGAAGAAAAGGGACGGACGCTTGAGTAGCCTCGATCAACGTCTTATCTGAGTAGTTAGACGAGCGCTTATCTAGAAGCTCCCGAGCAACCCTTTCCGAATTCACAATGATGGTGTCTTGTCCCCAGATCCGACAATGGACTATGTCACCTATGATGATAGACGTTCAAGCAATACGCCATGAATTCCGTGTACTATGCTCGGCCTGCGTACCATAACGACGTCTCCAGTCACAGAACGTAACCCATGGCTTTGCGGCGTTGACTTGAAAGGCACTTCCGATGAAAGGGATCCCGAGAGGCCCAGGTGGAAGCGCACCACGTCTCCGGGTGCCATTACGATGGTGTAAGACTACAACACACAGAGCAGCGAGAATAAGGTATGGAGTAGCCCACATAGTAGTGAAGTGCTTGGAGTACAGAAGACGGATACAACCGTCCTTTATAGTACTTGAACGTGCAGTAATCCGGTCAATCTTTGACAGCGTGCGCACCTAATTACGCCATTGGCACGGTACGCGCCACCTTGGCTGGCACAGCAAGTACTATAGTCGGCCATATCAGAAGACCACCTTGGGGCCTTGCACGCCGTGGCTGAATCAGATCGCCGCCACAGTAACGACATGGTGACTCGTATTGGCTAATCCCGTCGCTTGTCACCACGCGGCTTTTGGAGAGCTGAAGATGCCGTAACAAAGGGCGGCGTCCTACGCACGGAAAGTTACGAGGGTAATGTTTCATGAGGGACGGTAAACAGGAAAGAGATATCAGCAAGCCAAAACAGCTGAACAGAGTGACGCTTCACTTTGGCTAGTGGCGAGCCATCAGGGTATGACACCCCAAGCCTTGTACATGAGCCACGATGATCCAGGAATACGGACATTCGGACTCATGGGCTGATGAGGCACATAAAATATGACCAAGTCGGCTATTAAGCTGACGCGTTGTACCAGCAACGTTCGAGTAGAGGCTTACTTACTTTAGGTCGGCAGAACACCATAAACAAAGTTCAAACTCGATCTCCCTGGCACTTGGCACAAATACCCGTTGATGGAGAGTACTGTAAAAGGTGATATGGTGCAGTGATGGAAAGCCTGATTGGAAACGCACTAAAGCAGATTGAGCGGTATGCATAGTCTAGAGGCCGATAGGCGCTAGAGGTACAAGCGTAATCTGAATCATACTTGTGGCAAAAGGACACCTTGTAGCCTTAAGGCCGTCAATCTCACCAATGCGGGAGCCTATCAGGGTGTTTTTGAGTCATCCAAATTAAGGAATGGAGAATATCAGCAACGGGCTTGGCGGGTGGTCCTGTATATGATCTTACTAACACAGTTGCTCTGAGCAACTCGCCGGACAATGATGTTAGGACAGCCCGCGTCCGACCAGCTGATCAAGAAAAATGGCCGATCACTCGATATGAGGACCTTTCCAGACCCATGCCCCGACAAGGTTTACGTACTGCCTACGCTCGCGGCGAACCAGGTGACGGCCTTAGATGGGTTTATTTGAACAACAACGTAACGGGTACGGAGATGTTTGAGCAACGCGTCGAGCCTACTGAATGTAAGTCCGACAGGCATGATGCCTCTACAGTCATTCAAAGACGTACAAAAGCTCACCATGGTGATGTGTAAGTGAGACAACCTTCGAGTCGTGTCTGTAAGAGTCATCGCTGTCAACAACAGAGCGCTCAATTAGCATACACTTACAAGTACAGGTGTGGCGTGGGAAGCCATCAACGTCCATCCTCAAGGCACGCGTCGGCCGCCGCTGAACGTTGCTGGGCGCATTAGCTTGCCAAAGACAGTCATTAGCACACCCAGGTTTACGTCCTTGACACTGTCGAAAAGTGTCCTACCACTTCCTTTACTTTAGCATTGAAGTACTGGAACATTTCCATTGAATTTCTTAACGCTACGATGCTGAGCAGTACAACAGCGATCCCTAAGTCCATAGACAGACAGTACGAATACACGCTGGTTAAACCTTATCGAACTTCGCCCCTGTCGCAACCTTCCACATCGCCTCTGCCGCTCGCACCCAGTCCAGCTCACCGGCAAAAGCCTTGAAGAACTCCATCCTCTGAGCAGCCTTCTGTGCCTCGAGTGGAGGAACTGCCTCCAGCTGGCCGCCTCCGCCCGAGAACAACTCGAGCAGTCTCACAGCCATAGGCTCTGTGAGCTCGGGATGGCCTTGCAAGGTCAGAACGTGGATCTGCTTGTCGCTCGAGTCGTCGTAGAACACGACCGTTCCCTCGTTCTTGCAGGTATCGGTGTAGCCCCAGACGTGGTGCTTGAACATGGAATTCTTGTCATCCATCACCTTCTCCCTCGCTTTGGTGACGCTTTCATAGTATGCGTCAGTGAGCGCCATCTCGGAATGGAACATCTCAATTTGCTATGGTCAGGGAGCATTTGTAAGTGAAAGCAGGATAGTGAACGCAAAGCCCACGTACGAGGTGATCTCCGCCAGGGAAGAGATACTTGTGCTCGTCGTGGAGACGGACAGTGTACGGTCCAATCTCCCAGGGCGATGTCCCAATCTGAGCGCTGTAGAGAATGTGGTTGAGAAGCTGGTGCCCAAAGCATACCCCTAGGGATCCCGCCTGTCAAATCACTTATCGCAACTCGGGGTAAAGAACCGCACCAATCAGTTTAACGTTCGGGTGGTGGACTGCAACGTCAGCCAACAGGAGGGCAAGCCACTTTAGCCAGTCGAGGTTGGTGTCGGTCTTCATAAGATCGTTCACGCTGTTCGCTGTACATACTGCGTTAGATATCTGCATGACCATATTTCAACAGCGTCTTACATGATCCTCCAACGAGAATGCAGTCGATCTTCTCCTTCTCGACATCCGGCCAACGAAAATCGGGATTGGTCGCGCTGTACTTGGTCGCGTCGAACCCCTTGAAGTAGAATGCGCCGTCGTTCCACACCTGCCAGCCGTTGCTCGTGTCCCCGCCCGGGGCTGGGTGGGCCGCAGAAGGTTTAACCTGGAGGAAGTTTCGGAAGAGGTCGCGGAATAGATGGGGGACGATGTTGAACTGTTTGATGAACTCGTCCTTGGTGTGATCACAGTTGATGACGGCGATGCGAGGAGCAGGGGTGGGGGCGGGAGTTTTGGTGGCCATTGGAAGTGATGACACTGGTACAAAGAGATAGAGAACTTGGGTCGAATGCTACAGAGTGATACGCGAGTGGGTGTGCTTTTAAAGAGGAACCATAGACAATGATGGAGACAAGTCTAGCTTTGGTCAAGCCTCGATCGACCGGCTCTCAGCAGGCTCCGGAACAAAGGCCAAAGGACTTCTTCCACGCGGCGAGGGTTCGTTGACAGTGTGAATGTTCTGAATGCAGCCAGTACAGCCATTCCTTGAAGGATCTCAACAGTACTGGCAGACTTCGTGGGCGAGGGGAGATCAACCTTCTGTCAGTTTCTCGTTCTTCGAACCCAATATCCTCATGGGCTGCGCAGAAGTCTGTCATTCAGCCCATATTTGGTTCTCACTGTCTGCAGGCAAGTCCGGTGATGCCCAGCCCCGACGAACCCACAATGTAAGCTCGACATAACAAACCCCTATCACTCGGGTCGTATTCGGAAGCGAACTACGCTTTAATTACTCTGACTAGAGTTGATACAGGTTAGCTTGGAGGCATGCGGAATCTTAGGACACCATACCTTACGAGAACGCTGACCATAAGAGATGTCAACGACGCGTTCACGGAGGTCAGCTGTCAGATAATACTATTTTGAGGTAAGATATCCATGACGATGCGGTTGACACAAACAAAATATGACGAAAGCATTAAGGGTGGACCAGTACACGTCAAAAGCGGTTCACGATAGCAAAGCAAATCCAACGCTCCTGTTACCATAGTCAAAGACCGAGTAAACGTTCTGCATGAAAACATCTCCGACAATCCAGAAGTCTGCCGGATCGGAGCATGAACATCACTTCAGTGAATGAAGACAGAAAGGGGCACACACCTTTCGTGACATCACTTGCCACGATCCCGCCTACGCATAGTGTATTGTTCGTTCCCGGGACATATCCCAGACTGAACGTCTCCGTTGACACATAGAATGGTCGGCCACCAAACGAGAGCGACATGACCGGGGTCTTGTCGCACTCCACTTGATAACGAAGCCACTTCAGCACGTGTTCGCACTAAATGTGTCTGGCTACTCACCTGTGTAAAGACCTTCTCCAAGCTGAGGCGACGCCGTTCCGTCTTCAATCTCATAGAACTTGGCCACGTCGTCGGTAGGCCCAACAATTACGGCAGACCCAGAGTCGATGATGGCGGAGATGTTGCCTGCCACGAATATCTGGCTCCCTCGAATGGCGTCAGAAGTAACCTCCCAGAACGACTACGGGTATAACACTTAGAGTGCAGCGTCAATATCAGTTCAACATGGAAACTCACGTCTCCCACGACCGGAACATAGGTGGCATCACCCGTGTAGATAGACGCGTTAACACCTCCCAAGCTCAACTGTGAACCGTCCTCAGCTAACTTCAGGGCGAAGACCGGCTTTGCGAGCTCGTTCTGAGAGACAAGGTCTCGAAGACGGAAGATCCGTTGTACGCGGAGATGGACTCGAAAGCGAAGCCAAGCAGCCCGTCTGCGGGGAAGTGACTGGAGTTGAATACGTTAGGGTAAGGCGAAGCAGCACCGAATGTCTGGTTCGCCGCCTAACGCCCCTCGTCAGTGCAATCGGTCATGGCAACGGAAGGAGACTCACGTAAAGGCCAACGAGGGTGACATCGTCGGAGTAGACTTCGCCGGAGAGGGGTGTTCCGTTCCCATATGTGAGATTAAAAGACGTGTTGAGCTCATGAGACGTTGAGCTCTTGGCGGGGTCGTATGCCTTATGACCCTCGCATCCGGTAGAGCACGACGAGCTTGGAACGATGAAGTCGCTAGTGCCAGTGTCGATATCCACTAGGAATCACACTCAGTGACCGGGTTAGGAGTAAAGAACGCGCATATACACACCAGTGAAGGTCTGAGGAGGGGTTCCAACCTGAATCGACCCATACCAGTGAGATTTATGGGCATGTTTGAGAGGCTCACTAGCGACTTGGCGTCGGGAGAGACTGGCCGGTGCCAAAGGATGTTGAAGACCGGTGTTCTTCTCGTATGCAGCAAAGTTGTTCAGATACTTCCTTCATTCTCCATTAGTAAGACGAGCCTCGCACATTAAAAGAGCTCGCGTACTCTTCCAAGTAGTTCAGATGGTCGTTGATTGCCTGTATGTCCGCAACACCATCTTGAGATAGTCCCGAGCGCTTGAAAAGGTCGACTCTTTGATGACTGGATGCGGCGACTACACTGAGAAGGAATGGAGAGGCGACAAGAGGGATGAGGGATAGCATGGAGGTAGACACAGAGAGAAGGGCGAATGAACTCCGAAACCCTGAAACCAAGGATCATGTACGCACATATGAGGAGCCGAGCCTGAGCTGATTCATATCGAAGGCTTCTTCATTACCCTTTTAATTTTGATGAGAAGGCGGGTGACTGTGGTATGGGCGTAGTTTGGAATGAGAACTTAATGCAGCCGTACAGCATCCAGCTGCATTACGGCTGGGGCATGGCAGTAAGAGCTAGGGAGGCACAAGGGAATCGTGAAACGCGTGAAGGAAGGAACGACGCGCAGGCGACGCGTTGAGCATTGGGCGTGGGAAGAGGGGCTTTACCCGACTAGTGCCGAAACTCGGCCGAGCTGAGCAAAGACGTTCGCCTTCAAGTTGGGCATTCTATCACTTCAGCGCTAAGTGGGGTTCACCCGCGCAGGACGACAGTTCGCGTAACCGGAACGGCTATTAGCATAGTTTTTTTGGCAATAATATGCAAGTATCCTATTTAACCTTTCGACCAAATGTTTTCTTATATATCTCAATAAAGACTAGAGTCTTTGAGCATACCTGCGACAGTTAGCTGTAACTCGCCAAATCCCGCTCTTCCAATGTCCCCGAGATCGACCACCTTCCTCAACTTCTTAACAGCGTCCGAAAGACGTATACTCCTTCCAGGTGGTGGACTCCTCAGCGGCATCTCCAACCTCAAGGTTTCGAGGCGCGCAAAAGCGGCAGCTAGGATGATAACTAGGTCTACTAGATATGCGTTGCCGGGTTTGGAGAAGATTACGAGGCGGAGACTGTTGAGTGCATGGTTCCGAGGAGATACCCGTAGCGCCTCAAAGCGATTTCGGCTGATGGAGCGGTCGTACAGATATGCCCGAAAGGGGGTGGCAAGATCGGATAGATTTGGGCAGAGGTCTGTAAGCCGCAAAACGTTACCGAGGCTTAACGAGAATCCTTCGTAGCCGGTAGAGATGGAACCGAAGAGAGAAAGGGAGGTGAGGTGGGGCAATGCCTTTGCCAGGTCCAGAACGTCCGCTTCGCTGAGTTCCATGCGACGGTGCCTCAGGGCTAAGCTCAATGATGTCAACTGGCTGAGACGCATGAGTGGGACGATTGTAGTAGCTGTTATAGGGGTGGGTTCTTCGCATATGCCATTTTCAATATCGTGGAGGTCGAGTTTTCGGATAAAGGGGAAGAAAGCAGACAGCGTCTGGGTGAGCCTGTCTGTGTCTGAAAGGAACGAGGTGGTGAGCTTCACAGACAAAACGTGAGACTGGGTTCTGAAGCTATCCGTAGCTGCCAGTTTCCTGTTGAATTCGGAAGGCCAGCTGTGGATGGGGACGTTGATGGTCGTCAGCTTTGGACATGCGTCAGATATACCGATCAAATCATCTGCCGTAATGGTGGAGTATGATAAAGTGCTGAATTCAAGGACCTCTAGCTTGGGGAAGCCATGAGCCAGTTCTTTGACATTCGCCTGAGAAAGCTCGATATCAAATGGAATCCACAGAGAGAGGCGACGTAGTTCACGATAGTGCGCCAGCTGTCGGAAGAGATCTATGTTCCAGAGCGTGTTCGGGTTGGTCGATTGTGGGGAGGGGTAGCACACGGGCCAGATAATCCGTCCGTGAAGACACAACTCCTCTAAGTCGTACTGTCGCCGCGTCATTTGCCCTAGCAAAGCGAACAGCTCCTTGACTAGAACGAGATCTTCGTAGGGGAGACTAGCCTCTTTTATCTCCAGAGTTCGCGGACGGGTATCCAGCCGACGTAAGAAAACCATGGCCGAATGTATGTCAAACGGATGTAGGCCTATCTCTTCGATCGCGTTGAACGTCAATCTTGTCGTTTCCGTTTCTCCTGTCGCACCCACGGGTGTTTGGTGCATATTTGTCAGCTGGAGTTCGCGTAGATCGTGGAGACGAGAGATGAAGAGAAGTGCTGTCGGTGTCAGATCGGGGCACCGCAAAGTCGTAAGGAACGGAAGCTGAACGACAGCGGCGGAGACCTCCTTGACCAAGGTTGATCCCCGCCTGTCTGGCCAGCCTACGTTAGACACGTCGAGGACCTGAAGTTGTGGGCACATGATTGGCAGGATCCGCGTAGGAATATGGCAGGACTGGGGCGTGCTAACCAGCATGAAATGGCGAAGATGGGCAGAAAGGAACCTGAGATATGTGCGAACGAGATCTGGGGCTTCCCCGTCGACATCGAGAATGCGAAGTCGTGGAAAAAGCCTCTCAAGACTTGATGGAGGGCTGATTAGCTTGTTGAGGGCCACATCGCTGACAGAGTACGAGCCTTCATAGAATGAGAGGCAACGGATCTTGTGCGTAAAGGCATGGAGCCGGTTCCAGTCTTGTGAAGAACGTATACTGACATCAACCTAGAGGGACAGCCAGTCAGATCATTCAAGGTGGTTTTGAAGGTTTGTGCTCACGATTTCTCCCGAGGCCTCGTCAGTCACAAAGAGATTTGGAAGGGCGCGCCAAAGTTCACCAAATGAGATACTGCTGACGCGTCCGGACCATAGCATCTCCAGAGACAGGTCTTTGAATGCGATACAGGTTCGGGCCAGGGCGGCTAGTGTAGGCTTTTCATCGACTTGGGAGCAGATGTACTGCCTGATTTCAGGTATACCGAGTGCATGTTCCATCTTGACCTACAGAATCAATGTCACAGTGGTCAAGCCGAGGTTATGAACGGTCCCACGATCTGAACGGTGGTTCAAACGGGCGAAAGGCAAAACTGCACCGACCAGCGATCCGCCTCCGATCTGCCTTCCGGAAATTGCCGGATCCGCTCAGCTGGCACCCTTTTGCTTATCCCTGAGCAATATCAGACTGAACGTCTATAGCTCCAAAGCACGACGCGCTCGCAACACCCAAGATACAAGAAAACCCATACTCTTACCCAAATATTCTCTGCTTCAAAGCTGCAACGATCGTCGCTTGATCAGTTGTGGTCAGACGAAATCGATATCATTATACCCAATACCTCTACTATACTATTCCGCACCCAGTGGTTTACGCTGAATGACCAATGCAGAGTTGTGAGTGGTAGCCAAATTTCACACCGACACGAGCGAGCAGTAAACAGGACGATATATTGCCATACATCGAGCTCGGCATCGTGATCGTGAACGAAGCAACTTTTGATATGGAGGCTTGAAGCTTAAGCACGACTCAACTCACTGTTCACACAGGATGGAAAACATAATATTTAAGCAGTATTTAGTAGTTAACCAAAGACGTACGAAGCCAGCACTGCATGTATCACGCGAGGCGAGCAAATCCGATGCGCGGTTCCAGATCCAAACTCTGAGGGTTTCCTGCATCGAACACGGTATAAACATTACGCAAGACCGTGTCACTGATTACCCAGGACGCTGGAAGGGACCGACATCGATCAGTCCAGGAAAACGATGAGGTAAAAGCATGCATACGTTGGTCCCCCATGGACTGGCCGATGATACCTCCGATGCAGACGTTAGGGCGGGAAAGCTTGGGATTTCCACGAAACACAAACGTCTCCGGCAAAATCTCGAACGTCTGACCGCCAAAAGATATGTTGATGCTGAGGGATTCTGCCTCCAAGTGCCATGTGACAGCGTGCCAACTGTTGCGTTCACCTTTATTAAAGTTTATTAAAAGCCTTTATGACCAATATGATCACACACCGCTGTACGCTCCATACTGCTCAGAGTAACGAGTCCCGCCGACAGCCCTGTAGAACGCGTCTACTTGACCGGTGGTTCGAAGATGGCGGATGCTCCATTGGCGACGACAGCAGTAAAATACGAAGCATAGCTCTCGTCATTTGCGGTCAAATTCTCCACGCGAACTTGCCAGGAGCCCTGCCATGATGTCAAATACAATGATCGGGCTGAATGCGAGTACGATCACTAACGAAGAGTGTTGTCACGGGCACGTATACAATGTCCCCGGTGTACGTGCTCGAGTCAATCCCGCCAACGTCAAGCTTCGCTCCACTAGCCAAGAGCTTGAAAGCAAAGACCGGACTTCCAAGCTGGCCTTGCTGCATTGTCTGGATCACAGGAGACTGCGTATATTCTGCAGACTCTGAAAACCCGAGACCAAGAATGCCATCCGTAATGAAATTTGCTTTCCTGAGTCTGCGGGGATACGTCTTAGCGACGCCGATTTCCTGGTGCGAGATCTACAGCCAGGAACGCGTTAGCCGCGAAGATGAGTGTTGAGGACGTGATGCCACACCTTCACTCCGCCCAAGGTAACCGTATCTCGGTAGACGTCGCGTTTGACATCGGCACCCACACCGCTGTCCAGCTGGAATGTTCCGGATTCGTAGCTTGCGGTAGAGCTCTTGTTCGGGTTGTACAGTGCATGACCTTTGCAGTTGCCAGACTTGCATCTCGAGCCAGGCAGCCAAAAGTCGCCAGAGCCGGTGTCGAATATAACTACCGGGTATGGTGTAAGCTTTGCGTTTGTTGAGAGCTGGACGAGCGTACGGGCCACTGAACGTCTGCGGTGGAGTGCCGACAGAAATTTCTCCGTACCACGAGAAATTCTGGTTGTTCTTCAGAGGAACAGCCCCTGAGGCGCGCCGGCCGCGGTCAGATCCCACGAGAGGATGCTTCGTGCCGGTGTTCTGGTCGTAGTTCCCAAGCGCGTGCGCGTACTTGCTATGCATGCATGTCAGTGTCCATTGCTTCCAGTGCGAGAGTATGATAACTGACCTGCTCAAGTAGTCGATATGCTCCTCCAGGGCACGGATATCCGTGAATCCGTCTGTGTCAGAGGGTTTGGAAAGAGCGATCTTGGCTGGCGTAGGTTGCTGAGTTGGCTGAGCACCAGTGCTAGCGAAGGTGGGTGTCAGAGCGAGAAGGAGTGCGGCACTCAGACGCATGGTGATGAAAGAGCGAGCAAGGAGAGAGTTAGGCAAGCTGACTGGCCGTCCTTCCAATGTCGCGGTTTTTTTATACATGACAGAGTGGCTGAGCCGCAAGTGCTCTCCACTTGCTCGCGCCTTGCTCGGTTCAGTACTACTGAGCACATTATGCAAGGTTCTTGTTGGATGGCGGTGGGAACTCGCGAACCGAATATCTGTCAATGGCACGTAAAGTTGTGTCCGACTAGGTTCGAATGTATTTGACCCCACGCGCACCGTCAGCAAAGGCTTGCCTCTGCGATTCTCCGTTTCAAATTTGTACAGCAATCCAGAAACCGATTCTTCTGGTGTTGATGTTGGCTAGTAGGAATGTCAGTACTGTGCAAGGCATAGGTGGAAACCTGAGCTAACAGCGCACCGGTGTTTTGTTCATTTACCGCGACGCATAGACGCTAATTTGGTGCTTGGGGGTAGTAACCAGCCACCCAGTAGAAGGAGAGCCAACAACACCAGACAATACGACCGAGTGAAACGTCGGTAAGGGTGAAACGCGAGTAAGGATGGCTTACAGAAGTTGGTGGTCGAAGAAGAGGCCGTGTGAGGGCGCTGAGTTCCTTTGCTAGCGATGCATCTCTCCTAGTGAGCGGCCACGTAAGAGCTCACAATAAGCCATGACTACTCAAAGGTCTCTACCACCATCCATGTTGTTAATTCTGAGATCAACGTTGAATGATGGCGACGAGATATACGGCCCGAGGATAGGCCACCAAAGAGAGAGGCAGTGAAGAAAAAGATGATAGTAGGCGGTGCCGTGGAGTGACACAAGGTTGTTTGAGTCCGTAGCGCCAGCTGTAGACTCTGATGCCAACAACCAACGGTGCAGGTCGCCATGACTCATGAATAGGTTACTTGTTGACACTCCGCTACCGCGAGTCCCAAGCCTATGAAGCGGAATGGAGTGAACGCAGCGCAGAACACCGGGGCGCGTTCATCGGCATCGAAAACCTGATGTGGTTGTTCCGCAAAGTTTTGCCAAGAGTTCGGGGAGTATATGCCGCCGGAGTTTCTGCACCCGGAAGAAGCCGTTCGGCGCTCGTATGTAACGTCGGTGCCGCCGCCGCCGCCTCCAAGTAGGTCAACGATATCAGTCTTTATCTTGGTGATAACCGTTGTTCATTCTTCGTCATCTTTACTTTTCGCTCTGTATCCGCGTTCCATGCTACACGCAAACTCCAGAGGTTTCTTGACACACTATTCGAAGCGACTTGATTGACCAACTGGTTCTCGTAGGGACAGACAAGCGTCACCACTGTAGGTTGCAACCAGCGCGCGTAGAGGTTCTGAAATCTGATCAGAACAACTGCATCCCCTCCCTCGCACTTTATAGGTCTGGACCTGTGACCCTGTCGGCCCATTGGGTATCAGGGTGTGGGTCTTCTTCCGCTTGGCGTAGCGACTGAATGACATATCACCGAGTGCTGCGGATGGTTCCGTTGTCGGCCAGCGAAAGTGAGAGTATGTATGTAAAAAAGCTGAAGCGGCCGTCTCTTTCACTCACATCCACTTTCTCCACCTCCCTTGCCCCTTCTCGTTCGCTACCTTCACCTCCACTCTTTTTCAACTCACGCTCTCTTCATCATGCGCTTGTCCCTTGCAACTTGCATCGCCCTTCTTCCCTTCCTGGTCGCCGCCGCACCTCAACCTATCTCTCGCTCTAACGGCGTCAAGCTTCCGCTCAAGAAGAACGCCAAGAATGCTACTGCGAGTGACATGCAAAACCAGATCCAAGCTGTGTCAAGGTACGTTTCATCCGCGCTGCATCCATCCCTGCACACACCTGACCTGCGGTCAACTGTGATTAGCAAACACGCGATGGGTTACTCCAACTTTGCTGTCAACACTGGCGCAGCTCATGCTCTCGCCGCAAATGCGTCGGGTGTGACCCGGGGTCTGACGAACGTGCACAATGCGATTTGGTATGCCACCGTCAACGTTGGATCACCTTCGCAATCCTACGCTCGTATGTTTTTCTATCCAGTCTGCCTGCATACACGTTCTTAGCCGGGTACAGTCACGATCGACACTGGTAGCGCCGACGTCCTGCTTCCTGGTTCCAACTGCTCGAGCTGCCAAGGCCACGTTCCCTATGATCCCACCATGAGCACCACCTCAAAGGACACGAACAAGACGTTCACGATCCAAGACGCTGCCTCTGGCGAGCTCTACACCGAAACCCTGGCGCTCATGGGTCTGACGGTGCGTCTTTCTTTTTCTCCTCTCCTCCTATCGCCAACAACCGTCTCCTGAGCAGGCAACCAACCAAACCATTGCCGTTGCATCCAACTACTCCTCCGCCTATGACGTCGACAACTTCCCCGCCGACGGCGTCCTCGGTCTCGCCTTCGACTCCATCTCGTCCGTGCCCGGCACCTCCTCCGTGTTCACTACCCTCGCAGCGCAGGGTCAGGTCGTGCAAAAGCAGTTTGGCGTGCGCCTCGCGGACCCCGCCGAGCTCACCGTCGGCGGCGCGGACGCGGACGCGTACTCGGGCGACGTCACCTATGTGCCCGTCACGCAGAAGGGGTTCTGGCAGATCAAGGCAGACAGCCTGAGCGTCAGCTCGAGTTCGGGCAACGCGTCGCAGTCTGTCGCGCCGGCCTTCACGGCTGTCGTGGATTCTGGCACAGAGCTCATTCTGGGTCCGGCTGATGCTGTCGACACGTTCTACAAGGCCGTTGATGGCGCGAAGGACAACGGCGACGGCACCTACGCTGTCCCGTGCCAGGCGTCGTTCAATGCTACGATTACTCTCGGCGGAACCGCCTTCCCTCTCGCTGCTGGTACCCTCGTTCTCAAGCAGGACGACGGTACCTGTGTCGGTGCAGTGTCGTCTGGCGGCGCTGCTACAAGCTGTGAGATATCTCTCCGTTCTGTCTCGTGCGATATCAGAGTGCTAACATTGCGCTTCTTATACAGCCCACTGGGTTCTCGGCGAAGCGTTCCTGCGCAACGTCTACTCGATCTTCGACTTCAGCAAGGCACAGATCGGCTTCGCCAAGCTGGCGTAAAGCGACGCATGGTCGGGCATACACCCCCGCCTTACGATACTTATCTCTACCATCTGGATTGCGGTTATACGGACTCTCGCTCGTCTCGGACTATACAAATCCCTGCGGACATTTGTTACACACGATAGTGTTGGCCTACATACATCGACTTAATGCTGATGTCAGATACACGCGCTCTGGTCTGCCTGGTCTTTAAGTAAGGTTTTGTTCTTTGCCGTCAACGAAACCGGTGGGCTGCAATTGGCAACTTGGATTTTAACGGGGAGCTCGCGGATCACCCGAGGGCAAGCCATCGCAGCTCGCCAGCCGACATCTTCGCCACGTCCCGACTCTTCCTCTTCGCCCGATCGATTGACATGGGTATACTATCTACCGTCGGCCATCCAACACTCTGCACGTCATTTTGGTCCCGCAGACTGAGCTCGAATAGACAGACAGACATGAACTGCCGTACTGCTGGCTTGTACATATACAACGTCTATGACCTAGTATAGAAGGGGGATACGCAAGGATTATGCTCACGTTGGTCTTGCACGCATCGGTGTGGGAGGCAAAGAAGAATACATTGCACGAATACCGATGTCTGCATGGCGCCACAAGTTCTCGACCAAACTCTTCTTTCCATCGGCATACCCTCTGCTTCAACCTTGAATATTTGAATGTCAGACAGCTGGGGTTTCTTGACCTAAGACTCACCTCGAATTGAGATCGCCGTCTCCTTCAAGGCTTCATATCCCAAGAGGATTAACAAGCCGTCGTAGCTCGTCAGCTGACATCCCAGTCACATCCACCCCCTGCTCTCTGCCGAACGAACAACTCGCAGTGCCCTCTTCATCTTCTGCTCTTCATCGTGGCTTACAGTATGCTCATCACGGTCAGCGGATCTGCGAAACCCATCCAGACGCGCAAATTCGATGGCCAACAGAATCGCAAGATCCGTCGCCCAATCGTGATTTGGATCACCGTGACCGTGCCGGGCAGAGTCGTGCAGGTTGAACCGTACCAAACTTGGGTGGCGCGGACGCTTCCGTCACCTTTCGATATCTTTCTCGAGATCTAGGCCGCTGGCGCTAATACGCAGCTTGAGGAGCAGTAAACTGGGACAGAGGTCTGACAGCGCCCAAATGCTTGCGATGGTGAGCCGGATGAGTGCGCGTACGTATTCGGGATCCTGGGAAGGATCGTCGTCATTGTCCGGCCCCGAGAGATTCAAGCTTTTCGGGGACCCTTGAAGGTTGCTAAACAACGGTAAGGTAAAGCTGAGACATGAGGAACTAAGCCCGATGGATTCGATCGAATAGCCATTTGAGGGAACACCAGAATTAGGACCTTGGATGGCTCGTGGTCGCGGTTCACCCATATTTTCTATGGTGAGTCGCTGAAAGCGGATATGGGGAAGAATGGTATGCAATTCATCCAGATCGAGGTCGGGGCACTTGAGAACGGTGATTGAGGGTAGTTGGGCAACAGCGGTGGTCACCGCCTGAACGAGTGGCGGATCTGTGGAGGAGTATAGGGAGAGGAATTCCAGCGATAGAATGAGACTGTGCAGACGGGGGCATCTCTTGGGAATCGCATCCAAAGCAACGGGTAGAAGATCTGGGTGGCATGATACCGTCAAGGAAAGGAGGTGGGGGTGGATGAACTCCATGCATGCATTGATAAATTCTACTTCTGTGCCACAGATTTTGAGGCTTCGGAGCTTTGGGAAGATCTTCTCAACGCTTGATGGATGGCGCACGAAGGTTACCAGCGCGGAAGGATCGATGTAGGCAGGTCGCAGTGAGAAGCCACATATACGACTGGTAAATCTGAAGATACGGTCCCAGTCCTCCGAGTCTTGCTCAGGAACCTCGACGTCAACCTTGGCGCCAGCCTGTTATCAGTACAAGATCGCGCAATACAGTGGTGCAGGGCCATTCTTACGATATTTCCCTTTTCGTCTTTGACCAGAAACTGGGAGAGGACACAGAGGAGAGCATCCGTTCCTATAGGCCATGGGTCACCCGACCAGAGCCGATCTAAAGCGGAGCGTTCGAATGCCTTACATGTTCGGGCAAGGACGCCCAGTGTGTCTCTTGACACGACGTGCATGAAAATCTGATCTAAAATCTCGAGCAGCGCGAGTGCGTTGTGCATGGCAGTTGTTAGATGAACAAGGCCCGCGAGTAACGAACTCTTGAAGAAGGGAGGAGGGAATGTAGCCGTATGCAATCCATAGCTTAGACAAGCGCCCAAGCTCGTCTTATCGATATATCAGCCGCCGGATCGCACGGCGCAGCCAACGCCTCCCCATTTGGATGCGAACTTGCTCATTGTGCACATTGCAGAGTGCCGTGCGCCCAATAGATATAACGCGAGTAACATACACGCTGTCAGATGAGAACACGCAACAGCTACGACGAGCGAGTCGTCAACTGCTCCCAGCGCTCCCTCGAATCCACTGCGTTCTCCGTCAACTCAAGCTTCCGAAAGCACTCAGACTTCGAAAGAAACTCCAAAGCAGAAACCTCAAGATCCGGACACCGCAGAGTCTGGAGCGCCGGAAGCCGCACCACAGCAGCAGACACCGCCTGGACCATGCGCGGCTCCGCGACTTCGTCGTACATCATGTCCACGTCCAAGCTCTGCAGCTGCCCGCACCTCTTCGCGACCGCGTCCATCATGATGTGCGGACCCGATCTGAGACACTGTATCTTCAGCGACAAGAGCCGCGGAGAGATGAACCGGATGTAGATTGACAAGATCTCTGGCTCGAGCGCGCTAATGGTGAGGTGCCGCAGTTTCGGAAAGGTTCTCTCAATGCCAAGCGGAGGCCGCACAAGCTTGACAAAGGCAGCCTCGTGCGACCAGTTGTAGTAGTATATTGAATTTTCCAGGCGGAAATGGCATATTCGAGAGGTGAAACTGAGGAAATGATCCCGGTCTTGCTGGGTAAGTTGTAGATCGGTCTTGTATTATACATTTCTCAGTCAAAAAGAAGTTAACATCCTAATGAAGTCAAACCACTCACGATCGCGCCTCTGGAGTTTAATACCTCAGAGGCACTAGGAAGAACTTTTCGAAGGTCCTCCAACGTGATAGGACCGAGATCGCCTGACCAAAGTCGGCCGAGAGAGGGATGGTGGAAAATCGTGCATGTCGCCGCGAGAGCTGCTAGAGTAGCTTTTGTGTCGATGTGAGCGCAGATACAGGCCACAAGTTCCGGTAACATAATAGCTTTATGCATGATGAAGCTTCGCAGACAGAATCGGGAGTTTGAAGGAGATGGCGCCGTTGGCGAAGGTTCGAAGGAGCAGGGCAGACGCCGGAATGCGGAGGTTTATTTCTGGAAACTTCCGTTGATGACAAATTGGAGGACGGTGATTGGATGGAGCCACATGAGCCGGTAAATCCGGGAGGCTGTGTCCGGTCATATCGGGCGCGCGCGATCGCGTCCTTCGCTCCCACCCATCCAAGGTATAGACAACAACACTCACAGCGGCATATACGTCGACAAAAACAATCACATTTCACCGAGGGATAGTAACCTATAGCCAGAGGTATGTGGGCCAACTATCTACGTAGCTAGCAGCTCGGCACTCCAAGTCGAGGCGAGACAGGATACGAGAAAAGACGAGAAGAAAAACTGCGAGAAAAGGAGGCGAGAATATGCGAGTGATACACGATAGGTGGAGAAATGAAGAGGCAAGACAAGAGAAGGATGCGAGTGTGTGCAAGCAGATGCGGCAGAGCAGAGGGGAAAAGATAAGACGAAAGAAATAGGAGCAGCAGAGGCTGCCCGACTAGAGCGTCCCGGCGCTGTATGCAGTAGGGTAGGTACATGCCTCGCGAAGAGCCAAAGCAGAGCGTCGCAAAAGTTCGTGTCTAGATATAGGCTTATGGAGGACGTTCGTATGGCGAGGCACCATGACCTAGACGAAAGATGTATGCAGACCAAACCAATAGGGGGTTCGAGATAAGGTATGAGCGGTCGGTGAGGAAGCGAGGCGTTGAAGCAACGATAGCGACGAAGGATATGGACAGCTAGCAAGAAAAGGCAACACTACTCAGAGTCAGCCAGGAAACCAGTCTCAAAGAAGCAAACCGTACTCACCGGACAGCCAAATGTACAACGACTTCAGATAACCTCCTTGACAGGAACAGGACTCGGCGTTCTAAAGCTCCTCACATATTCAAACTGCGGGCCCGTCTCAGGGCTCTGCGGATAGCGCTTGCACTTCTCGACATACCGCCACTCGTTAGCAATCCGCGCGAGCGCCTCCTCCCCATTTCTTGCCTCGCCGCACTCGACGAGCCAGCACCCAACGACGGTGCCCGTGCGCCCGATACCGCCTCGACAGTGCACAGCGCATATCCGGCCCTGCTCGCCCTCCACCCTGAGGAGATGCATGATCTGCTTCATGAGGTCCGCGCTGCATGGCAGACTCCTGTCCCTAATCGGGAAGCGGTGGTATGCGAGCGCGCCCGGGTCGAGGCCCAGCGCGCGGGCGCGGGGACCGAGGTGGGGGAGGTAGGGCGCGAGCTCGCCCGACTCGGTGAGATCGACGAAGGTGGTGACGCCGGCTCTGAGCAGGGCGTCGAGCTTTGCGAATTGATAGCGGGGAGGGGGGTGGGGCGACCAGGGGTACTCGCATGCAACGAGGAGGGGCGTGGCCCAGTATGAGTTGGGAATGGGCCGTGCGCGCGTGCCGGCGCAGGCGGGTGCCCAAGCGCAGGAGGCGGGTTTGGATGGGGTGAGCATGTGAGGTGGGAACGGGCTGGATGGGCGGAAGGGATCCTCGGGAGATGTTGGGCTGGGTGAGAAGCTGACTGGACGTGAAGAGGACGCGATGGATTGCTGAGCGCGATTGACCTGAACCACGGGAGGACGAGACAAGGATGGGCGCGTGGGGACGGGCATGGCGAGCGTCATGGTGGAGTGCTTTTGTTTCGGGTTGGGCGGGATATGTGTTAGGCTAGGAGAGAGTTAGACGACTCACGGCGCGGTTTAGACGTCTGTGAGCTCAGTTAGGGGCAAGATTGGACAAGCAGAAGAATATCTGTTTGACCTCTCGTGCTTTGCAGAGGTGAGGATGCGTTGAGCAAAGAGCGTCGTTGGGGCAAAAACGCGCGGTTATAACCCAGGCGTACGCCAAGATCGGATCGGGCTGTACCTAGAACCCCACGATGTGGTCGTGCGTACCGGCACAGCCACCGAAAACACTGTCTTCTTCAGCCCCGACATGTCCCGCTTTCCTTGTTCCTGTCCCTCGCTATTTCTTGTACAACGTCCTTCTGCGATACAATCGTATCCAAACTTGTCTTCCGATATCCTCCTACGCATACATCCTTGAGGATACCTCAGCCCCTTGGCATCTCGAATGCTCTCGATTGCAACCCCAAAGTTCCAAAGATAACCGGGGTGTCCTGCGCGGTGATCGCGCCGAGATCCGTCACGCCATACGGGTGCGGTCGCCACGGGGCGATACATCTTTTTTATCTTGGCCCTCCACCCATTCAGCCACTCGAAACCTCGAGCACTTCAGCAAAACTCACCAAACCCCAACCCTGCTCCTACCGATTGAGCACCGAGGCCTCGAGGCCCCCTTCGAAGCTCGCTCGTGTGCGCCTCCATTCGCCCAGCGGTCCATCGAGCTGCACAGAACGTGCATTTGCCTCCGTCTCATGACCCTTGCCCTGCGCACGAGGCTCTGGCAATGAATGCTGGTTCTGACAGACTCTGACTCGGAGGGTTCGACACATTGACACGTTGACAGCCCGGAAATTCCAGACGCACGAGCGACAAGATGAAACAGGCTAATCCGTCTTCTTTGGCTCTCTTAGGCTGACCGACTAATGGTTCGCGGCAGTTCGTGGCCCGCCAAGGCTGGCTTCACACCTCGGCTACTCAGGTATACGCCGGATCTCCTCCGCCCTGTGTCTCATTTCTCGAGGACTAGCTACGTGTTAGGCATGCGAAGGAAGGCTATGCCATCGTGTTCCTCCCGCGCTCCTTTCTTCTGCTTTTTTTGTGTCTTGCTCCGCCTCAGTTTCACGCGCCACGACCCTATTCTTACTGTTTACTGCGTTCACGCCCTGCGGAGATTAATCGCTCCGAGGACAGTATCAACTGATGCGGTTCCATTCCGAAGGTACTGTGCCATACCTTGTGCCATACACGAGGCAAACGCGTCGAAGCCACATCCTTTCCCGTCACGTCGCGTTTATATCACCTCCGTTTCCCAGTTCAGCTGCCGTAGCGCTATGAAGGGGCCGTGCAAGCCTAACTTTGTACGCCAGCGCAGCTAGTTCTTTGTTCACTTCCGGATCCAGAGCGCATTGCTTGAATGGGGGAGATAATCACGGGTGATATCGAACAAGGGAGGGCGCTGTCGAAGCCTGGATGTCTGTGATTGTGGACCTTTCAAAGTGAAGCAGGTGACCCTTCCTCGAAGTCGAAGTATTGGCATAGGGGTGAGAGGAGCTTATAAGATCAGACCACACAACTCCACTGTCCTACAGTCGAGCCAAGAATGTGAGATGCTTGCGATTGTCACCCTGGCAGCATTGTGCCGATAACCCCATGTAATCATGCGAATGCAGATGATGGAGAATACGAATGTGAGTCTGCTTTCATTTCAATGATCCTAGTTTTCTCAATTGAGTTTTCTAAGCGCAGAATCAGAGCTAAGATGAGGGTTGAATCAGATAGGGGCTTATCTGGATCGGGACTGTAAGCGCGTGTCAAACGCGCGGCGAAGGCCACGAGTCTCGCCATCCTGGCTCGGACCTATACGACATTCAGAGAGGCTTCGGCACCGTTTGACACCACCGTTTCAACAAAGGTACATGGAGATACACAGAGATACACCTTCTCGTAACCGTATTCCTCCGGCTTTCCCTGTCCTTGAAACTGAAGTTCTGAAGGCGTCAATTTTGGGTTTGACAGGCTTTGCGTCGACACGCTGACAGCCCGGGAATTACGGACGCACGAACGGTGATATCTCGAAGAACTACACATGTACCTTAGAGGGACATGCACCATAGAGGGACATTCTGCCTTACCTGCTTCGGCTTTTCGGCGCCTACTCTCTCCCATGGCTACTGAAGGGGATGCTGGATTTCTTCGATTGCATTAAAGTCGTTTGGGGATAATATCGGGTGTACTGAGGAAAAACATGTCAGAAATATGCTCTGACATAAACCCACCCAATCGCATCGAAATTCTACCGTCTTCTCTGCCACATCTGATAGAGTTTTAGGGAAACATCCGGAATTGACCGCCCCGATATTCCGTGCTGTGTCTGCGATGATTCCACAAAATGGAGCGGTACTAGGTTTGCCCCTTACAGTTTCTTTTCCTTTCATCAGATACTCGCTCAGAAACCAAAGCCCATTACCCAGCGCTCAGCACCTTGTATGTCGAGTGAGTCTTTACGTGGGAAGATGGGAGACACGAAGCCTGAGGGCTCGTGCACCGATGGTAGACAGGGGCTTATCCAGATCAGGACACGAACTGAATAATCATCGGCATGGGCCCGACTCGGAAGCGGATGTGTGGGCTTGAACGACAACGTCCAGTGCGTACTTCCCCGGTCGTGCTTCCTCAACGTGTACGGGTTTATGAGCGCGATGACATCCACCGGACAGATGCATCCCGCTCTCGAGTTGCCAGAAATAAGACAGAAGATATGCGACCAGGTCGACTCCCTGGGCACTCTCGCGGCCCTGGCTCGGACCTGCGCGGCTTTCAAAGAACCTTCGGCCGACATAATTTGGTCCGGCATCATTCAACCAGTGCAACTGAAAGATATCATGAGCGCCATGTCGGATGCGGTTGCAAAGGATGGCAGGGGCAACATTGTATGGGATGCCGTCTGTCCTTCTTATTTTACCGTTACTGATGATTATGTCCCTCATTTCCAGGCTGATCTGATTTTGGCAACAGATCAGGACTGGGATCGTCTCTTGGCCTTTACGAGACGCGTCCGCTCTCTTTCACTAAACAATCCTGGTGACAGGCGGACACAAGGCTTCGTCAAGCCACTGCAGAAACTCCTGTCCCCACCATCTAGCCTCGCTCGGGCGTTTCCCAAGCTTCAGCACCTGTATCTGAGAGCCAGTATGATAGATCCCCGTTTTTTGTCAGCTTACACGGACTTCATACACCCCGATCTTCGTGGGTTCAGCTTAGACCTCCACATACACCCTGACAATGCTGCGCGGGTCTTGCAGTGTGTCTCGGAGCGTTGCCCCAGGTTGGAGACTCTAGAAGCGACAGGGAAGCCACCGCAGGACTCTTCGATGAACAGACGCACTATCATCGACGCCGTATCCCGGGCGGCGGAAAGCTTACCCATGCTGAGGACGCTCCGATGCCCCGATCTGACCTGCTCAGCTCTAGCCAACACACAGCTATCGTCTTCACTCCATGAGTTGGTTCTTACGCGGACGGCATTTTTGGAGCATGAAGAGGATTTCGATCAAGGGCTTCCCGATGATATATTGAATAACGTCAAACATCTCGAACTCTGCCCCCGAGAAACGCTTGACGCCATCACACTTCTCTACGCGATTTCGTCCTCTCTGCGAGTACTCAAGCTCATACCCGGATGCAAGTTTCCTCTTTCCCATATCGTCGCCATAGCCCTGCTGTTATCTCGTCCACATCAACATTCCTCAGCGCTCGAGGAGCTGGTGCTCGATGGACACGCTGTGATGCAACATACCACGATGAACGAGGATCTCCTGCGAGAAAGATTCGCGAAGACCTATGGCCTCCTACCTTCCCATCCCATCACGTCCATTATGGACTTCCTCCGCCCACTGACCCACCACCGAGGCCTGCGGAAATTACTTCTTAATATCCGGTATCCCATCTCTATCACAGCTGAGGACGTCCGGGAGCTTGCTATAGCATGGCCAAACCTCGAAGACCTCGAGATCTCCGGACACGAGTTTGTCGCCGAACCCTCGACGCAATTGACCATTGACTCCCTCCTTCTCTTCGCTCGCGCGTGCCCGAGGCTAAAGCGTATCGTCCTGCCTGTAGATGTCTCTGCTTCCCCTAGCTCAACATCCCCAAACCCAGTATCAGCTAGCGTCAGGGCGGTTCAGCTGTCGGTATACAACATATACGACGCCAGCGACTGCATCCGCTCGTTGGCGGACGCATTTCCTGGCCTCGAGGCGTTGCACATCTCACCGGTTAACATGGGCGGCGCTTCCGATGTCAGCAGCTACCAGCAGACGGCACCTGTCACTCTCGCTGCACTGAAGCCCGTGCTTCAACTCGCCCGACTTCAAAGCCTATCGCTGGAAGTTCCAATGCCGTTTAAGCTCACGGACGATGACGTCAAAACGTTGGCCAAAGCGTTACCTGGGCTTACCCATCTCAAGCTACACGGATTGCGATACGATCTCGACTCCGAGACAGAGGCCACTCACAACTCGCTGTTTGCTTTCGCCGACATCTGCCCGCTGCTGTCCCATCTTACTCTCCGAGTCAACGCCTCGCAACTCCTCCAGTCTGACGTCGAGCGCCTGCTCTTCGCTGACGACTCACCACGCAGTCAGAGACAGTCGGCGCTGAAGACGCTCGATTTGGTGGACTCCGTATTGCCGAAGGACGTAAAAGGGATCACCGCCATGCTGGGATTTGCTTTCGAGGGGCTGAAAGACATCAAGACAATACCTGCGAAGGAGGGGTGGCTGATGACCCAGCTCCTGTCGCAGATGCGTAACACGGGGTTTGACGTTGTAATGGGTCGTAAAGGCGAAATGGGAGTGGAAGGTGGACCTACGCGACATTAGGAACCTGTTCCACGGGAAGTAAGGGAACAAGACGAGATTGATCCAAGGTATCAAGGCCTTTGCTAGCTACCACCGCATAATTTAATAATGTTGAACTCGAAGACGAGAACAGTTTCAATACCGCACTGTATTTATAGGTGTAATTCAGCACAAATCAATATTTTATGGAAGACAGATCGTCATGGAACCGGGATTTAGGCCTCCGGTTTTGTCGCTCAGCGCTCAGTAAGCGCTCAGTACCAGTGCTTAGGCCTAGGTTCAAACGTTCATACCGAGTAAGTATTCAGAACAAATTCGGGAACCTTACGGATCTTCACGCACCATCCGATGTTGCCGACATGATCGCGAGAATCGCAAACCTACCGCCTCTCAGAGCGTACTTATGCAGATGCACTCGCATCCCGACTTCAAGTTGTAAGATCCAAAACATCGATTAGCATTCGCATTTGTTCGACTACGAACAACCCCAAAACTGAAGAGAAAAACTGCCAAAGCCCAACGAGGTAATGTACACGAAGAAGAACAACGGACCAACTTGACCCTCGGACACCCGACATGGTCCGGACACTAATAAATACCCAACGAAAACATGAGAAAGCAACGAGTGTACGCAGAGAGGATAGCAAGTAAATGGGGCGGCGGGTTCACACTGTCGCCACAACGAGACGGAACAGCGGAACCGTGGCAGTGAGCGAGAGCGAAGGAGATGACGCTGATTAAGCCAGCGTGGCGAAGCCAACCTGCGGCTTTTCAAAGTCGAACACAGAGTAGACGTTGCGCAAAAACGCGTCGCCGAGGACCCAGTAGTCTGCAAAAGTTCCTGAATGAGCATCGCTAGATTCAAAATTGAACAGCTGCACAACGCAACACTCACCGTGCGCAGCATTCTGGTTCGCAGCCACCGCACCGACGCACGTGCCGCTCTCGTCGCTCTCGAGGACGAGCGTGTCCGCCGCGAGCGCGAAGCTGGTGCCGCCGAGCGTGATGCTGCCGCTGAGGGCCGCGTCGCACGCGACAGTATATGTGCCGTCGCCGTTGTCGGTCGCGCCGCTCACGCCAGAGTAGAACGCGGAGACGGCGTCGGCGGGGCCGAGGATGAAGGAGGCGCTCGAATCGACAATGGCGTCGAAGGACGAGGCCACGGGCTTCGAGGACGAGGAGGAAGTGAGGGAATCGACGGATATTTGCCAGAAGCCCTGTATGCACACGAAATGCACTCGTTAGCGCCTTGTAAGACTTTGTCGTAACAATTCAATGCACCTGCTTCATCACGGGGACGTAAGTCACCTCGCCCGTATACGCGGTGGCATCAATTCCACCGACGGTGAGCTCGGCTGGGTCCGAGAGACGGAGACCAAATTGCTTCGACGCGATCTGGCCCTCCGTGACGAGCGTTTGGAAGGGCGAGGACGAGTTGAACGACGAGATGGAGCCGAACGCGAGGCCCAAGATACCGTCCGCGGGGAAATTGTCGACGTGGTAAGGGGTGTGGTACGCCTCGGCGACGCCGATGGTCTGACCGTTTGCCTGCGGAACACCGTCAGCTAACTTCAAAAGAACAGCCTAATATGGAACACACCTTTAACCCGAGAATTGACAAATCATCCGTGTACAAAGACCCCGCTGCAACGTCGGGAATGCTGAACCCGTGGTCCTTGCTCTTCGACGTGGAGCTGTACGTAGGGTCGTATGTGACGTGGCCGTCGCAAGTCGTGCACTCGGAGCCGGGAAGGACGAGGTCGGCGCTCGCGGTGTCGACAGAGACGGCGTAGTACTGCGCGGGTGTGCCGACGGCGACGGTGGCGTACCAGATCGAGTTGTGCACACTCTGCAGGGCACCGGTGGCCATGGTCGGGGCCGGGGCGGTAGCGAGGGTGTGCGAGGGGTCCTTCGCGGCGAGCGCGTGGACAGAGCCAGTGTTGGCGGCAAAGTTGGTGAACCCGAGGGCGTTTTTGCTATTGAAGAATATTTGGATAAGAAACAATTAGCTCGAAGGTGGGGGAAACGACACACGTACTTCATGACAAACGTGATCTCGTCTTTGAGCGTGTCAAGGCTCATAGACACGACGGACTTCTTAAGCGGGAGCTTCACGCCCGCAGCGGACCTGGGCGTCGGCGCAGCGGCGACAAAGAAGGGAAGGATAGCAGCGATAGTGGCCAGCGAGAGACGCATGATGATTCAAAGAGAGCGAGTGAGCTGGAAAACGAATGTGGTCGCAAAGAGCGGAAGGTGCTGGCTGGCACACAGAGAGACGGTGGTGGGGAAGACGAAAAAGCGAGCAAGAGGTGGTTGAACTTTGCTATTGAGCTGAGCTCGTTTTAAGAGGGAGGAGGCCAGACCGATCGAGTGCCTGGACTCGAGGTCTTTCTGATTGGACCTGAAAGCGTGAAGACCGCTGACTGCACCACTTGAATACCGTCGCGACGCGGGATAATCGTTCCCGAGAGGTCTCTATGCATAAAGGCCGTGCTCATCTTGAGTCATGACGAGAAACCATAGCTGGGGAGGTACAACTGGAAGGACTACATCAGACGGTGTCGTGGTCCGGGGAAACAGCGAGCTCTCGAGCGCCCGACGTTCATAACGTTGTTAAGCGATGCAGCCCTATGAAAAATGACTCTAGACTGACTCTTTGATACTCATTCGTACCCTTTTTCCAATGAGTGACAATATTCAAATTTCCTTTAAATTAAGTCAAACGAGTACAAAGAGCAGCAATGATATTTCGAATCGAAACCGTAGCGACAAAATGGTAGTGAATAGTCACCTATTTACACTCTTTGACGGTCGTTCCCGCCCATTGCCAAAGAGTACGAACGAGAGCCAACGAGAGCGAATGAGCAATGAAAGCAAAACCGCAGAACCCGAAAACTAGCCGAAACGAAAGAGTACGAAAGGGCGGCAATCGAAAGCAAAGCGAGTGAATGAGTGAGACGAAAGTCGAATGAAGCAGCGTCGAATGGAAAGGGATGAGATCACGTCGTGTTGCGCTTGCGTTTTCCGAGACCGACTTTCATCTCCTTGGCTTCCTTGTACTTCTTCTCGTAGACCTAGAGCGATAATAAGCATAGACCGGCACAAAAGACCGAAACGCACTAGTTTCTCTTCCTCAGAGAGCTTCTTGAAGTCGCGAGAGAGCGCGTACTTGGTTCCCTTCCCTTTGAGGGGCCAGTTCGCGTAGTACATGTGCCTGTAGTAGATAAGATAATTGTGAATACAACAAACTAGGCACTCACATGGCGCAGCTCTCCGCTGGAGGAGGCATCGGTGCACCACCTCGTCCGCTGCTCGTCTGCACCTCGGTATCTTCGGCTGCGGGCGTCTCCACGGGCGACGTCACGGAGACGCTACCCAACATGATGGTGTCCACGGGCTGCTCGGGGGACTCTGACTGCTCGACTGGCGGCACGCTGGTCGCCTCGCTGCCACTTGCATGGTCGGAGGAATTTTCAGGGCCCGTAGCAGATAGTGGGGCGGCAGCATAGGGGGCGTGATGGACGGGCGGACTGATAGACGACAGCGAAGAAGACAGATCAATGGACTCGGAAAGATCGATACGATTGTCGGCCCTGAGTATATGTCAATAGTTGACTCGGCTAACAGAGACATACTCACAGACGTCGGCGCTGGAAACGCCAGCTGGACGGCGGCTGATTGATATCTGAAGGGAAGTCCGATCGCGATTCCTCTGTCGCAGCCGTAGACCGCTCGTTTGCGTCAACGGAGAAGGTCGAATGCGCGTCTTCAGTTGGAGAGGCGGGCTGCTCGCTCGTGTTGTCAGAGGAGGTGGTTGACGGCGACCCTATCGCAGAGGGATGCCGCTCAGTTCCATCCAGCGAGGAGGTGGAGGATGACGAAAGTTGAGATGGGGTTTCCGGGACCTGGAAAAAGAGTAGCACGGTCATTATTAGTGAGAAATCAAAGACCTACCACTGAATTGGAGCGACTGTCACCCCCAGAGGCGCACTGGTCACGTCAATAACAGACGCGTTGCAATATTGACTTGGCTCACCTCGATCCTGGCCCGCTTTGTCGCCCTTTCCTCCTCAGTCCCGTTTTTCTCTGACTCCGCGAGCCCCTGTGCCTTTTCATACCGACTCTGGTACGTAGCAATCATGCTGGAGTAAGCGCCTTCCGAGACACGCTGCGCCTTCCAGTTCCTATGGCACAGGCGGAGGACCGGGTACCGACGACATAGGTACCGGAACGTGAACAAGCGGACGGCAAGCGGGAGTTCGCTGAACGTTTGAGGAAGGCGAACTCGACCGCCCATCTCGTAGAATAGCTCCCGAGCGTCCTTGCGTATGGTGCCGATGAGGGTACCTCCGACGGCCTTGCCATCTTTACCTGTAATAAACTGATGAGTATCGTTAATGTCGTTACTTATGCGGGCCGGGCCGTTCATGCCCTTAGAGCCGTCAGCGACGCTCCTGGAACGTCGAGAGCTTTTGATGGCCTCATCTTGAGATTTGAATTTCATGGGAGTCCACGTCCCGTCCATATGGGGGTAGTCGGCGACGTCGAGGACTATATTGACGTTGTCTTTGTAGCGGAGACCGGAGAGCGGATCGAGACCCGTGTCTTGGTACATCTGGAGGTCGCGCTCCAATTTTGCAATTACAGTGTCAAATGGGGAAGTGGGCAATGTGGGGACCGAGGTGCCGGCGGTAGAACTCGGCTCGGCAGCGTCTTGGTGAAGACGCTCGCTTAGAGCCTTTACGGCTTTCCTAGGTACGCATATAGTCAGCGTGAGAAGCGTGAACATCAATTACTTACTCGAGTTGCTTGCAGCGCCTCGTGAGGTCGCTATTCTTGGTGCGAAGTTCCTCGTTTTCCTTGAGGAGCTCGGCCTCACGCGAGACATGTCCCTAATCAAATGAAGCGTTGCCGTCGGTGACAAATATGGCTAGATCATATCACCACGTACCTGATCCCCGGATCCGTCTATCCCCGCGCGCCTCAGCGTCTCGGTCAGGCTGAACTCGCCAAGGATGTCGTCGGATCCGTCGAATGCAAAATCAGAAGGCATGTATTGATGTTGTTCTGTGTACAAGTGGAAGGAGGTGCGTCACCAAATTTATCGAGCGAGCGAGGGTAGATTATCTTTGTAAATAAGGTTCAAAGTCCGCTCCGAAGCTGAATGAGCTACACGCGTCGCCTGACGGACTCCACCTTAGAACAAAAATGGCACCCGCGCCTGTCGACACTCTGCTCCAAAAAACCGACACCATCCCACACGTTGACAGCAGGCCCAAACTCAAGGTACGCCCATGATGTAATATCTCCCGAGCCCATCTCACCAGTATATCATCAGCGCAAGAAGCCCGAGTACCCTCCCCTGGAGTTCGAGGATAATGACGGCGGAGATCAGCCGGTCACAGGGACCAAGGTGAGTGATTTCCTATTTCCTATACACCCCATTTGATAATGGGCTACCAGCCGAGAAAACCGCCGAAGCAACCTCTCCGCCGTGTCAAGCGCAGGTTCTGGACTAACTATTCATACGAGGTACAGTCATTTTCAATCTGGTATCATTGTCATTGATCTATATATGATCTACAGGAGCCGAATAACGAGGATAACGAAGGGGACGACGAGGGCTATTTGTCAGCCGAAGAAGATGTAGACGAGAGGTGGCAGACGTTTATTAGACAGCGAGCCATGCGCTCGATCGCCAAGCGCGCTAAGTGCGCTTGTGACTAGTGTACTAGCTGTAATACAATACCAGAACTGCTTGAATGTAATCAGAAATCATTTGCTCGCACTCACATAAGACAAGATATCTATTCATGAGAAGGCTCCTCGTATCCAGTTAATACAGTAAAAGATAACCCGGGCTTCTCAACTACAAAGAAGAGATCACGACTATCAGGGAATCTATGAGGTATCATAGCTACAACCGAGCGAATGTTCTTAACATCAATAATGCAAAGATCTTCGTCGCTTCCGTGTTTGCATGCGTGTAACGTGTCGAACGAACGCCGTCGTAAATCGGGATCAGGCAATCCGTACGCTGAGACCATGGCAAAGGCTTTGACGGATGGGTGCCTCATCTTGAAGTAATAACGGACCTCGCCGCAAGAAGGCGCCGCGTCTCCAGGTAATTGGAACTAATAGAACTCATGTATCATCATAAAAAAACACATGTCATGCTTTACTCACCGAAACATTTCGGGAACAGCGCACACCGCGTGTCATGGAGTCCTCTTGCCATAGCGACCTTGCCACTTGTCCGTGGGGCAGTTGTAGACGTGCCCAGCGTTGCACGCGGGGCGCATCCTCGAATCGATATCCAAGGGAAAGGAGAGCGTCGGTAAGGACGACCTCTTCTGCAGGCGACACAACACGGGAATATCGATCTCGGCGACGAAGAAGAAGGTAGCCGTCTCCGAGATCATCACAGCCACGAGGTAAATCAGGATGCTCGGGATCAAAGGTCTCAGGATAGAGGGCTTTCAGAGCGTTGACTTGACAGCGCAGTGTAGCACGGATTGATAAATTAGCGTATGGGCTGACGTGGTTACGAATCTCTCGCCCGAGATCTCCGATCATTCGTTCGAGCGTCCACTGCGAGCACGTAATTGGAGGGCCTTTTCGTTCCGTTTCGTCGGCGAGATGAGTGATAGCGTGGATCCAGGGGCGTACGAAATGGATGCGGTTCGTTTGGCCTTGTACGTACAGGGTCTCGAACTCCCAAGCAAATAGTTTCAGCTGTTTGTCAGCTTCGGCGAGCTGGTCCGCCGTGATCGAGTGTTGCTGGAGGATTCGGATTCCCCGGACAAGACGGCAGAAGTGCTGCCAATAGCGTTCTTCGAGTACACCTTCATTTAGGCTTAATGACATGTAAAGTAAGATTTAATGAGAATTTACGCACCAAAAAACAAGGCGGGACCATATCCATAGAGCAGAATAAGCCACTCCCATGCTCTATAGTGGCTATGGATTTTCTGTAGGTCACGGGGAGTCTTGTCGAAGGAAATGGGGAGGTATGTTGCCCATGAAGCCACTAGAGCGCCGAGCTTGCGCCATAAGTCCGAGTCTGATAGGGCCGCCCAGTCCCAGCTTGAAGAGTCGTCGTGTCCCTCTGTGGGGTGAGCACCTCGCCATAGTGGTATCAACAGGTCGCCGACGTTGATTGCGGCGAGATGCATAATATCGCATCCCCAGCCAAACGGAGGAGGGAGGGACCGTGGCATACCCATGAAGATACTCGGTTTCCTGATTCCGGTTTCTCGGCGCCGAGAAGCGAATTCTCGCTGCGTGCGAGAAGCCAGGACATGGGCGAGATTGCCTCGATAATCGCCAGCGCCCGGAGAGGGTAGGCAATTGATGTCGACGGTATCGTGATTGCACCCGGCCTCGTTATAGTCCACTGGGTGCGTCGGCCTCTGTAGAACAGGATAATAGTGGGACTTGTCGGGGATGTGACGGCCGGGGAGGCCGCAATAGAGACGGCAAGAATATTTGCCGTGGTGGCCTACGAGACCTGTCAAGAGTGCCATTCCGGGTCCGTCAGCTGACTCGACCCAGAGAAAGGGATTGCATGTCCGAATATCGTGCGTGAGGCCGTCAAAGACCACCAAACCCTCGCGCTGGATGGCTGCAAGGTGATAGAGCCCTGGAAAAAGAAAAGAATCCAGATTCTGGGGCTTGTTTGGCCCCGGAATGATAGCGACAGGAATAACATATTTTTTCTTGTACCGTTCAGCTGGCGATATGTCAAAAATTACCATCGCAACAATCCAGCAGTCTGACTGTTTGTCTTTGTAGAGTTGAGCACCGTCGGCCGCAATCATTAACACAGGGTCGCCGTCTTTGATTATGCCGTCCTCAACGAGTTGTTGATATTGCGACCCTTTGATGAAGTCATCAAATGTTTCGAGGTCTGCGGGATCTGTAGTCGTTCGGAGCTCATTTGTACGATCAGTACGATAGCGCATCTTCTGCGCCATCGTGGGGTTACGTGTGAATGCCTGTAGAATGAGGCCGATGGGATTTGATGTGAACGTCAGTCGAGGAACAGGTTTGCCGGGCTTAGATTTTTTCGGGCAGTAGCGGGACAAGTGGCATTTGATACATTGCGACAGATTTGCATTCGGACCTGTGAAACCCATACACGATTTGACGCACATATCGCTGCGCATTCCCTCGACCCCACTAAGTTCCTTAATTGCCTGATCCGCCCGGTATATGCTGTAAGTATCGAGTCCAGGAACCTCATCCGCGGTGATGGCACAATGGGCAAGGTAAGAGCGTTGCGTGTCGCCGACAAGCGCGTGCCTGAGAGACACACGTAGCCCTTGATTTGCGCGTAAGTCGACAAGTGTGCGGGGAGGGTTGCGGAGACGATGACGAGCAGCGAGGGACAGCGCGTGATGATTGTTGTCGATACTAGCCTCTTGGAGGAGCTTGACATATGCCATCGCTTCCTTTGCCTCGACGATGGTCGTGTGCTCGTGGAGATTGTCGACGTCTTGCTCGGTCCACCAAGACATGGGCTGGGCTGGTCGATCCTCGAGGGGTGGAGGAGGGGGCGGAGTCGGCGCACGCTCCACAGGCGGCTCAAGGGGGAGCTCGTAGTTTGCCACGTCGTCGTCGTCACCAAGCGGTTCTGGTGGTGTCTGAGGCAGTTCGTCCGCGTCGACGCTCTGGTCAGCTTCTTCCTCGTCCTCTTCCGGCGCAAGTTCGTCAGCGTCAAGATCACGACCCCATTGGTTGTTTTCTTCGTCAAAGTCCGGGTCCAGTTCCTCGAAAGCGAAGAACTGATCGTCTGGCGAGAGTACCTGCTCAGGTCAGTATGTAAGATTGTTAGAAAAACACCAGTTGGGCTTACCTCGACATTGAGCTCGGCTGTCGGAGCGCGTAGATAGCTGTCCTCGCTATATTCGACAGCATCGAGCGGCATGTCTGAATCCTATCCTCAAGTTGATTGTGGTCAGTGTGAGCGCGTTATAATGCGTGATACGTACCTCATCGGTCCCCTGATCTTCCTCGACAGCCTCGCGGCGCTCTTCTACCGATGTCGCCTGCTCGTTTGTTTTGTTTCTCTTCCTGGGGTCGTCGACCACATTTTCGGACCGTAGCCGCGTGTGTCGGCTCGTGTAAGTGGCTAGAGGCGCTGGAGGGTGCTCAACGAGAAGGGAGTCGAGAGCAACGTGACCTGAGGTGGAAGGTAGTGTGCGATTTGTGCCGGTGGTGGGTTCATCGGGATAGAGCTCCTTGTGTTTCTTCTTCGTACGTTTGGTTACTCGTTTGGCCTCGCCATAGTTCTTGGAAAGACATATGGGGCAATCGCAGTCGCTGCGATTGCCGTCGTCGTCTTGTGTGACCTGTGTACTGGTAGATGGACGGGGAGGCGAGGGAGACATGGAGAGAGAGGAGGGTATGTGTGTGAAACGGGACTTAGTCGAGATAGTGAAATAGCCGCGTCGAGCACGTTGCATTAATGAAGTCGCCTCGGCTCGGGTGCCTGCGCCGGTGAAGCGGAATCGAAACGAATTCCGAATGGAGCTGACGAGGCCGAGAACGCCCGGGAAATGGGAAAGGCGGCATTTGCCGCCGCGGCGGCGTGGCGGCGCGGCGGCAGTGGCGGTGCCAAAACCAAACTCCCACGATCTCGACGCGACTGGCGCGTCGCCCCTGGGCCAGTGAGCCACAGATAAGTATTCCTTCGCCATTAGGGCTGTAGAATTCCTTCTGTAGTAGATTATCGTCCCCAATAAAAAGCGTTATCTCCCCAGAATCCCTCTTCGTCTCGCTCCCTCGCTTTCTCTATTTTCTTTATTCCCCTCGTCGCAGCAAACATGTGCCCAGGCGGCCATTCTACTACCTCGGGCTGTCCAACTACCTCGGGCTCTCCGTCTACGTCGAGCTGCCCATCTACATCGGGCCATCCGTCTACCTCAGGCGGCCCATCTACGTCGAGTAGCAGCCACTTTAGCTCGTCGGACGAGCCCTATGAGATCGACGGTGTCCCTTACTGCCCTTGGTGTCATCTACCGCTGCAGCCCAGGCGGTGCGCTAACGGTAGGGTGGATCATATCAACCGGTACTTCGTCGTCGTACGTTTCTCTAATTTTATTCTGCGTTTGTATCGCTCACAATTCACCCAGTGCGAGAATGTCCACGCTCATCCGTTGGGACGGGGCGACAAGCTCAGGAAGTTCTGGCATTGGTATCCTCTCTATGACGCCCCAGAGCATATCATGCTCCTCTCAGACAACTCTTGGACTCCTCTATCCTCGCCCGCCTCATCTACTCCCGCGCGTTCTCCCGCTACCACTATCCCACTACCAGCTCTTTCTATTCCTCAAAGTACCCCATCGGCACCTCCCACTTCGGCTGCTAGTCAGCCAGTACCTCCTTCCCGTACCTATCCCCCCCTTGGACCCTTCGTCGCCGGTTCCCTCAAGTGTATTTGGGAAGGCGGCTGCACCAAATCGGCGCCGAACCAGCGGAACTCACGCTGCACCAAGACGATGTGCAAAAAGCATTGTATTGCTGCTGACCACATGGGGTGTTCGACGGCCAAGGACCATAACCCTGAGAGCGCTGGCAAGCTTCAGAAGGCGACTCTGGCTGCGCAAGTCGCTTCTTCCTCGTCATCTGCACTCCCGCCCTCTGCTCCTGCGTTGTCCAGACCTATGGCTCGCCCTCCGTCTTTGTCGCTACCTCGGTGGTCAGTTCCCGAGCTTACAGATGAAGAGTGGGGTCTGAACCCGCAATTCGACGACCTATCCGTGCTTTCGGAGGTTGCGGTCAATTTCCCCGACTTAGGATTCTCTTCAATCGACTCTCCAGCCCTCGATGGTCCGCTGCTTGACTCGCCAACGCCCCACTCTACTGCTTCTTTCTCTCAGCCCTCGAGGCCACCTCCATCTCAGACCTCTATACCACGCCCTTCGCAGCTTAACTCACGGCAGCCTCGCATTGGCGCACGCTCGGCCCCCACCACTCAGTTGAATGACGACTGGGTGACGAAGGCCAACGATGCCAGCGTCCAGCAGAGTCTGCTCCACCGAGACGAGCAGGAGCAGCTCGCTCGCGCAGAGGAAAGTACCCAGGAAATTGAGGTCATTGTTTTTATCACCGTATGTTTCATTTTCTATATTTTTTTCGTATTTCCTCGTTTGCTCATCGATCGTCAGAACGATGACCCACCCATCAAGCTCGCTCTTCAAGGATCGAACGCGCCGTCTCACCAAACAAAATCGGCCATCCCGTACTGGCCGTACTTCGACCTCGTCTCGGCCTCCAAGCGCGCTCCTCAGCTGCCGAACATCGACGACCGCACGCTCGTTGACGTCTGGGACAAACGGAGGAAGGACTGGCTGGCAGTCGTCTCTTCCTTCAGGTTTACCGTCAAGCACAAGGACGTCTTGGTCTTTCGGATCAACGGCGTCACTCGGTGCCCCAGCGTGAAGGATTACACGGCGCCTTCCTACAGGCATGGCCTCTCCGCCGACCGCTCAAAAATCCGCGCAAAGCTGAAGCAGCCAGCTCGTGTCAAGCGTACTAGATCGCCGACTCCCGAGCCCATGTCTTCCTCACCCAGCCAGTCCTCGGTTTCATCTCTCAACTCGCCTCCTTCGTCCTCGGAAGCTTCTCGCCCTAGCAAGCGTCAGCGTACCGTATCACCCTTTGCACTGTCGCCAAACCGGACGCAGCAGATGGCCTATCTTGCTCTGCAGGGCGGTCCTCAGCCACCCGGGTGTGCCCAGCCCTCCTCCCTTGATCCATCGCTCTCCGACGCGTCAAGTTCCTCATCATCTCGCTCCTCGTCGTCTCAGTCGGGCGCTAGCACGGCGAACACGTCTATACAGGCCCACGGTGACGTCTCCGAGATTCCTAGGTTCAAGCCGTCGAAAATCGTAACTAACAAACCATTCCCATCTGGCTGGAATGCGAAGGACGTCGAAGCCGCCATCAAGATTTTTGACGACACCCGCTTCACTCATATCAAGCCCGCCGACCGCTTTCATGCTCTATTCGGTCCCGACATACGATATATTCGCGAGACTCTACGCGACGCAAGGACGCGATGGAGCATGGCCGATGACGATTGGAAGTCCAACATCCGAGCGATCCCAGACACGAAGGATGGACTCTGGGACAAGGTCACGACGACCTTCAAGCTCAAACCCGCACGCACTCGGCGACAGGTCGTCGAGATGCACCAGGCTGGTCTCATCGATGTAGAAACTAATCCTCCGCTGCTGTATGCGTCTGGCATTGATTCAGAGGGCGATGACGATGACGTTGTGATGGTTGAGGCCCCATAGGTATATAACATACTACTCTGATACTCTCTGTACTTGCTCTGTACGAATATATATTCGTTTTGTCTTTTATCTGATGTGCGATACCTTAGCTATTATAATAATACAGAGTTCAACCGATCGAGTGAGGACAGAGCTTGAGCAGGGAGCAGGGAGCAGAGGACGAAGCCAAAAACACACAACGCTCACAGCTCAATAAATCCATAGCGAGCTTGAGCAGGGAGCAGGGAGCAGAGGACGAAGCCGAAAACACACAACGCGCACAGCTCGCGACGACGATGGCATATCTGTATTGAAACATATATACTAATGAAACATGTGTACGAATTAAAACTAGCTATCGAGTGAGGACAGAGCTTGAGAGCTAATGATGATAATACAGAGTTCAACCGATTGAGTGAGGACAGAGCTTGAGAGCGAATGATAATATTAATACAGAGCTCAACTATGTAAGAACAGACTCTAGAGCTTCAGTGTCTGATGGGTAATACATGGGCATAAGTCGTCTATCCTTCAAAGTCTGTATAGTATCAATGTTCTTGAGACGAATCATCTCGTCCAGGAAGAAATTGTATTTGATGGGCAGCATCTCCTTCAAGATAGAGTGATAGCTGCCCAACCAAACGTTCGTCTGCTCGGCGACTGACGTATTAAACCACCACCCTTTACCATCTTCGCGCATGAGCTCGGGATAGCTCGCCGGATTACAGTACTTCTGACAAAAATCGTGAGTGGTCTTGTGTTTCGTGACAAGGTGCCACGGATCAACGACCATATGGACGTCATCCCACCAGTCGTCGTCGAGGTTCATGGCTTGCTGCTTGGCCTCGCAAGCCGTGTCGTAGATGAACATCTCGGGCTTTCGTGCGCCAGGTACGCTGAACGATGTCTTCGTCATTTTCTGCCGATGAGATCAGTGTTTTACCGTTCATAAAATATATTAAAATCCTTACCAGTACGTTCGAGACTGCTTCAGCTCCGAACATCGTAGCACGCTGTAGGATAATGCCACACGGGCGAATGAGTGTAACCTCACACGCGGTACGACGACGAGCAAGAAGGATCCTCTGTCGTTTCGGTGTCTTGCTGGGGCACAAGGCTGGCGCGCTGGCTGGTTTTATTTGACGATCAGGGCGATCAGCGTCAGCGTCAGAGACGCCTACGTTGACCGGATGGCTGTCGACGCGCTGAGTGACGCGATTGAGCGCGTCGACCTCATACCAGACAAGGGCGTCGTCGTCGGTTTCAGCGTCGAAGTCAGGAGCTGATATCCTGCTTCGTGTGAGGCGGCTAGTTAGTACGAACATAGACTGTCCGCGCTGGACAGTCTTTCTCTCCATCTCGACGTGCGTCTCGTCATCGCACGTCATCTTCGTGTTGTCAGTGGGTACTATCTTCCTGACGCAATTCTCCACGGCGCATTGGTCGGCGCAGAGCTTAGCGCAGCCTGGGCACCAGTGATTCCGGATTTTATCGAGCGACTTCGTGCACCGGAAGGTTTTGCAGCACGGGTGTCCGATTGTGAGCCCGTCACTGACGACGGGCTGGCAGCTTTCTGTAGGGACCATGTAAGCATTTGTACGAGTGAGACCATAAAACGAAAGACTCACTCCATATTATTTTACCTGTTCCCTCTTCTTTCTCCTCGTATATGCGCATGCACCCTTTGCAGTGGTGCTGTATTTCGCGCTGGCCAAGCGCGATGATGCGTAGGTTCCGATCGTGCATAGCTGCGTTGAAGCGTACGCGCTGTTCGCCGGTGTGAGGCACTCGGAGCAGGCGACGGTGGGCTCGGGCGTCGCGAATAAGAGCGAGGATGACGAAGGCTGACCAGACGTGGTCACCTCTGAGCCTAGGAGAGAACGGTAGCCGCGTTAAGGAGTACGGTAGCTTGGGCCTGGTGTAATAGCAGCCCTCGATGTCAGCTAGCGAGCGAGCAAAGGTCTGCTCGTATAACTTTGCAAGACCTGCAGCGGAAGAGCTATACAGAATTAGAGTACTAGTATCAGCAGAGCGGCAGGCTGGACTCACGAATTTATCATCATATCCTGCGTCCACATATGTGCGAGCCTGAGATCTACGTAATGATGTTCACCGACTTGGATCCTGCGAGGAAGCTTCGAGTAGTAATATCGGTATGGTTTACCGTCCTTGACGCGGACGCGCGGTACGTGGTAGTTGTTGCGGTAGTTTGTACCGCAGCCTACGTAAGATTAGAATGCATGAATGCGGCCGATGAGATAATACGCACCGAGGCATGTCAGGTAAACCGACTTGGCCCATTGGATACCGTGATTAAACGTGAATACGATCGCGTCCCGCACGTACTCCTTCCGCATTTCGGACTGCCGGTCCTTGCACTCGGGCTGAGAGCACCGGCGCATTGGGGGGAACAGTGAAATAAAAGCTGAATATTTTAGACACTTGAGTTACAGAGGAAAGAGAGTACTCACAGATTCCTTCACGCCAGCCGCTCTCCATAAACAAATCAGCAAGGGTCACATACTGCTTATTTGCATCCTCCATCCTCCAGATCGTTTGCCGGAAGACGGACCATAGGACCTCGGCCTGGTCGCTTGTAATGCCTAGACACTCGCAGATCCACTCGGCTTGCGTGTCTGGAAGAAACGGCGGGGCTGAACTTTCGGTATCAACATCCGAGGGGTAGGCAAGGGCAATCTCGTCGCGAATGAGACTGCATATATTAACGAAGAGCTGAATTTGATCCGTTGTTATAGGAAGTAGGTGTGGATATGTTTCAAGAACAGATGGAATTAATGATATGTCGAGACTCATGACAGCGGAATAGATATACGGCGTGTAGGGGTATAACAGACGTTAATCTAATCTAAGCGCGGCGGCGAGGCGACGCGCGGCAGTCACATCGTGGGATTTTTGTTTTAGCACCGCCACTGACGCCGCGCCGCCCAGCCTGCCGCCGCGACTTGCCGCCTTTCCCAGATCTCGGACTTTCTGACGAGGCCGACGAAGCGGATTCGAAACAAGTTCCGAATCGGGTTGGCGACGCCGCCAAACCGAAGTCGACGCGAGTTTCGGATCGGATTGGTAACGCCGACGAAGCGAAATCGACACGAGTTTGAAATCCCGTTATGTAATCAGAATTTCATCGGACTTTCCGAAGTCCGCCGAGCTATTTCAGTCCTCAGTCTGGGCTCAAAGAAGCAGAACGATGGTCAATGAGATAGAAGCTACTACAAATAGTAGCTACGGAGTCATTTTTCATAGGGGATGCAGCCTCGAACCTGCCAAGCAGGAGAGATGCCGACGCTCGGTGAAGGCCGAGACCTAGTTTTCACGAGCGGCTACAAAGGGCCGAGCAGCCGCAAATAGAATTAAACCCCTGTCTGTCTTATAAAATCAACGCTGTTACCTCTTGAAACTCGCCGTCGTTTGCTTTTCCGCCCTGTTCCGTCTTTTTTTCAACGCCAACTGGATTATAGCCTGAAACATACTGGCATATTTTCACCCAGCTCGGTCTAGCCGCCTTTCGGCCCCAGGGTTAATCATGTGCATGAGTGTCCGGAAGATAAATGTGGGGTAAAAGTCTATCTACGAACTCTGGTAAGGAGCTACTCCAAATCATAGGCTCACATTTTAGAGGAAACACAATGCTTTCGGGGTACAGATAAGCCACCTGGTCATTATGTACGCGTCAAGCTATCGCTGCAGGCTCAATATATCTGTTCGGGAGGCTCGCGAGGTCACTGTGGGATATTATCAATGTGCTCATAAGTGCTCATTATATCGATATTATGCACTCGGAAATTTACACAAGCACCATCCAGTATCGGTAAACGACCTATCAAGTGGTGCCGGGGTACTTTCACTGGGATAACACCAATGGCTAGTCGTCGAGACCTGTTGCGAACTCACGCAGAAGATATCCGACAACAAACACACATGGCTTTGGATATCTCAGCCAGGCAATAAGCGCCTTGCATCTCTATCATCCCTCCTCATTATCAGTAAATATCAAGGTCACTACGTCAAGTATGTAAATAGGATAAATATGTCTATCAGATAACCTGTGGGCAAATGCGTACAGTAAGGAAGCGAGTCCAAAGTAAGATTCTGTAGTCAAATGACAATAGCATGGGCGCTCATGCGCTAACTTTGCGATCCATGCTGGATATGTGGGTGACTTATAACTCTGCCGACTACCTAATTGGGCGAGTCGCATGGGTAAAATTACGAGGTTATGCTTGCAAGCTTGGGTGCTCGCTCTCGGCCTGCGGCGGCGGTGTTGCAAATGCTACGGTGGTTAGCTCGTTTGATCCAGCTGAACCTGATTCCAGCGCCTTTGAGTAACTTCTTCGTAAGTCAATGATCATCCGTGGGCCTGTCATTATGAGTAAAACGACCTGACACAAGACAGATACCACACAGTATGTCAACGACTATGAAAAGGGGGATTCAGGGTAGCGTTAGCTTTTGTTTGAAATGACCAAAACTGTACCGCACGTTTTGAAAAGAAGGTATTTGTGAGAAAGTGGTAACAAGATTGCTTGCGAATGCACTAGGAACATCATTAGTTCCCAGAATAATAGCAACTGTGGAAATATTTCTGGAGTATACTCACATAAAGAAGTATGCTAGATTGCCGTGTACGATGATCCATGTGAGGCTAGTAACACCTTGCCTTGAAAACGTCCGCCAGGAAGGAGGAAGATTAATGACAGTGTAACGCAGCACGAAAGCGCAAAGAAGGATTTCGTATCCAAGCACAACAGCATTGGATGTTGGGGACGTCCAATAAAGAGTTGCATTGGGGATGAAAATGCAGTTGAGAACTGTGAGAATATCTATGTCGACTAAAACCATACAGTCATGAGTTGAACGTGAACACTCATCGATCAAGATTACCCTCACTTACACCAGTAGTTTTGACCAGGCAAGAACTTCAGCAAGCTAGTGATGATGTTAATTGTTTGGATAACAATGAAGCAGGGTCCTAGAACCAGAAGGACTGTTTTTGATCTTCCAAAAAGGACATACACTCGCAAAGCCATTATTCCTAGATTGTATGGTTCTGTTACATCAGGAAAAGGGAAATATACCTGTAGTTGTGACCGTTTTACATAGTGCCATGGAGGCTGAGTAGCCCATGTCATAAATGCTAATTGACATAATGAGACGTAGTTGACAGTAAGCCGATCGGATTTACATACTCCGATATGAACACAAGACACTTACAGTCGACGCGCGTGAAATGCAAGTCCTGGTTGCATGTGAATACATGCTCTTGCACTGAACGCGACGCGTTCGCGACTATGTTTCGTCTGCCCACTATGTGCATGACACCCATGCCGCTCACTGTGAACACATCCCGCAACATCCCGTCCGCCAACTTGTCTAGTGAAGACCATGTCATTAAGACAAAGTACAAGGGTACTAGTGACGATCTTAAGCAGTTCATCAGGAACCTTGTGAGTATTCAATCACGATTCATATAATTTGGACGCTGCTCACCATCCTCAACACTGTCGGAATATAAGCCTGAAATTGAGACTTCGGAGCCAGAGTCTGAGGAGCCGTTGGTCATACCTATGAACTTGAAGAAGTGTGTATTTGAGTTGGTCGACGCAGAGGCTCAAGCTCCAGATGTTGGCCATCAGTCGGAGACCGGCAGTGTAACCGAGTCGGAAGATGACGAAGAGTTCATGGGTTTTGTCAAAGGGCTTGTACGTAAACAAGCACAGCTGTAGTCCAATAGCGCGTTCTCATGACACATAGGGCGAATACCACGGAGCTGTGAAAAGGCGCCGCTCTGCTATAGACGTTGCCGTCGTAAACAAACGAGTCAAGACAGAGGGCCCATCTGACAGCTCGTGGTTGTGGACACCAAACAAGTCTCAAAGTCAGTCATCGATGAGTCCCTTACCCACACCAGTGAGAGACTTTCTTTCCATTTTCGAGAAGTAGTCGTAGGGGAGAGTTGTAGTATTTCAAGTAGAATGTATGTATAAGAAATGTAGGACAGGTGTGAATACGATGGCAAATGATATGACTCGAAGACTAGAGCTTGAGGCCCGAGGCTGAGCAATGCAGGAGACGGTGCGCGCGTTTACAAAGTCCGATTTCCCACGCTCTGAATAGTCGCGCTGCGTTGAAACCACCTCTTTCATTCTGCATCCCTCGTGCAACACGCCGGCCGCCGTGCTCTTCCCGCGGGTCGTGCCGCAGCCTCGCCACGCCCTCCCTCCTCGCCGCGGGCGACGGCAACGCCGGCCTGCACGACCCGCGCAACGTCGTAATCGCGGGCGAGAGCTCGAGCGGCGCAAGCGTAGTCATGCAGATCGCCGCGTACGGCGGGCAGCGGGAGGCTCCTTTTCAGTGTGGTACAGGCGAGTCAATCGGGTTCGGGCCGATGATGAACGATACCCAGAACGCGGAGCTGTTCGGTGCGTTCCCCTTCCCCCTAATTCCCAGTTCTATTCTCTTTCCTCCGTCTCCCCGCGCTGACCATGAAATCTGAACCGCAGCAAACATCACCCAATGGGCCGGCTGCCCCTCCTCCCCCGAGTCCACTGCCCTCGCATGCCTACGTACCACCTCGCTCGGCGCCCTCGTCTCCGTAATCAACCACACCCCGCTCGGCGCCGTCTCGCCCACCGTCGACGCCGCAGTAGGCGCGGACGCCTTCCTCCCCGACCGGCCCTCGCGCTTCATTGCCCAAGGCAAATTCGCGAGCACGGGGCGCCGGCGGATCTGCAGACGGAGGAGGAGGTGAGGAGGAGGTGGCGAGTGTGCCGTTTAGGCGGTAGCCAGGCGTGGTGCGTTTTATTCAGGTTCATACGCAAATGGACAGAGCAGAGGCTGACGCTGGGTAGACGAACGAGACGATCCCAGAAGCGCTGGCGCTCTACCCGCCCACGTCGAACGCAAGCGACACCGAGTTCTCGAGCGAGTACGAACAGGCAAGCATTATGGCCAGCGACATCAATGAATTACGTAAGTGTTTTTGCGATGCATGTAACTTGGTGTGCTCACCGTCGCTCGGCTAAAATCCGCATCATGGATGCGCTTTTTAAGCGAACAATGAGCAGGGACTCTTCTCGGCTAGCATGCTGGCAAGCCAGACTCCGCCGAAACACCGCACAGCCTTTGCTTGCCGAGATTTGGACCCACTGGGTCCAACGCACCTCGAGATCCCTTTGCTGGCACGCCCTTCCTCATCCCCATCCCCATCCCTTCCGTGTTACCATGTCCTCCCCCATTGTGTCAAGAAAACTAGTATATATGATTACAATTCAAGTTAATGGTACTATGTAGTCCTCAAACATCGCCATATCAATATACCTATTTAACAAAAACTCTGTCGCCTTCTCCATTGACTTCCCTTTCACCCACGACTTGGGTACGTCACCCTGCCCAAATCTGGGCGTAATGTGGCATGGCCTAACTACCCTTGATAGTGGAACCACCAGAGCACGAGGTGATAGCTGCCGCGTAGCTCGCGTGAGCTTGTACATCTGAGTATCAGGGTCCAGACTGCCTAATCGTCGGAAGAGATGGACATAAACAAGTGGCTCTTGTTGTGATGCAGAAACCGCCAAGTGGGGTGGCAGTTGAAAAACCACACGGAGCTCAGCCACACGTAGACCTACAATATGTTAGATTATTATTCTGCACCTTCCAATCAAACAATTGTGCAGCAATGCGTACCATTGAGTCCCCCTTTTTCAAGCCAGGATGCCTTATCAACCTCAATCAAAACCGTATCCCATCTGGCAGGTGTTGGTGCTTTCCGTTCTCCATTAAAGCGTCGAGGGGTTGATTTTAGCTGAGCACGAAGATTATTGGGATTAAGATGGGGATCTGGACGCATGTAGATACTCGCGCCGTTATAAACATCAAAGTGGTCGTGCTCGTTCGGCACAAATCCAGGCCGGAGGAGTCCTTCTTCTTGGAGGTATGAGGTGAGAGCACTGATGAAGCCGTGAGCACCATGGTCCTGTTTGAGCGTACCCACAGAGACACGAGGGCGAGGGGGGTGCTTGGCGACAAAGTGAGTGCCTATGGGGGAGGTGTCAGTCTCCTCTTCAGTTTCCGGAGGATCTGCCAAGCCTAGAGGATCATCATTAGTATGGGAGGACTGTGCGTCTGTGCATAGCCGCCAGGAGAGGTAAGCTTCACGGAGAGCCACAGCTTCTCGACGCTGAAGCCATAGAGCCATCTGAGCTACATAGTCCTTGCGGTTGGTTCCTTGATAGGCGAGCTTGGCAAAGTCGATATGTAGCCGTTCAGTATTCTCACTGTTAAGGCCATCCAGCGACCCCAGTGCAATGATAGTCTCGACGTAGTGTAAGAGTGAGTGTAGTTTAGATATATTGAAATGATCTCCTGAACGTGCCTCGAGCTCAGTAAAGACGGCTTTATTTCGATGGAATGTTTTGAGGGATTTTCGCATGCGGTCCAGCGTCTCAGTGGTGTGAGAATGGTACTGCGCCAATGTGATGAAGTCAAGAAGCGCCCGGGCAGCCGTTATCACCCGGCCATCTTCGTGTGAACCAGCAAATGCGGGGATGAAGACCCTCTGAACCTGCTTATGCTCGCCTGCCGTCCACTGAGTGATAGGTGAGATACCTTTCTTGAAATGCCGGAGCCCTGAGTACACAGGCATAGCCTGGAAGCGACGATCAAATGCCTCCTTGCCGCCCCGCACAAGTTTCAAACACCACTGCAAGAGGTGGTCCTTGAAAACGCCCTGATGCAGTTGATGGAGAATGTCCGACGATATCGAGGAAAAAATGTTGGAGTAGGGGAGGTCAGCCCAGAATGGTGCGTAGACGTCTTGTAGCCCCTGTCCAATAAATGCAGGAGGATATGCCCCTTCACGTTGACCAGTCAAGATCTCGAGGGTCTCATCAGGTTGACGCTGTGCAGAGCTCTTCATGCTCCCTCGCTCATCCCGCCCCACAAGACACCGAGGGCATCGATTCTGCTTGCAGCAGGCGACCAGGCATTGTTCGGGATGATCGGCTATATATGCAGCAAGGATGGGGAAGACAAGACGGACATTTCCATCAGCGCATGTCATGTAGACGCCATTCCTGCCAGCAGCAACCAAGGATTGGAGGATGTAGCGCATGCAGAAATGGAACAGGCGGTACGTAGCTAGAGACGCATTCTCAAAAGATTCTAGCTTTGACACAGGCAGATAGCCTATGAGCATTGTTGCATGTTTGGATGGCTGGCGTCGTACGGCTTTCGAGATGTTCCCCAGCGTTAAGTAGACAGGGTAAGCGGCCTTATCCCCCCTAAACTGAGAGAGCTGAGTCTTGTCTGTTGATAGAATGACACTGGCCACCGTCCCACCAGGTGTAATCTTTTCCTATGACCACCAGACGTTCCACAGTCAGATTGCCCCATATGACAACTCGGATGGTGTCTCAATTGACGAACCTGGGTCTGCCACCACCAATCAGCCGTCCACATCTCGTCAATCCGTTGATTCTTCCCATCTGAGTCCGTGTACGTGCGCTCAGGTGCATAGGCTATGTTGTCCTTGAATGCTGGATTACCGATGAGCTCCCGAACAGCCTCCACTGGATCCCGCATCCACAGCTCGTAAGTTTCATCGTCTTCATCATCGTTACTCTCCTCGTCTCCCTCAGATGGCACCATATCCCCATCTTGATTGGCCGCTATACGAACGCATTGCCAAGCAGGGCCAGTAGGCAGCTGGTCAACTTGTTTCATCCACGTATATGCACTACCATAGCTTGGCTTTGTACGGTCTCGAGTCTGTCAAAAGGTCAGCTTCCTGATTTTCACCGGTTGCATTCTGATAGACTCACTATGGGTAGCTTCAAAAACTCGTCCGCTGCAGTTTTTGTGGTGTTCTTCAGGAGCCAGCAAGACAAGTCCCACTCATCTTTGTCTACAAACGGTGCGTAGGATCCAGTGTGGCTTGCATCTTGTGCGTCTCTGATGGTCTCAAACTGTGTAGACGCTGAAGCATATATTGAGGCAGCAGAGCCAGGGTAATGCTGTACGTATCGTGTTCTTGTAGTTTGGCCTTCATTGCCATCTACCTCGTCAACTCTAGCCCGCTTAGACGCCCGATTATCAACCTCCGTGTTCTCTGGTGCGTTGTGAACATTGTCAGCAGGGGCAAACAATGCACCAAGCTCATCTATAGTATCGTCGAGGGTGTTAAATGCAAGTGGTGGACTTGAGGGGGCTGGACTCGAGTGATGCAGTGGCAAGGACTCGGATGGTGGTATGATTGAGTTGCGTGTGCCAGTGGGGACTGATGGAGCACTATTCAGCATATCAAGCCATGCATCACGGCAGGCTGGAACCTGGGTGCGATGTCGCTTGAGATCCGCTTCGGTTTTGAACTGACGTGAGCACCCTTTTGTTGGACAGGAATGCATTGTTGAGAGTACGATCTGCAGTCGTGCAAACGGGCGGGAGCGTCACTGAAGTGCAAAGCTCTGAGTCTGGTGCGTACTTTCCCCTATTGCCACCCTTTGTCAGCATTCCATTGTCACTTGATTCTGTCTGTTGCTTTCACCCTTGCCGCGTCAGCCTCTCTTCCCCTCCTGCCGCCACCATGCTTGAACACGGTCCCGTGCATGGAACCCTTGCCACAAACGCGTTGACGCGTTCATGTTTCGTTGATTGGTCCCAAACGTTGGTCAACAAGTCAACGAGTATATATACTGGTAAGCATTGCCCCCCCTCAACGTATAAAAGCCCTGAGTCTCATCACCTCTACCTCACCACCATCGCCAACTCCTCTTCCCTTTGAGTCTACTGCTACCTTCACCTTCAATGTCTTCCCAGTCCACTTTGACCCGCACCAAACGTTCGGCCAAGCCATCCGACAAGGTTAGACAAACTGGTGAGCCTCTTTTTGCATGCGGCTGGTCATCGTCGACTGCCACGACTGCCGCCTCTTCTTGCTGACACTGTTTCTTTAGCCGAGGATGTCGCTCAAAAGCAGGAGCAGCGACGTCAGCAAGACACCATCCGGGACCAGCAGCGCAAGATACGTGAAGCCAAAAAGGCTCAAAAGGCTGCCGCCATGAATCAAGGTAATGCACACTCTGCTTATCTGATCTTCAGCGATAACACCATCAATAGGCTCCCAAGGCCCCATGCTCAGTCACCACAACACTCAGAGGAACATGCCTCGGTCGGTTCCAGCCGATGAGTTGGTAAGTCCTTTTGTCATTGTCCTCGCACAGTCGTCACACCAACCCCTTTCCAGTTCTCAGCGCGTGTTGTCGAAACCGTACAGTCAGTCCGCAGCGAGGCTTCGCAGCCAACTCTGGCTGCACGTCACTCTGTGGTTCCACCGCCGCCTACTCATACTACCACCCGTCGTCTGACACCGGATCAAGTACGACAGTTGGTCCATGAGCGTTTCCACTCCGAGGACGGTATGTCCTCTGCCTACTAACTTGGTGCTACGTCTGATGTCCATGCACGTTGGCTTAGACGATGATGATGACGACTACTCGTCTCTGCCGAAATACCTTAGTCGCAAGCGTCCCCAGCATGTGCTGGGTACCGAGGACAACTCCGACGATGGAGACGGGGGCTCTGCTCACAAACGCCAATGTTCGGCACCTGTGGACGTTGCTGCCGACAACGAACCCATATGGCTGGAGGACGCCGATGCCAATATCGATGAAGATGACACACAGCCCCTAAACGAGGTGATCACCTCAGCCAGTGGCAAGACCACCTCATGCCGCCAACGTCTTCAGGGGAGGGCCCAACCCGACGAAGTTCAGGACGTGCTGTGGGCTGCCATCTCTATTTTTGGGTCTCTCATGTGCCTCGACCACGCCTTCCCCAACTCACTTCAAGAGCACCAGTGGGCCGAGCGCGCCTGGAAGAAGGCCTGCGAGTTCTACAACGTCGAGCATGTGCTGACTCCAGCAGTCAGGAAATTGGTGCGTGCTCGTATTATGCTCTCCCTCATCCACACCCTCATTCTATCACTGGATGACCTGGAGCAGATCACTGATCGTACAAGTCATCTCCGAGGAGAGCTCAAGACCAAAGCCCGCCCCCTGGTTGAGACCACATTTGGATTTGAGGTCAGTGACGATGCAGATGTTCAGGCAGCCAACCGCAAGCTTGTTGAGGACCTCAAGAGAGACACCGCATTTGTGTACCGGGCGAGTACTCTGATATTAATTTGTTCACTATACTAAAATCTGATGTCTGTACTCTAGGTGCGGGGCGAGACTGCTGAGGAGCACCGCGGGATGTTCCTCGCCAAAATAATTCAACAGCTCATCAATGCCGTCTTCTACAAGGGGAAAAAGGCGATGGCTGTGAGGTGGGAGGAGTTTTTTGAAACTTTCCCTGGGCCCGGCTTTGCTTTGGTCCTGTCGGCGGTGAGCTGTTCCTTTCGGCATTGAGTATTAATGTAGCTAACTTATGTTATAGATTGAATGTTCTATCGACGAGTGGTCGACGGGCTCCTTTGAGAAGGTCGCATTCTCAGAGGCCAATTACCGTGACGTATTCGAGACCCACCTCAAGAATCTTGATGACTTTGCTGGCCATGGGAATGGCGCTGACCGTGTGTTGGAGAAGTTCATGCAGCGCGTACATCGGATTGGAAGGTACGTGGTCACCGCATCTGTCTTTCCTGCCAGTATACTCATGTTTCATAGCTCTCATGCCCGGGTGGCTGCTCCCTCGCGTGCCCCCCAACCCATGAAGCCGGCTGCATTTGATACAGCAGTGTTTGATATGATCCGTGACCTGGACTGAAATAGATCGTAGCCTTGTATTATTACTAGTCTCAATGAATAAGTATGGTGATTCGTCCTATTTACGTGTGACTACCTAAGACGCAATTGAAACAATGGCCATATTATGGGCTGCAACCCGCGCGGCTTATAGTTATTACGTAAGGCTATGTTGCGCGCGCTCATAACTATGTCGGGCTACTGATACCACCTGTCGCCCTATGTTGCACTACGTAAATGGGGGGTGACCACCACACTATGAGGACTACCCAGCCCACGTAGGGCTGGGTAGTCACTCTAAATTTTCCTGATGTAGCGCTTTAAAGTAGTGTCAGGGAAAATAAAAACAGAACAAGCCTTGGAGAAGAACATAAACGATAAGCATAAACACTTGCGCGAGAACTTGTAGATAAAAACCTAATAAAAATCAATGCGGTGTCAGTTTGTTTGGAGGCATAAAACCCATGCATGCATTACACCTAAAACCCCTTGCTCAGAAGAATGATCATGCACATATCCACAGTACTCACATCTGTTCACAATAAATTATCAGTCATTAATGAGGACACAATGACGTGTACGTTAGACTTACCGTTCCCGGAATTGGTATGCCTACGTCCTGAACTTAGGAGGGTATTAGACGTGCAGGTATGAATGGGGTTTTGATATTCACTATTTTCTAATCTACAAGAAATCGGGGTTTGAGGAGATTTGGTTCGATTAATATTATTCACTGACATGACTAAGACCAATGCAAGGTAGCGCATCTAACAATAACACTAGTGTTAGCACGGAGTACACAAGCCAATGCAATTTATTGATCCAAGTACTGTACGTACCACTGCATACAGCCAGGTTGTCCATGTGATCTTCTTTCCCTGAGCACGTATTGAGATATACTGCGAATTTACGAACTAGAAGTTTAGGTTATACCCATATAAATTCAAGCTGGCGTATGTAGATTAGCTTCGATGTATTTGAGTATGTGATACTTTGCCACTCACCTCAGCGTCAAGGTTTAGCACTAGATGTTCAATATGTTACCATTTGAGTTAGAGTCGAGACACTTATTACATACAGTAGTCGTATATTGCCAGAGTTATGGCACATGCTATGCAGAGAGTCCCGAACTCAATACCAAGAAAATATTAATGAATAACGTGACATACCATCTAAGAGGTTATTATTCTGGTTGAATGTTGCTTCTAAAACTTCTTGCTCAATGGAAATGGAAGACATGTTGAAATGGAAAAGCGGCCCTCTGAAGCCAAGGTACCAGAGCTGAAGGCCTTAAAAACACCTCATAGTACACAGGTCGTGGACCGTGAGTTGTTCAATATTCATAGTGGATAGTGACGCAACTTGAAGCAGTTCGTTCGTCCCCAGCCGAATACACGTCCTGTGCACCGCTATCATGACGGATCTGAAGGATATAACACATAGCCCTTGCTGAAATCATCCAATGACTATCCAAACTCATAGGTACCTGACACTGAATTACCTTCCAAAATGTGACTATGAACATTCCTGACCGCCGCATGTGGGTTGACGCGTTGACATCCTTCCGAGCGGCTTTAATATGCTACTACTTAGGCCCTTCAAAGCCTTGCTTCCTCTAATCGCTGATTTGGGAGCCCTACGACTTTCTAGTATCGTGACGCTAAACTGTTATCAAGTAACTAAACTCTCATATTACACATCCGTGCCGAGCTCCTATACATTGCCCACATGAACCTTCAGTGTTTCACATGATCAAGTTGTCGTTGCATTGCTCCGTCATGGTCATCTCAAGATGAAACATCACAGCAGATGACGTGCAGTGGCCAGCATCGATATCTGAAACATGCCCCAGCTGCCTTGTACAATGTGGCAGAGTCAAGCCGTGAGCGCGTGAGAGTATACAGTGTGCGCATGGTAGAGGTGTGATCAATTATCACTGTAGGAACCGCGACACACTTACTATCCGATCATACCTCTGGAGCGGTTATCATGATAGTGTTGATGTTATAGTCCCCTTCAAACACGAAGGTGACATGGCCCAAGAGCGCTGCATCAAAAATTGACCCGCATGGGCCGAGGCATCAATGCTCTGAAAGCGAGGGAGAACTTAAGGGCACCGGAACTAAATCAGAAGACAGGAACACAGGGGGGCAATGAGAGTCCATAAACGATCGGCAAAAACAGGTCTTATGAATGCTGCTGCAATGCATCGGGGCCGTAAAGAAGTGAATGTCAGATGTTTAGAGACCTCACAAGGCACTGCCAATTGAGTACTCCATACACTCTTGAACAGCAGCAAATTATATGACTTTATCGAGGCAGCGAACCTATGCTTCCTCCTCGACCTCCCCATCCCTAAACTCATCCAAAGCCCTCATAATCACCTCTTCGCTCTTCCGCGGTTCGAACTTGACCTCGAAAGGCGGCAAGCGTGATGCTGGGCCATCCGTCCACGAGTCGATGTCGAGCGGCTTCCCAGGCGCAGGCTTGATCGTAAATGCCCAAAAGATAAGGGCAAGGTTGATAAAGATGGAACGGTTCGCGACGTGTTGACCTGGACACACACTAAGGGGATGTTAATAATGCTATGAAAGAGGGAGTGATGGGCGACAGAAAGTGACCTACCGCCTTCCAAATCCAAACGGATAGTACTTCATGTCCGACCTGAGCTTCCCGTCCGCGTCGAGCCATCTTTGGGGATCGAACGCGTGGGGGTTCGGGAATGCTTCGGGGTCGCGGGATATCGCCCTACAGAGCATCACTTGTAAGGACACCGAGATGAGTAGTCCGCAGAGAACACTGAAAACGTACCATCCGGTACCGAGAATGGTTGCTCCAGCAGGGATCAAGTAGTTATTCTGCAACATGTCGAATGAGCACATTGAACGTATATACCGGATGCAATGTATAGTCCAACTCACGTAAACGATATCCTTGTTGGCCTTGTGAGCGAGACCTACGTAAACGAAGAGAACGCATCAAGTCAGACACCCAGCTCGTAGATTCCGTATCCCATGGTACCTACCGATCGGCACGATTGGTCTGAATCTCAACAGCTCCTGTGCGAACGCAAGTAGCTGCGGTAGTTTATCGTGGTCCTCGAATGTAGGGACCCTGTCGCGCCCTACGACCGCGTCGATCTCAGCCTGAACGCGCGCTTGCGTCTCGGGGAAGACGGCGGCGACCATCATCGCGTGGGTGAGGGCAAGGGCAGTCTGATTACGATGGCCGGATGAAGAATGAGAAATAAGCCAAGGGGGAAATATTAGGTGGGAGAAGCTTACAGTGTCACTTCCTGCACCGAAAAGGCCGAGCGAGACATAAGCCATGGTGTCTTCAGGGAGGCCATGTACGTCTTGTGTCTCGAGCATGTGTCGCGTGAATGATGCGCTTGCGGTGCCTTCGTCCTTACATGGAACGACAAGGTCAGCAAGCGGCCTAGATATGTAAAGTAAAAACAAAAGGAGGCGCTCACCATCTCCTTCTTCACCCTGTTTACAAGTCCCAATACCAAGCCCCTCTCATCCTTCCGCCACTGCGCTAATTCCCATCCAAACGCACCAACCACCCTGCTCATCCACGTCAACCCCACGCCTTCCAACGCGTCACAGATCCGCCGCATGCCCCCGAGCCTATGGAACACCTTCAAGAACGGCAAGAGCTCTACAAGGTAGGCTCCAGGCACGAACGTCGTCTGGACACGCTCAAGGACCACGTGCACGCGCTGCACCTCGGGCGAGTGGAACGATGTCGGCGTGCGCTTGCCGTACGTGATGCGAAGTACAACTGACGCGGCGTACGTCTTCATGTGCTCCGTGAAGCGCGCTGGGTCGCGGAGCAGGTTGAGGATGACGGTGCGCGCTGCGGTGAGCTGGATAGGCTCGTACGATTCGGCGGCTTTGGGCTGCAGGGCGATGTGTGCGGCTCTTCGATTATCGATTGAGCAGTTAGTTAGTGTGGGACCGACAAAGTCCAGGTTAGTAGCTCACTTGCGCATCCTCCTAAAGCGGTCTCCTCCGGTCTCCATAAGTAGCCGGCCTGACTGCGTGAGCAGCTCGTTGCCTACGATATTGCGAGGACGATCGATATTCGACCCGCCGTATTTCTCCATAATCTCGGTAGCCGCCTGTTTGGCCCCATCATTAAGTTTACGCGCTAAATGGGAAAATATCAAGCTCTCTTACCTGCATCCTCCCGATAACGACGATCAAATTGCTCCCCTGTTTGATAGTGTATACGGGACCGTACTCCTCCGTTAGGTCTTCCAGATAGTGAGCGATACTGGTGGTCTTTAGCGCCAGTACCTCTGTACGCCTCGGAGAAACAAGAGACTTACTTGCGCGAGGGAAAAGGCGGCTGAAAGAACCACTTCGCCGGCGGGCCAGGTGGCAGGGGTAGCGCGTACTTGGGCCTGCTGACGACCTTGGATATTGCATAGAGCACGAGCAATGCAAGACCCGCGTAGCCGGCGCTCGTCGTTGGCGAAAGCGACTGCGATTGTAAGTAAGCTTGGATGTTGGTGGGGAGAAAATCGGATAGGTGATCCATGTTCACGAAGGCGAGGGGTTACACGGAGTTCAGTGAAGAGATACAGTACTTGTAGCATATATAGGGGTGGCATGAATGGCACCTATACCTTCAAGACGTCAGCCACATTAGTCAACAATAAGTGCTGCATCTGCGTCAACGTCAGAGTGCAAGCAACGCGAAATCTCTCACTATCGCCAAGACCAATGCTCGCGACGCGTCGACGCCCTCCGGTGCGCCGGACGTCCGACGCTAGAACACATACACGAACGCCGTAAACCAGCTTAGCGATGTTTATGCTCGCCAGGCCATCCAGGTCGAGGTGGCAGCCGAGCGCCGCATCGCGGAGATTTGCAGTGGATGATGAGTCAGAAAGGCAAAGTACTACGAGCGTCGTGTCAGAAGTCAAAGGAGCTCTCGGAACTCGTGGTACTGTTCATCGTGCTGATTGCGACGGTGAAAAACTTTAGCCTCGTATTCGAGACGCTCCTTTGAAGCAGAGCTTTTCCGGCGCTGGCCCTCCGGAGCCGAGATAGCCCCGCTCTGCGAGAGGTGCTGGTTACGTGGTGCTATTTCATCGTTCCTTTGTGTCGGCGGTAACATGTCTGGATGGTGTGCAGAGTGAGAAAGGTTGAAGGGGTTCGTGCAGGTAAACCACGCAAGTTGTGTCAACAGGAGCCGCAGCTCCCGAATGGGGCACCAAGGGTGTGATCCGATCCATCGGACAGGAAAGGCGGGGCGTTTTGCTAGCGAGTTGGTCCACATCGAGTCATACACTGCGTAATGTCGTAAATTTCTGTGCCAGAATCAAGTGAGTTGGATGTCAACAAGAAACTTGTTGGCAGCGCATACACAGAGTAGCACAAAAGCGGCTTCGGTGGACTCCGGTGGCTTGCCGGTGGCCATGACGTCGGACTTCAAAATCGAATATGTCTAGCTTATGCATTTTTCAGTGGAAACTGAAACCTCTTCAGTACCACAGCGTACATCGACATGGAGAGAGCTCTCAACCTCCCTGAGATTAGGGAGCATATCTGCTCTCAGGTTTCGTCAAAGGCGTCACTCGCTGCTCTGGCGCGAACGTGTTCCGCATTTGAAAAACTCGCGCTGGACAAGCTCTGGTCGGGCGACCCGCATGCTATCTCGTTTAGTGACTTGAGGAAGGCTCTCCCTGGAGTTTTTGTCACTGACGCGGACGGAGAGATCGTAAGATCGAAGCCCCATGTATTTCTGAGACTACAACCTCTGACCTCGTCTTCTCAGGTTGACCTAAGGCTACGCTCCCCGAAAGACTGGGATCGCCTCTTTGCTCTGACCACTCGTATACGCTTCCTCACGTTCGATGAAGGCCCTTATATCATCGAATCAGTTCTTGAAATGCTACTCAGCCCTCCTTCAAGCCTCCAAAAGGCTTTCCCCAAGCTCCGCTCCCTTGACGTCGATGGCTATGATCCCAATCTCCTTCAGACGTATATTCCATTCCTCTCGTCTCACCTTCGCGAGTTCTCTTATCGCGGACACCCTCAAAATATACGTATACCCCTGCAGGTTCTCCCCGATAAGTGTGCTTATCTTCAGTTTCTGGGCGTGACCGAGGGCGACTGGCCTTCGAAGGATGGAGAACTCATATGTATGATCAAAGAGGTGTCCGCCGCTGTGATCCGCCTCCCGTTGCTCGTCTCCTTGAGGTGCCCCGACCTTGAGCCGCATGCTCTCCTTCACATCTCGCGCTCTCCATGTCTCCGCGAGCTTCGTCTAACGGACCTACAAGAGACAACTCCAGTTGTGGTTCACGCTGATCCAACTCCCTTGAGGTTCGAGGCAATAGAGGAACTCGAGCTGCGCATGATGAGCTTCGAGTCCGCTCTAGCAGTCCTTCGTCGCCTTCAGACGCTTCCGCGCACTCTAGAGCTTCAAGAACCAATGTCACGATTCAAGGACCTCACGGAGTTGAGGGAGGTACTCGCAATCTTGAATCGATGCGAGCGGCGCAAGTATGATTTGGAAGAGCTGGAAATCCACGGGTTTACTGTAAACCACCCGACCAATCTGGACGTTAGGTATAACATGGACTTTTTCCGGCTCCTCGGGCGTCACCGCAAGTTACGCTCTCTCGAGCTTTGGGTGGAGTTCGAGATAGGGCTCTCGCCCTACGATGTCGCAGAGCTTGCTCTAGCTCACCCATATCTCAAAAAGCTTATCTTCTCGCCCATGTCGGATACAGTGCTGTCAACGCAGAGCCTCTCCATCCTTTCCAACAAGTGCCCGAAGTTAACGTATATTGAAGCACCCATCACTGATTCACAATGCGATCGCGATGGCCTCTTCGAGCTGGATAACGGGTCGACACCATCGGCATCCCACTCCAGCCTCACATCGCTCGATCTCATCACTTCGCAGTTCCGAGACATGGCTTTTCTCACACAAACTCTCGAGGCATCCTTCCCTTCTCTTACGGAGCTTAGCCTCCATGAACTGTCCTTCAAGCACTGCTCGGATCCCATGCCGTTCACGTCAGCCACTATGGAGCCCCTGTGTTGCCTCACTCATCTCACTAGATTACGGATCGACGTAACCAACCGCCGCGTCGAGATCGCAGAAGCGGATGTACTCAGGCTAGCGCGGTCCCTGCCCAGCCTCAAAGTCCTATATATCTCTGGAGCAACTGCAGTCGGCTTCGATGGTCTCGCCATGAGCCTTGACAGCATCCTCAATCTAGCCGATACACACCAAAGTCTCGTTGAAATAACCCTCCCCTTCCGCGCGTTCCTCGCCGACCGGTCCAACAGCAGGCATCGCTTCCGCGCACGTCGAACGCTTCCTCGAAACCGCACTTTGAAAGACATCCATCTCCTCGTCTCGTCGAAGCCTAGCCGCGAGTACCTTGCGGACCTAGCGATTGTCGTGCTCACTGCATGCGCACGCCTGAGCACATTTTACTTGACGACACCAAGGGCCAGTCCCGAGCCGCCTATTCCCCTCTTTGACGCAATCGAGGCGTTTAGGAAGGTGGAGAGAGTTCAGGGTCTTAGCAAGATGCGCTATGAGGACGTATGGCTGTTTGTTGTGAATGAAATTAAGAGAAGTAGGGAGAGTTAGGAGGCGAAAAGGGCGACGCGTTGATCCTCGTTGCGCTCGGCCTTGAACTGTTGAATGTGTTCCTCGTGAGTAACTGAGCCTACAGATTTTACATATAATCTCACGCTACGCAAGAAGTACCCAAGGCTTTGGGAAAATGCTATACCTCTAACCACTTTTCGGCTACCGTAGACGAAGCTGATGTCACCGAGCGCGCTCGAGGCTATGACTGCAGCGGATTCGTATCTTACGTACGTCAATCTCACTACCTCTTTCGTTTCCGACACAAATGCGCTTATCCAAACTCTGGTAGCACTGTTTTCCTTCAATACCACATTTGAAATGCGGGATCATCCTTAAGATGACTGTTTTAATCCTATTCCCGTAACGCCTGTCACCATAAAGCTGCTCAAGGGTTTTATGCGTCTTAATTTGCTACACCTGGAGCTAACCCATCATCATGTGGAGCTCAAGGACTCGCGTGTCTTGAGTTGGCCGGGATATATGCCTCATCTCACTTGTCTGACACTGTTGGGCGTCCCTTCCTTTGGTTTTTGACGGACTGACATTAACACTCGGGAGCGTTCTGAAGCTGACCAACATCTGTCCTAGACTTGAGGAGCTCACCGTTCCCTTTCAGGCGCTGCTCTCCGACCGGTCCAACAGCGAGAAACGTTTCATGGAGAGCCGAGCAACCTCACCGAATCGAACACTCAGAGCTGTTCGTTTTGTTGTTCTTTCAAGACCGAGCAACGCTTACCTTGTCGACCTCGCTATCGTCATGGCTACTAAGTATGTACGCATCGAGAACTTGTCGTTGAAGATGCCGCGGTGGTGCTCACCACTTACGCCGCACGCGGATTTCCAAGAGCCTCGGCGCACCGTTGTGCCTGAGATCGAGCACAATCAAAGTGTCCAGGAGAGTGACGATGATTGGTAGTTGCGCATTTCAGAGGGTTATGGTCCGTGCTATTGTCTAATCAAGCCTACCTTTTTATCATCTCTAATCGCACTACGCCACCTAGATGTGCATGAACTGCATAAGTTTGCTTCGTTCCTATAGCTGGGTATCTAAGTCTCAAACACTGATATTGAAATTCATAGCCACATGCGGTGATGGTAGTAGGATCGATAACTTTTGGACATCAGTTGATGAGCATTTACGTGAGCACTTGGGTCGCCAAAGCGGATTTTCCGACGTTGCCACTCCGTCTTCCACTAGGGGATTGGCGCTAATCTGTCAACTGCACTACCCGTGCGAGCAACGTCGTCACTGCGCTGGTGCGGTAAGGAGCTTCTCCATCAACGCCCTGGCTGTTTTGTACATATGATGCTTCACCGTTGGTACGACCGCACAGGTTTGCTACGCATCGCCTCTGGCAGCTGTTTGGGTTAGGCCCAGGCAACTCCCTTAAAAAGGAGGCGGAATCGATCATGGATTCCGACTCCTGTTTCATACCTTCACCTCGTATGACACTCATTATCTCAAACTCACCTTCGGATTGGCCCACCATCTGGTCAAATGGTGTACAAAGCTATGCTCAAGGTGAGGTTTTATGTTCCTGGTCGCTGCTTGATCCGCTGATTGCGCCCTCTTCATCTAGTTTCAGTGACACTTCTTATTGTCTATAGCTGGGGTATGTTTCATATTTAGACCTTCAAACCTCCTAAAGTTAAACGGGAATGTGAAGTCCTCGATATTGACGATGAGGTCGGGGGGTTTTCCACACGGTCCTCCTCTCATTGGCTGACTAGTACCGGATGCAGATTGAACTAGTATGGGTACGTTCATTGCACTTAACCTTGAGTCGCTCTAAGCATTCTCTTCAGAAAAGACGAGATATCAGGATCATCTTGATGTACGCTGTGGTATGTCAGCGCACAAAGGCCCATGCTCTTATTTGACACTCAAACGTATAAAGCTTCGATATTTGAGCATCTTTGCTTCAGTGTACGTTCCCATGATCCTTCATACCACTCACCAGTTCAATCTTATCGCTATCGGTGAAGAATATGGATGTGTGAGCTTAATTAACCTCATTGCGCACAGATTTGACACTGACCATTTGGTTTGCAGTAGAGCTCGTTCCTTGGACATACACCGATGATGTTCGTGCTTTTCAATCAGTGTGGAGTCTGTTGTTTCATACGATTTTCAGGTGTAGGTCAACAATCGTCTGCCAAGTATTTTCTTTTAATATCTTTTTATTCCCGAATGGTGTCGCAGATGTACGCCCCGTCTCTAGAAACATGTATAGTGCACATAATCTCACAAGTCTCACAGGCAGCGCTATGTTCCTTATCGACAATATAACTTCCTTCATCATCGTGGTGACATTATCCTGTAATCATCAGCTCAATCATAACGTTGAACGTGCTAAAATTTCTGACAGTTATGATGACGCTTCGTGTCCATGCTCTTTGTGGGCAACCTAAAAGCCTTTTGCACTTTCTGCTTGGTTTCTTGGCTATAAAAGAAACAGTAGCCGTAGCTACCAAAGTTCTTGAATATAACGCGTCAAAGGGATCTCAAGGTGACCACTTTATCTCACCATTCCCTGACTCAGATTGGTAACTGTTTTCAGTTGGAGGGGCAGTTTTGTCGGGCATCCCAATGTGTGTGTTCGCGCCATCAGGGGCATACCCGTGGATCAACTCCTTGACGAACGGAATGAGCCTGTCATTTGAGACTGCTCTATTCTCTTGCACAATATATAAGTTTGTTGGCCATATCAAGGAATCCGGCTTACATTCGATGCCAGGGATGGAAGGCTTTTTCTTGATACTCATCAAAGATCACGTTTTATATTATCTTCTGTGAGTCGTTTAATCTTCACACTCAATTCAGTAGAATGACATTATGGGCGCAGTGCATTACTGGCGGACGTGTTCACCACTCTCAATATTGTCCCTGCGCTTCAGCAGGCAAGTATTCTATACTGTTTGTTCATCCGTATATAATTGATCGCACCGCAGTCAAACTCGACAGGTACTATATGGGATTGCGTTGTTATTGTACAACAAGCGTGGATCATGGCAGTAATGGGGCCGCAACTAATGATTGGACTACTTAAGTCGGAGGCAAGACTACAAACAAGGGACGGATTCTTAGAGAATCCACTTGAAACTATGGTGTTTGCCCTGGGTTCAGAGGATATACGCCGTTTGACCGTGGAGTTCTCCAACGTTGAGGCACAGGATTAAATATATATCCTCAGAAACTGCCACTAGTAGTCCTCTACCGGGGCAGGAAATGTGTCTGTGTTAATGGTTAGCATATCATCTTCTATGGTACACGAACCTAGAAACCGATACCCAGACAACCTCAGGCCCCACCTGACCGAACACAATATAGTGATGCTTGAGACCGTAAGAAGAAAGTGCTTGAAGTGAAAGCAGTTCGGCAGTTGCCAGATGATCCTCTACCGGACATTAGATCGGAGTTTTCAACGGTGATCGCAACGGAACTCGCATATGTCTCTGTGGACACGCATATGTTTGAAAGGCACGTGAGCGTGTTTGTTGCTTTGGCAGTTAGTACTTGGCTCCCGCACACTTCTATATCAGTGACGCTTCTTTTTAGACTTTGTGAGTGGCATTATGATGACATGAATTCTTTGGGCGTGCCACAGACCTTACAGAGATTGAGATTGCAAGAGGGCCCTCACCCGCCGAGTACTTATTTTATATCGACGTAGGCGACATTAACATTGTGGGCTGCAGTGACTGAGCCATATGACTTGATGCTTTTGTTATATTTCGTACGTCCCTGTTTGTGTGATTTGATTGATACTCGTTAGGTTAACATGACTCGACTAATTAAACGCGCATGACGCGACCTGGACCCTTTCCGTAGTTCCCACATTCAGACGCGTCGCAACCTTGGGCGCAACTCGCCAGCTGAGCCTTCTTCCCCTCCAACTTCTTACTACCACCTGTACTAGTGCAAACCTCGATTCCTTAGCCCTGTACACTCGCATCAATGCCTCGTAAAAAGAATGGTACGTCTGCGTAGCTTCACCTCGCTTCTGTAAGGAGGCATTGATTCCGGGTCCAGCACGACGCACCAAACCCGTAAAGGCTTGCAAACACTCTCAAGCTGAACCTGACGCCAGTGGGCTAGTGTTCCGCAACGCTGCGTCTCTTCTCAACCTCCCCAATGAGACAATTAACATGGTCCTACGTCACGTCAGCAACAACTGTCTCGAGTCGCTTGCGCTCGTTAGTAGACGCTTGAACAATCTTGCACTCCACGAGTTCTTTATCGGACGGCGATACATCAATCATGTTCTTCCCCGTTCAAACCAAACCTCCGGAGGTCTCATTACCAACTCCCTTGAGAGTCTTCCGAGGCTGACCCTCCAGCTACGCCGTCCCTCGCACGAGCATCGCCTTCTCTTCATTGCATTCGGTTGGAAGGTGTGTGAGTGCGTCGCAGCAGAATGCAGTACCGTGGACAACATGAAGAGAGTCGTTGATTGGATATCGCGCCTGGAGCTACGCGGTTTTGTGGTCACTATCCAGAAGAGCACCCTTAAGCGGGACGTTCTCAAGGCGCTGACCGAGCTCTTGCTGACGCTGGTCGGAAAGCCTCTTGAGGACCTGACTGTAAACGTCGGGGCCAGATGCGATCCAGAAGTTATCGCTGAATCAGAGCTGAATGGTCTTCTAGGACACTCACCCGACCTCGTAAGCCACACACCGTCGAACGTAGGCTTAATCTCACGTATCTTCAGTTCATACCTTCCAAAAGGGCGACGCCAAATACCATGGAACTAGACCGTGCAGCGCCTTTGTCTCACCTCGAGACGGTGACATTCAACACCCCTATCATGCTCGTGCGACCTTTCTGCATATGGTTCATCAGATCTCTGAACGCGTCTGACGTCACGACACTTATTCTCCGGTTCAATCCTTGCTGCGATGCACCTTGGAGCCACGGTTTGAAACATATCTCCGTACCTCAGCTCCGGACTCTGGAGATTCAGACAAACGCCTGCTCGTCTGATAACATCGCAGAGTTTTTATCTCGTCATATGGGCGTCGTGTTCCTCAGACTGCGCTGGCGCGGCACGGACGCCGTTCATTTGCCGGACAGCATGCCTCCTCATCTTATTGAACTGGAAGCCATACCCACTACGCTAGCTCATGCGCTTCAGTCTACGTCTCAGTTCAGCCATTTGGAAGCCATCACGATGTATGAGCCTGACGAAGGTTTTGATGGCATCATGGACGCCCTATCGCGTACAACTTTTGATAAGGAGATTCGCTTCAAAATGACATTTTCATCGCAAAACCGATTCATGTCGTTCGTATCACGGAGTGCTGAGGCCCCCTGGGCAGCGCAGAGACTCCTCAGCTTCGTGACAAATTTGGAAATCTGTTTCGATAAAAGCAGATTATACACAGCTGAAGAGGAAGAAGAGGAAGGCGAGTCTCCTCAGATTGACGTGGACGGCATTTCTCAGCTTCCCATGTGGTTTGCCAACTTCCCAAACGCTAAAAATCTCAAATTCGACCTGGACACCTGGACATTCCCTACGAGAGCCAAGAAGACGTTCATAGATACTCTATGTGAAAGTGCCCCACATGTAGAGACATTGAACTTTGGGTGGACGGAAAGGACTATGGCGCAGTGGGCCGAGGAGAGCAAGAAGGAGGCGCAGTGGGACTTTAACTAGTGAATTTCGTTCATAAAGAGGCAGAATGTATGCTCAGACCGTATAGGAGTTCATATGCGCTTGCCTTTGATTTCCACTCCTACCCAGCGTGCCCAGCATTTGATTGTAGAGACACATCCACTCGGAGTTGTGTTGTCAATCTGACACGAATCCACTTAAGACATAGCTGCTTTTCTTGTTGAACCCTCTGTACAGGTAAACACATGACATGAATCACGTTCACCTAATATTCAGCCCACCCGCCAATGTAAGGGCAATCTAGACTTGTGTACGACTGTGATAGAGACAAACTTCACTGTCACTTGAAATGATTTCCTGCACTACAAGCTGCGACGAAATCCTGATACACGCGATACGGGCCTAGGGTCAAGCCTCGACGGATGGTTGTACGCTGTTCTACGGATTGCGGAGAGAGAGACAAATGCAATGGAGTCCGATTCGGCTCCGATGCACCGACAGCAGAAAGCGTGGCGGCGCACTTTGTCGGAGCTCCAATTTGACATCTGCGCGCGTCGCGTTCTCTGCGTCAGCGTGCCGACCCGCCCCGCTTGCCGCCCCGTCTACCCTCTCCTCACGAGAAACGACCAATCTCATGCCCACTTTCGAATCTCAGCGTTCGACGAGGAACACGTGTATACTCGACACTTTTCTACTGCATTCCTCAACAATCACCCTCGTCCATTGAGGGAGTGCCCCAGGTTTCTGGTGATATGACATGATGACCATCGTGTAAGGTCTCGATGGCAATGCATCAGCTGATGCGCCCCGCCCCCGAGTGGAGTTTAAGTTGTGATGCCAAGTTGACATGCTGTGCCTCGCCATTTATTCTAGAGGTACGGTAGCCTCAATAAAAAGCGTCGTCATAACTTCGTGCGTGTCGTTTCTCTTCGGTCGCCCGGAATGAAGTTGTCTGTACCAGCCCTCCTGGCTGGATTCTTCTCTCTGGCCCTAGTAGATGCAGTTTCGGCGTCTCAATGCCGCTGCACGTATGGCGAATCTTGCTGGCCGAGCGATTCAGACTTCGCCCAGCTACACTCCCTGCTCTCTCAGCCTCTCGTCTATCCAAAGCCAACCGCATCCCCGTGCTACCCCTCGTCGAGCCCCTCGGGTAACTGCAGCGAAGTCCAGGATAACTGGGCCAACGCCACGTGGCGATCCGACTTACCTGGGAGCATGGAGGAGCCTAACTGGGAGACGTTCACCCTCTCAAACGGCACCATCGAGTCTTGCTACCTCGAGACGAACATCACCGGAACATGCGAGCAGGGAAATGTACCAGTCGTGGCCGTTGATGCCCGTATGGCTTCCGATATACAAGCAGCCGTGAACTTCTCGGTAACGCATAATCTGAGGATGGTCGTCAAGAACACAGGGTGAGTTCTCCAGTCCGATTGAGAGTTATGCTCGGTGGTGAGCTTGGCTAGACACGATTACATTGGTCGGAGTGCGGGAAAAGGAGCGCTGATGGTTTGGACCCACAACATGAAGAACATCTCGTATGACTCTGCATTTGTGCCCGAGGGAGCGCCATCGTCTGAAACCTACAATGGTAAGTTATATTGAAATATTTTGGCTCGAAAAGTTCGTCTCATGCAATCGGCCAGCTTTCACGTTTGGTGCCGGCGTCCAATGGTTTGAAGCTTACGACGCTGCCGAGAAGGAAGGTCGCCATATCGTCGGCGGCTTGGGAGTTACCGTCGGCACAACGGGTGGATGGATCCAAGGCGGAGGCCATAGTTCCTTGTCGCCCACCTACGGACTGGGTGAGTCGAGCATTCTCTATCGCTGAGCTATCGCCGATGTCATGTTTCAATCAGGGGTCGATAACGCAGTTCAAATGACCGTGGTCGTCTCGACCGGCGAGCACCTCACCGTCAACGCTCACCAACACACGGATCTATTCTGGGCTCTCCGCGGCGGAGGTGGGGGGACATATGGCATCCTCACGTCCGTCACGTACCGAACCTACCCCGTCGTACCCGTTGTAGCGGCTTCCTTCTCAGCGAACTCTACGAACACGTCCCTCCTCCAAGGCTTGTTCACCTCTAGTTTCGGGATGTTACCCTCACTGGGTGACGCTGGCTGGGGTGGCTACGGAATCCTCTCAAACACCACCCTCAGCTTCTTCTACATGTCTCCGAATGTCTCATGGGCACAGGCCAACGAGACCTGGGAGCCGTTCTTTTCGCAAGCGGAGAACCTCACGCAAGCCGGTTTAAGTATCGTGGGTGCGACAACGATGAATTTCTCGTCGTTCTACACGTTATGGGACGAAGCTGGGCTCTCGCCAGTGCAACAAGGTGGTGGAGCCATGGTTCTCGGCAATCGCCTCATTCCTCAACAGGCTATCGAATCGAACAACACCGGGCTGACTAAGGCACTCCTGGAGGTAATACCCGACGTGTCGTGGAAGTACGTCAATGTTTTGTACTTAACGTATGTCCCTCGACGGTTCTGACTTCCGATACTTTAGTTCCGTCGCAGGAGGAAAAGTAGCGGAGGCCGACCCTGATTCCGCCGGGTTGAATCCAGCGTGGCGAAAGGCGCTTGTATCGATAAACTGGGGTGCAACCTGGGACGACGGCACAGACGCACAGGAGATTACGGGTCTCCTCAACACCGTTAAAGAGCAGGAGGCCAGCATACGGGCACTGATGCCCGAATCAGGTTGCTATTTTAACGAGGTGGGTGTTGCTCCGTCTGGCTCGCTGCTTCTTCACTGCACGTTACTGATGCGGGGGATGCAGGCATCTCCATTTGAAGCCGATTTCCAATACACATTCTTCGGCGACCACTATGCAAAGTTGAAGTCTATTAAGGACCAATATGATCCACACGGTTTGTTCGTCGTAAGGCAGGGAGTTGGATCCGACGAGTGGAATGACGACTTGACATGCCGAGTCAAGTAGGTTCGATTTACCATATGCACCTTTTGCAACATATACCAGGTCTCACCTGTCGCATACGTCGATATACCGTTAGCCATCCCTAATGACAACCTTGATACGGTCTTCTTATACGCGCTCATTGTATGACAGAAGAGTACATTGCCCCTTCATCACTGATCTAACTTTTCATGCACTCTGATATAAGCAGAGAAAACTGCCCTGAGCACATGATCCTTCGAATATGTAGACAGAACGTACCGATGTACGAGGACTTCAGATTTTGGCACTAAAGAAGTACTTGGACTCTTCGAGCGTTGATGACGTCGGCATCGCCCTCATAGCGTCGATTAATCGCCCTTCATGCTATCAGCGCAGATAATATGATGCATGTGTCTGTCAACGGCGCCCGAGCCGGATTTTGATGCAAGGCACCTAGTTTTGCCGCCTTGTAGCACATCTGAGTTCGGAGTATCTGTAAACAACATCACAGGAGGCCATCAACGGGTATCACGGCGAACTGCCACAGACTAGGAATAATCTTGATTTCAGACAGTATTTTGTATTACATTCAAGACGTAGAAACGTTGGTAATGTTAATAACGTCGCTCCTCGAGCTCGAGCCCGAGGTAGCAAAAGTGTTTAGGGGCATTGTGTATTGTGCCCGAACGAGCGCTTCATTTCTCCGGGAAATCCCGATCATATAAGCGCTTGTCTGCTCCACTCCCTCGGCTTGACTTGAATGTTGCACCGCACTGCTTACGTTCTTCCTCCCCCGCCGAGTTCCTGACTGACGTTCTATCTTTGCTTTCAGCCGTAAACTTCTAGCGTTGCACATGTAGGATTGTGCCTAGCACAGGTTTACGCTGGTACCTCGCTGTCGCCGGCGGCGGTCGAGAACCGTCGGATGGCTTCAAGGCTCATGCACATGTGTGCTGTTTCTGATTGGAGTCTCATGCTCGTTAACGTACTCCGGCTCCGATCTTCAACACCCAAACTCAAAGGACACCTGCAGGCGCCACTTTGCCGCCTCTTCTGCCGCTCTGTATGGTGCCCTTTTCACCTCCGATATTACTCCTCCACTGTGAACTTTTCTCCGGTCATGATCTCCGTCGCCATTTCTCGGTGTTAATGGGCTGCTTTCATGCAAAGGTAAGGCTCTTCTCTTTCATTACTATTCATTATCGCCAGTTGAGTTCTCGATAAGTCGACCATTGTTTCGAGCTATTCTTGGTCACTGTGCCTTGCGCTTTGACAGCCAATCACTGGTGTTTCCATTCAATGGGTTCAACAGCGGTAGTATGATGCGGATGCTCACGTATACACGCGAAAGGAGTAGCTCGCGGCCTCATGCTGCCTTTCCTCCGTCGCTTCCATCCCCTTGTCTCAACCCAGCTGGATCATCGTTGTCCTTTCTCTGCGGAATACGTTCTCTGAACAGGTACATCTCTATCTCAATTCTATATAAAACATATTCTGGTAAGCTGATATCCCTTTCATCTCCCTCGGCCGATGCGGTCGTATCTTCTCAGCGTGCAAACAAACTGCCGATTGGTACCTCGAGGCTGCGCTGATCCTTCAATGCGGAATGTACACAATGTCATGAACGTTCCCACTATCGACTATCTCTATCGTCCTCTCGTAAAGGACACCGCTGTTTGACGTAGCATCCCAATATACCTCTTTTGGAGGTGTGCCCCTGATGAAGCAATCCGTCAAACGCGCAAGGACCAGGACCTGGATTCTGAGGAGGGATATAAGCCCGGCTACGCGTTCTAACACAGCGGTTCTCTAGCCCAAGATCGTACGTAGACATCCTAGGTGCTCGCTTGACCCGACGATCATGCTCTCCCGTCTTTCCGCCGCCGTCGTGCTCAGTCTCTCCCTTCTTGCGGTCGCTAAGCCCATTGCTGACCCGTACAGAGGGTTGTCGAACGCGCAGCGTCTGTCTCGTGGTCTTCCCATAGCAATGCCGAGGAACCTCCGTAAGCTATCAAACAGAGGTCCTTCCAAAGCATACGGTACGTACCCTTGCATACCCCCGAGAACAAGACTCTGGACCCCGTGCTTACTCGGTTCACGTAGAGAAGCGCCACAAGCCTTCCTCGACGCCGACTTCCACCGGATGGTGCACAACGGGATCTGCGCAGTGCTGCGAGAGCGTTGAATCTGTATGTTTCATATTTATATGAACATATGTTGACGGAACGCTAATATGTGTCTCCAGGCTTCCAATCCCGTTGCGAAGACGCTCCTCGGTCTGCTTGGCATCGTTCTCTCCGACCTAGATGTTCTCGTCGGTATTACATGCTCGCCCATCAACATCCTTGGCTTGGGACTCGGCGAGTGCTGGGAAAAGCCCGTTTGCTGCGAGAACAACGATTTCGTAAGACAATTTTGTTTTTGATTCAATATCGTCGTTAACTTCTGACATTCGCAGGGCGGCCTCATTTCGATCGGATGTAGCCCTATTAGCATTGAGCTTTAGATTCGTCTTCCACTGTGTAATTTTCTTTTGGGGACACTGGTACTAGGTAGCTGTGTACGATTTACGTCGTCAACTTGTTCGCTGTCGTGAGGCAGCACAACGATGTATTACACGATTGACGAACTGATGTAGCACTGTATTGAATACACACGGGAGAATATACATGAAGCTGCTTTCAAGTATGAGTCTGTTCCATGCGACGGATGTAGGCGGGGTTGTAGTCCGGCTGAGGTCAATCGGTCTATCTGTAGTGTTTACGAGTAGTACTGTCCGCCACAGGCTTATAGCCCTGTCAAATCACTTCTGCGACGGCTTGCGAGGTTATCTTTGGTAGTCCAAGAGGCTAGAGCACTACTTCGATTCTCGTTGTTTGTATGGTTCTTTCATGCGCGAGTGCTTGTTTCTTATGTATGCCCTCTGCAAGTCGCTAACTACGGAGAGATATAAAGAATGTATACACGATCGAGCCCCGCGCTGAACAAAAATATTCCTGGAGCCGAAGACTCCAGGTGTAAGGAAAGAAATGTCGTATCCCTTCGATCATGCCGGCTCGCGGGCCGCGAGCGCGGATGGCCCGCACCGCTAGATTTATGTCTAAATTTGGCAATGTCTCAGTCTCTGCGGCAGCACTTACATGTGTTCTTTACTGATTCCGCCCACTCAAAGCGCATTTAATGTCAGGTGCTCTGAATGTGCGCAATGCGGTGGACCTGGCCAGATGCGTTGACGCCCCGACAGTGGTAACCCTGTTGAGACTTGTATGACGTTCCTCTAAACATGACCAGGTTTGTAGTATAAAAAAAATGAACAGTTATTTAGCACCAATATCGGTCGCCTTGTTTTGCATTCCGTCGACCTCCACTAGCGGGCCTCATTGTTCAGTACATTTATGCCAGAGGTTGTTATGTAGACAAACGCGTATAGTTCGCTCGTAAGTAGCCACTGCCGTTGATGTGCTATTCACAAAAATTGATCTCCTCCTAGCACTCTTAAGATGGGCCTCGTTGTGCAGTAGATGTGTTCTCCTGGGCGCAGCCAGTGCAACTAGTAGATGTATGCTAGAGGTGGTTGTGTAGACAAAGCGTCCTTCGGGTCCAGGTGTGCCCACTAGGGCCTTGAGTCTATTCATATTCCTCAGTATCGACTATCTACAAATTGGATACATGCGGGTATATTGGCCACGATCCGATATGGCCCGGTATCCTATTATAGATGCTGTTCTTATTGGGGCTTATTAGCCAATCGGCAACCTGCGGAGCTTGAAACGCTCAATCCGCTGAACTCCGCATTGTGGAAGGTTGGATGAATCAGAGAAACGAAAATGAAGTAAAAGCGGCTACTGTGCTAGGTACGCGTGCTCGTGTCTTAGTGCACTGCAGACACACTCGCAGACGCGTAGTACGTCTCTCGACATGGCTAGGCCACCGCGAGAAGCGCGTGGGAAAACGGACTCTTCAAATGAATGCCCTCGACCTCGATGCGTCTCTCTTTCCCTTGCCTCTCTGTCTCTCCCTCTCGTCTGCATATACCCACGTCCGTTCACCCATCCTCTCTTTCCTATATCCTCCTCCCGCTCCTACTCCCACACCCACCGTTAGCCAGAAGCGGTGAGCACGAGGTCTGTTTGGACCGGCAAGATGGCAAGCTACTGCAGGCTGCCAAGCTGCGCTCTGGCAAGTAAGTCGCCAGTTCACTGGTTGCTGCTCTGTTACTGACGCATATATCGAGAACATTAGCACAGCATCTCTACGTTAAAAACGAGAGCCAAACCACGTTCGAGGTCTTCAACCAATGGTGGGAGTCTCTGGGCGAGATCAGGTAAGAGGTACGTATTTTAATTGTCATCCGCATCGACATGTTCTAATAAGTAGATATAGAAGTACAATGGCAAAGCTGAGAAGCTAGTAAGTCTATATACTCGGGTTCTGAACCCGCTGACCGCGCCTCCAGATCTCCGACAAAACATTGGTCGATACCAACATCGGTGTTAATGTTACCATTGTCGCCAGCTCATTGTTCCATGACGCGTAAACAGGGCAGAGGAGACGAGGGGAGGAGGGGAGGACAAGGACAAGGAGGAGGGGAGGACAAGGACAAGGAGGAGGTCCGGACGCATAGACAGTATGTACAATGGTGTATACGTAGCATATGATATGCGAATGCATATTTCAGTGTACTGCAGTATACCCTGAGCGAGAATCATTCAAAATGAACATATTCATATTCCAACATATGGTGCTGTATTAATTCATATATTCAGTAGATCACAGTACACCGCAGTACATTTCAGCTACTATTTGTCTCATTTTCATATGGTAGTGTACTGACAGCTATTCTGGCATACTTTTTAGGTGGGCTACCTAATCTGTACATGACGGTATGGTCCGGTAGCCTACGCTAGAGGCCGTTCTTAGTGGGAATAAGCGACGGGCTGGCTTTCGGCCCAGAAACCTTCAGCTACGTACTTCCCGGTAGCCTTCGGGCCAACGCTTCGACGTTGGCGCGGTGAGCTTAAACGTCATCGACAGTCCGAGAGCTATAATTTTTAGTAGAAGAAGTTAGGGCAATACTATTACTTCTAAGGCCATCAGGAAAATGACAAGCCGCTTTACCGGCATTATCCTGACTTTGCCGAGATGAACCTACTTTTTCGGTATTTTCGGCTCTTTGCTAGAGAATATTTGGCTAGAACACCACATCAGTGGCATTTAAGCTGCAATTCTCGTTAAGAAGAGCAAGCTATGAGTCTATCAAACCAATTTGAATCTTCAAATATAGCAGAATTGTGGTTTCAATTTTTGGGAAAGTAGGTTCACTCTGGCAAGGACAGGAAAGTGCGGTTAATGCGCATGTCAAAATCCTGATGAGTCGGGAAGAGACATAACGTGTCGGGTGAGGGAAGCGTGTTGGCTAACGTGCAGGCGTAGTCCCTGGCGTTGCGCATATCACGCACCTCCAGCTTAGCCTCTCTAACGCGCACCAAGGCTGGCTCCATCAAAGTCGTGGCAGGAGAAGCAGATGCATTAATATATAGGTAAGGAGATGTGCACCAGCTTCGGGCAATGCTGGGAAAAGAGCGCAACGGACTCGATTGTCAGCGATGACGAGGGACCGGAAGCGATCGTGAGATCTTCAAGGTTTGGCCAAGCCATCGCGAGCTCCTGCACATCGTCGAGCGTTAGCATGATGTGGTACCCAACGCGAAGCGATAGCTTCCGCAAGCGCCGGTGGTACGTGAGCGGACGAAGGGCCTCCATCGTGAATGTGACAGGATACGAGGGAAGGTCATATATCATCGCATCTCCTTCGATCACCAGCTCTTCGAGCGCTGACGGGAGTTGGTGAGGCTGAGAGAGTAGCCAGAATATAGTGGTTATGTGGGAAAGAGGAAACGCAGAGGTTGCGACCTTGAGTTTTGCCAACGAGGGTGAGATCATGCGTAAGAGGGTGACTGCATCATCAATGTCTCTTGGGGAAAGCTCCAGGTTTCTGACATTTCTCAAAGCTCCGTCAGGAAGTTTCTGTACCGGATCATTCTGAGTATCAAACACCGCCAGCATCTCCATACATGTAAGAGTCAACTCGCGGAGCGAAGACGATAGGTGCGTGTTGACGAAAGCAAAGCGCCTCAGATCGGGGCTTTGAAGTTTGGTAAGCAGAGGCAATCTCCCTACAGTGTGGGATATAGCGCCGATGAGGATACGCCGGTCCACTGCAGAGTGTGGAGGAAGTCGCTCGACCACTTCTAGGACTTCCAATTGCGGACAACGCTCCATGGCGCACTGTAATACCTGTGTGGCGTTTTCACAGTTTCGGAAGACCTCTAAAGTGAGCCCATGTAGATTATGGTGGATAAAATCAGTGTAAGCATGTAGAGCATGGGTATGCAGGCCGTCAACCGCCAGGTGTAGGTGGTGAAGTCTTGGGAAAGTTCGCTGTAAACTGGAAGGTGGGGACACCAGTCTTCGCAAGGGTTTGTCGCAGATACGCGGGAGACTGCGACAATCGAGAGACAAGACGCGGATACGCGTCGTAAAGCTGAAGAGACGAACCCAGTCTTTATCTTTTGTCAGGACAAGATCGACCTAACAATCAAGCATGATCAGCGTGGTGTGGCAGGTCATCTAGCGGATACGCACCATGATACGCTTGTCATCTCTCTCGGCTGCATCCGACATGACATTCAGGATATCCTCCATGCGGACGGGTTGAATGACACCGGACCATATTCTGTTGAGTGAAGGCACTTTGAACGCGGTGCAGATCCGAGCTAGGACTGTGAGGGAGTCCAGGGTTTCGACCTGGTCACATATCTCCTGCCTTATTTCCGGTAAGTGTAGAGCGTGGTGCATCTTTTAGAGAAACTAGTGGTTGTCCACAATTTACAAGTACCCGCTCCTGACCAAACGGCTGTCAGCCGTTCCGAGCCAGAAAAATAAACGGGCCTGCCCTCAACCAAAAAATCCCACGCTTATTGCCAGTTGACATTAATTAGCAGTTGCTCGTCTTGTCAATTCACGATCGTACTTCGACGTGCTTTAACGGTGTCTTTCATGAGATTCACTAGGCTACCTGAGCTGGTATGTACCGGTTTCTCGGAAAAGAACTACGTCATAGGCTTGACTCATCGCCTTGTAGCTTTCATCGATGGCAGAGGAGCTCAACGTAAGTATGTCAAGTCAATGACCGTCGACGCCCTTTGACGTATACACTTCGTAGGACATCGCACGAACAAAATACACGAATATTCCCTCATCTAACACACCTGCACCCCTCGTTGATCATGGAGACATCCGTTGCATCATCAGACGCTTGTCGGGCGCGATGCTTGAGCTAGATGACGCATTAGGCGCTCTGCTCCGGTTCAAGTCCACTCTCAACGACTCCTTCTTGCATCATACCCGATTAGTCTCCAAGATAAACGACATTCCAACAGAAGTCATGGGTAGTATCTTCTCCCATGCAGCCAAGCGGATTACCGGGGACGAGGCGCGCACACCGATATGCTCCATAGAGCAGAATTTTACTCAGGTGTGCAAACGCTGGCGGGAGATCGCCGTTGCGTCACCTTTTCTGTGGAACCTGATTAAGCTGGATTTTCAAGAAGAGAAGGATGAGAAGATAACACAGCCATCATTGGAGCTACTCGCTCGCTCAGGATCCGTCCCCGTTCACCTCACCATCTTCACCAGGAGTTCCTTCGGATTCTTGCGCCAAGAATACGGCGAAATACTAGATCTTTTCTTCAAGAAATGCGCTTCCGTGGAGATAGTTCAGTCTCAAAATCATCCTTTCGAGAAATCGCACATCCAGGGGCTGATAAATTCCATTCCCCGACTCAAGATACTCACGTTGACGAAGGGAGGCGTCACTGGTGATACTCTACAAACTTTCCAAAATTTACAACACCTCTCGCGCCTTAGGCTCAGATTGATATCTCTCAGCATGAGCGATGTGGAAGCCTTCGTCAGCGTACGATGGGGATCTCTCAAGTCACTCATCATTGATGGAACTCCTGCCTTTCTGATCAAGGATACCATCAACGAAAAGTTTCCAAGTCTCGAGGCTCTCTTTTTCCACACAGACCGCATAGATGTCGCTATTTCACCTTCGTCCCTAGTAAAACACACTAAACTTCGCAAACTCGGGATTTCCGTCCCCTACCTTGAGTACAGCCCGTTAGGCAGGTCCACGAATACTGCCACATATCGCCTTCTAGACCAATTGGACCTTCCTTTGCTGAACACCCTGGCGATATCCGCAGCCAGCAGCCAACACCTAGATCGTTTGGCACAGTACGACCGAGACCTGGCCTGCCCGCTGGAAAACATAGAGATACTTATAGGATCGGCCGGATCAGCACGCGTTACTATGGTGGACGAAAGTATGGTTCAAAGCATTCTGCCAAAGGCCATAATCACCAAAGGACACCCGTCGCGAGTGCTCTCTGACCTTTACGCAGAGTGGCTGGCGGAGTACACGCCTTATTGATATTGATCATTCACACATTCACAAGTGTCATGTACGATAACTCATAGTTAAGATTTGATATTGTTATGATAGTATTGCTCTCGACCTGTTAGACCTGAAGTCGCTTTGTACCAATTAAATAAACTTCGAGAGTTTTGCATCACATATCACGGAAGCCTATGATGAGCGTAGAAAAAATGAAGCCTTCGCAACCCTTGACAACCCGAAGTTAACAGCTCAATAACGAAGATGGATCTCAGTTGCGTGAAACCTCAAGTGAAACCTTCCCGTATTTCCAGCCACCGCCCGTTTCCACTCGCATGATGCATCCATATATCAAAGACATTATCATTAGCAATCCATGGGCAGACATTACTCTAGACCAACGAGACGTAGATAATTCGTGACAACTGTCCCAAGAAAACGAGTGCTTCAAACCGCCATCGCATCGCAGCCCATCGTTCAGCAGAAGATGACATTGATCTATCCCCCAACCAACCGTCAGCTTCCAGAGACACATCGGGAGAGACAGTGGAGACACTTACGCCAGAGTCGTTAGCCTGGCAGTCAGCGAGGGGAACCTGGGTGGGGCTGAACGAAGCCTGGTCAATGCAGTTGGGGTTGTCGCAGAAGAGACCGTTCGAGCAGCCGTTGATGAAGTTGAAGCCGATGGGGTAGAGGCTGCGCGCGGTCCGAGTCAGCGACCAGAATATAAAACCGTGCAGGGACTCGGAAGACTCACTAGTTGTGGCTGCCTTCGGGCTCGAGGGTGATGTCGGCCTGCGAGTAGCCGGTGTTCTGGAAGGTGAACTCGACGGCACCGCAGCCGACGCCGTTGGTGGCGCACGAGGCGCCGTTGTCGAGCCAGGCAATGCCGCCATTGAGCTGGCCCTGGACGGTGGTGGCGCCCTGCGGGCTCATGTTGCCCTGGTAGAGGAAGAGGGGCGTGCCGTAGCCGCAGTTGTTGGTGAACTGGCGAAGGCGCGTACATCATTAGCCATTTGCTCAAAAGATATGAGTCGGAGTGGGCGCTTACGGTGACCTGGTGCTGCTCGGCAGCAGCGGTCGAGGCGAAAGCGAGGGCAGCAACGGCGAGGGCGGAGGCGGCGAACATGTTTGAGATGAGTGCAGAAACGTGAAAGAGACTGATGAAGAACGGGGCTCTCAAGGCTCGAATTTATACTGAGTCTGATTGTCCATGTGCTTCCTGAAGCCGCCAGATAGAAGATGACGAGTGTTGCAGACGGCAGTGTCGCAGTCTGCAATCCTCAGATCTCGTCTCGAGGCAAACGTGGCTGCGCGGCGTCAAGCTCCCGCGGACGAGCTATGTTGCGATGATCGGAAAGAGCTGACCCTACACGAAGAATAGCGAGGACAAACGTGAAGAATACAAGCAAGAAGAGAAATGATGGTTTGCCAAGTGCTGAAGTGCTGGCATGGTGATTGTTGTTGGTGAACCATGAACGCGCTGAAAGAACAAGCTGTGATGCCCGCTGCGTGGCCGTTGACAGTGCCAAGCGCAAGTCCGCGTCAGCACAGCGATGAAGAGCACCGTGAACGAGATCTTCGCTGGCTGACCTCGTTTGCCGTTCATTGTCAGCAGTAGTTATCAGAGGTTAGCAGCCGAGGTCGGCCGTCGCGTCGCCCTATGAAGCGAACACAGCCACGCAGTTTAATCATCATGTCAGGCACCGGCGATAACTTTACAACTGTCAACATTATTCGGATTGACTTCTCAATCAGGCTCAGTCGAGCTCAGATACTTTCCAAAGACGACGAATAGCATGAAGGGTGATTTCTATAATGCACACCTGGACGTAGAATTAGCGGATATACACATAATGTCACGAATAAAGTAGAACGCAGGTATCTATGAAGCGAATCCGTCCCATGACGGTCTATCCACCTGGAGCCTCGACTCTCCACTACCACCACCGGATTTCCGTCCAGAGGAGTGGACCAAACACGATGCATGCTGTCCAGAACTACGAAGCATGACATCAGACGTACAGCTCGGAAGTAATCAGGAATGCACAAACTCACCACTTGGAAACTCTTCAGGAACAGACCTGGGTACTCCAACACTGACGGCGCAACGAGGACCGGCTTCTCCAATGATGACGCGCCGACAGGCCTTGGGTGCGTGAACATGACCCATATCGCATAGAACGCGACGCTGAAGAAATGGTATGCGAGGAGCGACGGTGACGGCGCAATACCCGACAGCAACGACACCGGCCCGCGAACACAGTCGCCTCCGCACTCGAAGTACTTGAAGCACCCCCGCTGGAGGACCGCGAGCGCCTCCTCGTCCGCGCCGAAAAGGTCATACAGCGCGACACTGAGGATGTTGACCGTCGCGCTGAGCGGCTTGCGCGCCCAGTGCCACTGGTGGAGCATGTCCGACATGCGGTCCCAGTTCTTGTAGTCGAGCGTGCCGCCGAGCATGCGCGAGAGGATGACGACGTCGTTCAGGGCGACGGTCATGCCGCCGCCTGTGAGCGGGTGGCGCATGTTCCATGCGTCGCCGATGAGGATGACGCCCTCTTTGCTGGAGGAATGTCCCTGCTCAACGGATGGGAGGAAGGAGTTTGGCATTCGTCGGAGGCGGTCTCTTTCGAGGGCTTCGTGGATGGGGACGTGGAGAGAGGATGGGAGGGAGGGAACGATTTCGTGAAGAATGTGGGCCTATGCGATACAGGAGGTTAGTCGAGCACTCGCTGTGAAGGGATGCGACTTACCTTGAGGTTAGAAGGTAAGGGCGCCTTGATATCGACGAGCATGCGCGTGTCATGTTCGCCGATCTGGTAGAGCAGCACGGGCCCGTGTCCTTTGACAAGGCACACGGTACCATGGTGAGGCATGGGGAGATGAGCATCATTGAGCACGACGCCGACGAAATGGGAGCGAGTCGAAGACTTGCGTGCCGCGCGCATGACGGAGGTACGGAAGTTGGAGAAGCAGCCGTCGGCGATGACCACGAGGTCTGCGAAGTACGCGTCCTTTTCTTCGTCTCCCTTGCCCTTTTCCTCCGCTGTTCCCTCTTCACCCCCGTCTCTTGAGGCTTGGTTCGCCGGGCGTGCGCGAACGCCAATGACCCGACCGGTGTGCTCGCACTCGACAAGGTCCGTAACGGTCGCCTCGATGGTCTCCACTCCAGGGCCCTGCCTTGCCTTTGCACGGAGCGACTGCACGAACTTGCCATGGTGGAAGCTTCTCCCCTCGCGGGCGTCCGGATACGGTATATGCACGAGTTCGCCCGACTTCGCGACGCAGTAGCCTTGCACTGGTATAGCGTCGATGCCTTCGAGACACTGCTCCATGCCAATCGCCTGCAGCGAAGCGACACCGGAAGGCTGCAGGAGCTCCCCGACAATACGGTCCGGTTCTGCGAGAGAGCGCTCGAGGAGTGCAATGCTGAGCGGGGCGGGACGTGTCTTGGACGTGATTGTTGAGAGCGCGTAGGCGAGGGTAGCCCCGGCGATGCCGGCGCCGACGATGACGACGTCGTAATGTTTTTGAACCATTGTAAAACAAAGGAAAGAGAAAAGAGAAAAGTAAGGAGCGAACTAGGAGCGAAACATAGACTCAGCCCCTGGTTATGAACAGAATCATTCCACCACCAAAAAATACAGTGGTCCGATATTACTCGCACGTGATTCCCGAATGTTTCGGCGTGCTATTGCCTCCGTCTAACCAACGCGCGGCGCGTTTCTTGCACTCGCCCTCACCGTTGTCGACGGCGCCCGCTACTTCTGGCTCTCGTTCATGACCCACTCAGTGGCGAGAACAATATAACGATATCTTGAATAACTTTACAACACGCATACACCCACCTCCTCTCCTTGTAACTAAGCCATGGACAATCTCCTACCGTTCCAAGCATCCATCCTCAAAGAGATACACGACCCCGCAACAAGTGAACTCATCGTCCTCGCCAGAGGCCTCGGGCTGAGACGTATATTATGTACGCTTATGAAGATATACGACTCTCCAAGGTCCCTCGTCCTTCTCGTGAACGCGTCACCCGAGGAAGAATCCGCTATCGGCGAGCTGTTGGGCATAATGGGCTGCCGCAATCCTGGTCTGCGAATCGTGGGATATGAGATGGGGAAACGGGACAGGTGAGCGCATGTGCACTCCCTTGCTCAAGAGAGGATGTTCAGCCATAGAACATGGCAGACAGGATCTGTACAGGAAGGGCGGTCTCATATCCGTCACCTCGCGTATCCTCGTCGTCGACATGCTCCAGTCGGATATACCTACCGAGCTCATCACTGGAATTGTCATGGTTCATGGTGAGAAGTGCGTTCACTCATCATCCATTCATCCTCAATCTGATCATGTGTCCCCCAACAGAGTAACGAATCTCTCCCTTGAAGCGTTTATTGTACGGTTGTACCGCGAGAAGAATACGTCTGGCTTCCTCAAAGCCTTCTCAGATCAGCCTGAACATATTACCAGTGGCATGTCTCCCCTTCGGAGTATCATGAAAGAAATGCAGCTGCGCAAAGTGCACATATACCCGCGGTGTGTCAGCAAGGACGTACATGCCCAAATCTGTTTAAGCTCATTGTGCACTTTTCAGGTACCACGAAGAGATCAAGGAGAACCTCGACCAGCGCCGTCCAGACCTTATTGAGCTCGCAACCGACCTCACCGAACCGATGAAAGACATCCATTCCGCTATCGTTCAGTGTATGATTACGACGCTCGCTGAGCTGAAACGCTCTCACTCCACTGTATGCGCCCCTTTACTTTCACTTTGGTTCAGTTTTTGCTCATTTAACGTCGAAACCAGCTGGATCTCGACGACGTGAACATTGACAACGCTCACTTTCGCTGGTTCGATGCCATAGTCCGACGACAGCTTGACCCCGTTTGGCACAAGGTCGGCCCGAAGACCAAGCAGCTCGTCGGAGACCTTGCTACTCTCCGCCGTCTCCTCTCGTGAGTTGTATTCCTGCTTCTCCTTTCACAATCTGGCTAAATATTTGCACAAAGGTATCTGGTAACCTACGATGCCCTCGCCTTCCACGCCTACCTCGAAACCCTCGTTCTTTCCAATACCACCAACGCATCCGGCAACGCAAGACAGAATCAAAGTCCCTGGATGCTCACCGACGCCGCGAACATCATCTTCAAGACGGCCAAGCGGCGATGCTATGTCCTGACCAGCAAGCACACGCTGGCCTCCCAGCCCGAGGTGATCGACGTGGATGACGAAGACGCATGGGCTGCGCTAGATGAAGCTGAGGGTTTTACTCCACAGATTGGCACGACGAATGGCCGAGGGACAGAGCCGAAGCGACCGCGGTGGTTGCCAGACGGGATAGACCCTGTCCTCGAGGAGCTGCCCAAGTGGACTGTCCTCGCTGACATTCTTCAAGAGATTGAAGAGGAGATCATCAGGCAAGAAACACTCACGAATTTCAAGCCGCGTACGTATCTCTATCTTGCTACATACAACTAGCCTAAGCTCACGCATTGAACAGCGACGATAGGCTCAAACACTGTGCTCATCATGACGTCCTCTGCACGCTCCGCAGAGTTGATATCTGAGTTCCTCTCCGACATGGACGCTTCGGCTCCACGAGGGAGGATGGGCAAGAAAATGATGGAGCGTAAGCTCCGCCGGTACCTCTGGTGGAAGGGCAGACTTGCGGCTGATAAGCGCGGTTCGTCCTCTTTGGAGAACACCTCGTCGCAACCTCAGGGCAGAAAACAAGATAATGGAAGTGGGCAGGTGAGCGAGGCGCTCGCGAGGAAGGATAAGTCAAAGGCGGACCGGAGTGCAAACAGGCGGAGGCTACGCGGCGGTGCGCCCACAGTCGCCCCTACGCGTACAGAGGCGACTAGAACAGGTACAACTGGGACGGGAGACGACGCAGATACAATCGCCGCTTTGTGAGTCCACACCTTTGTCGCATAATCACCAGGTCTTCATGTCACGAATGCAGCATGGCCACTCAAACAGGCACCGCCGACGCCGACGCGGGGGCCGACATCGACCAAGACCTTCTCATGGCACAAATGCTTTCGCAGCTGGACACCGAATACGACGACGTCTTCGGGCTCGTCGCTCCGGAACAAACCGTGCTCGTGCGCACATATGCCGATGACGGCGACGAGCAGGTCCTCGCCGAGCTACAGCCACGTTTCTTCATCATGTACGAGCCTTCAACGGACTTCCTGCGCCAGATCGAGGTGTACAGGAACAGCAACCCTGGCTTGGGCGTGCGGGCGTACATCATGACGTATCACAATAGTACGGAGGAGCAGAAGTATCTTACCGCTCAGAGGAGGGAGAAGGAGGCATTCGAGAGGTTGATCAGGGAAAGAGGGGTACGCTCTTAAAGGATTTTTCTGGTGTTGGTGGGCGCTAACGTAGTGGTCCAAAGTCGATGCTGCTTCCGATATATGAGAGCAGGCAGCCTGTGGGTAAAGGCCATGCAATGATCAAGACCATTAGTTCTCGTGCGGCGGGCGGACGAACCGAACTTAGTACTGCCCCATCTCAGGTATATTCATGACCGTCGTCCATCGCTCCATCTGGCTCACGTCTTTCTCTCCTTGCACAGGTGATTGTCGACATGCGAGAGTTCAGGTCAACTCTGCCATCCCTATTACATGCGGCTGGTCAGCTTGTCGTCCCCGCGACGCTCACGGTTGGCGATTATATCCTAACACCCGATATATGCGTGGAGAGAAAGAGCATACCGGACTTAGTGCAATCGTTTAATTCCGGGCGTCTGTGAGTGGTCGTCGCACGGTATCGTGATCGCGGCAAAGTGCAGAGCTCAACTGATCTCTTTACGACAGGTACACCCAATGCGAGCTCATGTCCGTACACTACAAGCAGCCCATCCTTCTCATCGAGTTCGAGGAGAACAAGTCCTTCTCCCTCGAAGCCATCTCCGAAACCACCAAAACCTACGCCAAGCCCTCCGGCAAGTACCCGACCAAGAAGCCCGCCGCCGGCGCGAGCTCCGCCGCAGCGGACGCGGGCGACCCGCGCGTCGGCCCCACTATCCAATCGAAGCTCGTGCTGCTCACGCTCCACTTCCCACGCGTGCGCATCATCTGGTCCTCCTCGCCGTTCGCTACCGCGGACATCTTCGCGGACCTCAAGATGAATCTTCCCGAGCCGGACCCGTCGAAAGCCATTTTGGTCGGCGCGGAGGACCAGGGCGCTTCGGGGTCGCAGGGAGGCCAGGGCGACGGGGTCAACGCCGCTGCGGAGGAGCTGCTGCAGTGCCTGCCTGGGATTAATGCAAAGAACGTGCAGTATGTGATGGGACGCGTGGGCAGCGTGCGGGAGCTGTGTGATATGGACAGGAAGGATGTGCAGACGTTGTTGGGCGTTGAACCGGGGAACGCGTGTTACGATTTCATGCATCGCGGGGAGAGGAAGAAGAAGGCGGTGAGCTGAGTTGGACGTCGCAAAGACTTTGGGATATCTCAGGTAAGTGTGCACTTTATTTATCCGCAGCTAGGTCATCTGATGGTGTTGCGGTTAGTTTTCGTATCTATACATTACAGTATGACCCACAGTATGACCGGTTTAAGTTTGTGTGTGTTCAAGACTACAGAAATTCACCATCGTGTCCTCGTAATTCGTCTCCCTTCGCCCATCGGCCTCTGGTTGGCTAGGCACGCCACCCACACCTACATGGTTTCTCCCCCATGATCACGCCTATGCTATGGAAACGTTCCTGGCCATGCATACCACCATGTGTCGTACTGACTTTTCTAGGTTCTGACCGCACTACCCCTCCCCCAGCGCATCGGTACCTGCAAATAAGCTCGTTGTCAACTCCGAGTTCTTCGCACCGTCGGCATACATGGGCTTACCGTTATGTGCTGCACACGAGCCGAGTGATGATTTGTCTTCGTGCCAACATGACAACGCTCAAGATTGACGCTATCCAAGTGACCCGCAAGCAAGAACCAGAGCCGAAAGCGCCGCATATCGCTCTTCTTCTTTTTTTTCCTTCCACGAAGTCCACGTGGAATTACCGCCTTAGCCATCTCATCGGGAGCGTTTGAGAAGATTACCACCTCGGTGAGAGTCCTCGGGCGCGGCTCACGGGTTTATCCGTCAGATCACTTGACGTCCAACGGCGTTCTCAAGAAATTGTATAGCCAGCGCCGTATATAATGCACGGAGTTAGGAGTTAAGACGACTTCCTCACCACGTCTCAGACATCGCCAGTATGTCAGACAGAATCCAGCCGGACAGGGCCTTGGGCGAGCAGGTGTCAAAGGTGAGCTACTTATTCTTAGCGGAGAGTATGCCCATGTTCTTATCCCTCTTGGCAGTATTGTAATGGTAGGGAGACTGTATCAGTGCTCTGTACCGTTCCCACGAAGGCTAACGCCAAATTTCTGCGCTCTGGAAAGTCGCGGCATTGGCATGCTTAGTATGTGCTTAGCTCATTCGCGATAACTCATTCAAACATATATCTAACGCTGTCCAGGTGTTCGACTACTTCCTCACCCTACCCTCTGAGGTGCGCCCCCAAGCCGACGCGTCTGTGGCCAGGCTCTCACGCAGGCGCCCGTGCTGACTTCTAGGTGACATGGGTGTGGAGTATGCGATGGAACATGACCAGAATCATTTTCACTGTTTCTCGCTACTTCGCTTTCGTGGCCGGTAGTCTGACAGCCTACAGTAAGCTAGACAACCCCCTGAAACACATCGCGCACTCAGTGTCATCTCAGCTGCGATCATACCAGCCGCTGAGCGCCATTATGTGGAAGTGAGCTGGCTCTCCCTCATCCTCACATTTCAGTCCTCAGCCAATGCTACAGTGCGAGCGGATGATGTCTGTGTCTACTGGTCAGCTGTTATGTCCCCGCAATAACAGGAGCAATTTATCAGTCTTGCTTTGTGTTCAGCTATCCACACAGTAACCATCGTCGCCGCCGAAGGTAAGATTCATAGCGACGCACACGTCTAAAAAATTAATGCACAATAATCAGTGCTGATTATCATTCGCGTGTATGCGTTCTGGGAGCGCAACAGACGTTTATTGCTAATACTCCTCGCGTACGGTGTGGTACGTTTACAGTCTAATCATCACTTGCTTGTTTGTTGAGCTTCTGATAGGCTTGTATCATTGGCGCAACAATTACGCCAAGGCTAGCACCTTTGCACGATCGTAAATCTCCATCCATGTTGCTTTCTTGAGGTGCTAAGATGATAACTTATTTTAGCCCCCGTGTGCACTTTTATGTCTCCACAGGCTGACCTTTTTCAGTTCATATACCTCATAGCGTTTGAGACAGGTATGCAAGCCCGGTTTCAACACGTGCGATCAAGAACACTAACGTAGGTTAATACAGTGCTCCTGGTACTTATGACCCTTCGCAAGTACTTGACGTACAGAAGGGTTAAGAGCCGATTCATCGAACTGGTTTATACCCAAAGTGCTTTATATACGTTTTTCGCAGTTGGTGAGCGCTCATATTTCGATTCATTGCTATCTTATCTGAGTGGACGCAGTCGGCTCTGTGTTCAACGTCATCTGTATTGGCGCAGCAGTAAATATTGTTTCTCGCCATCTCTTCTCTGAAGCTGACAAATCGCAGGCAGCTTACAGCAACCTGGGAGATAAGTAAGCCATTCGTACGACCCTTCTCGTAAAAAACACTCAAGCGAGCTCTAGCTTTCAAATCGCAATCCACAGCATCCTGGCGTCGCGTATTCTCTTCGATCTGCAGGTCAGCGACGCGGAAGAACGTGCTACATCGATGCTCTCTCGGCAGACGGAGGGCTGGACCGAAGTACAACTCACACAAGACATTCGCCTCGACGAGTCGGGGTTTAGAGAAGCTTATCCTTGCAGCACGATGTCTTCTGTGACCAGTAGCCCTTTAGAGTCGTCAGGTACGATTCGGGAGGTAATGACATCTTAATGTGATTTTCGGCACTTCCGGACCGATCCGAGCTCGATGGGCGAGTGTCAGAATCATAGCATCATCACGTCATGTCCATCGTAAAGTGCTTACGCTTGATTCGTTCCTACTCGAGCCCAATCTTGTCTCCTGTCCGCTGCGGCCGTCCCTTGGCTCGTCTTGTCCCAGAATGAACGTGATGAAGCCATCTTGCTTCCGGCCGTATTCTTCGATAATCAGTCAGCGCACCACCTTGTGGAAGTCTTACTCATCCAATAAGGGAAAGAACTGCCCGTGAGACGTATGTATATATACCATATCCGCGTTCACATTCACCCGATCGTTGGATTCCATCTACTTAAGCCCCAGACACTTATCGCAGATCTTGACTCAACCCTTTAATTCAAAACCGACATGCCTACTGTCCAGCCCCCCGCCAAGATCCTCGTCACCGGCGCGAACGGTTTCGTCGCTGTGTGGGTCGTGCGCACGCTCCTCGAGCGCGGCTACACAGTCCGTGGAACCGTGCGATCGGCCGACAAGGGAGAGCATCTCAAGAAGCTCTTCAGCTCTTACGGCGATAAGCTCGAGCTCGTCGTCGTTGAGGACATCACCAAGGTGCGTCGACCTTTTAGGGTAGATAGCGGTAGTTTATCTCACGAATGGACACCCGTCTTGTGTCTAGGAAGGTGCATTCGATGAAGTCGTCAAAGGCGTGGATGCGATTGAGCACACCGCGTCGCCGTTCCACTTCAACGCCGAAGACCCCGAGGAGTTGATCGGCCCCGCTGTCAACGGCACGGTCGGTATCCTGAAGAGCGCTGTCAAGAATGGGTACGATTTCATCTTGACATTCTGCACTTGATGATCACTGATTTGTTACTATCCGCAAGGTCGTCTGTTAAGCGCGTCGTAGTCACCTCGTCCTGTGCAGCCCTTCTTGAAGAGCGTGACGAACCAACCGTCTTTACTGAGAAAGACTGGAACGAGAAGGCCGTCGCTGAGGTTAAGGAGAAAGGCCGCGAGGCAAGGAACGTGGCCAAGTACAGAGCGTCGAAGGTTTTAGCTGAGAAAGGTGCGTATCTGTATCCGTCGCTCCAGTCACGCTATGCATGGAACTTATGGTGGCGTACGTCACATAGCTGCATGGGAGTATTATAACCAGAACAAGGCGTCCGTGAACTGGGAAATGTCGGTCCTGAACCCGCCATTCGTAAGTCATGCTGCTGTATGCATTGAGCTTCTTATTTTCTGACACGCCAACGTTGAACGCTGGTACATGTGGCATTTCCAGGTCTTCGGCGTATGTCCATTCATATCACTCTCACCCTCTACACCTTGCTAAGCAACATGACAATTAAAGCCCGCCATCCATGAAGTCACTGTGCCTTCCGCGCTCAACACCTCCGCCCAGGTGTGGTGCAACAACATTGCGCACCCGACTTCGAGCGGCGCGACGAATGAGTTCCTTGCCACGGTTGGACAAGAATGGATTGACGTGCGTGATCTCGCAGAGGCACACGCACTCGCTCTCGAGAAGGAAGCGGCGGGCGACGAGCGTATCATTGTCAGCTCGAGTAAGTTTCCGCTTTCATCTCTCCGTACCACACTTTGCGTATTCACGTAACTGCTTCGCCTAGGCGTTTACAAGTGGCAGGACTTCAGTGAGCCCTATCTCGCCTGATATCAGACCAGCTTCACTCATCTACTTCCTATCCCAGTCGATGCGGCTAACAAGGTATCTCCACCGCCCAAGCTCTCGCAAAAGCTTGCGGTCGGCAACCCCGGCGCAGGCAGCGCAAACCCCAACACCGTCCATATGATCAGTTTTGATACCTCGAAGGCCAAGAGCATTCTTGGGCTCAAGTACCGCACCATTGATGAGACGACGAGGGATACACTTGCCGATTTCGAGGCAAGGGGATGGTAGATTGTATTACATCGATAGAACATTTGTATCATTAGAACGAATACGAATTATCGCCACATCCGATCACCTTGTGTTGAATCGAGGTACGAATGAGAAGGGTCGTGTATCACAATGGAAGACCGAATGTGACATGTGGCGACATCCGATCAACATGATTTTTCGCCACATCCGATTACCTTATGTGCAATGAAGGACCGCCGCCGATGAATGGGAAGGTTCATGTGTAGAGAGCATACGGAAGTACATGTAATGAAAGCAGGATGAGAGGAGCATACGAGTCTCGTCCGCCATAGCGCCTGACCAACCTCGATCCTTGCGGCCGCCACAAGCCAGGAGACGAGCAGAGCACATAAATCGGCTTGTATGCACAATACCGAGTGACTGCGTCGCCGTTCTAGGCCTGGGGCATCGCAAGCATCAAGCTTCGTAAATCGAGACGTATACGGTGGATCGAGCGGACTCGTTCTGCCCCAGAAGTGAGAGAATTAGAGGAAAGGTGAAGAGGAAGGGCGGACTTTTTGATGTCGATACTGAGTGTCATCCCCTCATCTTTATACCTGCCGCTTTGTGTCCCGTGCCAATAAACGGCGTTTATCACGTCTACAGTAACACTGTCCACGCTAAATTAACGCTGCCATCTAATTGGTTGGAAACTAAGTTGCGTACTTTACCTCACGTTGACTCAGAATGACGATCCTGTAATCGTGCGATCTTCAGGAACGGCGTCTTCCGATAAGTATACTGATTGGACCTCGCCTCGCTGGACCAACAGCCTCACTGGAACGGGTTAGTCGTAGCAGGTCGTAGCGGGTATCACGCCACGAGCGGACCATTCGAGGGGCGCTATTCCACTCTGCTCAGACACTAACAATGTCTAACACGCTCCGACGACCGGTTCCATCAGACCTCATCACGGCTAAAACCATGCACCGACATCTTTAGTACGACGAATAAAGTCAGTGATTTGATCAAACCTCACTTTGAGATGCGAAGATTATCACACCAAGGCAATCCTGTGGCGCGGTTATGTATCATGACGTGCTCTTCACGATTTTATGGAAGCAAATGAGAGCAAAGCATATTAGCAATATATGAGTCAGTCGTATGAAACCAACGAGAACCTCTCAAGCAACAGACAAAGCCATAGAGCTATCTATCAAGCAGTGCGTGAAAAATCGCTAAATATATCGCCTCGTTAATTTTACCTTCCATAACATCGTTGAAAAGTACGCCAAAGGCTAGTAGCCCTCGCAAGCTAGTACAAGTTTCCGGGGCTGGCGGAAGTCCCGGTGTACTGACGTGGTGACCGACATTCGGTCTAAACTGACAAAGATGAAGAAGTCGTTAGTAGAATTGAATGGAGGCTGACGCAGCGAAGTAGGAGAGAACGACAGGCGTGCATAATGCTTTGCTCCGGCCCGTGATTTAAGTAGCGAACATGGCCAGCGATGACCACATTTCGAGGACGTTTTGGGTTGCTTCGAGTCGCACGATGGTGTCGGCCCATCATCTGGTTGGTGCCATGGGGGGTCAGCAGAGCTTTTCGGGTTTTATCGCCGATCCAAAACTGGACTCGACGCAATTGAACCAGCGAGTTAGTGGCCGTGGGAAACACATGCCGTGGCTCGGCTGACTGTGTCGGACTGGTTAACGACCTCGGGACAACTCCATGTCATTCTCCCTGCGTCATTGTCCAGTCATACAGTCCCTGCCATTGACCACTTATAAGGATGGTGTCGGCCTCGTCGGCTCTCACGTCCCCAGGCCCCGTCCATCACGCACGAAAACTCCCTAAGAAAGACGATGGCTCACGACATCGCACAAGACAACCGGAAGATCTCTACAGCGAAGGAGGACGGATCACCTACTCCGACCCTCCGTGAACATCCCAGTGACCCGGTCGAACCGCCCGAAAGTGATCTCAACCGTCCAACACCCAATAATGGAGGCGAAAAGGCAGGTCACGATCAATCTTCTGCTTCTTCGGACCCGAACCTCCTCATCGTCGACTGGGATGGCCCTGACGATCCTCAAAACCCTAAAAAGTCGGCATTTCATCTTTCCTCGTTTCATCGTCGTGTGCTAAACGGATGCCTTTGTTTTCTATAGTTGGAGTTACAGGCAAAAATGGGCTGCCACCATCGTTGTCTCCTCCTTCACGTTCATCAGTCCCGTCTCCTCCTCGATGATTGCTCCCGCCGCCAACCAGGTCGCACAGGACTTCAACATTACGAGCGATGTGATGGTTGCCCTTACTACTTCCATATTCGTCTTGGCCTATGGTGCGTCTCCCTCCCACTGAAATGGAGCCAGTACATGTCTGATAAGCGTCCTTTAGCTGTTGGACCCTTATTCCTCGGACCCCTCAGTGAAATATTCGGACGCTCGCGGGTTCTGCAAATTGCCAACATGTGGTATCTCGTCTGGAATCTGGCATGTGGCTTTGCTCAGAATGAGGGCCAACTCCTTGGCTTCCGGCTCCTGGCTGGTTTGGGTGGAAGTGCCCCCCTTTCGGTGAATTTTCCGCTTCGTATTCTATATCCACCCAGGAACAGCAGCTAATGGAAAACCCCTCTACAGATAGGTGGTGGCGTTCTCGGAGACTGCTGGAGACCCGAAGAGCGCGGAAGAGCAATGGCAGCATACTCGCTCGCCCCGCTGCTGGGTCCCGTCGTCGGCCCCATCGCGGGAGGATGGATCGCGGAATACTCGACATGGCGATGGGTATTCTGGTCTTCCAGTATTGTGGACGGTGTGATTCAGGTGTTCGGTTTGTTCTATCTCCAAGAGAGTGCGTGTCCTCTAGCAGCTTTCATGCTTTCTCGCTCATGTCTCCCAGCCTTTGCACCACTTCTTCTGGAGCGGAAGGCAGAAAGAATACGGAAGTCGATGGACACAGAGAAGGTGCAGTACAAGGAGGTTAGGACGGTATTTGAAGGTGAACACAGAAAGTGCGCATGCTCGAAACATGTTCTAGTTTATATGGCTGACGTCTTCTGCAGATGGCAAACTATCTTCAGAAAGGCCATGTTCCGCCCATTCGTCCTCTTCTTCCACGAGCCCATCATCCAGCTTCTGGGTGTATACATGGCTTACCTCTACGGAATTATGTACCGTATGTCCCCCGCTCCTCCCCCGCATGATATCCTCCATCTCACACACCTCTTCCTCATACTCAGTCTTCCTCACGACGATGCCCGACATCTTCGGCACACTCTACAACGAATCTCCTGGCATCGCGGGGCTCAACTACATCGCACTGGGCGTTGGCCTCACGGGTGCGTCGCAACTCAACGCGCGCACGCTCGACCGCATCTACATCTACTACAAGAACAAGAACGGAGGCGTCGGCAGGCCTGAGTTTCGTCTGCCATCCATGGCCATCGGGACGGTCATCCTGCCCATTGGGCTGCTAATCGCGGGCTGGACGGCGCAGTATAAGGTGCATTGGATTGCGCCTGATATCGTGAGTTTTTCACCCCATGGAGTGGTTTTGGTGTTGCCGTGACTGACGGAATATTGATACAGGGTATCGCGCTTGTCGGTGCTGGCGTTATTCTGAACTTCCAGTGTATCCAAACGTACGTTGTCGACACGTTCACGCTGCATGCTGCTTCCGGTACGTTTCCTACCCTCTACCCATCATGACCTTCTTTGCTAACGTAACCTTGTCGCTTAGCTCTCGCCGCCGTGAGTTGCCTGCGCTCACTCGCCGGCTTCGGATTCCCGTTGTTTGCACCAACGATGTACAACGCGCTCGGGTACGGTAAGGGCAATACGATTCTAGCTGCCGCCGCTATCGGAATTGGCTGTCCTGCGTGAGTAGTGTTCTTGCTTTATCACCGATTTTCAGCGGCTGACTGAAAAAACACTGTAGTCCCTTCATCTTCTGGTTCTACGGCGAGCGCATCCGGCAGTGGAGCAAGCACGGAAAATAAGCGTGAGGCTTGCCTCGCTTCTCACCGAACCAAACCAAACCACAGCCGGACACGATCTAAGCTACGACCGACGGCACGATAATGGCTCATCTTGGTGCATACATATACAGAATCCAGTACCCACACTCATCTGCATTCACGAACGTTTCTCGCAATTTTTTTTTCACGATTCTTATCTCATCTCATCACACTCATATTACGGTTTACGCTCAAGAATCACGCTCATATATCTGCATCTACAGTAGACGCATACCTTGTATCAATGCTTACGTAGCGGAATAATAGATGGCTTTGGTATCACGGGTTTTGGGGCTTTTGTCGTGTGGATCCTAAGTGTTCGCCCAAGGTGAACCGCTTCAAAATATTTTGATTGGCGTTACTGACTCATGGAGTAGGACAGCTTTGAGAATATATACGCTCCGGTAGTGAAGTTTTCATCGCCGGGATAGCTCAGCTGGGAGAGCAACAGACTGAAGTGCTTCCGCATTCTGGAGGTCCCGTGTTCAATCCACGGTCCTGGCATTTAATTTTGCTCGTATAACCACTCACCCTGTCGCTTGTCTCATCGACGCCTTCGTCGAGTTTCGACTCTTTTTTGCCTCTCGGTCTTGCAGAAACTCTAACACGGGTAGTGGGTATCCAACACAGCTCAGAGCGACAAATTTTTAAGTTGATGCTCTCGGCAATGTCGCAGCGGGATTATAGCACTTACACAGCATATGATACAGATAATTTTACACGAAAGCACGAAAGCATGGATAGTAGAACGAATAGTATGGTTGCTGTGGTATACGGATGACGGGATCGTGCACGTACAAAACTGCGTACAACAGATATCGCTGCAATAGATAAATAAAAAAACAACCTAAGTTATCAAATCGTCGATCTCTGAGTTGAGGCTCCAACTGTTCAATGCCCGAACAAATGTTCTCTCTCGTCTCTCTCGACCGTGAAGCACTGGAAAAAATGCGTAACAGGGAGGGCAGGGGAAGGGTAAACGTGATGGTAGAATAGAATATGCGGTATCTTGCTCTCGTAAGGACGTGACGTGTGAATGTGCTGGCGCGTTCTCAGTTCAGGCCGCGCAGCGCGGTAAGCACCGCCTGCGTCTCGTCGCTGTTCCAGTCCGTGTTCCAGCGCGAGGTGCGCGAGCCGCGCTTTGATGTGCGCCTGCTCGGCGGGTTCGCGGCCTCCATCGACTGGCGGTAGGTCGGGAGTGCCTCGTCCGCGGGAGCTCCAGCGGCGTTGCTGCTGCTGGCAGCGTTGGCGCTGGCGTTGGCATTGGCGTTGGCATTGCCACCGCCGCTGTGCCTGTTGCTTGTGCGGCGGCTGTTGCGGCGACTGTTCCTGCGGCTGCTCGTGCCTGTGCCGAGGGGGTCCCCTTCGCCGGGATAGGTAGGCGCGAGCGGCGGAACGGAGAAGTGCCGCGCGACCACGCCCGGCACGCGCGGGGGCTGCGGTAGGGGCCTGCTGGCACCAGCACCAGCACCAGCACCAGCACTAGTACTAGCGCTAGTGAAAGTGGGCGGCTGCGGCAGGTCGCGCTGGGACATCTTACGCTGGAACTGGAACATGGACATGGCCTTGCGTCGGCGCTGGCTCTGCGCCGCGTCGATCTCGTCCTGCGTCGGCGTGGGGCCAATCGGCAGCTGCTGTGGCTTTGGCTGCGCCGGCACGGACTTGCGCTGCGGCTTCGGTGTCGAGGTCGAGGTCGGGGCGGGGGCGGACGTGGACAGGCCGTGCGCGAGGCTGAACGTCTCGCTCATGGGCGTCGGCGCGGCGGGGATGGTCGTGCTGCCCGAGGAGGTGGCGAAGCCGAGGGCGCCGCGCGAGGGCGAGTTCTTGAGGATGCCGCGCGGGACGATGTGCGTCGTCGCGGGCCTGTCGTGCCGCGGCTCGGGGAGCGCCGGGATGTCCTGCGCGGGGCTCGCTGAGCGGCTGTGGGGCGGGCTGAACGAGATCTGGCGCGGGCGCGTCGGGGGCGACGGCCGCTCGGAGGCAGTAGCCTGCAACTGAGACTGGAGGACGGGCTCCTCGGGATGTTCCTCCTCCTCCTCCTCCGCCCCCTGACCAAGGTCAAGCTTTGAAGTCGACGCGCCTTCCTCTGCGAGTGTCTCTACGTCCGAATCAAACCCTGGCGTAGGAGGGAAGCGTACGCTGAGCTGGTCTGGACCAATGACCATGACCTGGTCGTGCGGGGACGACTCCGGTGACGTCGGTGGAGTCCCATATACGGTCCCGGTAGCCGAATGGATAGTGGAGAGCGCGGAATAGGGGGGCGGGTTCAAGTACGCCTGGTTCATTGATGGGTTGCTCCGGCTATTGTGGATCGTCAATGTGTGTGGACGGCGGCAGTGGGGAGCCTCGGCAGTCGCCGGTAAGTCGACACACGACGAGGAGGCAGAGGGACGAGTGATGGTGATGACGGCTTCCGAACCATGAGGGGTAGTTGAGGGGTGGTCGTCCTTAGTAGAGAACTTACGGGGTTTGGAGGCACGGAAGATGCGGGCGAAGGAGAAGGGCATATTGGTTGGTAATGAATGTCGGAGAGGCACAGTGAGGCTCGAGGGTGACCCCAAGAAGTGATTAGCTGGGGGCGACGGTAGATAAGTAAAGGTTGCGAAAAAAGTACGAGTAGAACAGAAGAATAAAAGGGGATGGATGGCCAGCACCCAGGAAGCGAAAGCGAAAAGAAGGAAACGAGGGGAAAGGGAAGACAGACAGCGAATCAACAAATTCTTCCTCACAGGAGGGAAAGTTAGAGAGCGCGCGAGGTCATGGGGACCTATATATGACATGGCACTGCTGTCTGCTCTGTGCCGCCCAACCTGTGATGACGCTAATCAAAACCGATCAAAGAGCTGTGTCGATGTCACCACAGTCCTGTTTTTCATCCATGATTAGTTTGCCTCTGGAAGGAGACATGCACGGCCTTCACCTCGCCCCTGGCCATCCCATGTCCAGTCCAGGAAAGTGGACAACGCCGGGTGGTAGCTGGTAGCGGTGATCGCCTGTAATCTCGGGGCGTGGCTCTGCGAGATCACCATCAATTCTCTGTTCACTGTTGCTCGTTACTACCCGCTGCCTACGGCTGGGAGCCAAACTTTGAAGCATAGCCTCCGTTAGATGAAACTCGGGCTCAATTGAGAGGATATGAACGGGTGCCTAAAACACGTCTGATTGTCCTGTGGAGAAAGTGATGTTACAGAATCTTCAATGAACGTTTCGGACCCACACTTGAGTTTACTCCCTGGCGGTAGAAAGCAATGGCTTGCATCCCAAGACGGATGGGCTTGTGGGATAAGATGGTGAAGGTACATTTACATGTGATCCCCTCGCTGCCCCGCCATGTGCTAGACGGAGGTCGTACGACGTAGGTACGGTTCTGCGCACATGATAAGTAGTTCTCCCGCCGGCTGAGCGTTTTTCTCTGACACCCGCTCCACTCTTCCAGCCTCGACCACAGGTCTGGGACTGGGACCGTCGAGAGTATGAATATTGGTTACCAGCCTCTTGCTATTTGTTCAGGGGCGATCTCACGAGCGAGAGAAAGGATAGCACGACTCGAGAACTCATACGGACGCGGTCCGTGCTCCCGCGTGCCTCAAATCCGACTCTTGATGCAGATGCCCTTGGCGCCCGTTGCTCAGTCTAGCACAAGGTTCAGCGCTCGCGACTGACCATCTTGCCACGGAGGCTTAGGCACCGGCCGCGCGCTCTGCGCGCATCAAACGTAGCTCCGGATAAATGTTTTGAAAGATATTTAGCAAGGCGGACGTACGACGTTGTAGCCCCATGCTCCGAACGGGCGTACTCGGCATACCCAAACAAGGACAGGCGGCCATCTGGTTTCGCTGCTGCAACGATGACTTCATCAGGTACTTCATTGAACTCGAACTTTTGACGCTTGCTTCAGCGTGCAGGGCGATCTGTACTCGACTGAGCGAGGGATCGACATACCATGTCGATGTATTCCTCTATGACGCTCTATGAGCTTGGAGGTGCTATTTAGCTTGGGCTCCCGTCTGCTCTCGAGGAATGTCTACCTACTCAATTCTTCGCGGCGCTCTCCCGAACACACTCAGAAATATCCATTCTGTTCCCATACCTCCTCTTCAAAAAAAGCCAAGATTCATGTCTTCCGCCCCCGGAGAGAACTTTGAGGTCCGCCAGACCTCCACGTCCGAAGACTTCCACCCGGACCCGTCCAAGAGCCTACCGCTCTCGCCCCCACGACAGCGACTCGTCGATGATATCATCGCACTCTACAGCTGCGAGCCGACCGTCGAGCGCGTGAAGCGGTACACGCGTGACTGCGTCTACGACGACCAGTTCGTGTACGCGAACGACCGGTACAAGATGGCGGGACAATGGTTTGCGCTGCCGAAGCTGTTCAATGCGAGCAAGAACGACGGGTACCAGGTCGTGAAGAACGATAGGGAGTTGATCCAGTTCAAGAATGAACAGGTGCGTACCAATAACCCACGACCGTGATGTTCCCCCCATAATCACGATGACTGAGAACGATTTGATATGGTACTCACGCATCTCCCTCCAGTCATGGACATTCAAGATCATCCCCAAGACAGCTACTATCAACGCGCTCGTCTCTCTCTCGCTCGACCCGGACACGGTTGACTCGGACTTCATCCAGGTCAAGTACCACAAAGACCAGGCGAACGACAAGGACTACTCGCACGAGGGGCTCGGCTTCAGTTTCAAAAAGTGGCAGGCGGACAACGTGATGAAATATATGGAAGGCCCGGAGGTACAGATGTTCAAGGCAGACGAGGGTGCGGGGAAGGAGGATGTTAGGACGTACGGAACAGGGTCGGAGGAAGGGCAGGCCCCCAAGAAGCGCCTCTGAAGGGCTATGTCTCCGACATTTAAGTCGTCTCAACTCGTTCGACTAGTGTAGTCATGAAAGTCAATTGGCATTACGAGCTTTGCTCTACATGTGCGAAACGAAATGAGTCCAATGAAACAATTAGCTCAGCGATAGTCCAGAGTCAGGTTGATCACCGAGGCAGGATGGCTTTACTTCCCTTAATTTCAACGTGTGCTGCCCTGAAGTCGAAGAAAGTAAGACTTCGTATTCTATCCATCGTCATGCAGACATGTACTAGGCGGAGGATAATCGTGAGCAAATGACGTGGTGGATAAAGAGGACATGTAGGCTAGGCCGATGAAGTTTTCCCGCGATCTCGCTAATAAACTCAAAATTGTCGCGTCGCGTCTTGTAATCGTCCTCCACCGTCGTCACCAGCTCCAGGCACACTGCAGGCCATGCTAAAAGATGCATCGAGTCCTGCAGATACCGGAGCTCAGAGAATATATCTTCCACCTCATCAACAAGAGGAGCGCTTACGCCAGTCTCGCAGCGGTTTGCCGCGCATTTCAAGATCCAGCGCTTGACGCGCTTTACGGAGATGTCGACGACTTTTGCAACCTCTTGAAGTGTATGCCTGGAAATCTTTTTTCGTATCAGATATACAAGCCTACTCTGAACATGCCAATGCTGGTCCGTGCATGCTGTCTCCTACTGCGTGTCTATTTGCTGATGGTGGCGGCATTGCCTCGCACCTTCAGTTTTTGAAGCGCAACATGACATCGGGCGACTGGCACACCTTATCAAAATACACTTCACGCGTCCGCTCTCTTCAAATCACCTGGGATCTCTCGGAAACCGACACGAAGCCCTATGCTCTTCTGGAGGATACAGTCTGCTACGCTCTCGCCCGCTGTGCCTTTCCAGGTACGATGTTCCCCAAGCTACACACCCTCCGGCTTATCGGGCCGGAACGAGCGGGGGTTTCGATGTTGCAGCCCTTTCTGCTTGGTGAGCGACTTCGCCATCTCTACATCAGCCCGTGTAAGGTCTTTGTCGACGACGTCTACAAACACATCCCCTACCTCCCCTACCTCTCTCCACTTCTCGAGACACTAGTCATTGACTTCTCCTCAAATGTGGAGACTACCCCTGGACAGCTCTCCATCGAACTCCTCAAACCCACTGCGGACATGGCGAGTGTCCTTTGCCAGATGAACAATCTTCAACGCATCGGCTCCGGGCCTATGAGCGAATGGATCCTCGCCCACTTGGCATCTCTTCCAAAACTCAGCACGTTGACCCTGATGGTGTTCAAAGAATGCGGGTGGCTATCTAGCCCGTCGTCAGTCATCTCGGTCCCCAAGCTCACTTCACTAACGCTTCAAGCTGCGGAGTACGAAACAGCCACCCTCGCACTTAGGAAACTGGCCGACTCGGCGCGCAGACCCGACCAGCTCAGCGACTCACCCGTGCTCGAGCTGCGCACAGTTGGGCTGGAGGTACTCTGGGTGCTTGCCACGGGCGGGAGCCTGTCTGTCTTTACTTCCGCACTCGCGTCCTGCACGTCCCCCACACATCTCCAGGAGATTATCATCTCGAACCGCTCGCCAAACGGGGCCATGACGATCCCGCCGCTTCAACTGTTAACCCCAATCACTTACGACGACTTGCGGCCGCTTGCGGCATTCTCGAAGCTCACTCGACTTTCCCTCTCCTTCGTGTTCATTCCCTTCCTCCCCCGTGATGCCTCTAAATTCTTCGATCTCCTCCCTAGCTGGCCGCTACTCGAGATCCTCGAAGCGCGTCCTCTCCACCTCGACATCGCCACGCTCGTCCATATCCTTCGGGCCCTAACAAAACTATCTATCCTCTCTGTCGACGTCATCGTGTCGGATACCGAGCTCGAGGACTTGTCCCAGGAGGAGACGTTCAAAGCGCTGCCGAGCAACGATCGCATCCGGAGCATGACATTCGGCGAAAGGTACGAGTGGAGCAGCCTGCGGAGGTACGAGCCTCTCTTCCAGAGGCTCATGCCGCGCGCGAGGTGGTTCTGGAGCAATATCGCAGTGGTTTCGCGGACGGCGTAGGGCAGGCTGTTGGCGTGAGGAGAGGATGCATTGGATAGCACTAGTACGATACCAAGTCAGATGCGTTTTGTAGACGTTCGGTTATCTTTATTTTTTCCCTCTGAAAAGCTGACAAAGCACTTCACATAACGAGGTCACCGCGTGTTTTCGGTGTGCTTGATTGCGCTGCCTGAAGCCTGTCCCATCGCAACTCACTCGCTCAGCGCTCAGGCCCAGGATGCACCCTGTCTTTCATGTCCACGAGCTCATTGGACAGTTTCTTCTCCATCTCGACAGCAAGGCCGACCTGCGCCGGTTTGCTAGAGTGTCTAAGTACTTCAAAGATCCGGCCCTTGATGCGCTATATGAAGAGATCAACTACCTTTCCGATATTCTACGATGTTTGCCTGGAGACTTGTGGAATATCTCATCGACGGGTGACAGGCTTAAATTCCTGACGTTAGTGAGTACAAGCACGTTCCGTATAACGTTAACCATCGCTTACGCAATGACTCTGATAAACAGGACTTCAAACGCCCTATGCTGCCAAGTGATTGGGGGCTACTGGCAACGTACACTTCACGGGTCCAGCGGGTTCACTTACGGGATAATTGGGGTAGTGCACGGATTTCCCTTTCTGAAAATGTTGTCGACGCTTTATCAGCCTGCCCTTTACCTTCCGGGAACATGTTCGCCAGCCTCCACTTCATACATGTTGACTCCGCCGGCGACCGTGATATCAAGATCCTCCATTCCATTGCGTTCGGCAGCCAGCTTCGTCACCTGCGACTCTCCTTTTGCGACTTCAAGCTTCAATGCCAGAGAATTCTCAAAGCTTGCTCCTCGGCTTGCAGTGCTTTCCCCCCGCCTTGGAACGCTACTTGTCAAATTCCACGATCTCGAGAGTTCATTTGACGAACCCGCTGACCCGACCCCCGAGCTGGTTGCGATTATATGTGGGCTCCATAACCTGCGCATGGTATCTTGCGGCCCAGTTAACGAGACCATTTTGGAGCACTATGCGTCCCTTCCGCGTCTAGACTCACTGAGCATCCAGGTGTTCAAAGATTCCACCTGGTTGAAAAGCCGAGGTTCAGCCTTTCGACTCCCGAAGTCACTGATTTTGGAAGCGATGGAGTACAATACCGTTGGGCGCGCGCTCACAAGGCTAGCGGGCATGGCCAAAGGGCCTCATGGGTCTTTCGGAGCGCAAGTGAGCAGCATCAAGGTTGATATGCTTCCCACGTATTCATCCAGCAATTCGCCGTTATATTTGTTTACCTCTGCATTGGCAACAGCCTGCCCATCTTCTACCCATCCCCTTGGCATAGACATTCGCAGTTATGATAGAGAGCCCGAAGATTCTTCTGTAGTCACTTATCGGGATATTCTTCCCCTCACAGCCCTCTCAACATTAACACGTTTATCGCTTGAGTTCGGAAACATCAACGTCCTCGGTGGAAATCGTGACATACTCTTTGACCTTGTCCTTCACTGGCGGCTTCTCGAGACCCTCAAAGTCGCCCCGTTTACCCTTAACCTCACGTGGTTCGCACGTATCATTCAGGCCCTTTCCATGCTGACCACGATATCCATCGACATCGTTGTCGAGGAAGACGAGATTCCGGCGTTATGGAGAGAGCCGGAGTTTCACAGTCTACCGACCAATAACTGCATCACCGCACTCAAGTCGGTCGAGCGATGGTCGCACGTCCCTCTGTTCCGTCGACTTGTCCCCCGGGTGAGGTGGAGTAGAATGGATGGCCCTCTCCTATCTCTCTGAGAGATACGTATTCCCCTGATAAACCGGACTTTACGATGGGATGTATTCTTAGGATTCTGTGAAGCAGTCTGAAGCCGGAAGTCCCTTGTAGTGTTCAGTTCATCTCCTGTAAATTACGAAGCAGTCGAAGTCGATTAGTTAGATCAGAATCGTTTCCAATGCACTCTCTAAACGAAGCATGGATTGCATCGAAATGGATCCGGATCTGAGGTTTATCAGTCGTACAATCCAGCTAGGGACCAACACGCGGCTCGATGGTTCAACAAAAGCGACTGGAGCCGAACCCGATGGTGCGGACCTGAAGCGCAAGTGTAGCTTCGAGCCTTTATATCGACGTGGGGCAGGTCTTGACATAGACTACGCATGGTGCCTTTTACAGTGTCTTCAAGAGAACAGAGCACTGAACGCGTTGCACAGTGGAGAAATCCAACGTCCCTACATGACACCGACAGACTTGATTAGTCCCTCCCGTACCGTCATCGAGGTACTAGAATCCAAGAAGTGTGCTGCTATGGCGAGGCAAACTCGATTCGCGCGTGGGTTTGTCGAACGACGACTGAGCTCACAAAGCGTACAAAGTCCGACTGAATATCGGAAACCGGACTACTTATTCATTGACGCGCTGTGTACCTGGGCCTTCCAACCGAAGCGACCAGACTGGTCGCCATAGATCGTCACGCAATTGATCCTATCTTGAGTGCACTGCATGGCCTACGAGCTCTTGTCTCCGACTGTCCGCGCCTGTCCGAACTTGCTCTGGCTATGCGCGTCGCTGCGTCGACTAGCTGTCGCCACGAAAAGTGGTCACTTGACCGGCTGGACCAAACAATCAGTACCACGAACGTCGCTCTTACCGAGTTCAATCTCCTCAACTCGGAGGTTGAGGATGCTTTCCTCTTCTCCGTAGTCGTCTCAAAGCTAGCGCCTAGCGTTGCAATAGACTGCTTCAATAAACCGATGAAGGAAGTGCAGGAAATGTGTCGAGAGCGGCAAGGTGGTATCAGCGCATGGAGCTGGAAAGAAGTGGAAGAGTGCTTGACGCCGCTCATCCCAATGGACGATGATAATAGTTCTAAAGATGATGTCGATAGTACTGTTAGTAGTAGTACTGACGATAGCACTGAAGACTGACGCATTGCCTAGCGTACAAATCTAGATACAGGACTACAGTCGAAACTACCAAATTTCAGCACTTGCCTGTTCCATCAGGTCTTGCATGCATACAGTGAAAAATCTGACGACGTGACGCGTCAACACGTCAACGCTGGGACCGCGAGAACGCGCGTCTAATTTCGGACGCGTTTACATGTAGTGACGTCTGGAGGACCCCCGAATATCAGTACTGAGGCATGGTGCCGACCCCTCCGAAAATGTCCGTATAAAGGGTGTCAAAACCCCCCAAAATGTCCGGAAAAATCACCTGGCCTTCCGCTGCTGGTCGGAAAATGTCCGGAAACTGGGATCTGGCCTCAAAATTGGCAAATTTTGGCCTGATGTCCGGATTGTGGCATCTGGCTTGTCTAAAAGCGGTTTTTAGAGAGTAAAAGCTTGATTTTTTGCTCTAATCAATGATTTGGTAGATGCTGCACTTCAAATATGGTTTTATTTGTTGTGATAATGGGGTTTTGTGAACATGGCACGAGGACGGTTCGAACCCAAGACCTCGTGGTATTGTCGCAAAAAGGTTAATGTGCATAGATACTTATCCATTCCGCCACAGGGCCATATTATCTTTCCCGATGTTTGCGTATATGACTACATAGATCGAGGACGCCCCCCTCACCAACACCGCCGCCGACGACGGCGACGACGAGGATTAGTAATACACCATTCACTTCACAGCACACAATCAGTACAATCCCAATTTCAAGTAAGGGTTAGATGCCCTTGCATGAGGCTAGGAAAAAATGCTACTAATGGATGGGACCATTCAGGTTAACTGGCGCGGGATCACTTTCGGACGGATTTTGGGCAGGGCTTATTCGTAAGAATGTTATTATGTAAACAGCTGGACCGTGCCGCACGCCTGCTGAGTCCCAGAGGATTGGGAGACCAACATTGCATTAGGGTAGTCATGGTCCATTGTGGACCAAAACTCCTCGTGGCACCGCCCCCTTGATTTGTCCGGACGCGCACCCGGCCTCCCTCACGCGCCAGCTCAAATGTCCGTATCCTGGACCCGGCATAGGTCGTAAATCCGGCTCAAACTCCCCAAAATGGGCCTAAATGTCCGGAAAAATCACCTGGCCTAGGTGTCCAAAAAAGGAAATTCGTGTCCGGATCGGCACCATGCCTCAGTGCTGATATTCGGGGGTCCTACGTCTGGTACGCGAAATTGAACCACCGGCGTCGGTGTGGCTTCCCGACACACGCATCGCCTCTGCAGAGAAGCCTACTGCTTCACCCACCTACATAGAATCGTCTTCTTCTCGTCCCTCGAAAGTCGACACGCGCCATAACCACACATGAAGATACTCCCTCCGGAAACCATACGCGAGATATGCAAGTACTGCACAGGCTGGGATGTTTGGGAAACAAGGAAAGCACTGGCGTCGCTGGCGAGAACGTCCAAAGCATTCCGGGACGAATCGTCAGACGAGCTCTGGGCTTCAGTCCCTGTAAAGGCTCTCTTTGATGCTTTGCCGTCGCGTACGATCTTGAAGATAGGCATAAGTGATAAGGCGATCGTAAGTGTCTCCTTTTCCATGCCGTTGTTGGTGTATGACAGTGTGTAATCCAGGTTAAGTTCAAAAGCGAGCTGATGACTGCCTCGGACTGGGATAGTTTCTATAGGCGCACTTTTAGCGTGCGCGAACTGTACCTAGACAACGCGGGAGGTGTCGAGATTTGCATACTATCATCGATCTTCCCCTCGCAGTCCCACGTCGAGCAGGCTATCCCTCGGCTCATACGCCTCCACCTTCCTCGCAAAGACTACTACGGCCACAGTACCACCCCCTGGCTCATACTTCAAGTGTTCTTAGTTCCCAAATTGCAATTTCTCAAGGTCAACTCCTTTGGTGAAAGTGGGTGGGACTTCATAAAAGTAGTTCCTAAACGCTGCCCGGTACTCGAGTCCTTGGATTTATCTCAGCTACACGGGTGGCCGAATGACGACAAGGCTGTATTTTCAGATATGATTCGGGAGTTAGAGAACCTCAAATCATACAATGGCCCGATTTTTCAGGAACGATTTGGGCGAGGACTGTCGCTCTTACCTCGTCTTGAACACGTCTCCATTGAAACACGATTCGGTTTCGACAGGAGCCACTCATTGGCCCTAGGCTCCCTTCCCTTTCCCGCTCTCTCTTCTATCTCACTTAGCGTCGATCCATCTACCTACGGTAGACCTGGGAATGCGATAGAGCTCTTGAGAGCTATCAGCAGCAAGCATGGAGAACACGAGCGACGACCACTCTCAGCGTCGATCCAATTTGTAGAGCTGCCCCTTCTAGAGGACGTCAGAGAGTGCTGCTCTATCCTCTCGTCCTACTCCCACTTCGACTTGCAATCTATCTCTCTTACCGCTCAGATTGATGACGATATCGAAGATGAGGATACCGAAGTTAGCGAGCTAGCACTCACGTTGATCAGGCCACTCCTGCGTTCAGTCTTTCTCAGAAAAGCTATCCTCAATGTTACCCACCAGGTTTACTTCACGGACGCCGACGTCCAGGAGATGGCGCGTGCATGGCCGCATCTGGAGATACTCAAGTTCAACGAAGAAGCCTGTTGGAATACTCAGCCAAAGATCACGCTCGACGGGCTTCGCAGCCTGCTGAGCAACTGCACCCAGCTGTATGAGCTAGCAATCGCCATCACCGTGCCTTGGTCCAATTACAATGGCGCTGAGCGACAACTCGGCACGCTAGACAGCACCTACGGCATCGGTCACGCCATGCTTGCAGCGTTTAATCTCCTTGATTCGGACATAGAAGATGAACTCTTCTTCTGCGTGGCTATCGCTCAGCTCGCGCCGTACGTCAGGATCTGCATGCTCAACTCAGAGTTAGGGCGGATAGGTCGTGCAGTCAAGGATGCGCAGGTGATACGTCGAGAGAAAGACGGTTTCGTTAGTAGATTGACATGGCCCGAACTACAACAGCGCTTGCCCTCCTGCGTAACGGGGCCTCGCATCGACGATTCTCTTGCAGCGTTTTTGGCTGACTGGGGCACCTCCGAAAGCGGCTCCGAGGAAGAGTGGTAGTGGGCCATTAGGAGTAGCGAAACTTGGAGCATATTCTAGCGTTCGTGTGTAAAGCCGCTAACCTGAATAAGCAATTTAGCGGTGAAAGTTTTGTCAGTACAAATCCATACAAACCTTGAGCATGCTATCTCATTGATACAATAGTACTTAAAGCAATCCTGAGCAAAAAGAAGACCTGAACAAGAAACTTAAGTCGACTGGCTCGAGTAGCGTATCTCGCCCGCTTTTGAGTGTGCTTGCCCTACTTGACCTCAGTAATCCCAACTTTGACACGGTCGAACATCGAGTTGTCCACGTCATCGACACCCTGCAAAGCAGATGAAGGTACTTTTAGCCATTGTACTTCTCCGCGTCGAACGCCGTATCTCATATGTACTTCAAATGGCGAGATGGCAAGGACCGAGGACGTCAGTGTACCGCCGGGTAGGGGACAGGAATTGCATATAGATAGGAGTGAACCGTAGTTGCCAGAAGCGTCGCGGGCTACCAAGCACGAGTAGAGATACTCAGTCGAGAGCATACGTCGTACCGCCATGGTCCATACGAAAGCATGGGATGTAAGATCACCGAAGTCTTGTTGGGACAGCGCGTCCGCATGCTTTATTAGTGCGAATCATGAAGAAGGAGCGTCCGGGAGTGCACGAAGTGTACAACACCAGAGGTGGCATGTAGATGTAGCCACCGTGTCAGCTCTTCTATGCACGATGAAAGAATTGTTTCGGAGCATACCTGAAAACAGCTGTTTGCGGTGACATTTCCTGTACCCGCACTGCGACCGTGGAATTCGCGAGACTCGTCAACTCGTTAGCAAGACCATTTGTATCGGGTAGTGCATTTGCTTGACGTCGACTGGGTCCGAGCTATCCAAGTTGTGGAGATGAAGTCTTCGGTAAATGCTAAGCTAAGCGTGCTGGCATGCATGCGCTTGACTTATTTCTGACTAAGCGTATTGAGAAGCTAAATGAATTTCGCGTCCAACCTTGCATCGTGCAGATCAGTGATCGGAATCCCACTACGAAGAGAGGCTGCAAGCGAACATACCTACATGGCGGAGGACGTGAGTGGCTGGACGTTCACTCAGCGAGGACATGTTCGTACCATAGAGCGAAGGCAACATATCGATACAGTTGCTACTTAATGTAATATCCTTATGGTCGTATTATCAGTCTTGAGAAGGGTCGTGAGCCGGTTATCGAGAGCGAGAGGAGGCATTAAACCTTTTCCATGGCAATTTAGAGGGCGATGATGGGAGGAGTGAACATTGGCGATTCAACGAGATCCATCTACGTTGACGTTTCAGCATGCGGATGTAACGTAACGTTCACGGAAAGTCGCACCTGACAGAAATAGGATCGCGTCCGGAAAGGCATAATAACCCTTGAGGAACATCTTATGATCCCGCTGGACTGAATATGACAGACTGCTGCTGCAAGTATTGCTCATGTAGTTTTGTTTGTACCAGCGACGTCCGAGATCCGTTTTCTTCTACGGCACGAGTACAAGTATAATCGCGAGCACAAGGTAGTGGCCATCGATATCGGTGCTGACCCAGAACATATCTCCCGCCTCGCGCCAACATAAGTAGACTCGTCGTCACTATGCTCAACGATCCATCTCGCACCCGCTCGCGCTCGCGAGCTGGGCTGAGGCAGGGCCATCGACGCCAAACAAGAACGCACCACACACGCCCCAGTCGCGCTCGGCGGGCAAGGCGCTGGCGGTCGCGAAGAACTGGGACGACTTTTTCGAGGGTCCGCAGCGCTCGGATACGCTATCAGGGGCATACCCGCCATCCCAGGACCCGGTCGCGGCGTTCCTGGAGCTGCAAGTCTTCCCCGGCCTTGCCATCGGCTGATACTCGTACGCAACCGGCTCCTCGACGAGCTCGAACACGCCTTCGCCCATATGCAGCAGCCAGCCCTTCTTCCACAGCTTCTCCCTCTCCCGCTGCGAGTTGGTCACCGGGAACGTGCCGACCGAGTACGCCGCTGCGGAGTGCTGCTGCTGCTGATGGTGGTAGGCGTATCCAGAGGAAGAACCATGTGAGCTGTTCGACAGCGTCGGGCGTAGCGCTAGCGCGGGCGTGCTACCGTAATGCGACGGCGACGCCTTGTGATGTACGCATTGTGACGTACGCATTGTACCCCGTGACAGAGTTGCGACCGCTCATGCTCAGCACGGAGAATACGGACAAGGTCGCGCTGTGCGGGAACGGCTCGACGGTGTGCAGGAAGCTTGGCAGGGGAGCATGGGTAGCGGCAGGGGCGAGGCGTGCAGTACGAGCGAGCGGTACGGGTCTCGAGGTACATACCGGTGCAACGCCTGAGTCCTTTCCAAACTCATGCCACCTAAAACAAGACCACCCGCCGCGCTTCGCCCGAGCTTACCATCTTCACGAGGACACGAACACCTCGCACAAGGCCAATAACAAACCCACTATTTCAAAACATTGTATGATCATTATCTAACTAGTACAAAGCAAAGCGAACGATGCAAGAGAACGTACGTACGAGGACAGAAACACAAACAGAGACAGCAGATTCGACAAAAAGTCAGAAAACTAAACAAGACACTATGTAGATATGCAGCAAGCAGCACGGTGGCCAACACCCCTGGACCGACGACGATAAAGCAACCAGCCGGTCGGTCGCACACAGGTGGTCTACGGGAGTATGCTTCCAGGACAGCGTAGCAGAGACAGAGAGGGAGAGGAGAGATGCGAATGCGTTCATTAGCCAGGCGTTGCAGCCGTCTTTAGTGAATGCTTGACAGACAGACAGAGATGAAGCAGGCATCGAGCCCGATCCACACGCGATCGAGCGCAGCTACGCCTCGGAATCAATCGAGCTCTGGTCCTCGTCCGCGTAGTTGCCCATCAGATCCGTCTCCGTGATCGCGTTCTGGGCGTCGCCGAGGTACCAGTTCGGCATGATGAACGCAAGGAGGATCGGTATGACGCTGAGCACCGTCGCGATCAGGATCATCGTCTTCATCGTGTCGTCGTAAGCTACACAACGCAACGCAAAGTCAGCGATCGGCGCAAAGCGTTCGACATAGAACAAGGGGGAGACGACGGACCGAGAATAACGCCCTCGCGAATCGGATCGCCGCGCGGGTACTTCACCACGTCCGTGATGCTCCCATAGAGCGCCTTGCGCTGCTCATCGGACAGCTCAGGCAGATACTTGGCGAGGTTCTCGGGCATCGAGTTGCTCCAGATCGCACCCGCTACACCACACACACACATACGCATATATTAGCTTCCCAGTCTCATCAAAATCGCGCGGATGCACGCACCACACGCGTTCCCGACAGCACCGCCAATCTCCGTGAGCAGCAGCACAACCGCAGTGACCATCGCCACATCCGTGTGCGGCACAGACGCCTGCGCGCCGACCTGCGCCGAGATCGAGGCCAGCCCACCGCCAAAGCCCTGGAGAACCTGCGTCATGACGAGCTCGGCATCGGAGCCGTTCGCCCCGCGTGAGTGGATCATCAAGCCGACGCCGCTATCGAATAGCACGATCGTTAGATAGGGAACAGGAGTGAGGGGTGAAAGAGTGGGACGTACACGAGGCGGATGCACAGACCGAAGAGCAGCACATACTAAGATTCACAAAACACTTAGTTGAGGCAGAATGAGGGGACCAAGGAACCACGTACCTTGTAGCGGTGCATGAATCGCATCGTCAGACCGGCGATGATACCGAACAAAGTCAGAGCCACGTTTTGCGTTTGCATAAAGTACGTGGCATTGATGAGCGACCTATATCATATGAACCCAACGTGCTGTGAGGAATCGAGCCTGCCGAATGCTTACCAGGGCTTGACGACAAGGACAAACGAGTACAAGTACACATATGTCAGGAAGTACGAGGCCTGACAACTTAAATTCAATTCCTGTTCTCGAGGGTATATCAGATGGCACTCACAAAGTCAAAGAATCCAATCAACGCCGCCCCGGCCACACTCCGGTTGAACACGAACCGCTTCGGCAGGACCGGGCGCGACGCCTTGTTGAAGTCCCACCATCCAAAGACGAACAGAGAGACGACACCAATACACAGCATAGTGATAATCCCCGCTACAGCACAACAAAAACACATTCAGCACACAACAGTCCCGGCACTCAACAGACGTAAAGCAAAGCCACGTACGACTCTTCCAGCTCCCAGCCGACGCCTGACTCAGCGTCAGCGGCAACAAGATCAGCGACACCGCCGCGCCGAGCAGCACCAGCCCCACAGCGTCCATCTGCTCCGCGACGCGCAAAAACGTCTCCCAGCGCGTCGCCCACACATTCTGCCGCACCGGGTGCACCGGCGAATGGCTGTCGTCGACCTGCACGGTCTCGTGCGCGTGCGACACGCGGCTCACGGGGCGGCTGCTGCCCGCGGCGCCGTACGCGCCACCGGTGGCGCGCGAGACGGCGCGCGAGTGGATGCGGCTGAGCGACTCCTGTGCGGCGCGCGCGATGGCGAGGTCCTCCGCGACGAGTTTCTTCGTCTTGCGCTCGGCCCAGAGGAGGGTGACGATGAGCGGGGAGAGCGCGATGGGGACGAGGAAGGCGAACATCGCGTCTGCGTGGCGTGACGTGGTGTTTCCATGTTGGTGTTTCCGTGTTCCGGGGGTCAGGGATCCAGAGTCGCATGGTGCACGCGAGCGTCAAAGTGCGTATGAACCCGAGTGTTTGGGTCGGGGTGAGTTGGGGCAAGGGCATTGGGATATGAAAGGCAAAATTAGAAATAAGGTTAGGTTTGCGTGTCTCACGAGCAGGGTAGGGCACACGTACAGCCCCATCGCCAACTGAGGTGCTCGAGGACCGCGGTGGAGATGTTGGACCCAATGAACGAGTTGAAGAGGAAAGGCAATGAGACCATCGAGCTGACGAGGCCTCGCCACTTGAGTGTCGTTATGTCGGCGATGATGATCTGCGTGAGAAGCTGGAGATTGCTGCACAGAAGCTCGGTATCAGACAGGGGGAGACCTTCGAAGGCGTCATAGTTTGAACTTACGTATATCCACTGGCAGAATTAACGGCAGTCAGCGCATATACTCAGCATGCATCGTGAAATGAGGGCGTACATAGCATATAGGATGATGCCCCCGGCGAGCTGGCCAATGCCCTTAGCAGTCGCGATGACGATATAACCTGATGCTGTGGTCAGCCACCGAGGTCCAATGGGACGGCTCACATAACACACCTACGACATAGAAGAAGACTAGAGGGCGACGAAAGCGGGCGGTGAGGCAAGGTCCGTGCGCAGGGCGTCTAAAGGGACTTACGCACGCCAACGAAGGCATTGCCACGGGAGGATATGTCGGCGACCTTTGCAATGACAGGCTTGCCCACCGCGACTGAGAGCAAAGTGTCAGCATATACTTTATAATAAACAGGGGGAATGAAAAGGAAAGCGTACTGATGAGGGACTGAGCGACAGTTACAGAACTGAGAAGGCTGTGTGCGCCCAAGGCAGAGGTGGCAAAGGTAAGATATGCCTGGGTGGTCGAAGAGTCGAGCGAATAGATATACGAGGCAAGTCCGAGGCTGTCAAGAATCAAGGATACATGCGCATACGAAGCGAGAAGTCGAAGAAGATAAGCGACGTTGGATCATGATACCACGATAGTGAGAGACGAAGACGGACCCGATGAAGAGAGCCCAGCGGGAGTAGCGACCGTAGACTCGCTGAGCGGCCTCGACCCTCTTGACTCCGACGTGTGCGTCTTGTTCGGCGGCTAAAGCGGCTACGGCGTCACCATCGAGGGCAAGGGCAGCGTCACCGCTCCTGATGCTGTTGCGAAAGTTTGACGGAGGCGGGTTGTCATCTGTGGATGATTTTGAGTCCATGGTGAGCGCTGGACTTGGGGATGGGCATAAGGAGAATATATACCTGACGGGAGCAGAGAGTATTTCGTCGACATTATGGAGCTCGTTTAGCGGCGGGTGATAGTTCGTGACAGTGGTCGGTGACTAAGCCGATCCACCACAAGGCGACAAGGGGCGTGCCTGCCTTTTATCTGATAATTTCATTTCCCGCCATCATTTATCAGATAAGATGTCACACCACAAATCACTCGGCCGATCTCACTCCCTTCTCATCAGACGACCCTCCTAAGTTCATACAATTCCAATGTTTCTTTGTCAAAACATATCCAAGATGATAATTGACAGTACCCGTAACAGAACACTAGCAAGAACGAACCGCCTTGTTACCCATCATGTCGCGGAAACCTACGTGTAATGTTTCTCTTGGCCATACCAAACCAACGGACCCGACCCATTGCCGAGCCAGAGAAAAAAGACCATGGCACCCACTTCTCAATCACGCACCCTGTTCCACACGCCCGGGTCCGCAACTCACTGTACCCTTCCGACACGAGCGCCTGCCCACCCGGCACGAGTTCATATCAAGTCTATGTGGGACCACCGCACGGGAAAGTGCGTCCCTGCGTAGCCCTACGCATCAGATGCCCTCCAGCTCTTCACTCCAGCAGGTCGCCCGAATCGCTCCAATCCAGCTCGTCCTCTTCGTCCGAACCCAATCCGCCGTAGCTTCGACCCGTCCCTGTGGCAATAATATGCCGCCTGTGTTTATGTGCACGCATCAGAAACGCGGTCGATGAAGTAATAAGACAGAAGAAAGCGGTCAGGTGTATCAGACCACCCGACCAGATGGGTGATAGAAGAGGCGAACACGAACCTTGAGAGCAGGTCTTCGACGCCCGCGTCACCGGCCTCCCAGTCTACGCGGACCCAATTGTGCACCAATTCACCGTCGCGGTACACAAGCATCGTCGGGAGCATGTCTGTATCGACGTCCTCTTCCTCTTCCTCGTCATCGCTGTAGTATTTCTCGTCAGCCTGGCCGTCGTCGTATGGGTCCTCGTCGTCATCGTCGAATCGCCCAGGCATCTTGCTCACGCGAGAGACGCTCAACCCCGTCCGCGCTGGCTGTCCCGACGAACGCGTAGAGGCAAATCCGAGCGCAGCAGCGCGGGCGTGCAGGAACTTGGTCTGCGGATACTGTCGCGCGAGGCGGGCGAGCGTATCATCTAGCTTGTAACACCTGTCCAAACTCTACACCCAAACCCCACCAATGAGCACCGTCCACCTCACAACAATAAAAATAGCGCCCCAACGCACCGAATCATAGAGATGCACAACCACCCACACCCCCCTCTCCTCCTTCTCCACCGCACCCACAAACCCCGCGCGCCCCACTTCCCTCAGATGCCCGAACCTTCCCTCGCTCGGCCGCCCAACGGGGTCCACTCCTTTCCCGTTCCCGCCGCCCTCGAGCGCAGCCTCCATCGCAATCCGCTCGCGCTCCTCCTCGAGAAACGTCTTCCCGCCCAAACTCGCACGCTCCATCCGGCGCCTCACCGCCTCCGCCTCCTTCGCGCGCCTCCGCGCCTCGCGCGACGCCGCCTCGCGCCGGTCGCGGATCACGCCCTTCACGCCCGTGCGGCCTGGGCCCATGCCTATCGACTCCTGCGCCGGTTCGGCGGCGGCGGCGGCGCTGCTGCCGCCATTGGACTGAGCGAGGGGCGGGAAGAGCTCGTCGTCGTCTGAGATGTCGGATGCGAACGAGATGTCTGTGCTTTCTGAGCGCGCGGGCGAGGACGAGCGCGAGCCGCCGCCGCCGAAGAGCTTGCCTGAGAGGACGAGGTGCTCGATGTCGGCGTCCTGTCAGGATCATGCAAGTCCCTGAGTCAGCGTAGGTAGCGTAGGTGGAGGTAAAACCGGAATCGCACCATAGATAGATAAGGACGAGAACGAAGTAAGCTGTTTGTTGAGAGCTACGTCTGGTTTAGGAGAAGGTGAAGGACGATGCCGAGATGGAGAGCTGACGCTGTACCAAACGTATGGCGCGAATATGGCGGAGGAGTAGTTTTGGTGGCTCGGTCGGCTGTCCGCGGGACTTTCGCCCGAATGTGGTAAAAACTCCGACCCCTGTCCCCTGAGATGATCGTGGCTTTCGGCTTTCACTCGAAGCGATGACTCATGGCATGGTTTGCCAGTTTCTTCTCGAAACATCACAGCAAGATATCGATGTTACAGAAATATCATCTCAAATGGACGCATTAGCGGGTGTCGCGCCCGGATTGTATAGCTACTCAGTCGCTAACAAGCATTGTCCAACTCAGACTCTTTTTCTCACAACAAGGCAATGAACGCGCTAGGCACATTTTTGAACGGTTACACTCCAGACACAAAGATAACTCGGTGGTCTCACCTCACACAAAAAATCACGCTAGATTGTCGCGCACAATGATGCGTGCGAGGCTTGTTGCTGCCTGTGGTGAACCCCTCCGCCAAAAATGGGAAGGTGCCTGAGAGCATAACACGGAGAAAATGCGCAAAGGACAACTTCATCTGCTAGTAGAGCTACATCTGTCATTTGAGGTATCCAAGTTAGATTTTTTGGAAAGGTGTAAGCGCAGATGTATACGTCACCAAGAGCCGTGTCCTCTAAAGCCGAATTCATGACGTGAGTGTCGATAGTATAGATGTTGATGGCTTCTCACTAAAGTAGCCTTGGCCGGGCAAAAGGAACGACATGCGAGCAACGATAGTGATGATTTGCGTGATTATGAAGGACGTCGGAGTCTCAAGACCAACGAGGCCTGATCTTGGCTTTCCTAGAAGTACGTATACACGTAAAGACATCATACCTGTGCCATTAGAGGGTTTTCAGGATTAAGCAAACAGTCGACATGACAAACATTACAGGGGGGAAATCGTTATGGTTGAAGACACTTGTGCGGCAGAAAACAGAAAAGAACATAACTTGACGCCCTACATCAGACCGGTACATCTGCAATTTTTTATACTGGTACTTGCACCTAGAAAACAGTGCTTAGATGAAACATAACAGACGTTACGTTACCCACATCTGTGTTCATGAGATGTCACCAGCCCCGGCAGAGTCAGGAGAAAAGACACACGCGCAACAGTCTTGAGATGCATAGGGCGGACCTCGAGCAGCGGCCAGCTAGGAAGAACCGAGAAACCAGGCACGGTCGGACTCGGACTCAGACCGGAGACAAGGGAGAACAATCGATGCCAACAAAGGTCAAGGAGAGCCGAGTCAGCTTCGCAAAACCCGCGAACGGCTCTGTATTGTCGTACATGACCTAGAGAGGCTGCCCAGAGTTGGTGAGGAAAAGGATTTCGTCCGAGTAGAGCTTCGAGATGCTGATTTCCTCGAGGCCCGCGGAGAACGTACAGGTCGCGAGCGCCGATGTGAACGCAAAGAGAGGCTCGGAGGAGGGGTATGGCCATAGAATGTCCGGGTCGATCGTGTGGAGCTCGAGTGAACTTTCAGCGTCTAGCCAGGTCAACTTCAGTCGACACGCCGAGCTCGAAATCGAGGTTGAGGCGGCGGCGGCGGCTAGTCTAAGCGGGGCCCGCGCGCCCGTATCGTAGTCCACAGCCTGGAGCGTCAAGGACCTCGGCCGATGGGAGCGGTGCCAGTTCGTTCGCAGGCCACCGGCTGCTGCTGAGCACAATCAAGGTCAGTTTGTCGAGGTTCCAAAGCGACGCCGGAGGATATCATTCATCACTCCGCACCTGACATTTTTTGAGAGTGTCGAGTCAGCGCATTATATCTGTCGTATAAAGTTGTAGACCCAAGTCGAACTTTGAGTGGTTCAAGTTTAGCGTGCTGACGAAGTTGGCTACGGGAGTCTCGAGGAACGGAACATTGTCTGCGAGCTTGCGCTCCGGCTCGTCGTAGAGAGATTTGGCGGAGACTTTGCAGTTTGATGGACAGATGGCGAAGATGAGTGCTGAGGAACAAGGGCGGCAGGGCGGCAGTGTCGAGTGTCCCGAGATGTTAGGTCCGACGAGTTGCAGGATGCAGAGCTCGGGAAACATCTCGCCGGCTAAAAAGACTCAGCGTGCGAGCAAGTTGCACATGGTGTCTTCCAGAGAGACAGCGTAGGTCTTCGTTTCAGTTGCAGAGAGGCTGCAGTGAGAGTGGTGCCATACGATTTGGAGAGAGCGAATGATACGCGCTGTACTTTGCTACGATCTAGTCATTGAACGCTAACGATGTCAAGAGTGACATTGTCGTCACCTCGTCTGGGGATACGAGCAAGATGGAAGAGCGGGGTAAACTCGGGACAATCTGGAATGATGAAGCACGTGACCGTGTTGCTGCCGAGAAACACGGCTTGCTAGCGGATCAGCTGGCTCATGGCCGAGAACTTGAACCTTCTCGTCCTTCTGCCTTGTCCCTTCCCTCCGTTCAAAGTCCTCATCTATAGCCCACAAACTGAGACAAGCTAGCATTTCCATGCTCTCTAGCTCTCGCTGGTCGCCCCCGAATCCTCAAAGATTCAAGCTTTATCCCCCTCGCGGCGAAACCATGAAAGTGTTTTTATGGGCGCATGACAGGGACAACTCAATGACAGCCAAACGCCATGCCATAACATTGTCCTGATCATCAAATTTGCCCAGCTTCTACCCCGTGTGCCTGCCCGCCCTCAGTCACGCATTTGGGCTCAGTTCACTCACCTAAAACTCCCCGTACTAGCTCGGCTGTTCCTCAGTCACTCTTTTACTCCCAACTAACACAGACTAAAACCCCTCGGGCACGCCGCCGCTCGCGATGCTGCCCATCCACTCCTTTATAACCCTTTCATCCCTCTTCGGCCTCGCCCTTGGCCTCGGCTCGTCTTGCTCGGCTCCCCTGGGCAGCGGCCACGGCGACCCCAACACGCCCTACTGGCTCGAGACGATCAAGCACCAGGGCTCGTCGCCGTTCAACCCCAACCAGACGCGCGAGCACCCCTATGAGGTGTTCCGCAATGTCAAGGACTTTGGTGCGGTCGGGGACGGGAAGCACGATGATACAGCTGCCATTCAGTGTGTTGCCTCCTTTTTTTCTCGTCGAGTTGAGGGTTTGGGGCTGACGCGGAGGGTTAGGGCTGCGATGACATTGGGCAACCGGTGCGGAAACTTGACCTGCGAGTCCTCTTCGTACGTGATCCCGTTCACTCGCTCGCTCTTCTCCCCCTGACATTCCCCTCCACAGCCTCACCCCGGCCATCGTATACATTCCCCAAGGGTACGCCGTCCCCACCTCCTTTCTCCACGTGAAACATATTCTCATGCCGTCGAACGCAGCACGTACCTCGTCTCCGACGCCATCGACGCCTACTTCTACACCCAAATCATCGGCGACGCCAAACGCCCGCCGACGCTGCTCGCCTCGACGGACTTTAGGGGCTTCGCCGTCATCGACGCGGACCCGAGCAAGCAGGTCAAGAACGAGACGGAGCCGTGGTACATTAACCAGGACAGCTTGTGCGTGCCCCACCTCTACCCGCGTATTTCTGCTCTGGTTATGCTCACTTGTGATTGGTATTGAAATGAATGGAATTGGATAGCTACCGCTCGATCCGCAACGTCGTCATCGACACGCGCCAGATGAAGCCCGAGGCAGGCGCGATCGGAATTCATTGGGAGGTCTCGCAGAGCACGTCGCTTGTCAATGTCGTGGTTGAGATGTCGCAGGAGAAGGGCACGAACCACACAGGTTAGTAGCACCACCCGCGCGCTTTCTCTTGCATTCGTCAGAATACTGACGCGGAGCGATCGCAGGTCTGTACATGGAAGCCGGAAGCGGCGGGTTCATGGGCGATCTTGTTTTCAATGGAGGTGAGTTGTAAAGAGTGTGAGTGAAGATGTGGGTCTGATTGAAGTGTGCGATAGGCAAGATCGGCATGTCCGTTGGTAACCAGCAGTTCACTGTTCGGAACGCTACATTCAACAACGTCACCGCCGGTGCGTGCCTCCTTCGCGGACTGCCTTAACAAAAACCTCTGACCCAACCCGTCTTATCACAGGTGTCAATGCCCTCTGGAACTGGGGATGGACCTTCCAAGACGTCACAGCCAACAACTGCGAGGTACGCTTTAGTTCCTAACCAACCTGGCTCCCGCGAACTCCCCTCTGCCAGATCGCATTCAACCTGACCACGGGCAGCGTCGGCTCGGAAGCCATCATCGACGCAACAATCTCCAACACGAAAGTATTCGTGTCCAACTCCGCGCCGTCGCACCACAAGCTCAACGGCTCTTTGGTGCTCAACAACGCGCGCCTGCACAACGTGCCCGTCGCCGTCGGGATCTACGGCTCCGACGAAGTTGTTCTCGCCGGCTCCAGCGGCTCCGACGACGACGCGTACATCGACAACTGGGCGCAGGGCAACGCGTACGTCGGGACGTCGGACACGCCGCGCTTCGTGCAGCAGGCGATTCCGCCGATTAACAAGCCGGGGAGCGTGGTTACGCCCGCGGGCAAGATATACGGGCGCGGGCATCCGCAGTATGCGGGGCTGGATTATACGGAGGTGGTGAGTGTGAAGAGCGAGGGCGCGGCGGGCGATGGGAGGCAGGATGATACGCGGACGCTGCAGCGGGTTATTGACGAGGTGTGTTTTACTCTTCTCCCTTCCTTCCCTCTTCTTCTCCTTGTTATCGTTGCTGTCGGGTCGGAGGAGGAGAATGCTGACAGGGAGGCGGTAGTGGTGGGGCTGCAAGCTCATCTTCTTCGACGCGGGCGCGTACTACGTCACGGACACGCTGCGCATCCCCGCGGGCACGCAGATCGTCGGCGAGGCGTGGTCCCAGGTTATCGGCGGCGGGCCCAAGTTCGCGGACGAGGCGAATCCGCACGTTGTGGTGCGGGTTGGCGAAGAGTGGGAGCAGGGCGTGACGGAGATCTCGGATATGCTGTTTACGACGCGTGGGCCTGGTGTGTTGTCTTTTTCTGCGGGGTAGCAAGGGATGGGCTGACGGTAGGGTACGGGGATGTGTAGCTCCCGGTGCGATCATTATGGAGTGGAACGCACACGAGCCGGCTGGTCAGCAGGGCGCGTGCGGGATGTGGGATACTATCTTCCGTATCGGCGGTGGTAAGTACCTCCCCCGTCTCACCATTTCTGCATGCACGCCACTAACGCGACTATCGATAAACAGCCGCGGGCACGAACCTGCAGGAAGAGTGCCCGGCGGGGAACCTGGATCCCAAGTGCCAGGCCGCGTTCCTGGGGCTGCACCTCACGCAGTCCGCCTCGGCGTATCTCGAGGGCACGTGGGTCTGGACGGCGGACCACGACGTGGATAATGTGAACCAGACGCAGCTGAGCATTTTTTCGGCGCGCGGGATTTTGTCGGAGAGTTTGGGGCCTGTGTGGATGATTGGGACTGCTTGTGAGTCTTCGCTAGTGTGTTTTGAAGGCAGAGACTGATGGGGGTTTATAAAGCGGAGCACAATACGTTGTACCAGTATAACCTCCACCAGGCGCAGAACCATTGGATTGGGTTCGCTCAGACTGAGACGGTGAGCACCCCTCCCCGTTCCTATCCAAGCCTCATTCTCACAAAACCCTTACTTGCCAGCCGTACTACCAACCCGTCCCGAACCCGCCCGCACCCTTCCGCCTGCACCCCGAATACCACGACCCGCACTCATACGCGAACCAAACGGACGCATGGGCGATCTACGTGCGCGAGTCGTGGGGCGTGACGGTGTTCGGCGCGGGGCTGTACAACTTCTTCAAGAACTACACGCAGGACTGCCTCGCGAACACGACGTGCCAGACGGACGTGTTTGATGTCGACGATGCGTCGACGGTGCAGATATACTCGCTTACGACGGTGGGCACCACGTATCAGCTTGATGTGCGGGGGAGGCCGGCGATCAATGCGACGGCGAATTCGGAGGGGTTTCAGGATACGGCGACGCTTTGGCAGAGGTGGGAGATGGAGCTGTGATGCGGTGGGTGGTGTGGACGTTCGTTCGTTTAGTTATTTTTCGTGGCGACGGGTACACCTAGTCACTTATTTGTTCCTTGGTTATTCAATGTGTAGTGGTCATCTATGGCGGGTTATTATACAACGGTTTTAGTGATGTGAGCAATTGGACATTGTTGCAGTTGACGCGCTTGAAGTTGGCCCCGCCTTGTTGACGTCTGACCTCCAACTGCAATCGTCGGTGGCCTTGTCTTCAACAGACTCGTCTATGCCACATTTCAAGTAAAGGCCATTCAGAATCGACTTTGGGTGGATCGTGCGATGAAGGACTTGCGGGTGCGTGTTTGTTTTCTGCGCACATGGCTTCCAGGTGGGTTGAACGTGCCATGCAGCCCTTCTTCCTTCCCATCGAAATCTGGGACCAGTGCTTTTTTCGTTGCTCAAGTGACGATCTCAAGAGCCTGTCCCTCGTCTGCCAGTCCTTTCGCCCCATATGCCAGCGCTATCTCTACCGTTCCCTGTCCTATCGCTCGCCTGAGCTCGAGATGGTTGGGACGCACAATGTCTTTGATTTGATACTGGAGATGTGGAAGCAGTCTCACTTCCACAGCACACTGGCGTTGGACCAGGCAGGGCAGAGTGTGCTGCCTTACGTGCACGAATGGACATGGGCGGGAGTGCTGCCCGAGTACACGAGCCGCATCCCGGTCAACCAATACACCCTCTTCCTCGAAGCCTACAACGCCGTCCTCCGCGCCTTCCTCATCTCCCTCCCCAAATTCCCCGCCCTCACCTCCCTCTCCCTGCGCTCCATCGAGGTCAACCGCGACGCCCGCACCACACTCGCCATGCTCCCCCGCCTCGACGACCTCGCCCTCTCTGACTGCAACATCTCCGCCCCGCGCGGGCCCCTCCTCCGCCTGCGCACCTGCGAGGTCACATACCACTCCACGATCGACAACCTCCCCAACACCACGCGCGACATCGAGCTCGTCGACCCCGCGCGCCTCGAGGCCCTCACCGCATGCCGCAGCGCAGGACACCCCGACGTCGTCCTCCCGTGGCTCGTCCGCAGCCCCGCCCTCCCGCAGCGCTTCGAGCGCCTCACATCGCTCACAGCCGGCGTGCGCGCGACATCCGCAGACGTGTTCTTCGCGTTCCTGCACAAGTGCCCCCACCTCCGCCGCCTCGCGCTCAGCCGCGACTCGATCATCCCCGCCGTGCTCTTCCCCGCACATCTCGACCCAGACACCGTCGTCCCGCGCCTGCGCGAGGTGTTCGTCCCGCTCAACGTCGCGTACGCGCTCGTCCCCGGGCGCCCCGTCGAGCGCGTGAACATCCACCACCGCGCGGGCGAGTTCCACGATCTCGGCTCGATCGTCGAGGCGCTGCGGGCGTTCGGGCGCGCGGCGGTGCCGTTGCGGCATCTGAGTGTTACGGTTAGGGGGCTGGAGCCGAGTTTGGATGTGTTTGGGGTGTTGAGGGAGACGCATCCGCGTCTGCGGGTGCTCAAGATCGACTTTGACGACCGGCCGGTGCCTGCGACGGAGGACGACGCGGACGCGGACAGCGACGAGGAGGAGACGGGCTCCGAGGCGGGCCGAAGGGTGTGCATTGATCATGCGAGCTTCACCGCTGCCGTGGGCGCGCAGCCGCGCGACCCACGTACATTCGCAGTGCGTTCCGCCGTCTTATTCTTCCGCTAACGTACCCGCTGATCGCAAACCGCGCACAGGGCATGATCGACGCGCTGCTCCAGTCCCCGCGCTCCCTCCCGCCCGCGCTCGAGGAGCTCGCACTCGGGCAGCTCCTGCCGGACTCGGAGCACGAGGACGTGCAGCGGTTCTCGCTCGTGGACCAGCGGCGCGCGGTCGCGTGTCTTGCAAGACAGCATGCTGGGCTGCAGAGTGTTTCGCTGGGGCTGTATGGGCCCGAGTGGGTGCGGATGGAAAGTAGGGTGTGGATGCAGGCTCCGTAGGTGTCGTTTAGATGTGGGTGTACTTGTCTTGTCCTCGTGGTGCTCTGCGGCTCACATCGTTCTTGTGCGTTTGCTGTTAGCAGCGTTATTGGTCTGGAACGCCCTTGTTCCCGCGTCTTTCTTGGGTTTCTGCATTTTTCTTGTTGGATTCATACACCTTTCTTGGACTTTGCAGCTCGCGGCTAGTTCGCGTTATACCGCCTCGCCATTACGTTCCCATATTTATCTTATGAACACCATCTTCTTGGGCCCCTCTTCCCGCATTTTGTCGGCTTGAGCGATCGATGAGGATCGACACGCGTCGACGCGAGGCTCTGCCAAGCGCATTCCGCCCTGTTCCTTTGTGCTGCCCGCAAAGCCCGCGTCGTGTGCGTGGAACGAAGCTGAACGCTGATCCTACGTCACCTTACCATCTCGCCCTCCTTTTCTTTCTCAGTTTGGACGCACAGGCAATGCTGGCGGGGGGACGGGTGCCTGCCGCCGGTTCCTCGACAGCTCGCCATGTCAAGGTCTGAGCTCAGTTTCGCGAGGCGGCTTGTATGATTTGGAAGTTGAAGAAGCCTTGGCTAAGTTGGCTTCATGTTGCCTAAGATCCAAAGGCACGTCGGCAGACGTCGGTGGTCGAAATTGCGGTTCGCGGAGGCATTTGACAGCGATTGGCAGAGAATGTCAGGACACACGCGGGGCTATCACATGATGATGGTCCTGGGAATCCGGGGAAGTTAATCTCTCCTTCTTCTCTCTCCCGCTCGTTGCTGCCGCGTGTTGTGGCAACTCTCTTTGGTTCAATAACCTTGAAATAGCTCATTGTCTAGGTTTGGGGTGACTCTCTTGTCCGGCCACACACATTGCGCGCACCTTCACCTACGCTTTGGTAGCTTTTGCGACTTCAACTGGCCAGCGAGAACATTACCATGTCAACTACGTTCGAGGCACAAAAACTTGCTGGCATTCCCAGTCCGAAGTTCTCCCCCCTTGCGCAACATGCGGTCGTAGTCTCTGTTGCGACATTCGCCATCCTCTCTGGCTGATCTTTAGGCACTCATGCTGACAGAAATAACTTGCCAGAGCATGCCCCCGATGTCTTCATTGAACTTTCTTCCCACTCATATGGCTTTCGAGTGCGTCACCAGGGGCTCAGAAGCTCGCTGGGTCTCACACTCTGACATACTCTATCCTACTCTATCCAATCGCCTCATAGGCTACCGGTCCCCTGACCAGCGCTTCGACGTGGATCGCCTGCGATGGTGAGCTCACGTCTCCCCCGGATTCCATTGCCCAAGCTGAACTTCTGACTTTGCCAGCAGACTCTGCTCTTCCTATTGCAGATCCGCAACATACAACAAACGCCTGTCCAAGCCTATACTAGGAACATCCGAGTAGCATCAGGTAGCATCCGTCTCGGCGTGGTCGCACCGTTCTCCGTCAGCCCACGCGAGCCCATCTCGCGCATGTCCCAGGTTACCCAAGGTTGCCCATCCCAACCCAGACTGACAACGCCACATATGGACGTCTCTCGCTGGCACCGCGTCGCGTGTGCCTCTCAGCAGCTTCTGCGTTGGCCTCGTTCAAAGGTATAAAACCGAAGGCAACACCTCGGAAGGTCTCCATCGGCCTTTCCCCCCATCGTCTTCCCCCCGGTCTTCTGGTCATCTGCCATGTTGTTTGGCACGATCACCCTCACGGTGCTCAGCACCCTGCTCAGCTCGGCGCAGTCCGTCGCTGCCCTCGGCTCGACCTGCACTACTGCCCTCGGTGGTGGCACCGCCGGTGCGAGCGACCCGTTCTGGCTGCAGAACATGAAGCACCAGGGCACGTCTGCGTTCAACGCGGACCCGAGCTCATACGCTGTCTACCGCAACGTCCAGGACTACGGTGCCAAGGGTGACGGGTCTACCGATGATACCGCTGCTATCATGAGCGCCATGACTGACGGCGGACGCTGCGGAGACGTGAGCTGCGCGTCGTCGACGTACGTGCTGCCATGCCCCCCTCTCGCACGCAAAAATAGACTCTAACGACGCGTTCTTCTCTTCCATATTACAGCCTTACGCCGGCCATCCTCTACTTCCCCTCTGGGTGCGTACCACGCGTCGCGTCTTCACAGCGTCCGAGATGAAACTGAACTCTGTGCTCTTTCTTTTTGCGTGTGCAGAACCTACGTCGTCTCGTCCGCGCTCAGCCAGTACTACTACACCCAGATGGTCGGTGACGCGCGCAACCCGCCGACGCTCAAGGCCAGCGCGGGCTTCAGCGGCTTCGCCGTCATCGGTAAGTCCGAGTCTCGTCCGCACGCGAGGAAACATGATGCTTAACGCGTCGCGTGCGTCTATATATAGACTCCGACCCATACATTCCCGCCGGCAGTGGTGCCCAGTGGTTTGTTAACCAGGACAACTTGTGAGTTGGGCTTGTGTGCGGAGCGGACGGTGGCTGACCATGGCGTTCAGCTTCCGGTCTATTCGCAACTTCGTCATCGACACCACCGCCATGCCCGCTTCGGCGGCGGCCATCGGTATTCACTGGCAGGTCTCGCAGGCGACGTCGCTCTTCAACGTCGTCTTCAACCTCAACTCGGGCTCCGGCACGCAACACAAGGGCATGTTCATGGAGAACGGCAGTGGCGGTTGGATGGGCGGTACGTTGTTTCGCGATCGCGAGGGCTCGCAGCGCTGATGCGCCAATCTTGCAGACATCGTCGTCAACGGCGGTAACATCGGTCTCAACGTCGGAAACCAGCAGTTCACCGTCCGCAATGTTACCATTAACAACGCTGTCACTGCTATCTCGGGTATCTGGAACTGGGGCTTCACTTACCAGGGCCTCACCATCAGCAACTGCCAAGTCGGTCTCGATCTTGCCACTGGTGGTCTCACGCAGGCGGCCCAGGTATGGTCGTTTACGCTTCCTGGCACGCACATCCCCTAACACACTGCGCCTTTAGACCGTCGGCTCTGTCCTCGTCGTTGATGCCGTTGTGACCAACACCCCCATCTTCATCCAGGACTCGACTGCGGCAAACGGCGGTCTCAGTGCCGGCTCGCTCGTCCTGAGCAACGTCCAGCTCAACAACGTCCCCACCGCCGTCACGGTCACCGGAGGCACCACCGTCCTCGCCGGCGGCAGCACCACCATCGATTCGTGGGCGCAGGGCTTCACCTACAGCGGCACGAGCGGCACCCCGACGTTCACCCAGGGCACCATCACCGGCCCGTCCAAGGACGCGAGCCTGCTCGACAGCGCCGGCCGCATCTTCGGCAAGACGCACCCCCAGTACGAGAGCTACGCCGTCGACCAGTTCGTGAGCGTCAAGACGAGCGGCGCCAAGGGCGACGGCTCGACGGACGACACTGCCGCGCTCCAGGCTGTCTTTGACCAGTACGCCGGGTGCAAGATCATCTTCTTCGACGCGGGCACGTATTATATCACCGACACGCTCACGATTCCCGCGGGCACGCAGATCGTCGGCGAGGCGTGGTCGACCATCATGGCTGGCGGCTCGGCGTTCTCGGATATCACTAACCCCAAGGTCGCGGTGCAGATCGGCAGCGCGGGCGACACCGGTGTTTTGGAGATCACGGATATGTTGTTCTCGACCAAGGGCCCTGCGCCCGGTGCGATCATGGTTGAGTGGAACGTGCATGATCCCTCTGGCCAGCAGGGTGCTGCGGGTATGTGGGACACCCACATGCGCTTCGGTGGTGGTATGTCTGTTCCCTTACCTCCATTATCCTCAGTGTTCTCATGGTTGTGGCTCGTGATAGCAACCGGCACGAACCTCGCGAACCCCCAGTGCCCCCAGGCATCGCGCAACGCCGCCTGCCAGGCCTCCTACCTCGGCCTGCACCTCACCTCCGGCTCGTCCGCCTACATCGAGGGCACCTGGGTCTGGACGGCCGACCACGACCTCGACACGACCAACTCGGCCAACGTCACCGTCTTCTCCGGGCGCGGCATCCTCTCCGAGTCGCAGGGCCCCGTGTGGCTGATCGGCACGTCCTCGGAGCACGCCGCACTGTACCAGTACAACCTCGTGGGCGCGAAGAACCACTGGATCGGCTTCGCGCAGACGGAGACGCCGTACTACCAGCCGCAGCCCGCGGCGCCCGCGCCGTTCTCCGTGAACAGCGCTCTGAGCGATCCGACGACGTTTGGCGGCTCGTCGAACATGGCGTGGGGCATGAACATCCAGGGCTCGAGCGGCATCACCATCTTCGGCGGGGGCTTCTACAGCTTCTTCAACGTACGTTCCACCTCCTCTCTCGTTCACCACCGTATTGACATTTAATTTTCTTCTTTTATCATGCAGAACTACGACGGCACGTGCAACACCGCGCGCAGCTGCCAGGACCAGGTGCTCAACATCGACTCCACCTCGTCCGTCAACGTGTACGGCCTCTCCACGCTCGGCACGCCCAACCAGCTGAGCGTCGGCGGGACGGGCGTCATCGCCGCGAACCACAACGGCGACGGCTTCCAGGACACCGCCACCGCCTGGACCTCTTAAGCGCTCTCGCAGCAGAGGCTAGACTCAGAGGGCGCTTAGTAGGCCCGACTATAAATATTCGTTTGCAATCTGGGTTTTATTTATCTGCATTGGTATCGGCACACCTCTGGAGGTGCATATAGGGCTACACACGGTGCTTTGCTCATGTTGTATTTGTAAACACTGGAACCAAAATTACAATTGACGCATCATGGAGAACAAATTGTGGAGTGAGCTTTCTTGGAGTGAACTAGACTTGCACTTGGCAAACAATGCTAAGAATGGACTCAGCTTGGACCGTAAGCGTATGTTACCTCCCATGGTATTTTTACACATTTAATTAGAGGGGGACAGGGGGGATATACTCCGCAGACCACGTCGAGTAGTGATGCAAGAAAGCAGGCGAACGATTGAAAGACGTGTTCCGGAGCAGCGTTGCTCTCGGTAACGTATACGCCAATATCCTGTTCGTCAACCTAGGGTAAGCAGACGCTGGTCCTGTAAGTAGCTCGATGTTGTCGAGCGGTCGAGCTCGACTCTCATCGTACTTTTCCAGAAAATCTACATGAGATATGGTGGTTGCGGAAATCACTAGGGTCTTCAGCGAAGGAAGGTTCATCTTATCGAGAAGACGGTATATGGCGGCGTCGGGGGTACCAGTGCCTGATTCTCCGCGATCCAGGATGGAGACGGAGATCCCGAGCGTTCGAAGATTGGTATGACCGAAAGGTGAAGTGGGAACATTCGCAATATGGTCTGCGTGGACGAACAGAGATTCCAGTTCCGGGAAACTTGCGTTGAAGGAATCTGTGATTAAGAACTCGGGTGTTTCGTCAATGATAAGGGACTTGAGAGATGACCATCGCTTATTCATGAAGTACTGGATATCGCGCTCACGATCATGTATCAGCTTCATCCTGAGGTGCGAAAGATACTGAAACTCCTCGAAATATCCTAGAGTTGACCCAATGACGCCCGCCTTCGTCAGCGTCAACATCTTGAGGCGAGGAAAAACGTCCGCCAGCAGTTGAATCTGTAGTATTTCGAAAAAGTGGTCGCAGAAGATGACCTCCATGGCGCTGCAGCTTGTGGAAAAATGACGTAACACTTTCTGGTGTTCTTGATCCACGAGATCCATACAGCTCTCGATGAAGATCGTGAGGCGGACTGGGGCGGAGCCTGAGCGAGCGAGCTGCTCCGATGCGGAATCGAACGTCCAGCTTCCTCTATCTCCTCTAAAATCGAGCTTGATCAAGTTCCATAGAAAAGGTGTCGAGATCGCGATGTCGCGCCACAGTCTGCACACCTGGGTGGAGTTCGGTGCTATGGAATATGTTGGCGTGCGTGCATCTTCCCCGCGAATGCGCTGCGCTGCGTAGAGTAGAATGGCTCTCATGATCTCTGGAGGAATGTTGTCAATACGAGAAAACATCCCGGGATTGTGTGTATAGGAGTCGTTGGCGGTGGACAGTGGGGCGCCTGTTGCATCTTCTAGCCCGTTGATTGCGCCAGAAACGCGGACAGTCGTGTTGCGATGAGTGCCCTCTTGGACTCCAAGAGATGCAGAGGTGTTAGCTAATGGCATGTCTGCGTGTTTCGCTCGCGGTATGTTCCACAAGATGAGATCTCAGTCGAGGGATGTCAAGTACCAGTGACTCAGTGTGATAAGCGTTGAGCTCCTCCGACGGATAAAATCTACAGAGTAATGAGCAAGACAGAGAGAAAATTCTTGGTAAAAAGGTAGGTACTTACCGGCTGAGGCAGCCGACTAAACCCACTCGAAGGCACCAGTGAAGTACTAAGTTTGTGAATTACAAGTGAATTAGCAAGACGAACAAGATTGGCTCCAAGGCTCCACCACGGTAAGCGTGGGAAGTTCAATAAGGGCAGGCGCATGTGGACGCTTTACTTTCTTCCAAGTTTCTTCCTGGAAACAGCTCGCCTGCTGCCTAGGTTGTCCTTCTCTGCCATGATGGTCGCGACGAAAAACGGATGATATAGGTGTAACTTCCTTGAGAACGTTAACTTGATATTGCCACAACTTGGCTGTAGCTTGTGGGAGCATAAGATCAAAATATGTTCTTGCACGGTCGCGGTAGCGATCAGACGTCGTAAATCAAGTGTAATTAATCATGCTGTGCGGTACATGTTCGAGACTAAGTAAGGAGATCGTTGCATTTTTGCTTATCCAATTCGAAACTAGCATCATTAAGGCTGGTTTACACGCCATCTACCCTGAGGCACAAGCTTCCGGAAAACAGGTGACCATTACTTCAACTCATCCAAATTCCTCCTGGATCGTGGTGCAAGCTTGAGCTCGGTGATACGGTTGTTGGTTGGTATTTCCCCATCTCCGAGTTGAGCCAACGCCGTCCCGGTCTGCTACTCTTCCACTACACTTCGATTGAAAGCACGCAGAGATTAGGGAGCGTTCGTACAACACCTATGACGATATCAACATTGATCTCGAAAGGGCAGATCTTGAGTGTCTCGAGAAGCGGCCAGTGCGAGATGAGGTCAAGAATCTTGTGACTCTCTCCGTCAAGAACCTCAGCCAATGGAAAAACGAGCGAGAGGCGTATAAGGTTTGCGAAGCATGTGAGGGGAAAGAGGTCGTCGTAGTTGACAGGGTCCCATGGTCCGCCGTAGTAATTGTCCACTTCCGAGAACGAATTCGATATGACGATGTCTCTCAAATGTGCCGTTGACGCGCACGTAGCGAGAGCTGATGTAAAGGATGATACCACTGATCTTCCGGAAAAGGATCCCGATCAGAAGATGTGCACCCCGACGTGTTGGAGTTGTAGTAATGAGGATTCATCCTTCGACCGACTTGAGGCCCCTGTTAGTCTGTGCAGCGCTCTTCCTGTTGGTTCGAATTCTATCGCCATTATCGTCAGCGAGTTCGTTATTTGATACGAGGGACCTTGGCTGATCAACCATTGAAAGTCCTCAAAAACCTCTATGGTTAAAGAGTCTAACTTCGGAAGAGAGGCGTAGTTGTCAAGCAGACTTGTGCTCATGGGACCGCAGCAAACGGTGCGCAGGTGCTTGAGCTGATATATGTTGCCGACAATACAATCAGTCGGCTCGATGGGCCTCTCTTCGTAGGGACGGCGGTTACTATTCCAACTCTCTCCAAAGCTAATGGAGAGCGTATTGAGAGAAGGGGCACATGCTGCGAGGTCCGGAACCTGCTCGGAGACAACTCGGAGAAATCATCGACAAAGAATGAAGAGTCGGTAACAGAGAGATGTTTTAGTTGAAGATTGAGAAATAAAGGGCACAAAATTGAGAGCTGCGCTAGATCCATTCCGACGAGATGCAAGGTATGCAGTTTGGGAAACAAGATGCCAGAAGGGAAAGGACATGCGGACAGCGCTTTGCATACACTCTCGCTGACCAGCAGCCTGGGGTCATCGGCCAGCTTGACTGGCTCCAGAGAGCTCGAAGAGTTTTTACCCGTGAAGCATACCTCTGTAAAGTCTGCAAATCCTGAAGAGTGATGTTGCGCTTAAGATGCTGTGGTTAAAGAGCTGTCAGCCGAGAAGGCCGCTTAGCGAGCAAGCGGCGCACTCACCAGAGTCCTTCTGCCAAACCTTACCCGCTCAAAACGCAACAGATCATCTGGGAGGCAACAAAGAAAGCCCCCGAATTCATCAACGTGGCCGTAGAGTGCGTCCAGCGCCCGGTCCTTGAATGACTTGCTAACACTAGCGAGTCTGGCGAGCGAGCCTTTGCCGTCGACGCAGTGACATATGTGTTCTTGCAGCTCAAGAATGGTCAAGCAGGGGTTCATGATAAGTGGCCTGGAAGGCGTGATACCGTCGATGTGATCTGGGCGAGGTCAACGATTGGATCAAAGTCTTAGAGAGGTATGAGGCATGAATGCATGATGCCCAAGACCCAACGGCGCCGAGTGGAGCGTGAGAATTGTAATGTCAGCTCCGGCGTTCATTCACATTTTCCAAATCTTTTCTCTACCTCTTACGCACATTGCGCATCCCGGCAGTCCTCAGCAAACGCTGTAGAATTGAAACGAATTACTGCTACATTGAGAGGTACAATTGATGTATACAAGGGCAGCACACTACAGTGGAAAAAGATGTATAGTATCAGTCTCCAGACCACATTACTCGGGGAACGAGTCGATGAAAGAGAGGTTCCAAAGACTTCATATTTCTGTCCGTGCGATTGTGAATGCTGAGGGCACTTATCCTCTCATTCGTGGGAAGAGTGCGAAAGTCCAGCTTCTCAAAAATGGTCTCGAGTTCTGCGTCTTCTATCACGACGTCGATGGCGAGATTGGATAGGTTGGGCAGATCCGTAAGCACGATTATGAGCGTTGTGGCGCTGAGCGAGAACGGCCTTATCTCGAGCGTCTCAAGAAGAGGCCAGGATGGAAGCAGGTCCAGCAGCTGGCCATGCTGGCCACCGAGTATTGGGATAACACTATACACAAGGGAGAGTCGCCTCAGGTTCGAGAGATGTGTCAAAGGCTGGAGGTCGTCAATTTTAACGGGGTAATACGCCTCGTCAGGCTCAATGACATCACTGTCAGCATTATCGCAAGCATTCGAGATGGTGACCTCCGTGAGGTGGCCAGGGCATGCGCAGGACGCAAGGGCTGTAGTGAAGGATGCCAAGGGTTCAGCTGAACCGAAAGGCCACATAGCGTCGAACTTGACGGTACGGAGGCGGAGTTTGAATGCCGTCTGCGGTGTAGCAGACGGTGTAGTACCCGCCAACCTCCGGAGCGCTCGTCCGCCCGTTTCGTACTGTATAGCTTGAATCGTTAGCGACTGTGGCATACGGTACGGGGGACCTTGCGACGCAAGCCACTGTGAGTCATGCGAGACCTGGATGGTCAAAGCATTGAGCTCCGGTAGTGACGCGTAGTGCTCCAGAAGCCTTTCATTGACGGGTCCACATTGTATAGTTCTGATCCGTTGCAGCTGGCAAATGTTGTTGGCCATCGCCGTGGTCGTCTCGACAGGCTTCTCGTCGACCAGCAGGTCCGACTTCTCATCAAACTCTATCACGAGCGTTTCGAGCGATGGGGCGCGGGATGCTAAATCAGGGACCTGCCCACTGAAATCGCCGGCGAAGAAGGTGCAGCTGTGGATGAAGAGATGGATGAGCCGGGTTCCTAGCAGAATAGAACGCATCATCTCTAGTTGAGCATCTCCAGGCTCGACGAGTCGTAGGGTGCGCAGCTTGGGAAACAAAGTGCCTGAGGGAAGAGGGCAGCTCGATAGTGCTTGGCACGCTTCATCCGTGATCAACACGTTTGGATTCGGAAAGGGAGTGTCAAAGCCCCAGAGTCCGCGAAGAATACGAACGCGAGAGGTGTATTGCATTAGAATGTTCCAGTCACTTGTGGAAATGTCGCGCTGAAAGCCCTGTGTTTGGGATGCCAAATGAGTTAGCGTTGAACGTTGATCAAGGAAGCATTTTAGAGCACTTACAAGCAAGTCCAATCCAGATCCATGTGGTGTGAAGATGAGGGCGTCTCGGGGCAGACACATGAGCAGATCGCAAAAGTCGTCGACCACAGCGTAGAGAGCATCAAGCGCAGGTTCCTTGAACAGCTTGCATGTCCTAGCTAGCCTGGAGAGAGGCTCTTTGCTATCAACACAACATAGTAGGTGGACCAATATCTCGAGAATCTGAAAGCAGCGGTGCATAATTCCTAGCTTGATCACAAGAGATGTTACTTAGTGCTCGACGAAAAGGAAGAGAAGAGCGAGATTACACATACAAGGAAACAGTGAGCTGAGAGAAATGGGTTAATGAGACAGGCCGAAAGCCGTGCCAGCCAAAACAATCGAAAAGCAAGGGCGACACGACCCCTGACTCTGAGTGTGCGTTGTGGCCGCGGTTCGGGTAATTCCATCGCGCAGCTGGTCACTGTTTCAGCTCGCGAAGGCTGCATCCATCACCATCCATATTGTAGATTTGAACTTTGCACCTTATCCAAGCTTCATAGCATCTCACCCGGCATTCTTGACTACACGGACGTGGATCGCACGGGAAGTAGAAGTTCCCCACACGGTTGATTCATCAGGTACGCTACATGACTCGTGCGTCGTGGATAGGTTGTTGACTAGAGCATAGAGATGGCCGTGTAGAACGTGTTGAAGAAGCATTGATTTGTAACGAATGCATGGACAGAACCCAAACATCTACCAGCATCTACCGGCGTTGAGGGTGGCAGTGGGTCACCATGTACAACCGAGAAAGCGGAGCTGTCGGGTGTAGGGAGTGTGGGTTAGGGTGGGTTGTTGTAGGTTTGAGGCAGAATCTTGGGCATGGCTTGGTCGGCGAGTTCCCTGTTTGCACTTTGCGTATACCCTTTTGTAGATGTGACTGATGAATCCCAACAATCAAAGACCATGTACTCCTCCATGGGGAAGCCATCTGGTAGTTTCTGCCACCTCCTTGCATCCTAGACCGTCGATGCGGCCTCCGAAAGCCTACATTTCTCTCGGACGTTCCCACCTTCGTCGACACCCTTTCTGCTTCTAGCAGATCGTCAACTTTGAATCGGGCGAGGTGTCAGCGGAGATGATTCTTCCCGTCAGCAAGCAGAAGTCCAGATCTCGGAGAAGTCAAGGCCTTGTGCAGGCGCCAGTACGACCAGCTCGTCCTTGCTTTCCAGTTCACGATGCCCGTACGTTGGCACGTACACGGCCGTTCACACGGCCAGCATTGATTCACCTGCGTCGCGAATCTTCGTGACGCACACAGAAAGGGTCGTCGCGAAGGATATCGGGGTCTCAAGCGCGGGGTGGATCGGGTACCGTGGCAAGGTGTGTCGTTTTACTGTCATTCTTGACCGCGAATGTTGAGCTGGCAGCATTATACCCCACTTCACCTTCAAGAGTACTTCCATATGCATGTTGTACTATGACGCCGGACAACGGCGAGGTCACTCACATGTTCGAGAAGTCCATTGGACTCGTCAGTGCCGATCATGGTTCTATGATATATTTTCATAGTACGTTCTGCTCATATCTCGAGTACCTACCACACACCTTTAAAGTTGCCCTACTAGGTCAACAGTGATACAGAATACCGTGTTGGCCAATGCCCGCCAGCCCGTCGTTGTCGACGTTTGTTTGGGCGAGCGGTCAGCCCTAGGCGCGCGCGCCCAACCCACCAATCAGATATGTTTCAATCGTGGGTTTTGCTCCGGTACTCCAACACGATGCCGCTCATGTTTACGCAAAAGTGTACATGTCCGTCCAATCATGGGCCGAAAGAATTCTCGACATCTCGGAAGCGGCGAGCACTGCCCGCTTGCTGTATTCCTGTATCCCAACATTCATCTGATCCAGAATGCGTCGTATACAATCATTACCGTCTCTGGGAGCCTAGCTTTCTGGCATCCCATGTATCGTCCTCTGCTGCACACTGTGAAATGATATGGTTTTGTGTACTGAAGAACGTCAAAGCAGGAGCCATCTTCGAGAGAGGCTTGGCACCTCGATTCGTTCACACCTTTAACTTCGAGGCCGTCAACTGATCATCACTAGCCCGGCTTTATCTTCTTACGCCGAATGGCTGTAACGACATGGGAAGAATGTGATGTCGGACAGGCCTTTATATACATCTTGTTCCTTGCGAGCTATCAAACCCCTGCCTCGTGCCCCTTCTTCTCGCCTTTTGACCTTGCCGTTTGCAATCGGCTCAACCCAAAACCCCCTCTCCCTTTCTCGCCTGCGTTTTCCCTCCTGTCCGCCTGCGATGGCGCCAATGGGTCTGGCACATCGCCATCCCCGCTTCACTGCCTCCCTCGGTGTCCTCTTCCTCGTCGCCCTTATCTTCTTCTTCGCCACCGATTCTGGCGACGCTCCTGGCTATGTCCGATTTAAGTCTGGCACGGATCTAGCTCTGGAACTTTGGGGTGAGGAGAGGAGATACCGCGACATGCTCAAAGGGCGCAAGGGGCTCATCCGCACGTGGGGCCCTAGCCCAGACAAAGTCGTCGCGTGAGTCGTTTGTATTGATCCTTGGCAGAACGCCAGACGTTAAACCAAAATTTCGCGCGTCTTTTAGATTTCCCGTTAAACCCAAGGAGGACTTCTACACGCTCTGTAAGACTTTGATGCCTTTTGTTCTTCGGTTCACGATAGCATCCTTACACATTGTATTCAGGGGACTTTTTCCCGCCTTCGTTTAAATGCCCACATAATTTAGAGAGAATTGGCGTGATGGGCGATGGGGGAAAATGGACCTGCGGCCTCGAACGGATAGAGAAGAAGGAGAAATGCGTCATATACACGTTTGGTGCGTCTCGTTCCCTGTCGTTCGTGGTTCAGCAGTTCTAAACAGCTTTATCCCATCGATGCAGGTATCAACGGCGAGTCGTCGTTTGAAGCGGGTGTCATGAAGCGCGCGAAGGGGTGTGATGTCTGGGGGTACGATTTCAGCGTAAACTCGGTATGTTTTTTCCACCACATTCTATGTTTACGCCTAAGCTCTGACGGCGCACCCTTGCTAGTTTGGCCCCGAGATTGAAAAAGACGAAATCTTGCGTTCGCGTTCGCACTTTTTCTCTTATGCGCTGGGCCCTAAAGACGCCCCCTACGCCGATCCTCCGACGTACACCCTGCAAACGCTCATGAAGCGGAACGGCCACTCCTTTATTGACATTCTCAAGATCGACATCGAGGGGAACGAATACGACTCGCTCATTTCCTTCTTCGATTCTATCTCCACCAACTCGCCACTGCCCATAGGCCAGGTACAGATGGAGGTGCACGTATACCAGGATAGCGAGTGGAACTACTTCCCCAAGTTCCTCGCGTTCTGGGAGAAACTTGAGAAGAGGGGCCTCCGGCCGTTCTTCAGCGAGCCAAACATGGTGTATGCGAACCTCATCAGGGATTTGCAGCCTGGTCTTGCCGAGGTATCCTGTGTTTTGCTCATCTGCTGGGAACGACTTCGCTAACCGTGACTTTTCTTGTAGTATTCATTCATAAACGTCAAGGGCGACCATGAACTAGTCAATGAGCTGACGCCCGAGCGTCCCCGAGGCTACCCGCCACCGCGCTCAGCAAAGTCTCTCGCCTCCACGTAATCTGATATATTTTAAGTGATCGCTCTCGAACCCTCAAGTTGCTTGATCCTTGTTTACATGACATCACCAAATAGACTCTTATATTTCTACATCGCTGCGCACCCTATTGCTCGTATCTTCAGCATTTTCCTTGGGTTTTATTGGCTTATGCTTGGCAGTAATCTACATGTTCTGGGTTATGGTAGCGCTTGGTTATCAACTTATTAACGGATGGTAGCAGAGGCATTTTCTTGTTTATCATGGAATTCACCTATGTTTATACCATCTACCGCATCGGAGCTTTACACACCTTCATGTCATGTTCGGTGAGATAGATCAACATCCATTTAAGACAGTGTCAATGACAGAGGCGAAAGGTATAAACGGTACAATCGACGATAGGTGACAAAATTTCTCGACTTTCCTTCCATCCGAGAAAAAACCGCTCATCCTATACGTTCGTTTATTTCCTGTGCGTTGCCTCTGACAGGGTCCAATCCGCTTTTAGCAGCTGCCTTCTCACCTTGCCTTATTTCATGATTCATTGAGATCACTCCCCGATAGACTTCACAGCAGCAAACACGACGTCCTTAAACGCATTCGCGATGGGCTTACGACCCAAGAATCGCTGAAGAATGAACAATGAATATACTCCCATTGAAAAGAAGCTTGTTCAGGCAGTGGTAGAACGAAGAGACATACCGTTAACGACTCGATCTCGTCCCTACTCCCACCAACATTCAGGATCTCGTCTCGGTATCGCCTCCCTAGCTCAGGGCTAAATGGATCTGGCTTGAAAACGGTGTACATGTCCGCCGCGTACACCAAGGAGTAGAGGTATCTTTGTGGCGAATATGGAGTCAGAGGCGTCAGTAGGTTGCAGAAATCATAGAGAAGCAATAGCCATGAAGTGCTGCAGATACGTACCCATAATAGCTGGCGCCCGCGTTCCATCCTCCGAGCATGTGTGGGAAGGTAACATGGCCCGGCTGGTAGTTACCGCTCTTAACGAGCGCGATCTCCTCGCGTAGCTCGTTCCAGAGCTTTATCGCATCTCTGACCTCTGTCCATATGCTACATCAGCGAGTTGGGACTGTCAAGTAAAAGCGCATCTCACCCTTGTCAATGTGAACCTTCATGTCATATCGTGCGATTGAGATCTGACGGAGCTGGAACAACCCCACATTCATGTATCGCCTGTATCAATCACCAAATAGAAGAGCAAAGTCGCTCAGTATCCAAAATCACAAAAGACCTCGTCCACTTACGATTTCACGAGTTTCTCGATCATCTCTCTCGGCATTGGATCCCCGGTCTGATAGTGGCTCGTCATCCGCTCAAGTATACTCGGCTCCCAGCACCAGTTCTCCAGCATCTGGCTCGGCGCCTCCCCGAAGTCCCCAGCAACTGAGACGCCACTGAAGCGAGAAAACCGGACACCGCGCGAGAGCTGACAGTGAAATACATGTCCCATCTCATGGAAGAATATCCATACATCCATGTGTGACGCGAGCGCCGGCCGTTCAGGGCTTGGCTTCGCGAGGTTTGCAACGATTGCGGTGACCGGGTAGACCCGTTTCCCGCATGTGCCGTCTTGGGTGGGCATGTAGCGTGCTGTGGTGAAGGGCCAGATGGCAGCGTGGCCGAATTTATTGGCTATTGACGCAGAGGGGCGTTAGTATAATAAAATGCACGATTCCACCGAAGAACGCACGCCGAGGGTAGAGGTCAAGGTAGACATGACCGATGAAATCCTCTTCTGTCTTGGCGTCCTTTTCCCAGACCTCGAACTGGCGTACGTCTTGGATACTCGCATGAGCTAACTAAAGCATTGTTGCTGAGTTTAGGTCAAGGACTTACCAGGGTGCCAAACTTGCTTGTGAGCATCGTCCACCTCAGTAAATTGAACGCCGAGAAGGTTCTGGTAGATGTCGAGGATCTTGGGTACAATGACTGCAACGGGGAAATACTCCTTTAAGGGCGCCGTGTCAAAATGAAGCGTCGACTCAATAAAGATGCGCGTAAAGTAACTGCGCAAACACGATACCATTCGTCAAGGTGGACCAACTTGAGCACAAATTGAGAGCACACCTTTCGTCCCAGACGTTCAAGCACCCATCAAACGGCAGTCCGCGTTTCTCACACTCTTCTTTCTTCAACCTAAGCAGCGTCTTCCTCTCGCGCTCGCCAATCGGGCGAAGCTTCTCCGTAAGATCGTCTAAGAACTGAGGTTTGAACGTCAGACCATCCGGTCAGAAAGCGTGCTAGGGAGAAGAAGAACACCTACATCTGCTGCGTTTTTTCCGGTCTTAATCATCTTGACTTCCGTGATATAGTCCGCCCAGCATGCATACCCGAGCATGCTCGTGATCTGTCGGCGTAGCTCGAGTGCTCGGTCAAATAGGGGTGCATTGATCGCAAGACGGCCTTCGCGGGCTTCGAAGGCGCGTTGGCGCGTGGCGGGGCTGTGCGCGAACTTGATCTAGTTTCATGAGTTGGAGATGTTGTGTGCGTGGATGAGCAGAAATGAATAAGAAGTGGCTTTAAAATGATGAGGTGATGACACTTAGATAGACGCACAATAGGCACGATGTCGGATGGGGTCAGTGAGCATTCAAACAACGCCGATGTGCCTTCATAATTCTTCTCGGTGTACCCGTCCATATCGCTTTGAGGTACACCGTCCAGCTCTTCTAGTGTAAACGAAATGTGCCCCTGTGGGATAGTAGTGATCGTTAGTATTACACTCCGTGCGTGATCGAGCGCCATAGACCAAACAATTACATTTTCTTCATTTAGGTTTCTCTAGGAAAGTTTAGCATGTAGCTCCATAAGCCTACATGATAAGGAAAGACGATTGAGTGAGGACGCACCCCAAACTCGGCGCACACAGCCACCAACTCCTTCTTGAGCTTCACCAGCTCCTCGCGCTCCTCATCCGGTAGCGCTAACCCGGATCGCTTTCCATCCAGGACCATCTGTTCGACAAGGCGCTTCTCTTCCGTAGTGAGGGTATCCCACCTGCCCGATGCACGGATGTTCTTCTCCGCTGCAGCCTTGGCATGGAAGACATCGAGTCGCATTGAGTTCTCGACTGTGAAGTCATTATAAAGCTTCGCAGCCTGTTCCGAGGCCTCGCGCAGGGCATCGGAAGGTGCAACTTCCTTGTAGAACATCATGTATTCAGACATGGCGAGCAGTTCTCCGTCGCCTTCTGCGAGGGGTACCTAAACGTGCAGACGATCGTGAGTATGGTCGCCTATCGCGATAAGGTAGACAAAGAAAGGAGATTGTACGCACGAAGACCTGATAGCCAATGTAAGCCAACTGATGTCACTATCGTCAGCATGGGAGTCAAAAGCACACCGATTCAAATGTGCACTCATCCGCATGTAGAGTGCCAACACGGTCATCTAGTTCTTTCCTCGCCTCTATTGCCGCCTTCATGAGGGCAACGACTTCTTCGGGTGAGTGATCCCAGCGCGGAGGCGCCTGCGGAGCAGCTAGGTTGGCCATGGTGTGAAGCTCAGAGGCGAGGGCTTAGACTAGGCTGAGATGTGGGTCGTCACAGCTGCTGCTGATAATTGACAAGTTGTGGTGAGTGGGTTATTGTGGTGGTCTCACTTGCCTATAACGGAGGAAAGGAATCAGCGTGGTCCACATGTCCTTAGAGTTTAAGTGATTGGCGATTTGGACATCTAGACATATGCGTCCCAAGATGGTCGGACTGAGCAGAACGCGAAACTGTGTGAAAGTTTAGTAAAGGTGTAGCACTGCCCCCGAGACTGGGCAATAGCCCCTATCTTAGGCCCCCTCTTGTCTCGCCTCTTCTAACGTTTTAGTCCCTTTCCTTTCCTCACCCAACGTTTGTGAGAAAAGGGTTACGAGAATATTGCAGGGAATTTAACAATGATTCGACATAGCGCTCGGTCACAGATGGCGGGAGGAAAACTCACGCTTTCATTCAGAACCAAGTTTTCAAGACTGAATTACGCTCACGAGCGCTCGCCTTGGATGCGTCCATATACCTAAGATTCGTTTATGGCTCCTCGCTAGGCTGTTATTTCGTTCGATAGGTGCTAAAATCTCACGAGCAGCGAGTGGTTCAGGTGGTGGTTTTACCATAGGTCGAAGATTAGACGCATTTTTATTTATACACTAGCTACTCTGCTATCGGCATTTTTTCTCTAGTCCTCGCGCTGCTCATTGAACCTGCTCCACCTTACCCGTGTTCAGATCGAACACAAGCCCAACAATATTTATTTCCTTCCCAAACCAGGGACTCTCCTTCAAATACTTCACATCGCTCTTCACACTCGCGCGCACGTCCTTGCTGTGGATCTCGTCGAAGTCAATCGCGTCGATCTCGGCGACCTGCTCGGCGGTGGCTGCGCGAGCCTTGAACGTCGCTTTGAACTCAGCGTCAGACGCGTGCGTCATGCCGCAGTCGGTGTGGTGCACGACAGCGACCCCGCCTAGGCCAAGGTGGTGCTCGAGGACGAGGAGCGAGCGCAGAGCATCTTTCACGCGGCCTCCTGCGACGCGGATCACGGGGTATTCTGCGGGCGGGAGAAAATAGGTCAACACGGCATTATGGGGTGAGAGGGAACACGAAGGAGGGGCGCGTACCGCCCTTGTGGAACTTGAAGTATTCCTCGGGGACGAGCCGGGGGTCCATGCACGAGATAATGGCGACGGCTTGGTTCCTGGGCAAGCTGGAGAGCGTGTCGAAGTTGGGCGGGATACCGTAGTTATCCGCTGCGTAGGCCCTATTTGAGCCAAGACACGCGGTTAGGATATGATAATGGTGATGAAAATTGGGCATGAGACGCACTGGTTCTTGGCAAGGAGGTTCTGGACGGTGTCAGACATGTTGTGGAGACTGAGTTAGCTCAGAGGCAAGTCGACGCAGAAGGGAAGGTTTGCTGGAGATATTCAAGGAGGGACGAGATGACATTTATACCTCGGCAAAGAGTCTCCCTCTACCATAAGAGGTGTGCATCTGACACAAGCAACAGACAGTACTCGCTGTCGTTATCAGCCCAGGTGCTGACCGAGCAACTCAAGATGCCCATAAGGTGCAAGGTGTACTGAGGTGAAACGCTGCTATGGTCATAAGGGTCGCTCGACGACTCAAAATAAACAGGCTGACCGAGAAAAACTTCACCATATCAGAAACCAGCCTGCCCATAAGAGGTCAATATCGTCACCGCCCGAGTCAGACATGTCAAGATGTCGCGGCTCCGAGACGAGTTCGGCGACGTAGCGGCGATGCTCGACCGTCAAGTCGACGGCGTCAGTGAAGTATATTATCAAGCAAGACAAAAGCAGGGCGACGCGCGTACGATCTCTGTGGGGGCGTACTATTGCATTTGCAAGCATGTGCATAATTATTGATGTGTCGGTCGGGCGCATCGTCGAAGAACTGGCGTCGATCATGCGAGATTTTCTGGGATGACAAACTGAGGTCACGACGCAGATCGATGGCAGCGCGTCCTGGCCGACTCAGGGCCGGCCTGGCGTTGCAGAAGAGAGAGCTCTGAGTCAGAAGACAAGTGCTAGCACCAGCAATAAAGCATCATCGAGGATACGTTTAAAAACTGGACAAAGTAATCGTCCCGATCTGAAGGATATACAGTGCACGGTTTGCAGAAGCAGGTTGAGAGAACGCAGCGGATTTCAGCCGAGGTCCAACTAGGGGCGGCGAGAGGTGGTGGCCATGGGTCTAGGTCAAAGGAACAGCGGACTTGAACACCTAAAGATGTGATTAAAAACAGATACTCATGATTGCTACCAGAATCAGAACTCGAGAATGTCTTTGAAGAAGTATCATAGCACTTGAACACACACTCAAACCTCTCTGATGGACCAAGCCAGCCGAATGTAGCGCACGAGGTTAGCCCCAACAATGCACATAATTTTCTCATAAAATCTCTGCGTCTGGAAGTAGCCTAGAACTGAGGGTAAAGGGTTTGAGAAGGAGAATGCGTCCCATGCTACCAGGCAGTGAGCGTGCGGCATGGCGAGCCTTGAAGTGATGATGAAATCTGCTATATCATTACCAGCACCAAGCAGAACGCGCAGAGATCGTGCGAGTAGCACACCAGGAAACCCACTAGAGCTCAATGTGGTATCGGATGCGGACACTGTTCTCGACGACGCGTACTAAAGAGTGCTCGTATGCCTACAAAACGTGGGTAGATGCGTTCGGGATGGATGTCCAGTTGAATGGTAATAACACTCACCTATGCCTACCATGGTAGTTATACTACACAGAGATGAAGAGAAATATCAACCAGCAGTTCATTGGGTAGCGTAGGAATGGGTCTCTCGTCTATGATAATGAATAGCGGTACTAGTAGAGGGGTGAATGGCGCGCGCCGCGAAGGATGCGGCTAAGCCCCTGTCTTCGGACAAACCTCGGACAACGTCACGGGGAGTCGGGGCGGATCCGCGTTCTTGTTCGATTTTCCATCATCTCCGCGCGGCAGAACATAGACTGTTCTGGGTCTCACTCAAGGTTATGACAAGAAATCAAGCCCGGCCGGGTCTTGCGCCCGCGAAACCGTCCAATCATTGTCTTTATGACCTCCACGACCCCGCAGCAAACTGGAATTCGGACTCTTTGCGCGCGTTATCGTGCCAACGTGCTCTCCTGACCTTCATTTGACTCATTTCACCTGATGGCCCTCGAGTACGGTTAGCCCCGCATTCAGTCGAATTCCATTTTATGGGAAAACAGTGAGCTCACCATAGGCTCTACGCCAATGCGAGCGTCATCCGTTATCAAGGGTCTCCAAGTTGCTTAGTGAGCACGGTGTTTTGTCAGGTGTGTTTTTCACTGTTGACCCGGAAACGTCTTCGAGTGCTATTTATTGGCTGCGCACATTCGTCTCTCCCCCTTCTTTTCCTTTCTCTTTGTACCTCGCCTGTACGATGGCCCCTGAAGCGCTAGCTTTAGATACCTTCCCGTCATCACAGCCAGTGCACGCTGCCTCCCCTCGACCGCCCTTTGTGAGACTCAAAACGGACGACAAGATCAGCCAGGTCACGACAACTGAGGCCGTTGACGGATCCAGCGCCATAGAGCTAGAAGCGCTAGGACGCCGTCTTCCCTCGCAAAATACACTCAACGATGCGACCGAGACTTCAAATGAGCCTCCGGTTATGACCGAGACGCAGAAGCGGCGAGCGCTCGTGCAGTTTTCTGCCCTCTGCTACTTTCTTTTCGTGGAGGGCTGGAATGATGGATCAAGTGGGCCCTTGTTACCGCGCATCCAGAAGGTCTATAACGTATGTCAAACGCTAATCATTACGAATCTCTCTCACAAACTCTGACGGGGTATGGAACAGGTGGATTACACGATTGTTTCGCTGATCTTCGTTTTCGCGTGTGTGGTAGGCTCACTGTTAATCCTACGCTTGCGCCTTTGTTCACTCATCAGCCATCACTCAGGGCTTCATATCCGGCGCTATCTCAAACGTGTACTTGGGCGAACGCCTCGGCTTCGGCAAAGTCATGGTCCTCGCAGCCTCATGTCAAGTAATTGCTTACTCCATCGAGGCGGCTGCGCCGCCCTTCCCCGCGTTTGTGGCTGCGTTCGCCATTAACGGCTTTGGGCTCGCCATCCAGGTGGGTATCTTCCGACTTCCTCATGGGGCCCTATTCCTGATCACGGCGCGGTACAGAACGCTCAAGCAGTGGGCTATACCTCCTGCTTCAAGGACAAACCCGAAGCTCGGATGGGCTTCATCATGTCCTGCTACGGTGCGGGCGCTCTGTGCGCGCCTCTTGTCGCAACCCAGTTCTCCGCTCTTCCGCGTTGGTCGTTCCACTACCTTGCGTCGCTTGGACTTGCTGTGGCAAACTGGGTCGTAATGGCGGTGGTATTTAAGGGGAAAACGCAGGACGGTGAGCTCCTATTTCCTAAGTTCTCGTCGATCGATGCCGGTATTCATGCAGGTTCCGAGACACTAGAGTGTCTTGAACAGATTGGACTCTCTACAGAAAAGGGTACGAGTGACCGCAGTCAAATGCGACAGATTATGGCGTTGAAGGATGTGCACCTGCTCGCTGCGTTTATCTTGTTTTATGTCGGCGCTGAGGTTACGATCGGCGGTATGTGAATCGTTCTTCTGATATTTCCCAAGCTGAGCTCATGCATTATATAGGGTGGATCGTAACGTACATCATTGACGTTCGTGGCGGTGGCGCGTCTTCGGGGTATATCTCTACCGGATTCTTCGCGGGTGCGTAATGAGTCATATCGTAAACTTTGGCATCCAATGACAGGTACTATAGGTCTCGCAATCGGAAGAGTGGGTTTGCTATGGGTGAACAAAAAGGTATATCTACCGCAGCCAGATCTAAACCAATCGTTTGTGGGCTTTGCTAACCTGCCGTGTACAGATCGGAGAACGCCTTGCGCTCTTCATCTACGCCATCCTCTGCATCATGTATGCCTCTTCCACCTCCTGGCCTTCCCGTCCTGATTTACTGATTCTCCTTTTCTTGCTCGCCACAGCTGCGAGCTCATCGTCTGGTTCGTCCCCTCGCTTGCAGGCGATGCCGTCGCGGTCGCGATCGTCGGCTTCTTCTTCGGGCCGATGTACCCGATCGCGATGAACCACGCGCGGCGCGTCTTTCCGCGCTGGATCCTCACCGGCTCGGTGGGATGGATCGCAGGCGTAGGGCAAGCGGGCTCGGCGCTGGTGCCGTTCATGGCAGGCGCGGTGGCTAGCAAGGCGGGGATTAAAACGTTGCAGCCTGTGTGAGTCGTTTTTTTTTCGACTTGTGCGTTGGAAAGACTGGCTGATGTCTTGTGTGCGACGTAGGTTGGTTGGAATCATTGGATTGATGACGGCGCTTTGGGCGCTTGTTCCCAAGGGGGCGAGGAGGCCCGATTAAAGCGATAGGGGAAAATGTAGGCGCTCATCTACACTGGCAGGACTGTACTTGTGTCGTACGGTAGGAAGCTCGCGATGTTGATTTATGTCATCGGTGGCGGATCGTGCTTTGTATGCCGAATCCAAATCTATTTCCTCCAGATTCTCAACCGCTGCACGCTGTGGCGGTGGCGCTTTGCTAGAAGCAGCGGCTACTCGGCTTTTGCGAAGACTTCAATTACCATTCTGTGAGATCGTCGACCGCCCTTGTGGGACATACGGCTTCGAGATATTCAGTTAGGTTGGACAGCGAACGTAACCAAAACAGGCTTCAAACTTGATGGCTATTTTGGTAAGTAGAAGTTGATGACCTGTCGGTCACTCCCCCGTACTTACCGCGACCAGTGTTCTTCGTTTCATCTCGGTCGTCAGTGATCGATGAACACTCGAGAGTGGTATCAACTACGCCTTGTAGGTTATGATTTTGGTGATGGCAATCGAAACCAGTCATGCAGGGTTCTGGGATTCAAGTGGACGCAATACGGGCCACAAAGCGTCTGTCAGTGGTAGTTCAGAAACTAGTGCATAGGTACCGGCAAAACCATCAAGACTTGATGACTTAGGCTTAAGGTGTGCGCGCTCATCAGCCAAATGAAACGACTTGCGGAGGCTTGAAGCCAGCGCACATCTATCTTATTATATCTTGCAACGGCACTAAGTCCATTGTTCAGACAAGCAGCAGCGTATAAAAACATGCTACGATGTGGTTGCTGGCCGGCAGCTCTTCTGCTTCACGGCACATCTCTCGAGTTGCAGTGCTCATCATGCTTTTCCCTCTCGCCGTGGTCGTCGCCGCACTTCCCTTCTTGGTTGACGCCGCCCCCAGCACTCGGGCACCATCCAACAAGATCCCTATCCAGAAGCGCTCGACGCTCAACCACGCCAGTGGCGCTGTTGACTTCACTGCACTGAATAACCACATCGCTTCCGTCAATGCGTACGTCCTTCCTGAATCTACTTTGATTGCTTGTTGCTCATGATGACTCCTCACATGTAGTAAATACGAACGTGGCTTTGCCAACTACGAGAAAAACACGGGAAATGCTCATCCTTTCGCCAAGGCTGGTGACTCCAAGCGCGCCACTGGCACTGATGCCCTCACAGACGACAACAGCGAGCTTTGGTATGGGAAGATATCTGTCGGAACCCCTGCTGTTAACTACACGGGTCAGTTTACCCCCTTTATCACTTTCTTCGCGTAGTGACATATCTTCGTAGTGGACTTTGACACGGGGTCGTCTGACCTCTTCCTCCCTGGTCCTGACTGCGACTCGACCTGCTCTGGCCACACCGTCTACGATCCCTCCAAGTCGTCGTCGTCCTCTGACGTTGGTCAAACCTTCTCTCTCTCGTACGGCGACGGCTCCACCGTCTCTGGCGAGCAGTACACCGACACTGTCGTCCTCGCCGGCCTGACCGCCACCAAGCAGACTCTCGGCGCTGCCAAACAGTACTCGGAGGGATTTGAGTCCTCGCAGTTCCCTGCTGATGGTCTCTTGGGCATGGCCTACCAGGCCATCTCCTCCTACGGTGCCTCGCCTGTCTTCAACACCCTCGTCTCCGAGGGCCAGACCGACGCTGGTGTCTTTGGCTTCAAGCTGACCTCGTCCAGTGCTGAGCTCACCGTTGGCGGCACCGACTCTTCCGCCGTTTCTGGAGACTTCACATATACCCCCGTCACCCAGCAAGGCTACTGGCAGTTCTCCGCCGACGGCATTTCGTCGGGCGGTCAACAGGCCCTGAGCTCGTTCGCCGCTATTGCCGACACCGGCACCACGCTCATCGTCGGTGTCCCCGACGATGTCGCCAGATTTTATGAGTCCATCGGCGGATTCCCAGCGATCGAAGTTGGCGAGGGCTACTACACCGTTCCATGCAACTCCATCCCAAATGTATCCGTGACCATCGGCGGCACCGAGTTCGTTATTTCCGCAGACACGTTCAACCTCGGTCCCGAGTCTGATGGAAGTTCCGAGTGCGTTGGTGGTATTGTCGGTGAGGACGTCGGCGTCAACTTTTGGATACTAGGTGATGTATTCCTCTCGAACACGTATACCGCGTTCGACTTCGATAAGAACCAGGTTGGTTTTGCCAAGCTCGCCTAAGATCAGGTCAACCTCTGCTACATATGTTATTCGGTTCATGGGCTCCGTGTGTTATACCGTACATAATCTGTCTTTATCTTCGGGTGTTATCTATTGTCATCATCAGAGAATGGGGCTACGTATACCAGATGTCTCGAGCGTCGGATTATCCCGCGGTACTGGGTGTACCTTTCCTCGAGGTCATCCCCCTGAAGTAATGTCATGTTTTTGTTTTCTGCCGTGACCACGCCGCTGAAAGCTATCGTCGAGCCAACCGAAGGGGAATCTAGCACGCCATCAGCACGTAGTACTGGAGCGTGGAAGGCCCTCAATTAGCCTCAATTGCAAGTCTGCCGCGAGGATGATCGAAACGGAACATCCAAGCAGCGGACTCGGATAAGAGGGTCCAATCAAGCCTCGCACATGATTTGTGCATAGGGTAAAGCGGTCAAATGAGAGTGGAGATGAGGGCCTTAATCACAAGTCCTACGGTTCCTAGCTAGTCAGACTCGAGCGAATGATTCGAGCCTCGCCCTCGAAGCGCTAACACCACGGGCAAGCTGCCATTTTTTGCCGGAGAAAAGGGAGAGAAAAGCCGTGGGGGTGAAAACCTTCTTTATTGAGTTTTCGCCGCAAGAAAAGTCAAAGGAAAGATTATTATTGCACCCGAGAGAGCGCCTTTTCTAGACAGGAAAAGGATAAAATATTTCCGGAATCGGCCAAATTACCAACTTTGGCAGCCATAGCTAGCTATTTATCCTTTTCCTGTCTAGAAAAGGCGCTCTCTCGGGTGCAATAATAATCTTTCCTTTGACTTTTCTTGCGGCGAAAACTCAGTAAAGAAGGTTTTTCACCCCCACGGCTTTTCTCTCCCTTTTCTCCGGTC